ATCATTTAGAGTTAAGATCGAGAAAAAGTAATTTTAGATTCGGCGTTTTCAAGTCAAAGTGCATATGATAGCATTTTAAAATTTTCAAATTGGTCAATTTTTACCAAGGTTACTATTTTTTACGAGCCCAAATCACTTTCCTATAGAATTTTACGTCATTTTTTGAACCTAAAACTTGTAACTTTAAAACTACTTATCCAAATTACTTCAAACTTTGCAGAATTGTAAAACGTGACCATAAACACAGATAAACACAATTTTTTAATTTTTACTTTAGTTATCATCCGTATATACTCAGTTACTGTGGTATCTTTTGACTTTACATGCAGTAACTTTGTTATCGGTTGGTAAAAGTTTTCAAAAATTTAAAGTGAAAGTACTTATACAACACAAAACCAACACAATTAACATTTAAACAAAATTTTGTCAAAAATTTAAATTCCCGCCAAATTGGCGAATCTTGGCATTGCGTTTTTCTACCATTTAAGGTGATGATAGAACAAAACGGTTTTCAGATTTGGAGTTTTCAGGTTGAAATGCATATAAAATCATTTTAAAATTTTAAAATTAGTTAATTTTTGTCAAAATTATAATTTTTATAAGTCCACGTCAGTTTCCTATAGTAGTTGACACGGTTTTCGAAAAATACACTCTTTTTTTAACCATAAAAATGTAAAAGTTAAAAAAAACCAAATTTAACAAAAAAATTTTTTTCTATTACTTTGAGTTTACTTTAGGCTTAAATAGACCCTAGTAATATTGACAGTTTACATAAATATTGCCAAATCCATAGTAGTTACTATATATCTCCACCCGCGAAGTGTCCACCCGCGAAGTGTCCGTTCCTTGGATAATTTTTCACATTCCAGTCAAAAAGTAAATAGAAAAGCCAATTAAGGCAACCATATTAAGAAATAAAAAAATTCTACTTATTTTTTGAAATAACTAGCATCAAGCAACGTTCTAAGCGACTAAAAGATCGCAATTATTTCCAAACGCAAAACGAAAAAATATAATTTTTCTTTTTGTGACATTCCGTTATTTTTCGATCCGATAACGAAGTGACAATTCATCGAACAAGGAAAGTACCCAACCGGCAACTCTCAAAAATAGCTCAAAATTTTTATACAGATTATTTGTAGTACCAGTAGCACATATAAAAAATCTTAGCTTGCGGTTTTAAGTTTTAAAATTAATATATTTAAATTTCCCGCTAATTTGGCAAATTTGGCATTGTGTTGCAAACACTTTTTTGATGTTCCAGACAAGATAGGCTTACAAATTTAAAATTGCAGGTTCATTTGAAGCTTTTCTATCATTATACTAAAGAAAAATAGTTGAAAGTCAAAAAATGAAAAAGTTATTTATAAGCTTAAAACATTATGCCAATTCGGCGGGAAACTCAAAACGGAATTTTTTGATCTCGAGTTTCTCGAGACTGGCCGCAAACCGCAACTTAGAATTTTGCATAAGATCTTACATTTACATAGTCTTTCAATTAAAAAATTTTGAACGAAATCTGAGCGTTGCAGGTCGGGTACCTTCCTTGTAAGTCCGCAGTTAAGTTGACGTGAACCGTAACATGAAACATAAAACATTAAGTAGACTGTTTACCAAACACTAGTCGTTCTACCTTCCTTTTCGCCATATACCAACATATCATTATAACAAGATACCTACATTAAGGTCATGAAACAAAATCTACAGAGTAATCATAGAACTACAGTACACAACAAGGTACAACATCAAGTAAACTGTTTACCAAACACTAGTCATTCTACCTTCCTTTTCGCCATATACCAACATATCATTTTAACAAGATAATTTTTTTGTATAAACTAGGTCCTAGGGTGTTTATAAACACGTTTCTAAAGTAATTTTGAAAAATACGTCATAATGACGGATTTATCAAAATTACTTTACCGGGCCATATCTCAAATACAACAAATTGAATCGCTTTGAAATTTTGTGCCTTTACATAACTTTTTATGCTCTACATTTTGTTTTATTGTAACAAATTTGTTCAGTTGTGCCTAAGTCCAAACTGGTACTTGCACACAAAAAACGCATCGTTTCTCAAAAAAATTGCATTATTTTACCGAAATTTTACTTCATATTCGTAATCAGCGCAAAATTCTGCTCTAGATGGCACCATTCCCAATTCTGGATTCTGCGGGAAAATTTTCATTGTGTAACTGGTAGTGCGTTTTCCACCCGATCAGAAGCGCACAGGTTCGAGTCCGGTCAGAGGCCAATGGTCGGAAATGGCGGAAAACTTTCAAATAAAGCCGAAAAAAGGCAAAAACGTTTAAAAAATGTGTTTCAGCACGACTTACGACGGTGCATCATATCTGGTACCACGTCGTGCATATTTTGAAAGGCCTGATCTCGATTCTCGGGAATCAAAAAAAAGGAATAGAGAACATGTCCTCGTATTGGTTGTCGCATTCCTAAATGTAATAGTTAATTTATTTTTGTAAATATTTTTTTTATGGAGTAAAACGAACCTTAATAGAAAGTATCTCAGCAAAAAATAATTTTGTTATTAATTTTGGCTATAAGATCTTCAATACACCCTAGTTAAAGATCTTATTATATGGTATGGATATCGTCGTATGATTGTGGAACCCTTACACTAGTTGTCTGTGAGATTTTACCACGTATGTTTATATCTTCAATTATGCCCCATGTAATAGTTTGCCCTAGATGTGGCAGAGCACTGTAGAATCCGTTTTAAAAGTAATCATGCGTCCAGTTTTAAAAAATCGTAAAACACAACAGTTTTTAGCAACTTGCTTAACGTATGACAAGTAAATAAATAGGAAATGTTAACTTACATGTATAGTTGGGAGCTGAAAGACTTCTTTGAAAAACGATGGTGTTGTTGTACTCCTAAATAGATCGATCAATAATAATAGTTTATTCACAATATAATTATACACAGAGAATATTTCATATGAATAAGTAGACTGCCTGTTGAATGAATCCAATCCCCTTTGATACTAATCCTGAATGCTCGTTCTTTGAGTTACACTCCATAATGTAGTTGTCTTGCCTCTGTAGTGTGATCGTTAATTGAATGTTCTGTGAAACCCACCGTTTATAAAAACTAACTTCTTTCTATATTTAGAAAGGAAAAACGTTTTGTGACTTTACTTGTTTATTGTAGTTCCGCTTATGTTTTGTGTTTTGATAATAAATATGTCCGCGCTTTTAGTCGCGTATTACAGGTGTATATGAAGCAATAAACGTTAGTATAACATGGAAACAGAAACTGCAGTATAAACATGTCAGTAACAGTACACAAGTAATCATTTTTTTCCACGGAAACTTTCGTTTCGTTTTTTGTTTATATCGTTGATCATTTACCTTTTCAGATAGGTATGCCTTTTCTTCAGTCAATTTCAATTTGGATCTTTGGAAGGTGTATTTTCCAAAAAATTAAAATAGAAAGACCCAAAGAACTTTCATAACTTTGTCTTTTGCTTTTAAATTTAAAATATAATAATAAATTACCTTAAAATGGTATTGCTGTAAAGAAACATACCACAAAAATAGAATCCTCCTCTCCATTTAACTCATGATTCACAAAAAACCGCTGAGACAGGTGATCTAACAATACCAGCCAACTGGAATCCAGAAGTGAAAAAAGACTCAGCTTGTGACAATTCATTACGGGGTACCCATCTACTGATAATCCAATTAGAAGCTGGCAATATAAACCCGTCTGCCACTCCATACACAAATCTGGCTGCAAATACTCCACCAAATCCGAAAATGTCAATCAAAAAAGGAATGGCAAAAGTGGTGGATGACATTACTATTACAGCTATCATTAAGGTGTTACGAGGCGAGAAATGATCAGATATATAGCCAGCTGGTATGTTACTGAGTGTACTACCCCAAAAAGAACTAGAGAACAGCAAGTTTTGCATCTGAGGTGACCAGAGCAGGTCTCCCTAAAATATTCTTCATACTTTTATAAATTACATTCCACACTTTTACATAGTAATGTAAAATGTCCCGGAAATAATTTTACAAAATTTTTAATATCAATAATAGTAAATTTTTTGATCAAAAACCTACTACTTTCCCTTTAAACTTACTCCATAGTTGTTGACCACGTTAACATCCGCATTGCTGACGTTTAAGTTAAAACGGTGTAAATTACTGTAACTTGTTTCTCTATCTTTGTTATGAGCCATCATCACGGCAGTCGTATTCACCATACAGGTCATTGTCATACCAAGATTCATCCTCATATACGATGTTATCGACCACCCCAACATCAAGATCAAAACCAAGTGCATTCGATGCGAGCATGGATAGAAGAACACTGTAAATAGAAAGTAAATATTATGTGAAAATTAGAAAGATATATTTCTTCAAAGGTTATGCCCTGTGACGCAAAACAATACCAAGTACAATATAAAACGTAACTGGTTAACATAAAAACTTACAGTCAAATCTCGACATGACTAATTTTTTATCAATTAATAGTCACTCTAGTAAACAAAAACAGTTAAAAAGTAATTTTTATTTACATTCTTAATATTATACAGCAGCGTTGAATGTTAAAAGCTGACTAAAGCTGACCGAACCTGCAATAGGATTTGTTAAAAAGACCAAAAACTACAATAACTTGCAAATACGCCCTTGTCTGTTTATTTCTTGACTAGTTCAATAGAAGCAAATGATAATACCATCGAAAAGAGAGGATTATATTGTACGCCAGGAATAAACAGGCTGATAAGTGAAGGTCGATTTGGTCAAGTAATTCATCATCAATTACTGCAAGCATTGTCTGTCGTTTTACAATTATGACTTAAAATCACAGTATAAGCTTATGAGTTTACAATTTTTAGTTTTTTGTGTTAAAAATCTACACTTTATCAGATACGGTAAATGTTTCAAAAGGCTTTGCAACGAAAATGTTATTTTTGGCATTCTGCACCATTTATTTTATTTTTGGCTTCGGAAATTTTAATTAAAATTCAAAAATGAAATTTGTTATTCAGAGAGTGTCCAAGGCTTCTGTCTACTTGGTTTCGGATTCAGGGAAAGAATTAGTAAGTTTGCATGTTATACATCAAGATGATCATTATAAAAATATATTTCAAATAGACAGGTTTCAGAAATAGGAAGAGGAATATGCGTTCTTGTCGGTATTTGTGAAGGAGATTCGGATTCTGACATTGAGTATGGAGTTAGGAAGTTGATGAACTTGAGGTTGTTTGATAATCCAGAAACAAACAAACGATGGGATAAAAGTGTCAAAGACCTGGATCTGGAGATATTGTGCATTAGCCAGGTATTTCTTTGGTTTCTGATGTTTATTGTTTTAGTTTACGTTACATGCGCTGCTAAAAGGCAACAAATTGGACTTTCACAGGTCCATGCATACTACAGAAGCTCCTGGATTTTATGAAAAGTTTCTGAATCAATTGAAAAGTGGATACAAAGCTGATAAGGTGAAGGTAAGAGGGATATGCTTGGTTAGAGTTTAATTGACTGCTGTTTTTATTAAATTTTAAGTAGTTGTAGATGGTGTAAATTACAATTAAAAGCTTTAAACATATATTATGAAAAATACTTTTAGGATGGAAAGTTCGGAGCACATATGAGTGTTTGTATCGAAAATGATGGACCTGTTACAATAAACTTGGATTCAAAGGAGAAGTAAAAGGGATATAAAGCCGAGCATCTTGCCTAATTATGAACCTATGTATTGAATTTATTAAGATTGACAATGTGGCAATTTTGTTGGATTATCTGCAAATATACGTTTATACGGGTTATATGTTGTTGTTAACTGTTGTAATAAACATGTGATGATGTAGCTGTTATACTGTGTTTTTTACATGATATTAATTCAAATTTATTACCTTTTTGCTTTAGTTTTATATTCTATTTGAAACGGACTGAAGAATATATTTTTTGTTTTTTAAAAAAAAGTTTGAGTGTTTATTGAACTTCTTCATCCTTCAAACGTTTTTAATTTTCTTGCAGGTATATCGAGAATGGCGGCACGACCGATTAAGGTAAGTATGCATACTGTTATATTATAGCATTTTATTTTAGAATAAATTTTGATTTTGGCGTAGTATTTTCAGGACATAAGGGTTTTGTTATCAATTTTAAGAGCTTAAACTATCTTTTTAGTACAAGTTTTTCTGGTATTTTACAGTTATAACTTGATCAAGGTAAAAATTTACTGTTTGGTTTTATAATTTGTAAGATTTGCATAGCCTTTCACTTGTCTTGAGTGTATGCAAATGCGATCGTTTATCTTATTTTTGAGCGCGCAAAATGCTCCTCTTACGTGAGTGGTGAATATATTTAGACCAAGGTAAGAGAAGCGAGGTACGAATCTCGGTTGTTTTTCGATACTCGAAACGCCGAAATCGGAATCTACGCAGGAATCCCGTTTTATTTGTTTCCGGTGGATATTCATTCCTTTATTGATTTCAGGACTTGGTGGCTCTCGTCACTGGCGGTTCTTCTGGACTGGGCAGGGCCACGGTCGAGTATCTGCACAATAATGGGGCCAAGGTGGCCTTGTTGGACTTGGACAAGACTGACGGACCTAACGTGGTCAAGGAGCTGGGCGAGAATGCCATCTTCACTCCAGCTGATGTAAGGGTTTGTGTTTGGAATGTTAAATGTAAAAGAATATGTAAAAGCTTGTTATATAAGGTTTATATGTATTACATGGGTAACTTTTTTAAAAATGAACGTAATTTAGGTAAGAAAAGAAGCTGATGTATCAAAGGCGTACGAACAGATCAAGTCTACCTTTGGTCGATTGGATGCCATTGTTAACTGCGCTGGCATTGCCTATGCCTTCAGGACATATAACACTGGAAAGAGGGAAATCAGTCCACTTGACCGTTTCCAACATACTATGGATGTGAGTGTACTATATTATTAATCATTAGGAAAATGTATTGTTTAGAGAAGAGTGGGGATGGTAAAGGATAAGTATAGAAATTTTGACAGTTAGTACATGTGGACCGCAAGGTTATAAGGATTAACAGTTTATTTTTTTATGTTTTTACCTAATTTGAATATGTAAACCTGCATTTTAGGTCAATGTAGCGAACTTTTTCCAGAGCTTTTATCCTTAGTGTTGTGATGGATAATATTATGGAATATTTTTGTGGATTCCTTTTGAAAAAGACATTAAATTGCAAGAAAGATGAAGAAGTACAACAAGCGTTATTTTTTTGAGTTATTTTTTTTGTGTTTTTAGGAAAAAGACGGATTTAACGTTATATTGAGGATGTTGTCCATGATGGCCGTCACTGTTTGGGCATGTCAGTTGGTCTGCAAGCTAAAAATCAACAAGAAAAGACGTAAAGCAGGCGGAATGTGGTGCATGACAGGATTTTTTTTGTATATTATTAATAAAGAAATAAGTAATTAATTAATTAACTATATTGAGGATGTTTTTTATGATGCCATTATTGTTGAAATGAGTCGAATTTTCCGAAATTTTTGGCATGTTTAAAATGTTATTATCGACGAGAAAAGTTGGATTCAGAGGTCTTAATAACGTCGTAATGTCTTTAGCAGTACAGTGGTTATCAGTTCAAGATGGATAATATAGCGGCTTTATCAAAATAAATGCATCGTAACATCAGAAAAATGGTACCTTAGTGAAAATATTATACTATAATTCCTTTTTTCAAATAAAATATGAAGATTTGTTTAATAAGAGTGAAATTGTCAACAAAATGCACAGAACTACACAAACATTTTGAACACATAATAATATGATTTGTTTCATTCCAAACTTCATATAAAAACTCATAATCTTTTTCATTTCTATGTATTCTTGTTATAATTTATCTTCTTATTGTTTATTCGCTGCTTGCCGACCATCTGACGTGCCCAAATAACGACGACTATCATGGATAACATCCTCAATATGGCGTTCAATCCGTCTCTTTCCTAAAAACACAAAAAAATAAGTAAAAAACATACCGTTTGATGTACTTCTTTATGTGTTATTGCAATTTAGTGCCTTTTCAAAACGGAATCTCCAAAAATATTCCAGAATATTATCCATCACAACACTAAGGATAAAAGCTCTGGTAAAAGTTTGTAATTTTCGCCGGCAAAGCGTTGTAGACACAGAAATAAGGCAGGTTTGTAGAAAATAGGTACTATTATAAATAACAAAACAACACGAATACACAATTTCCATTTCATAATATATTGGTTTCACCCCAAAGTCCATCTGCGATTTAAATGACTTCCCTTGTAAGAAGTTTGTATTTTTATTGGGTTCAAATCGAAATCCAGGCTAGAAGTTCAACAACACATGTTGTTTGTTTTTCGAGGTTTTTTTGGGCCGCTGAGTCTTCGATCTTGCCTCGTTCTTCTTCCCCCCTCCCCCTTTTTTTCTTACTCTGCGGTCGAACGCTGCTTTAAAACTATTTTTATCGTCATCGTTGCAGTCTAAATGCCGATTTTTAGAAAAGATTTTACTCAAAAAGCGTTATTAGTCCAATTTAAAGGTTTTTTTGGAATTTATGAGAAAAACTGGAAAGCAGGCCAGGGGATCTTTGAAAGAGATTGCAAGAACAATAAGAATTATAAGACAGGAGAAGGGTTGTTTTCTTTGTTATTTTTTTCCGTGGTAATGTAATATAATAAATGTGGTGAAATAAAGATTTTATAATAGATATCTGATTTAGCAAAAGACGTGCCAGCTGTGTCAGAACTCTTTTCGGAACCTGGGGGCCAGAGTTCTTGAACGCTGTTTATCTGCCAGTCCAAGAAACAGTTCGTCCTGAGACAAGTCCGATTGCCGTGCACCACGGTGTACGAAGAGTTCAGGTTTTTTAAATTAAACATTTTTATATTTTTCTGGTGGCATTTTCAATAATTTTTTAATTAAAATTAAAAAAATAGTCTCAAATTTCTTACAGTTGCAAATTTTAGAAGAAACTTGAAGTTAAGCCGGCCCAATTAACGTTGAAGGGCGTTTTCGACGGCCCAACATTCACTGTCAGGAATAATACTGAGGCAACATTGACAGTTTGGTGCAACGTAACACAACCATAGAAGGGTCTCCGTCAGCAACAACGAAACCTCAACCATCGGAGCGGGAAGCCTGTTTTATACTTGCCATATGGGCAAATTGAACGATAAGATCGAGGCGGAACTGTTGAGCGATGTTCTCATGAGTTTGAAAAAATAAACTACACATTAAAGAGCAAGATGGGCAAAATACAAGATAAAGGAGCGCATAAAATTTGCATCTACGTGGATCCAGAAGGTAAAGTTGAGAAAAAATTTAAACAAAAAGCCATTCCTAAAATAGTTTTCTCCGCTTGTAAAAATAAAGAAATCGTTCTTTTTGAACTTTTTAATAAATATATCAAAAATTACTGAATTTTAAACACGATTTTGTTTATTTCAGAAGGGAGACCTCAGCTCATTCGCACATCTCATCGACTAATCTCTTCAATGACTACTATAATACTAATACAATCGCTCTTTCAAGTCAAGAAATTAATTTGCGATTTTTACTTTGAAAATAAATTATCAACAGAAATCGTGGTCTATGATATTATTCAACCATATATTTACAGTTTTTACATTTTCAGCTGTTAATATTTAACATGAATTCCACTTTATAGGTGATAAGAAAAAACTGATAGTTGTAAATTTATAGTCCAGAACTGTCCGCATGTTTGAGATGAGTGCAATGTTCTAGCACCAGGCGGTGCATCATTTCTGGTACCACGTCGGGCATGTTTTGGAAGTCTTGATCTCGATTCTCGGGAATCAAAACTCCTAAGAGCGAGAACATGTCCTCGTATTGGTTGTCGCATTCCTAAATGTAATCGTTAATATATTTTGGCAAATATCTTTTTAGTGACCAAAACAAACTTTTGATAAAAAATGGATAAGCAAAAAATTAGTTTTGTTACTTATTTAGGCTATAATGTCTTCAACTTACCCTAATAGCATACAACAAAGTGGACATCCGCATCATTCTGACTGACACAACATGTGGTGGGTAACGATCACTCAAGTACACACTCAGCTCGGCACAGAGTTTGTCTCGAAGACGCATGGCAAGAACATGTTGAATCTCGACGTTTTCCACTAAAAATCAAATAAAAATAATGATAATGACAAACTTACTTCGCTCGTATACCATCATACACGCCAACACCGAGAACTCGATGGCACAGGGCATGAAGTCGCGGAATCTGTCCATAACACGTTGCATTCGGTTGTAGAAGGGTATCACAAGGGTTTTACTCTTGTTGTAGTGCTTCAGGTAGGCGTCTGGTCCTAGAACTGGTAACAAGTCAGACATGTACTTGTCGTAGGCGTCGAGATCGTTGTGTACTCCTGTCCACATTCCCATTCGGGAGCCACCTTTCTCGGGGTATCTTCGGCACGTTAGGTACATTTTGAATAGTAGTGATATGTCTTGCATTGTAGGCTTCATAATTTTAACCTGGAACATAGTAAATTAGCTAAACAAAACTCTAGATGTTGTGGTCTTGTTTATAACCATAATTACTACTATACTAGACTATTTTCTTACCTTTTCCTCAATTGTCAGCCCTTCACAGCCTTCCAAAAACTCTACGATGGCTATGCACGCTAGTTGCACCATTTTCCTTTCCATTACGGGAAACTGTAGCGAGTAGATCTGTAAGGTAGGTACAAGTGGAGGTTCTGGTTCTAATTCTACGTCAACATTCAAAACTTCGACGGCAATGTTTCGTTGCCGCTCTCGGAATCTCCTGAACACTTCGACGATGCGCTTCAGATGTGTTAAGTGAGGGTACTTGTCCATTTCGTGGAAGCCACTGGCTACATCGTACTGATACTGAGAATACGGCCTGAAGCCTGCTTGAGGAGAGATGTAGGAGGGGTATTCGTTCATGGTGATAGCAATGTCACGAGCCAGTTGTGACGAAGCCATTGAGTACGAGGTTTGAGAGGTTGAAGGTGAGGATGAGGAGGTTGCTGTGATGGTGGTTTCCATTACATCCATCTGAAAGTACAAATTGTTATTAAGAAATGTAATTTATGTGCTATTTGTTCTCTTTTACCTATCTACAAAGCAGAAACTACAGTATTTAAAACTTACTTTAGCGCCAGGCGATTCTTCTGAGGACGATGGCCATGAGTCCATGTCTTCTTTCTTGATTATGTTCTGTTGTTTGCCTGCACAACATGCACTAGATACGCAAGAGCAGGATTTAGTCTCGTCCGGCTCCAGAATATCGTTCTCCGGGAGGCCATCTTGTTGTACTACTAATGACTTTCCGATCATACGAAGGCCTAGATCTCGACACGCTTTTAGGCGACATGCACGGCAGGTACGACGGTCGTTTGCTGCTCCTGTCATATATTAATGGTAAATTCACGTTGAATGTTTATAAAGTGACATTGAGGTAGGATAAACCTTGGCTATTCTTTGATTAGTTAAAAAAATAATTATTTTTATAATAACCTATATGGCAATCTACTTTTTAGCCAGTAACGTGTATGTCATTGACATAATGATTCTTGATACAATTTCAACAAAATCTTTTAACCCTACTGTAAAAACTACAGACAGTTATCGAGAATATTTTAAATGTAATGTAGTTACATAGGATTACACTCATATTGTAATAGGATCTTACCAGCCAACAAATTGCAATGTCCGTTCATTCGGCACGACAATTTTCCCCAAAACCGAAAGTTGCGACGGTAAAACATGGTACAAGCACCACACACGTAGAGCTTGTAACATATGCTCTTGGTCTCTGTGCCACATATCTTACAGGGCTCTTTCATGGTAGCCTGAAAAGGACTATCAATGTAAATGATACAATATTAATTAGTTACTCGCCGAACGTGATAACATGCACGATTATCCACTGTAGATTCATGTTATAAAGTGTGTTACATCAATTATGTAAAGTAATAGGTGTTATGTATGGAGGTAAATAAACAAGTAGAATATAATATGTATGTATAGACATAAGTGCCACATGTTATGCCATGTTGCTATAGGTTATCGGGCCCATTAAAGCGGCCAATTAAAGTTTTAGCATTGACAGTTTACAATAGAACTAAGCACGGCACGCCAGTTACCAGAATTAAGCCGAGTATGATACGATAAGCGAAAACAAGGTAATTTCAAAGAACATACCATGGCTACAAATAGGGGAAAACAGATACAAAGATGGGTAAATCATCGTTGACAAAACAAAATGGGTACATTATTGGGTTGAATATAGGCAAGTTATTGTAAATAAAATAGGTAAATGATGGGCCACAACACTACAAAATGGCTATATGGTTGGGTATGATACCACAAGAAATGATTGTGTTGTTTACAATGTAATATGTCAATTACAGTTTGTAGATAGTGTTGTATTGTGACAAAAAGCGTAGATTAGCAGATTTAATTAAGCAAAAACAAGTGTTATCAATGTCTGTAACAATGATAAGAAGAGGGTTAATTACAATAGGATCAGCTTGTGTTACCTAAAATCCCTTCTCCCCCATTTCTCTCATTAATCAGGTAAAATATCATAATAAGACCCGTTGCCTTGGCGCTCCGCGAGTCCTGGTTACACCGGAAGTAAAAGTAAAGATGTGGGTGTAATTAACAGTAGTAAAAGTTACTATTAAATACAAAACAGTAATGTTAATAATTAACCACAGTACTGTTTAGTACTGTTCAAACAGGTTTCTTATACCTATAATTTTAAAAATTATTCAAAAATAGTTGGAATTTCAAAATAATTTAAATATCCTTTTAAACAATGATAATAACAGTAAATAGGTACAATTAAGCACGATAACCTATGTTTGAAGGATTCAAACATTATGTCAAGTACTTTGATCTTAATTGTCATGTACAATTTTACTATAACAAAGTAAATTCGTATGTTGTAAGAGTCCTTGACAGAGTTCTTCACAACGTAACTACCCGAAATAACCTTAAATTACACTGTTGTAGCTTTCAAAGATATATGTCTAACGTACAACACGTTATAAAATAATTAAAGTAATCAAAAAAAGTTAAAAATAATTAAAATAATATTTTAAAAAAGTTAAAAATAATTTCCCTAAGGAAAAGTAAAGAACTTTGAACGTTAAGACGACTAATATCCAATTCAAAGATTATCTCCGGCCAAAAATGTCTGAAAATAATTTCCTTTTAAGTTACACCACCGTCTTTACAGTTATTATGACATTATTTACAACTGTCTAATCTCAAAACAATAAATTTAATTAAAGCAATTCAGTTAGTAGCCGTTAAACCAAATAAAAGTAAACGTAAGCGCCAAACACTTGGGAAAAATAAAAAGTGCATTAGAGAACCAAAGATCTGGGCTCTCCCCTCGAGTTTCTTCCGTCTCCAACATACGTATCTCTTCTTCGTATGTTGTCTTCGTATCCGACAACATAGAAGAGTACAAGAACCCCTGTAACATCTTATGTCGCGGAAAGTAAAAGATGTACGCAGGTGAAGGAAAGCGCTGTAAAAGAGTGGTATGTTGTGTGGACATAGAGTGGAGAGACAGCCGCAGGGCAAGAGAGAGACGGCGGGAGAGCGCGGCACTCTTTTAAAGGAAGCCAGATAACAGTGGAGAGTGCTTCCGTGGGTAATATTCGACAAATTAAGGCTACAAATTAAGAGTTAAAAGGTTGTTACCCTCGGCGGAAGTAAATTCTCGAGATGTATGAGGAGAAATACGAAGATAACATCAGTAGAAAGCACTGTTATCTGGTAGTGTGAAAACTAAATGGATTGTAAACGTTTTCCCGGTGTAAAAAGGTCGTTAAAAGTTATTTAGAGTTGTTTTAACAGTTTTTGCAATATAACGTCAACTTTTCACATTGAAAGGTATTTAAATTGTAAAAAGACTAGTTTTAAACTTAGTCGGTTCAAACCACAAAAGTGTTTAAAAGTTTGGAATATTTAAGACTCGAGAACAATAGATACTACAAAAAGTGTTTGAGTATATAGGAACACTTACTGACGTGTTCCATAATAAATAATCAAACTTTTTAGAGATTTGCGTATTTAAAACTACATAGAAATTGCGTGACACATACACTTTTAATTATTATAGTAATTAACAACATAGTAAGAATGTAAAATACGAAAACTTCTCTAGAAAAGAGCTTAATACAATCTGAAAGTTATACTGTACTTTTTGCCTGAAAAAGTTGATTCTAACGTTATAAAAGTTGAATTTTAACATTCTCTACTACAATATCAAGACTACTATTTACAATATATCTTATCAAGAGGTAACCCTTCCGAACATTTTGCAATACGTCAAATACTGTAGCAGAAATACGGCAACGACCAAGATACCAAAAACAAAGTAAAGCAACATTGCGATTACTCAAATAACCATTTACTTACTCGTCGTTACTCTTCACAACGACAGAACACGTTAATCCCACTGTGTGATTAACTTATGACAAAGCTAATTACGCAAGCTATTTACGTCCGTTATCAACAAACACTACAATACTACATTGTAACATTGAGGAACAATTTGTGCGGTTACTGTAGACGACAATAATTGTGACGACAATGAGTGAATGTAATCAATTACATTACAGCAAATATACGTGATTTTTTACTAAAAGGTAATTAAAGTGAGATAGTGGTATATGATGGTGTTTTACACACGTAGTACTACATTGACTCATCAAACTATTAGTAATGAAAGATTTTGAAATTATGTTGAAAATGGTAAGTTACTGTAGTAAAATGATGTACGAGAAGACTTACAACGTATGTGCGTTGTTTATACGACATAACATATATCAAAGTAGTTGACTCACAAAAAGATTAAACATTATATAGACCTATTTTTACTACAGTAAGAAGAAAAACCATACTGTAAAACTTTGAAATAAGTTATGCTATTTTACATTACTGCGACGACCTCATTTACATGTTATCAAAACACATTAAGAACCGCGATATAAACGGAAGTACGACGAAGTAAACAGTTGCAATCAAAGTATATGTCCGCTATACGTTTCTGTTGAAATTGTGTTGTTATGGCTCACGTGGCCTGATAGGAAAGTGTTTTGAACATCACTTTTCGGAAAGAAAGCTGTGGTAAGGTACGTTGTAAACTGATGATTTAATATAACAAAACGATGTTTGACATCTAATGTAAGGTCACTATTACATTACTTTCGTTGCATTAAGGTAACATAAAGTAGATTTACAGCAATGTAATCTTATAAGGAAGCTGTTTCTCTTACCATGAATAAGAAAAGGAAATACGTGAATAACATAAACTGTGTTAGGAAAGTGTAATTAAGACAAAATACCTGTAATCACTTACCTGACATAGTAAACAAAAGTATACACAAGTAAAGTACGATAAGACACCCCTATCATTATAAAACGTGTCCCCACCAACCCATCCTGAAAGCGAACTGCCGCCCTAAAGGCCTGTAGCAATGCTCTTGTAACAGTGCACTAGCGATGTGTATGGTCACACCCCTTTTTTGTCAAAATAACACAACATCAAGGCTTATAATTTTGAGAAAGAGTGGTGCACTTTTGTAAATAAAAGGGCATTTGGTGCGAGCAAAAAAAATTCTATTTTCGACGGATTCCATGAATAAACTGGGGTTGGACTTTGCCCAAACGAGTATCAAAACATGACAACAACACGGTATTGTTACAGGAACTTATATTGTAATCCCCGAGGGCAGAAAACAATAATACTCGTGCCATGTTTAACATCATAGTTGTTAGTGCAGCTAAAGTTCTGGTAGAAACAGATTAAGTGAAGGTAGGTAAAATGTATTGTAAAGTGACGTATTATGGTTTAGAATGATAATATATGTAATATGATTTTTTAAATAAAATTATCTTTTAGAGATGATTAGTGAAATATACAAATGAAACATATAGAAACGACCAATGTTACACAAGGATCTTAAGGAGATTAAAAGATTGCCATTAGAAGTACGTACGGATTCTGTGAGCAAAGAACCGAACATTTCGATATTAACATTACAAACGATCTCTGCTAACGTACAAACGAAGCCACGGAGATTACAGCTTATAGTATCTCCTACAATAATTACATTATAGTTCAACTCTACAATTACACACAAGATAACTAAAATTAACAACTACATATCAAATTGTAACAAGTAATCAAGTGTAAAGTAAATGTAACATTGCAATGTTGTGAAACGTAAAAAAAAAGCTAAACCTCAGTCCAACAACATTGACGTACAATACGATCCATGGACGTCATGTGTTATACTCGAAAGCCTATAGTAGAAAAAGAACATTGCAAAGTAAACTCTAATATAAGCAGGCGGCTTTAAAGACTTTAGCCTAGTACAACATAAGGTCAAGTTGGGTGCATTAAAAATCAAAATTTCGTTAGAACTGGATGGTAAACAAAGGAACGGCAAACAACAAATGGTACTCGATTATCTTGCTTTATCAAACGATTGATGATATTGCGTGATAAACAAAGACCAAAACGTGTTCGCCCAATGTACGAAGATGAAAATATGATGTTGTTAATAGCAATTGAAAGGTCACAGAGAGGAAGATGAGAGTTGAAAGATGAAATTCAGAATATTATGCCCTGAGAACGTGTTGTAATAGGCAACATAGACCCGTTTTATTATTCAAAAAACAATTTAAACTACCACTTCCTGCTTTTCCCTTTAAAAAGCTGTAGTCACTTTTCGAAAGTCCTTTTTAGAAAAACAAAAAATGGCTGCAGAGAAGGAGCAGGCCAATGTGCAATATAAACCCAAGATTAGAGTGCACTTTGGGCCAAGGCACCAAACGCCATCTTTTTCGTTCCACCGTTGAACCTCTGTGAGACGATAAACAGCCTCCTGAGGCTCGTAGATTAATAGACAAAACCCACACCAAACGCACACCTTTCTTCCAGTTCATTTCGACTGCTCTTTTCGCTTCGAAACGTTTGGAAACTCTCGCACAAACACTCATGTACGTTTCTGTTCGGTTTTTGCAGTTTTTTGTGAGGGATTCTGTTGCAGACACGACGAGAAAGAGTATAATAGAGTAAAGTATGTAATAGTAAATGAATTATTGAAGGACTTACAAACTGTAATATATTAACCATCATCCATTCAGAAGACCGTTACAAAAGAAGGTAAGTACAAATCGAAGAAAGTAAGGAAAAAAGAAGAGTTAAGAACTTGGAAAACAACTTTACTGAACACTCAGAAACCACTGTCAACGTACGAGTACACGTGGTGACCTTGTGTTACCATCCATATGATCACCCTTAACCCGTACTTATCAGTCAACATGGTCTTTTTACTATATAAATAAAAAAGTACAGCTAAACAACCTAGCAAACAGATATCTAAAAGTAACACTAAAGAAAAAAAGGATAAGTAATAATTAAAAAAGAATATATTAACTACCCTGAAATCATCGAATAAAACAATCAATATCACAATCAAATTAAAATTCAGTTACCCACGTTCGAGTAGGTAAAGGACAAGTACATTAGTGAGTTAATTCCCGAATTTGAAATAGAACATGGTAAACAAGAGTACGTACATAACCACGTTTAATGTTGTTGCTTTGACAACAACGGAAGAAACCAAACATCACCCAGCGATAGTCTCATATATAGAGGGAGCATTTAATTATATGCGAATCGTAAACTGAATCAAAGGAAATTGCAATTAAATCAGCTACAAACACTCAAGGGTTTATATAGCTACAATACTTCGAAACATAGTGCTGTACTACAAAACGGAGACCGTGTTGACGTACTACAATATGGCATTTGATGAGTTTATGAACCTACAAGTATATAATTCTTCTATAACAAGCTATAAGTCCAAAACTCCCACAATTACTACAATATCGAGCCATCATGTTAGTTATGCCACCACTGGTAACTACATTATGGCAGTTACGGGGACTCGAAAGACAAACCACATAATACTCGGAAAGCCCTGCCCAAAACAAAAACTTTGTAACAAAACAATTTAAAAGTCCTTCTGTTTGTACTAACAACAATTCGACCGACTTTTGCACCGAGAGATCTCTGATTATGCGACAATTCGGAGAGATCTTCCACATCTGATTAAACAAATGCAATGCCACGTGAATAAACTTGGGTCAGAATCGACTATTTGATACTAAAACGTTTTTGATATTTAAAATTTTTGAAATTTAAATTGTTTATAAAATTTAAAATGATTTTTAAAATTTCAAAAATTTGTTGAAATAAGCAGAGAATCAGAATATTGTTTTAAAATGTTTGCGAAACTAAATCCAAAAAGTATGTTAGTCATCCTTAATTGCAATAAAGAGCTTCCAGGTCAAAATGTTAGAAATAAAAAGAAAGATAACCATTTACATCTTTTTAAAGTAGAAAAATCAACTTAAAAAATTTTTTTTTGGAATTTTAGGCTACATTTGTTTACATGAACTAGTACAAATTCTAAAATTTTTGAAAAGTAACACATCAGTTTAAATTTAGTTTATTTAATATATATATTCCTTGTTGTATCTTCCAATGCAAAAAAACCTGCCAGGCTCTTTTCAAAATGGGACAAAGTTGTACAATGAAAAGTGTTCAGCTACTTTTGGGTCAACCTAACATGTTTAACATACATAAGAAAATATAAAAAAAGTGTAAGATAGATATAAATCACTAAACGTTTTATTGGATAGAATTAAAAAAACGTTCTTTATCTAATCAAAAATTGGGCAAAAAACTACTTAAATATAGACGTTCAAGTTGCGCCAATTTCCTATACGAAACATATTTAAAGTCTTTAATTACTCGTTAATTTAAAACTTCAAAATTACTTCTAAAAATCCAAAAGTACTGCAATCTGTTCAATGAATTCATTTTTACTATCTGATACTATCGAACTACTCCATCTAATCAGAAGTTGTAAAATAAACAACCAAAAACTAAAAACCGTCTCATTACTTTTGTTCTCGATTGTGATAAAATATCTCATAAGCCAATCATTTTGTGACATTCTTAAAAAGACTATCATCGTGTGCTTTTTACTCTTGATAAGTTGATACAACCTTGGTGGTCTTTTAATTAATTACTTGGTTTTGAACTTGTAGTTCACTTTTAAAAGTTACAATTATTGTACCTACTATAAGATGTTACTCTTGTATTAGGCAGCTACTATAGTAGCCTTCAGCTACTATAATACTTACTTGAAAAACAAAATTAACTATTGTCTGCACTTGTACAACATCCGAAACTATATTTTATAGTCAACACGTTGTGACAACGCCCACTTAATCCATATCAATATGACATGTCAATCAAAGTAAAACTCTGTAGAAACATAGTGATCCGCCCGATTACTCTGTAAAGTCAATTAATCACCGTGCATAACCGGTAACATATTAATCATACATTCGTCAGTTCAAAGATCATCGCCACGAGGAAAGCACGTGAATCAGAGTGTTTTGAAGTTGTCTATCGCTGCACTCTTTGAAAACATGTTACCCAAAGGTCAAACTGGGCACTAATCGTTTGTTTTTGAAAAAATATGTTGGGAGGAAGAACGTTATTAATACACTGTTGATAGAGGACATAGAGATCTGGTTAAAGATACACTTCTCTATGATACTTGTTGTGATATGATACTTAACAACATGACAATAATACTCCTTTTTAACTAAAAATTGTTACAGTAATACGTAGTAGAAGGAAGTAGCCTATTCTTTGCAAAACTGGGTCGCATCAAGCGAATATTGTGATACCAAAGTGTACGGTATCTTTATCGCCGCTGCTTCCGCATTTCTGCAGAGTTGAGCAACTTAAGTGCATTGATCAAAACAAGGATGTTTACAGTAAGCAGATTGCAACGTGTTTACTGACATATCAAAAACCAGTTGTTTTAAAGTTTACAAGATAATGTTTTACTATGTTGTTGCTCATTGATTATATTAAAAAACAGTAGCACACTTCAAAACGTGATTACATAGTAAAAAAACAAAATAACTGTAAAAACACGTTACTACAGTGAAAAACAATCAAATTATAAAGTGTAGATGGTTATAATTGATTACATTACTAATATTATGTTAAAAACGTAACTACACTTTGTTGAAAATTTATTTCAATACCTAGTTTTATTACATTAACACATTACACTTGCAGAGTAGGTCTATATATAAACAAAACTCTCTTTAAGTCACCAGAAGTCGTATAGTAATAAAACAAAACAACATTACGTACATAATACGTACAACAAAATGTAAAAGATATGATCATCGGTGCATTTACCATGACAATGGCCACAACATAACCATAAGACATGTCCAAACAAACATATTGTAACTGTAAAGAAATGAAAGAGCAATGTCATCTTTGGTACATTAGGGTTGAGTTTGACAAGATACGATAAAAGTACAATAAACAATGAAAGCAAAATTTACTACAGTAATAGAAAGTAAACTACGCTACGATAATACACATAGGTAAAGTAAAGTACAGTAATTCATAGTATAGTAAACACATTACAACAACGACCAACATACGAAAGAGAATATAGTAAAAAGCACTTCGAAATGTTTTATACAATACAGAGGTAGAAACCATACAAACACAAAACTGAGGTATAGGTAAAAAACCGTAGTAAATCACAAAAGGGTCATCTTCACAATGTCAAAACAACAGGGTAAACGACACGTACGACGACAACAAATGTATTTAGCAAATCGTATATTCAAATATATTTACTCTTTTCAGACGTAAATATCACTGAAAGTAAAAGAATACATTGAAGCATAACTATGAGTGAATAGTAATTAATATATTTTCTAACTAAAATAATATAGAAACTACTGTTGTAAAAGAAAAGTTACGCGATAAGTAACAAATGTATTCGTTATCTTAAGTATTGAATTTAAAACTTTGTAGTACTGAGAACTTACCCTCAGTACTACAACATCTCAAACTATAAACTGATAAGTACTGTAAAGCAGCTTTCTCAACTTATGGTAGTGTAAAAGTTACTGTGAGTTATTACATGAGTTTGCAGTGAAAGCAGAGGTTATGTTGAGCATGGCCTGGATGTTCTTCATGTGTTCGGCGGAGACAGCCGGACGCGTTAACGATGGGTGACAGTCGGCTTTGTCAGCCACAAACACCCCCAACAACGAGAACATGTCATCGTACTTCTCGGCTATCAGCTAAACGTGTGCTTGTTATATTATCGTAACTTTAATATGAAAAAAAAATAGTTTCCAATAATCTTGGCCTATTCCGCACAAAATTTACCTTGATTTCGTACAACGTCGCAGTAAGTCTCATGATTCGCGTCCCCAACTCTTGAACACTGTATCGTTCTCCAAGGTAGACACTCAGTTCGGCAAATAAATTATTTCTCAAGTTTCTGCTTTGCTCTGCTCCAATTTGTAGGTGTTCCACTAAAATTTCATTATTAAATGTCAAACAAACTTTAAAAGTTTTAGTATATATTGTTTAGCCCCATCTACCCTCCATTATCACCCAAGTACTACACTTCTCAGCTTAGCATAGACACTCTCCGATAATTTTAAAGAAGTCGACTTTTATACACAGCCCAAAACCAAGTAATATAATATTATTACGCATCTTGAATTGAAATTAAAGCCTACTCTTTTCTAACACACAAGTACAAAAAAGAACGGCACATTCGATTGGGTCTGGCATTAAAAGCCTAAAACTTTCGGCAGAGTGGTATATCGACTCAAAGAAGGGTTCTACAATCACTCGACATCTGTTATATTGTTCTATCAGTTGGGATGGAGTCATTTCCTAAAATTTCAATAATTTGTAAAGTTTTGTAAGTTGGTTATTGTGTTTGACCTTCACTCATACTCAAAGCTTTAAAAACTTCATTTTTAAATTTATAAATTTTTGATTTGCTTGATTGCTCTTACAGTCTCGAGATCACTCAAAAAGTAGGCATACTGCTTCATATCCAAATGGTACCCATCGATGATGGAGATCCGAGTGTCTCCAGAAGTCGGAAAGAGTCGGGCTGTAGCTACGAACTTGTGCATGAAGATCATCACTGATTGGATCGTCTTTATTACCGAGAACTGAAAGGGTACGGTAAGTTACGTGCATATTACAGTGATATACGGGAAAGTAAACCCTTTTACGCGGAAATAAAATTTGAAAAAGATCCAATCAATCTTCGATTAATTGTCTGGAAACATTCAGATACTGTAGTATTTCGGAAATTGCTTTCCTAAATATAATACAGTGGCTACTACTACAGTAGAATCCAATACAAAATATTATATAGGCAAAAAATTACAGTACAAAAATAAAATTTTCAAAAAACATCATTACAGTAAACTTACAGTAACCTTACCTTTTCAGTAGAACTAAGCCCATGAAAGTCTTCCAACAACTCGATGGCGTAATAACAAGCAAAAGTCATGACATTACTCTCGATAGTCTTATATGACATCGACCTAACATGAACGCTGCTTCCGGAGGTATTATTTAGTTGTTGTAATGATGCATATTGTTTATGTCGTTCCTCAAACCTTGTGTACAGTCGTATTGCTTTCAGTATAATACTGTCGGGGTTGTTTAGCGTGTAAACGGAAAGCTAAAAATTATTTAATATTTCAAAAATTTCAAAAAAAAACTTTGATCAGAAGATCATAATAAAAAATGTGGTTTTTTTGACAAAATGTACCAACACTACTTGTGTGATTATCTTAAGCATACCCTTCAACATAAAAAAAAATATTTCTTACCATATTGTTGACATTGCAATTCCGTATCCCCTCCTTATTCTCCTCAAACTCTGTGTTGTTCATAGCCAATACCAGTTGAACCCTCACGTTATTCAGGTTATTCAATTCGTTTAACTGATCATGGCTTATCATTTGAGGAGCAGTTGAAGTCGAAGGAGTAGAACACATCATAGGATCAGGGATTCTGGAAACCGTTGCTGATACTGGAGAAGACGAGCTGGCAGATACAATACAACTTTCAGGTAGAGAGCCTACATCTTCATCAGGCATGTCATCCTCGGGAATTCCATTTTGTTGCACCACCAAGGACTTTCCGACCATTCTAAGGCCTAGAGCACGACATTCTCGTAGACGACAGGCTCGGCAGATGCGGCGATCGGCTGGAAAAAACGTTTTTATATTATTTTAGTTATGAATTTTTAATTATTTTAACAATTTTTAGGAATTGTGAATTAATTTTGATAATTTTTTTTAATTCTCAAAACTTGTTGACCTCAAGTTCTGCCGTTTAATAAAACTCTTAAGCCGTTTAAGTTGGTAATCCAGCTTTACTATTAAATTTGTGACTTTGTAGATAACATGCTTTAAAATACAATTATTTCCCTCACATAACTTCCTTGTTATTGTCGTATGTTGATTATTTAAAACAGATATGATTTCTGGTCTTTTTGCGTTGCGACAAGATATCGCTTTGTCGATCGACCTTAATATTATTTTTGGCACGCAATTCAAAATACCCGTTCAAAGATCGCCACATGGTTAACATAACCCGCATCAACTTGCACTTTTATGCGTATCTTTCAAGTGCTTAAATTAAGCCTTGGCTCTAATTACACGATTGTATATATAGATTATGTCCCTAGGGCTTTTTTATACTTTTTTTAAAAAAATCAAAAAACTGTGAGCTTTTGAGCTGCGCCCTACATTTCGCAGCCTGCGAGCTTCAAAAACACAGAATTTTTAATCTTGGCCATTAAACTTGTTTTGAAAACTAAAATTAAGCTAGTAAATGGCACTCACATGTTTTGAGGTCACACGAGTTCATCAGTCGACACTTCAAATCCTTTTGCAGTCGATAATTCCGTCGATAAAACATTGTACATGCAGCACAGATGTACAACTTGTAGCAGACTGACTTTGTCTCTGTTCCACATATCTGACATGGCTTTTTCATTCTAAAACAACATTTTTATAACATTATAGTACATTTAGTACATTACAGTACGTTTAATTTAATATACACGTTATAAAACGATGACATACGGTAGGTTACGGTCACACGAGTAATAAAATACTGTAAAATTTCAATTTATTACCTAAAAGATCATTTTTTAAAGGAAAAAATTTGTTGAAAATCTAGCAAAAGCCCATAAGATCTCAATTGTTACATGTACTTTGAATACCAGACTCTTGATGTTATCATCTCGTAAACCTCGCTTTCCATAGCAACCAACATAACGAATTAACAAGTACGTATATTAACATTAAGCAAAGTACGTGAGTAAAAAGCAATTTGAAATTATTTAAATTGTTCTGTCAATTAAATAAAGCACTAAATTAAAACAACTGTCATTATAGTAAAAAGTAAAATCGAAAGGTCGTACATATTACTATAGACTATCAAAGTAAGGCTATCATCCTTCAGAGTAAAAAACAACAGTAAAATGAATATAAAATTTTAAACAGAACATAATTACATATTTTACTTGATTAACTCTACTTGTTAACATCCAGACTTGAATATATTAGGTGATTGCAAAAGTTTCTGGCCGATTTTTGTTTTTACCAAAATTTAATATTAAAAAAAACAACAATAACTAATTAACAAATATATGTACCATTATTATCAACAACCTGTTTCCATCCCTTCAGCAGCATTTGGATTCAACTTCTGTAGAAACCTGGAGTTTGAGTTGAAAAAGTTAGCCCACCATCTCTTGAGGTACTCTCGATTGTCAAAGCGTGTTGCGTTAAGGTGATTTTGAAGAGAGTGGAACATATGATAATCTGTTAGTGCAACCTCAGGTGAGTATTGTGCATATGACATCACAGTCCAGCCGAGGCTTTTGAGCTTGTGTTGGGTCAACTTTGTCACAAGGGCGCAAGCAGTATCATGAATGAAGAAGACCCGATTCTGTTTACCATGCAATGCTGCCGCAATAGATTTAATTTGTCTACAGTAGACATCCACAGGGATCGTAGTTCCATGTGCTACCATTTCCCAGTACACAATACCTGTTGAGTTCCAGCTAAAGCTGATCATCTCTTCCAGTGGGTAAAGATCATGTTTGAGGTTGATAGACCCTGTTCTCCACGTTCAAGCCATTGTTTCTTACTGGTGTGATTAACATACAGTACCCACTCCTCATCCCCAGTAACCAAATTGCCAAGCCATTCAAAGTTCCTTAGGAGCATCAACAAACAAGTGCAAACTTCTACTCGACGTTCAGCTAGTCGCTGTTCAAATCATGTGGAACTTCTTGACCATAGTTCCGTAATCTCCCAAGGGCGTGAAGTCTAATTAATGTGGTAGAAGAGTCTCACTGAAGCTCTACAGTCAAATAAGTACAGGTTCGTCGGAGTTCTTATTCGATCAGCTTTAGAAGGTGGGGTTTCTTCAACGCTGATGGTCTACCAGATCGAACTTTTTGGACATGTCAAAGTCACCGTTTTTGAACTTGTGGAACCAAACTTTTGTGGTGTCGTAAGAGACAACTAAAGGCCCTACAGCACTGCATATTTTCTACGTCGCTCTTGTTGCGTTGCCGTGATTGCGGAATTTGAGAAACAACACTGGCCGAACATGATTGTGTTTCACCTTGATTTCCTGAACCATCGTAAACAACAGAAAGCTTGAACATGCAATATTTTTTAGTCCTTGGACACCTCTTTATACAGATTGCCAACAGAAAGTTCTAGAACAGTGCAAAATTTTTAAAAAAATTTTTGAAAAATCGGCTAGAAACTTTTGCAATCACCTAATAAATGTAAACATAAAATAATATCATTAAACAACTAGTATAATACTACTTGAAATACAGTATTTTAAGGTAATTTCAATAACAAAACCGATAAAGTTTGTCGCGAAGCCTTATACGTACAACTTGAAAGCAGAAATTACAATTAAGAAATAGATATTCTTATCTGCAGTCGGGTTTAAGGTTAAACAAATACTTTTCCTTCACAATTTTCATAAATTATTTACAGAATGTAAACAGACTTTTACATAGGATACCACGTTTCTATAGAAAAACGTCCTACACACAAAAATAAAATTTTTCTATTAGACCACTTACTAGAATATAACTTAAAATTTAAAAATATTACTAAAGATAGAGTGAATTTGAAACCAAAGTCAAGATATTGAGCTTTAAACTTGAACTCAAATGAAAGTCAATTATAGTAATATAGTGTAAAGCCGAATTACACCTTTTTCAGTTAAAAAGAGTACTTTAGTAAGTAGACTAATAGAAATTAAAAAATCTTTTTGAAGTAGCAAAATTCACAAAAACTGCCAATTTTTACAAAGTACTCTACCCAACGTGAAAATAAAAAGCTGCTTCCTTTTCCCTACCTCTTACACCATAAATTGTCAAATATACACGTATTACCTTAAATATTATGAAGACTATTCTACATTTGTCATTTTACTACTTTTACTATCTAAACCTAAAACTTTACCACCTATTACACACCTTTACATTTTACTATATGACACAAGATAAGTTTAAGAAATACAAAATTGAAATTGAATTTAAAACTAATTTAAAAATATTTTCAAATCTTAAAAACAGTAAAAATTGTCAAAAAACAAAGAGTATTGTGACGGACATATTCATAAGTTACAAGATCGCTAAACTACACGAAATGCACCATAAAAACGACTTTATTTGCTCAAAAGTGTAGGAGTTTAATCCATATAGCTTCGTTCATCCCTCAAAATATGCAAACACGACACAAGATATGCAACTAGTTGCAACGTATGTAGTAACAAAACTACTTTTAAAAAATATGTTGTATAGAGAACAGTTCAAAGAATTATCGTACTTGGAATGCAAAGAAAATTGTACAGTAAAACGTCAAATTTAAAAACGTAAGGTAATAGTACCAAGCACTGTATAATTATCGCGGTAAAAAGTTATATTAGACTAAAAATAAAACTTTACTTTATTAAAAAGTGGCACAAATTAACTGTAAAAAATAATAATAGCTTCACCTTCACCAGAGGTTAACAACAACATTCTTTAGGGTCATCCAATGACAAAGTGCAATATAACACGCAGACTGAAGGTCTATATACGTATTTCACAAAATAAACGTTTTTTTAATTCTGCAAAGAAATAAATTCAAAAATGTCAAACTTTTATTTAAATTTTTCACGGGTTATTAAGTTCACTTAAAAATGTATCATCACAAGTCTAAGAGATGATTTCTAAAAGCAGCCACCAAAAGAAGATACCTGATGTTTGATGCCTTAATTTTAGGTATCTCAACCTGTTGTTTCTAAAAACTTCGTACAAAAAAACATCGATAAACATGTTTATATTCTTGACTAAAGGTCACTTTAAACTGTATTGTGTACACTTTGTAATACCTACCATTTAAGTCCTATATTGTACCAAAATAAGTATAACATCTTAATAAAAAACCAAGTAAAGTTTAATCCAGGTAATGTAAATAAGAAGAAGTACATCTTCGACCAATCGACGGCCAATCACTATTCGTTAAAGAGACCGTGCGAGTCGTAACAGTTGGAAGGAGAAAGTTACAAAAGACAGAAAAACTGTTCGCGGTAGGAATAACATGTTCTTTTTGAGATGCGTACAAAAAGTAATCTGGTATTTGTGTTATACGCCCACAAAATCACTGCTAGTACTCCTTATGACTTTAACCTATTGATGATTTATGAATTTTGTATTTGGTACCTGGTTCTATCTAGCATCAAGCCCTGCTTATCGCTTTGAAATTATTGCAAACCTTATACTCTTAGCTTACCCTACCCCACATAACGTTTCACTGCAAAACAACATCATCACTTGAACTTTCTCATGCAACTTTTTCTAGGTTGCTTGTCTAGTTATCCCTTCTATCGCCTGCAAACAGCGTCGTATCTTCTTGCTCATCAAAGATCGCTTATTGTCTTCATCGTACCACACAACCAACCACAAACTGCAAAAAGAAACAACAGTCACACTCCTTTACACAATGTTACCGTAGCCCCGATCGGAATGTTTATCACGTCTGTGATAGTATTCTAGAAGCAACTTGATGATTTATGAAAAATGAAGCAACTGACCATCGGGCAGAACCGGCACGACTTCCACGAAAAACATGTTAGCAGAGATCAATCGCCATCGTCGAGTTTTCTTTATAAGTTGTTTCATCTCAAATCCCTGATCTAATCAGCACAGCGCGAGGCAAAGGTCACTTCACCGTCATTTCGAACACTTATGATCTCTGTAATACCAAATTGTGAAATTCAAAAATATGAAATCTACAGAAATAGTTTACAAAGGGTGTCAGTCTCATAATATTATAAAATATTTACGAGTTAGTAGGCTTACTAAGGTTCAGAAACACGTAGAAATAAACAAAGTCACTTGATGTCCAAAATTAATTTTTTTGAAACGGACATATATAATTTAACTGTAAAGTAACGCAATAAACTCGGCATGGTAAGCAAGCAGTAATACTAAAACATTAGTAAAACCTTATCAAACTATTTTTTAAAAGGAAGACTTGTTAATATTAAAAACTTTTACATCGCAAACATAAAAAAATAAATAAAAACCTATCTTTGTTTTACACCAGTAGGTATTTAGATATCAAAAACTAAATCTAGTGGTACTCTTAAATGTAAATTTATACAATAAAACCAAATGTATATTAGTATGAAATTAAACCAGCAATTGTGTACAAGCATTAAGCATGATAGTATAATAACAGTTCCGCGAAGTATATAAAATTTTATATTATTTTAAAAACTACTAAGAATTGAAAGAAAATATAAAATAACTATAATAGAAATTTATATTACTGTAGCGAGCTTGCCAAAGAAAGAGAATTAAAAGATCGAGGTATCTCTGATATTATTATACATAAAAGTAAATTGAAAATATATTTTTTAAATATGTACAACAAGATTAATAAATTCCACAATATAAAATTATAATTATTTTTTATTTTACATTTTTATTTTGGTTTTTACGTTTCGAACAGTTTGAAACACTTGTCTCGATCCGTCTCAACCTTGAAACGAAGTGTCACAAAGTTATCGGTAAATAATTTATTTCCAGCTTTTTATTTTCGCATTTTTTAATAAATTCAAGATCTTTGTACTCAAAACTGTAACTTGTATTTTGTTTTACTTCTCACTTTTAATATTTTAAATTATATCTTACTTTTTTTGAAATAGTATTGTTCATGATGTCTAGCATAAATTAGCCTCTATTTTTTGTTATTTACTTCTTTGTCATAAATAAGTGGAGGAAAGTGTGGACTCAAATTTTCCAAAAAAGGCTTCATTAGACCTTCAGGCGGTTCTTTTTTAACTTTCTCTTCGTTGTTACTTGGATTTGGGTATTTTAGATACATCTGCTTGTTGGAGTGCAAAAGTAAGGTTTTCTTGTTTTTGTTTTGCTTTTAGATAATCAACAAGTATACGAGGAATAACAAAGTGAGTTTTGAGGTGCTTTTTTAATCTCGTAATATTAGTTTTACAAGTTTGCAAGGAATTTTTACTAAAAATTACACGAAAATTAATTTAAAGTTTGGATAAAGTAAAATAGAAATAACTTTGAGTTACTCAACTTGCAACCAGAATTTACTTGTTATTGAAAGGAAAGTACATTTTTTACCTCATGGTTTATGTTGTTTTGCCGGGGCTGAACAATTTTTGTCCGTTTTCTGCTTTTTCTTAGAAAAAACATCAAATTTATTGTGATATTGATCCAATGGCAAGGATGAGTGGATAATTAAAAATTTTAAATCAACTATCTTTACCGTGCTGTAAAGTTTTTAAATTTAAAGCTTAAACAAGTTGAAGAATCTTTAAAAGTGGTAGTTCGTTTATTTTAACAAATATTATAAATGATATTTGTTTTTTTAAATTAATGTTCCACTCTTCATTGCTTTTTCCCGCATTTTTAGATAAAGAATTTGAAGCATGAATCACTAAATTGAATGAATAATTTTGCAGACTTTGTTTTCTCGTTTTGTGTTACCGCGTCAATATCGAGACATATTGTTAATTATACAAGGTCATCCTTAAAGTTAACAGACAACTTGCACTGTTCGTTTTTAATTTGAAAATTACTCCGCTCGGCAAAGTTGAGACTTTTTGCGATATCTTAGTATAATTAACTTAGTAATAGCTGGATTGAAAGGTTAATATTACTTTTCAGGCTGATGTAAGTTCGATGCCATTGGGTTTCTTTTCCTCGAATTCCTCGAAAGATGGGCCTAAACCCCAGCCTTTGACCAGTGAAAAAGAGAAAAAGTTCAAGGATGTAGCTACCTCAAATGCTGGAGTCGAGATCAAGGATTCTAAAGGAACGACTGTCAAATTGGGCAAGAAGTCGTATGTGGTTGAGAAGAAATTGGCAGAAGGAGGGTTTGCGATCGTTTATCTTGTTCAAGACAAACACAATCGGTGTTACGCTTTGAAACGACAGTTAATTCGCGATGATCAACGACAAGTTGAAGCCTGTAAAACTGAAGCTCAGATCGTGAAGAATCTGAACGGACACAAGAACATCGTGGGCTATGTGGATCATTCTTTGGGCGTGAACAAGGCTGGCATTTACGATTATATGTTGTTGACAGTTTATTATAAGTGTAAGTCTTCCTTTTTTTTACTTTTTTTTAATTTTAGATTTAAATGGATTCTGTGTGCCTCTTTACTGTTAAAGATAAAACTACTGTAATTTTATATTTTAGCTAGTGTTTTCAACTTGATAAAGTCAAGGATGGCTAATAACAAATGGCTTACGACTTCTGAGATCCTGGACATATTTTGTGATGTCTGTGAAGCCGTGGCTCGGCTACATCATTCTAAAACGCCAGTTATTCATAGGGACTTAAAAGTAAGTTTCTTTACGTTATTTATGTTTATATATTTATTTTATACATAAATGCTTTTTAAATTTGTTACCTCTTTTGATTTTTTTAGATAGAAAATGTGTTAATAGATGAAAGGACAGGAGGCGATAGGCCCATTTATATTTTGTGTGACTTTGGTAGTGCAACGACAAAAGTAATGTCGCGAGATACCTGCTCTCAGTATGATTTAGAAGAAGACATCAAGAAATATACGACACCATCGTATCGAGCTCCAGAAATGATCGATCTGTTTGCTGGGACTTTAATAGGTAAATATTGTATACATTTACATAATATACTTTTTGCACTCAAATATTTCAAAAACGTTGTGTTTATTGCATTTTATAATTTTAGATACGAAAAGTGATATCTGGGCATTGGGAGTGATGTTGTACAAGCTCTGCTACTTCAATGTTCCCTTTGGTGATTCGATATTGGCTATCCAGAACGGATCTTTTACTTTTCCTGAGCAACCTGACATTCCAGACGAACTCAAAGCTATAATCAGTAAGTTTTCTCTTTGTCATCTTAGATATTTTAGGTAACAGTTATCTTGTTTTTTTGATCCAGAATGTTATCCTTTCGAAAAACATTGGAAAAGGGGGGCATGTTTTTGCTATTTATGGACGACACAAAACTCATTAATAGAGTGTGATAAACACTGAACGAGAATTCTTTTTCTAATTGTTTACTGATGGTAATATTTATTTTCAGATTTGTTATTGACAGCCAGTGCGAAACATCGCCCTAACATCTACCAGGCGTCGTATCTAGCCTTTTCAGCAGCTAAACGGAAGTGTCCTGTGTACAATATTGAAGTAAGGGTTGCTTTACTTTTAATTTTACCTATGTTTTAAATTAAAAATATTTCCAATTTGGAGTTATGGAAGTGTCGAATTAAACGAACTTATTACTTATCATTGTGTTATGATTTCAGAAGTGCCCCAGAATCGAGTTGACAGAAGCGGTGGAGATTTATCGACTGCGTGACAAATTGGGCGCCAACTATGCTCGGCGATTGGAAAAGGCTTTGAACGATTTCGAAGAACAAAAGATCAAAGGAAAAGTGGCACCCAAACCCGAAGCTGTGGAACGACTGGTCGAGAAGGCGGCTTCATCTCCACCGTCGGATAAGATTCAAGAAAAGGACAGGTACGTGCCTTCCATACCTGTGTCCGCCGAGGGAATGATCGTCAACACTGAGCAAGACAAACAGAATACTCAAACCACGTCTGTGAATCCAAGACTACGACCAAAAGCTAGTACCACTGTTGGTAGCCAGTTCTTGCCTCCTGTTGGAACTGTAAGAATTTTTATTTTATTACCTAAGTTTTAAAGGAATTACGAAAATTCATATTGTAGTCTAAACTTCAGTCACGTTTGAAAATATACTGGAAATTTAATTATCATAAATTTAAACCTTGTCATTTCAGTCTCCTCGAATGGTAAAAACCCCTTCAAAGCCTCCAGAAGTCACTTACAGTATCCCGTCAACGTACCAAAACGATTACAGTAAGACAGAATCCTCAGATCTTAACACTTCGATCCCTATTGCTAATCATCAATATCAGTTTGCCGTTTCCATTAAAATGTTAACCTCCACGGTCTCTGCAAACCCATCAACTTCGACTGCGATTGATACGATGAAAGTGTCACAAATATCAACCGACAGTTCGAAGTCGGCTCCCGATTGTACTGATGCCAGTTATCAGAGAACGTTCTCGAACATCTGTGAACAACCGTTTACTCAAGCTGAATTGACAGCTCAACCGAGAGCACGGAACGCAGCTACACTGCCGGCTACAGCGTTGAGGACGAGTGCTTTCCAGTACGTTTTTACAATTTTTCCATTTAAATTTAATTTAAAATTTGTCTTTAAGTAACATACATTTTGCTGAAAATTATCATTTTCAGACCATATTCTATAACTCACCGTAACAAATCCGACTCCGAACAGCCTCCTGCCCCTAAATCGAACAGTTTTGACAGTGAATCTCTAGTTCCTCTCACAGAATCCCTCAATCCATTCGTAGCCGAGATAAAGGCTAATGTAATGGATGACAATGACTTTGGAGAACGATTCGACCAGATCAGACGAGTGAATCGACGAAACACGATGGATTCGTCGATGAATGGCTCTAGAATCTCGGATTCTTCGGATGTTAGACGAAACCTAGGACCTGATATGGAGTCGACCTTGTTATTGTACACTAAAACCATCAAGAATGACAGTCTACAGCTGGATTCTGTGACCGAGCAGGCGATTGAAGAGGATCCATTTGGAGCGGCGCCGATCCTGCCTACACAAATCATGACGGCGAAGCCAGTATAGCCACTGTAGTAATTTTACACTGCTAATGCTACGTTCATACCCAAATGTATTGTCAAAACCGCCAAAGGGCCTCATGTCTTACCCATCAAACTGGTCTTATTAGTTCTTCTCCTACGGTTTCTCTGCTTTAATTTATTCTAACCTGTAACTCTTTAACAAACCTTAACTAGCGTTGTCAGAATCAGTCATTTCACTTAGCCTACTTAACGTATTCTTTTCATGTGCAACGTATTCAGCTCACCATGTACATTTAGTCTAATTTAATTGCATAATATTTTAATTTTTCATTTGCTAATTATTATATTTTGATAATAAAATTGGATTTACTTGCGGACTTTTAGCTTTTTTATGTTTAAACATTGGATTTTTGGTCCAAAAGTAAGTAGAACTGCCTGGGGTGAAGGTTCTAAATACTTACTTTTATTGGCTAATATTTGTAAAAGATAGTTATTCAGTAAGACTATTGACCGAATTCAGAACTTTGATATAGACAGTATTGAGTTTTCGAACAGATGGATTCAAAAATGTAAAATTACAATGTTCGACCTACAATAAAGGCATAGTTTTTAGAAATCTGTTAAGACATGTTATGATTTATAATACGGAGATGGCCTTGAATTAGTCATAGTAGCTCTTCCCAGTCAGAAAACATAGTTCCAAACAATGTTTTGGCCATAGAAACCTTACAATCGATTGATTTAAAATCTTGACTATTATTAATCGTTTCAACAGGTCGAGGCTACTATAATATTAACTATAAGGTCAATTTGGACTATTACTGTTAACGTTATGTCCCAATAATCAAATGATGTCGAGGAAATGGAAGAAGATGCGGTTGGGCCGCTGTTAGGAGCAGCCAGAAGACGCTACAGTGAAGTGATGAAAGCTCACAACAATATTATGCAGGTAATGTTTGTTCTCATGGGCAACGTCATATTCTTAAGGATTTCGAGAATTTTTTTAAAATTTGTAATTCTTGATGCTCTTCTCATAATTAGAAGATTACAAACATAACGTGTACTTGTGTGATGTTGAAGGTAAAGTCATGTTTTACTTTTGAGCTTTTGTTTATTCGAATTGTCAAGGAATATCCTGCATTTTTTGTCATTCTTATCAGTTTTTTTTGTATCTTGTGTCTTATTAATAAGGCATTGCGTTATTTAAGGAAACTTTGACTCCTTGTCGTATTAATTTCGACTTAAAGGTACAAAGCTTGCAAAACAAGGCTTCAACTCTTGTACGAAACAAAAAGCGGAAAGTGTTAAGCGCTTTTCGATTGTGATTTGTACAAAAATATTTGGGACCCTATCACCTGCACCCACCCACACAAAAGGAAAAGAGATTCTCGCCTTTATCGCAAACAGTCTGCAGTCGCAATTTATGGGATCGTCCTGTAATTTATGTGTTCATAACCTACAAGGCCTGTCGTGAATGTTTGTTACCTGAAATGAGTCTTTGATACAAAAGCAAGAGAATGTTAGCCGGGTGCCGCCGGCTTCTCGCCGCTCTCCTGAAGGCAGAAAAGATCGCTTCTTGAATGCTTCTCCCCTTCCCTTTCACGCCCTGCGGGCTCGGTTGTCAGTGATTCTGTCTCTCGCGTTCCGAATTAATTCATTTATTCATCGTATAGTCTGTTCATCTCGATTACTAGTTTGGTCAAAAAGTACATGGAGAATGGATGAGGAAGCTAATAAAACAAATGGCTGAATCCTTACTTTGTTCTACAAACTTTTTGACCAAAAAAAAGTTTAAATTTGGCGGTTTTTTCTTTGCTTTTTCTTATAATACGTTACTTTTACCAATATATCACTTTACATAACGATAGTATGTTACTATGTTTTACGAACGGGCACCTGTTTCCCATATTCTAATAGATATCATGACAGTTTATGGTCTTGTTTATGGCTTTTTGATTTTATCTTGTTATGAGGACTACTGCAGTTATTGTTATGTTAAATGATTGATTGTAGTTTGCATATTAATATGAACTGTTGTTGATACGTTGGTAGTTGCAGAGAGGGCAGTACAATATTGTTGTTTGTCAGTTTTCAAAGTTTTTCAATTTTTGGTATTAATATTGTTATTATTATCCTTTTTTTGTATTTTTATGGTCAAAAATTGCCTAGAATTTCTACATTTATCAGTTTTTATCTCATTTTTTGTTTTCTACTTACTTTTCGACCCGATTATGACCAAAAATTTTAAAATTCAAAAACTTTTTTAAAACTAAAAGTGGACTTCCTTTCCGTACTTAACTTTCGCCACTTGATGTTTCTTTTCCTGTAAACAATTTGATGATTTATCGACAACATCAATGTGCGTATGCACCTTCTCGTTGTTATCTAAAACTACGTGTTTATACCGACTTAAACGGTCTACGTCATCAAGTTTATAACCAAATTATGATTTATTTATTTGTTTTTCGATCACACAAGCACAATATGGGGGTTGTGAAGCTTAACTGTTTAAGTTATAGGCGCGCCATTCTTTTTGCAACAGAGTAAACGCGCCATTCTTTTTGAAACAGATTAAACGCGAGATTCTTTATGAATAATATTAAACTTGCCATTATTTACGCATCAACCTTAACATTGGTTTTGAAAAATAGATTTGAGTGTCAATGGCAGTAAAATTGTAGTTAGAATGAGCAGTTATTTGGAAAACAGTAAAACTTTCTTTTCGAATGTCATTTTAGACACAATATGTCTACAAAAACTGGTGTTTTTCCACTTTTATCAAGCTTTCGATCTGCTCTTGACTTCTAAAAACCGATTATTTTTGTTTAATTTACAAAAACAAAGCCTACTGCTATTTTAGTAAGCCTACGTAACAAGCTTGCAAGTAAATGTAGGCCTACTTAGCGGTTCGAACCCATTTTCAAGATGAAATCATGTCGCTGCGACATATGGAGGCAATTTGGAGCCTGAGGGTCAGAACGTCATAAAGCCTTTCGGAGTCGCTAAGTGGTATATAATTCCAGTAGTAAATATTGAGTTTGATGTTATGACTAGCATAAGGTATCTCTTGAAAACAATTTTGGAAAATTGAATCGCAGACGGTTGTCTGTAGAAAACAAACACAATATAATCTTATATATCTTACAGTTTGTTTACGTTCTTTTCTGATTTGGTGGTAATTGTCTTTTCTTGTAGATGTCTTATTTATAGCAATTAGCTTTTTTATAGTTAATTTACTGACTTTTTGATAAAAGTTTGTTACTACATTATATATAATTATCTTAGTTTTCTAAAATTTAAACTTTACTTGAATGCAATGCTTTAATCTTCATTTTATCAATGATATAGTGATAAACCGAGGTTCTAATTGTATCTCGGCTGTACTAAAACTGTGATGTCATTGTTCCATCTTGTATTGTTTTGTGAAAAGTGGGAAAACGCCTAAAATGGTGAAAAGTATGTTTTCGATCACGTGTCCATCGTTCCGCTAGCGACGATCTCACCTGCTTTACATGCCTAATGGACTTCGATCCGATTGTCCTATTCTTTTCGAACATTTTGCTTTTAAATTTTACTCCAAAATTTACTATGGCCAATATTAAGGCTAAGGATCCCGTTTTTAGTCTTGTTTTATCTTTTTCTTCAATGTGACGTTGTTTTACCATTACATATTTGATTTTCTTCTTATATAACTTAGAATTCGACATGATGATTACAAATTATACTGTAATTTTTATTGCTTTTCAGTAACTTTTTCCTTTTAGACTAACCAACAACGCCGTTCCATAGCCTATGTGCCAGGTCAAAAGTTTGGCCAGAACGGTGTTCATTCTCTAATTGACCAGTTTGATAACACTAACACAAGCCTAAAACGACGATTGGCACAAAGAAGACGACATACACTGTTTGGTCGGTAAGTGGTTTAACGATTCAGTAAGATGCCATCATTCTACAGCCAAATGATGACAATTTTAGTATGTTATAATGTAAATGTATCAAGAAAAGTAAGGGTCTTTTCGTTTATTTTGTTGTTTGTAAATAATTAATTTTTGAATAACTTATATCAAAATAACCGATAACGATCCCTTTTCACTTACTACCTAAAAAACCTTACAAATTTTGCCATTTCTTGATGACATACAATCAAAAATAAGATTTTGCAACATTGCTCGAAGCAAAACAATAAAACAGCCCCAGACTCATAAAAATTCGAGGTGTATGGCGTTTTATGGACACAAATTCAACCCTTCCCTCTCTCTAATTATTACTCCGTGATAAGCCCTCCATTCCTCTTTCGCCTTTTATCATCTTAAACATGGATAATATCGGGAATGCATATGGAATCGGCTTTTTATTGTCTTGTTGCTTTTATTATTTTCGTTGGGCCGTGGAGAGATTGTCGCTCTCTCCGATTGTTCTCTTTTTGTTGTGATACATAATCGGATTCTCACATTGAGCCCACTGATAATTGATATGATATCGGGGGGGGTCGGCCACTTTAAGGTCATGCCACAGATGTTTTGGAAATAGGTATAAGTTTTGGCAAATCAGCGTATTTCAGCCATATTTTAGTCATTTCATTGGTTATTTTAGGTTAGTGTTAAAGTTAACGACCCAAGCTGACTATAACAATATGACCTAAATTTTTATAAAATTATTTTTAAAATAGATTTAAATCAATGCCCAATGGAAGAAATTCAAAAATCTTTCCCAAAACAGCATTAACTCTGTTTGTTCTGGTTTGTAGGTCAATAATATGGTGATTTAGCCTGAAGAAGGGCAATATTCAGACAAATACATTCCCTTTATTCAGCAAAGTTTTGTTATGAATTCGGTGAGCAATCATGTCGCCAGTCATTTTAATGCCCCATACCCATTAAATTTCATGTTGTTTTATATAACAGTAATTGTAAATAATAGAGACCTTAAAGCAACTATACCAAAGTTTCCCTTTTATTGTTTATCGTGTGTTATTACTTTACCTTGCATTTCAAAGTCATGTAACGCGTATTTTTACAGCTCATGGTAAATAAAGAATCTGTTAAGTAATCTATCTCACCAACCTTGTTCTCTAGTGCTAACTCTCTAGTCTAACACTTATTTTTACATTTTCTCTAGTCATTTTACACCCGTTACCTCCTTAAACTGTCTCACTCCCTTTTATACCTTCTATGGAGCCATGTCCGACTCCCCAACGGTTCGAATTTGTGTCCAGGACGAAGTGATAGACCTGATCCCGATAGACAAACCCCCAGTCCAGCGACAGTCCCTTTCACCGCCGCCTGTGAAGCGACGTCGCACCTGGACCCATCGACGGAAATTGTTTGCCAACAAAAAGTGCCAGGGGGACTGTCTAATAGACCTGGAGAGGTGGCATGTGTCGCCGACCATTATTAACGACCCCAATCATTGTAGTGTGATGGACGACCGGCTTCTGCAATTGAGGGAACGCTTCTCTCAGGCCGCTTCGACCGATGCCTTCCACTCGACCCATCTGAGGATTGGTGATGTAGTGTCATTGTTTGCTTTGGACCCGAATGCTGGCTCTTCCGACCGAAAACACGAAGGGTTTCTGTCAACATTGGGTTTGGTGGATGACAGATTGATCGTAGAAGAGGGTAATGGAGGCCTTCAGAATCCTCCCAAGACGTTTCGAGGTAAGATCATTAAAACGTAAATAGTATAGGAAAGTAAATATAAATATTGTAACTTAAAGAGATGTCTATCCAAGCTCTACTACAATTCTTTCAGATTGCCTGTTCCGTATCTGCCCAGTCAACAGATATGCAGCACAAAAACAGTACTGGACGGAACAGAAGAAGAGCTGTCTTAATGAGCCATACGATGAAGAAATGCTCAAGAAGCTGATCGTAGCGGCGGAGAAAGAAAGGGAACAGAATGACCTAGAGTACCGTAAAATGATGGGTTCACCTATTCAGTACGGATCGGCAGTCCAGCTACTGCACGTGAAGTCGGACAAGTACGTCACGATGCAAAGAAACTCCCCAGCACGTCAAGAACGGAACGCTATGAGGGTCTATTTGGACAGAACGGGTAATGAGGGATCGTGGTTCACGGTAGAACCAGTTTACAAGCACGTGGCTATTGGAGACAACGTAAGTTTTGTTATTGTTACAGTTGAATCTCTAGGTAACTATAATAACACAACTGACTAATGTAAAATATAGATTTTAAAGCATATCATAACTTAAATTGGTTTAGGTAATGTCAGGAGAGCGAATCTGTCTAATCCCTTACACAACTGGTCATCACTCCAACACTTCCACCAACTCTCAACCCAAGCTGCAGCTACACCTATCTCACTTTCGCCTACATGATCATGACATTGGTTGGGAAGTAAACTGCCTCAACGAACTGACAGAATGGCAAGTCAATATATACCTCCAGTTCGACGAGAATCGACCAGACAATGTCAAGTCAGGTGATGTCGTTCGTCTCTTTCACGCTGATCAACAAACCTTCTTAACCTTGGACAAGAACCCCAAAAGCAAGAAAGATGTTGTTTTTCTTCGAATGACAAACAGAAGCTCGGCTACAGATGCCACTTCTTCAAGAGCGTTATGGGAGATTCAGGTATACAACAAAGAAATGGCATTCAGAGGAGGAGCAGCTACATGGCGACGTCAGATAAAGTTCAAACATCTGGCCACAGACCTATACCTATCCTCTGTACCTTTGAGTAAAGCAGAACAAATGATAACAGAGAGAAGAGCCAGTGGAATCAGAGTACAATTGAGCATCGACAACTCTTTCGACTCACATCCAGACGACGAACCTTATGTTTTAGTCCCGAGCTCAACAGATCCATCGATCAAAGAGAAGGACATCTTATTCTTGTTGGATCCTTGTGCCAAAACTTCCACAAAGGAATCTAGAGTACCCATAAACTCTTTTGTCCGGCTACAGCACATGGAAACAGGACGATGGCTACACACAACAGACCCGGCTGTCAAACAGAACCTCTACTACACGAGTAAAAACGAGAAAGGATGGGTAAAGATCGTATGTGAACATACCAAAATTGACAAAGAAGCTTTTGCTTTGTCTCCAGTGTCTCCAAACGAAGTCAGGGACCTTGACTTTGCCAACGATGCATGTAGAGCGTTAGATCAGTTCATCAACGTGATCAAAAGTGGGAAAACCGTGGGGAAGGAGCCTATAAAGTGAGTATATTAAGTTGTTATAGTAGTAAAATTCTTTCAGAATAGTATTAATAAGTAAACAAACAACTAATTTTAAATAAAACAGTTCCAATCAAAAAATTCAACTTACAGCTTCACCACACAATTACTGGTCGAATGTATATACTTTGTAACGAATACCACGAACCACATGGTAGATCCACTGAATATTATTGAATTTGAACCAACGAGAGATCGTCAGAAGCTGTTGAGAGAACAAGGCGTCCTTGGCAAAGTGAGTATTTTAAAAACAAATTTTTGCAAAATCAGTAGTGACATTTCGCTTTTTTTCGAAGATTTCTTGCGTTTTCCCAATTTTCGACAAAATTTTGTCGCGATATAAAAAATTGATGCATAAATAAAATAAAGATAACATTTTTCTATAAAAGACTGGCAAAAGTAGATGAAAATATCTTACAAACTAGCTATAATATTATTTTGTGTATTTGACATTGTTTTATTATGTATTTCTTATTCTAAAACTCAAGTTTTAGGTTTTTGATCTCCTGAAAGCTCCATTCTTACCTCGCCAAGGGATAGGTGAAGTTGCTCCTCTATTAACATCGCCACAAGAACTCACAGAGAATCGAAATGAAGTCTTTCGAAGGATGTTTCAGCTGTGTTACTCTTTACTACGGTATTCTCAAGTCAGATATCGTAAGAACCAGGAGTTTTTGGCCGAGAAGTTCGATCAGATTCAAGAACAAATCGGATTTAATTTATTGGCCGAAGATACGATGACCGCAGTCTTACATAACAATCCCAAACTCTTGGAGAAATACGTTAAAACACCTCACGTCGAGAGGTTCGTGGAGCTGGTCAGGAACAACAGATGTGGAAAGTATGTGCTTTTATATTTTTTTTGTAATAATATAGGCTTTTTGTATTAATGATTGTATCACGTTACCTAAATTATGTCAAAACAATCAATTTTTCATGGATAAGATGAATAAATTAAAATTATTTTAGATTCCTGGATTACCTTGCCGATCTGTGTGTTTGTCGTGATGAAGCTAACAAGAAGATCCAAGAATTGATCTGTAACTCTGTGTTGAGTGAAAAGAACCGTGACATCTTTATGAAAACAGAGCTAGCTCCATCTTTCGGCAAGAAGACTCGACCTGACGTTTTTATCTGTTGGAACTTTCCAAACTCAGCGTGCCGACTTCTAGTTCAATGTGCTGAATCTGATTCACAAGAAGACCGTGAGATGATAGACTATTACAGACATCAGCTGGGGTTGATTGCTCAAATGTGTCAAGATCAACAGTATTTGGCCATTGATCCGCCGCCAGAGAGAAAGTTGTTGAACATCAGTCACGAACTGCCTATTGATCTGGTTTTACAGTATGTTTTAGATTATAGAGATCTCTATCTATAGAGAGACTAGAAATGCAAACTAAGCAACTAATATTATCCTTATTCAGATGCATGTCAGACACCCGCTTACCGTTTGACATTCGAGCCTCCTTCACACGTTTGATGCTCCATCTTCATGTTGTACGAGGATCTCCGGTCACCGCTGTACGACATGCTCGTCTATGGCGTGATATACCTAATCAAGTTGATGTAGTTAGTTATCATTCCAATTTGACTGCCAGCTTTACTGATGCCGGACCTTCACGACATTTGGCTCACGAGAAGTTCAAGGGTCTTTTGGGTGTTGTAGATGATTATCTGGCTGGACTGAGGAAGATTTATGCCAATGGAGATGTGGTTTTGTCGGAATCACCTAACTTCTGTGATCAAAATCGGCTGACTTTTGAGGTAAATGGAGGTTTATGTTGTCATAAAAGTAGTTTTGAAAGCATTTTATTGTAAATGAGATAAAAAGTAATTTTTACGATATCAGGATACTGTAATTTACTAAAATAATAATAAAACGTAAGAAAATTAATTCTGACCTCATTTTAGGTGGTGAATCTCGCACGCGCTCTGGCTCAATTTGGTTTCTACACATTCGAGGAACTGTTGAAGCTGGCCCAGAATCTGTTGGCCATCACTGACAGCTCTCCGAAGCAAACGATAACGTCGCGTGCGTCTATCATCCCATCGATTCAACTTGATTTGATTTCAGAGCGTTTAGCCCCTCACACCAAGCTGATGCGCCAGATCACTCGTGGAGTTCTCAACACCAAAGCCCTCGCCGAACCAACGGTAACCGCTGCTCCGAAGCGGCCAACAACGCTGAAGCACAGCGATTCCGATGCAGAGGAAACGGCAAAGGCCAAGGAGAGTCGAGAGATGGTGTTGCAGACCAAATTGATTGTTGTTGAATTGCTACAGGTAGGTTTGACTACAAATTGTCTATTATATTGGCTAGAGATTGGTGTATCTTGAAATTAAGAAAACAAAAGCGTTAGATTTGTTATAATGTAAGTTTACTTTACAGTAAAAATCTCAAAATATTCATTATAACAGTTCTTACTACATTTAGTTTATCATGGACGTTCGACGAGATTACCGTATCACAGTAGCCCTATCGTACTTCAAAAACAACTTCCCATGTAACGAGAACGGCGAGCTTCTGGAGACTCCAATAATCACGGAGAAGATCGTGAACGAGATGAGAGCTGAAGTCTTTGACCAAACGGAACAAGAACTTAACTTTGATGGGGAACAAGGTCAACAACTTCTGAGGATTCTGCTTCAAATGACCATGAATGACTACCCACCACTAACAAGTATGGCCTTGAAAGTGCTATTCAGACATTTCAACCAATATCAGGAACTGATCGAGGATTTGAAACAAGTTCAGTTGTTGGTATCTAACAGAGATGTCGACAATTACCATCAAATTGACCGTGACTTGTTTATTCTGAAGAATCTAACGGAGAAAAGTGAACTCTGGCTTCATTTTGGGAAGCCAGTAGCTTCTACAGCAAAACGCCAGAAGAATATGAGTGCGGACAGATCCAGAAGTATGAGTGGCGACGATCTTCTGAACGACAATCCTGATGAAGTCGACCACGAACGTCTAGTGGAAGATCTGAATGAACTCGCGGTAGATAATGGTCCTCTACCAACTCAACCGTTCATCGACTTCATAAAGTCACATTACGCCCAGAACAAGATCAAAGTCATCCAGCTACTACAACAACTCCTTAACAACAATGAGAGAGATACGATGGCTACAGCTCTGCACGATCTCATGGACAAAGCTCCACTGGTAGCGTATCCGATAACGAAGGAGATCATCAAAAGAATGCGGAATCTGTGTTTCGAAGACAGCAGAGACCTGAGGCCGTACGATAGGACAGCTGGTACACGGAACGACCTTATGAATCAACAACTTCTGAGGAATATGAGGGTGTTCGAGGTTGTATTGGAGTTCCTGTCTGTACCTTATGATAAGAAGAATGACACAGAGATGCCAAAGCTGGTGACATTAGCTCACGAGTTCTTGAGGAGTTTCTGTAAGAACAACAAGGAGAATCAGAATCGGCTGCAGTTGTACGTTTCTATCGATAACGATGCGAGGGAAGGGTCGTTATCGGTCAATACTGTAAGCATTTTATTTTTAGTTTTTTATTTTAATCCTAATTTTAGCATAAAATAGTTCTTGAAACAACTATTATATTGTTTTACAACTTATTTTAGGTTGAGGAAGTCCAAACCTTAGTGTCAGTCTACCGTAACAACCCAGAGCTTTGTGAAAACGTATCAGAAAGTCTAATATCGCATATTGTTGGATTGATAGAGCACAAACATAGAAATGCCATCTTCTTGGAGTTCCTACAAGTTGTCGTATCATCATGTGAGAAGGAAGTCGACAGTGTCCAGTTGAAGATCGTCGAGGAGGTAAGACTACTGCAAAGTTATAACATGAAATAAATTGATACTAAAAGGAAAAATTAATTCTTTGTGTTTACTCTTAAAAATACGAAAGAATTAATGGATCTACCTAATATGACATTCAGATTGGGAAAGCGTCGGATGAAGTTCGACCGTTTTACGTTGACAGCGCCAGTTTCGAACAGTTACTGGAGATGATGAGGAATGAAGTTGATCTGGATGTGGTTTCTCCTCTACGATATCATACTGAGATTGTGAAGTGAGTTATATTTGTAGTCTTTAGACATTCTCTATACTTTTTATTAACTAAAACAGAAGGATGTTATAAGTGTCTTGATATCATAGTACAGCTTTACATCTATTTTTAACAATAACTAAACTTTTAGGCTAATGGCGATGTGTACAAAAGGCAAAAACAGTAGTACCGAACTGAAGTGTGCGTCCTTCTTACCCATGGATCACATCGTACGAGTTGTAACTGCCAAGGAATGTATTGTCGAAGTCAAATCAGTATATCTTCAGTTCATGTTACACTGTTACATTGACTCAGACATTGAGTTAAAGGACGCCAACAATGCTGAATACCTCGAACAGATCATGGATGACATATTGGCTGACATACGACAGTTTTCGTACAAACTGAGTCGAGAACCGAAGCAAACTTCTGAATTGATCAGTCTGGAGAGATACGTCTGTCAGCAGCTGACCGAGGTCTTGATGAAGTTCTTCGAGAAACCTTACAGTCAACAGCCGATGATCGACATAAAACAACATCGGAAGAGGTTCACTCACATCGTACAACAACTTACAGAGCTTCAGAATGGACCGCTGAAGAGCAGCAACCATTCCAAGAACTGGTACCGAGTGGCCGAGTGTACCAAACGGCTGAACAAATGCGCTGACGAGCTTGGAGTAGTCGCCTTGACTAGCTTTACATTACCTCCAGTCAGTTCAGCTACCACGGCCAAACAACGATGGCAGAGTGCAGCACATTCGGCTAGATTCATCACGGTATGATAATTACTTGTTACTTTAAAGTCCATTTCCTATCTAAAAATAAATTTTTGATAATATTTTATGAGATATAACTTTTGTTTTACAGCGTAACCAGCAGTCGTTGTCTATTCGAGGTAACCGAACACTGAACGCTCCGAGGTTCTCGAGAGCTGTGGACAGCATGAACAATGTCGTCATGTGTTATCAGCAGCTTATCTCAGAACTCCGAGTGTTTCTACTACCACTACAAGGTGCGGAAAGCTCTGTTTTGGTCGATATATTACACTTACCCGAGAAACTGTTTCCAATTGGCAGTGCTTTGAGGGATCGATGTGAACATGGTGGTGTTTGCTCAAAGTGAGTCCTGACACACAATCATTTTGCCAAAATTAGAATAATTTTTGCGAAAAATTCCCATTTTTGTGAATTCACCAATCACTTATTGGGAAAAACAACGATATCGGCGGGCGCAGATCGCGTTATGCAAATGTATACGATAAAAAGTATACACGCTTCAGTAGTTAGGAATTATAGATTGAAATTTAAGTTTTATATAGTACATTAAACGGTATTTTAGGTTGATTCAACATTGCAAACTGCTACTACAACAGAAACACGAAGGTTTGTGTAGCCGAGTCTTGGCCACGTTGTGTAGAATGGCCACGAGCGCCAAACACAATTTTATACTTCAGGTAAGCCAGTAAGTGACTCTAAAAGTAGCTGCTACCAAATTTGCTACAATTTAAAACTTCAAAATTTAATGCTACAGTTTATTAAATTAATGCTACAGTATGATAGCTGAGTAGACTTACATTTTCAATTTGCTTACTACGAAAACAAAGCTACAGTAATGTAAAATCTGACACTATGATAGATTTTCGACTATTCTGTTATATTCTATTATGCCTTTACTGTCACACTTTTAGTCGACCTTCCAGAGTACGATCTTTGGCAGCGATGAGAATGAGATGTTCATTCAAAAAGTAAAATCGCGTGTATTTAGTTACTTTAGTTGATTACAGCACTGTTTTGTGTCAAATTGAATTTTTTTCTTTTGGTATCAAACTTTTTTCTTTAAAGTACAGGACTATATGTTTATTTCTGTACTTTTACACTCCGACTTTACCTAACTTTGAGTTTTACTTTAGTTTCTTATACCGAGTGCCAGTGTCAAAGCTTGTATATCTTGAGTTTAAAGCAATAAATTATAAGTGAAAGTAGATATAATTTGTTTTTCAGGGTAAATCTGTGAGAAAACAGTTACTGCAACGTTACTTTGGAGTTGATGCAGTACAAAGTGGTAATCAGAAGCGTATCATAAGCAATATCAAGGATTCTGATGGCAAAAAGAAAGGTAAGCTTTTAAGGGTTTTGTGTTTTTATTGTTAAGAGGATAGTTTAATAATATAAGATTTATGCTAATTTTGACCTTTTACAGATTACATTTTTGATGCTGAACTACGACCATTAACAAACGTGTCGTTATATCAAGTACAATGTAAACTGAACGATGCTGGTGCTGTTGGTAAGTTAAATGTCATATAATTTTAACTTTTTATTAATGACATAGAACTAATTTTTAATCTACTGTGAAGTAAGAGTTACTTAATGTAATCCTTATGTTTCAGACCTTGTGATTGACTTGATAGTAATGGAGCCCTCGAGTGAAATCTTTTTGAAGGCTTGTCAGTTGGCTAAAGCCCTGTTGTATGAAGGTAACCATGAAGTTCAGATGACTTTCTACCAACGACTGAAACACAAGAAGGTGGCCGACAAGTTCTTCAGAGCCTTGATAACGAAGCTACAGACCGCTCAGAATCGTCTCAAAAGTGATATGATGTCGGAAAAGAGCCACAGGGGGAAGTCAGGTAGGCTTAAAATAGTTTTTTGACTTTTAAATTTACAATATTGGGCTTCTCTTCAATAGGGATAGTTGGAGAAGGTGATAGGTAGTAGCTACTATAGGGTTCTATAAAATATGCTATTGAAGTATATTAGGCCACTTGAAGCTTAATTTTTTTATTTTACACTGCCTTTAAGACTTTTAATACTTTGACAATTGAATTTCAGCACTTTCAACTTCGATCAGCCGACGCTGTACGTTTCTTTTGATTTGGTTTTTATTATTTATCCTCTAACACTCGTGTGCTTCTTAACAAGTTTTGTTGCTAATAAGGTGTTACCTAATATCAACGTTTTTTTTTGTCGTTATATTTTGAAAATATTATTTTTAACTATATATCTTCAGCGTCCACAGTAATGACTCCAGTACCGTACTTGACCGAGGCTTCGTTGAGTGAGAGTTTACGTCCAAATCCAAAGCTAAATGCTCAGAATTCGTTTGAAAACGCACCAAAACCATTGCCAAGTGATTACTCCAATGTCTCTAGCTTGCCGTGCACAATGGATTGTAACGAGGAAGACAAGTAAGTTAGCTGTTGAAATCTTATTGTACTAGAAATATAATAAATACATATGTAAAATGATAATGTAAGTTTTAGGCCAAACGAATACCTGCCAACAGAAGTCTCAATCATAGAACCCATTCTCAGATTCCTCCAATTGCTTTGTGAGAATCACAACAACGTACTCCAAAACTTTTTGCGTACTCAGAACACTCGACCTGACTATAATCTAGTAGGTGAGACGTTGACCTTTTTGGACACCATTTGCGGATCGACTAAAGGAAGTCTGGGTGTCTTCGGAGAGATCGGAGAACACAACTTCTCCTTAATCACCCAGACATTGATCACGTTGACAGAGTTCTGTCAGGGACCGTGCCACGAGAATCAGAACACTTTGGCCATGCACGAATCCAACGGCCTTGACATTATAATATCACTGGTATTGAATGACATACGACCATTGGCCGATGAACATATGGACTTGACATTGGAGATCAAGAGTAATGCCTCCAAGTTATTGTTGGCCATCATGGAGAGTAGACATGACAGTGAGAATGCGGAGAGAGTACTCAGAAATATGTTCCACACTTCTGGAGGACCAGCCCAGCTGATTAAGGCTATCGTACAAGCATACGAAATGTCAAATTCAAATGATTTCAAGGTCACTAAGGTCAAACATCAACTCATGTCACAAAATGTAAGTAATGATTTTAAAACAATGAAGTTGGTTCGGCGTATTTTACTATTTAGAAACTTGGACATGACAATTATACAACAAATGTAATTTTCAGAATGGCAAGTCGTCGACCCCAGTAATCCCGGAAATCTCGATTCATCGTGCCGATGTAAAGGAAACCCCTGTCGTATCACCAGCCGTAACATCCTTAATTGACCCAAAAGAAGTTGGTCACAATGTGTACATCTTGGCCCATCAACTGTCTCGGCACAACGAGGAATTGGCCAAACTTCTGGATCCAGCTCGAGCTCCAAATGAAATCATGCGCGACGCTTTGGAGTTCTACAAGAATCACACTGCCCAGATCGAAATCGTACGTTCGGATCGTAAACTGGAACGTGTCGTATTCCCAATTCACGATGTATGTTCGTATATCACTCCCGAGACCAAGGCCCATGTATTTGTGAATACAGAAAGAGATGCTCAAGGATCGAAGGTAACGGACTTCTTCGACAAGTGGGAAGAGCTGTACGATGAGATGAAGTGGCAGAAGAAGTTACAGAGCCAGCAACTTCTGAGTGGCATCACGAAGAAGTTGAGATTCTGGGGCAGAATGAGCTTCTTCAACGCTGTCTTGATCAATATCATGATAGCCATCTGTTATCCGTTCGAGAATGCTCCGTTGGAACGGCACGTTCAGCTCAGCAATCCGTTCTTGTACTTGTCGCTCATCGTGCCATCGTATCATTTGTATTCTTCGTGGGATTCGTCGAGGTAAGACATTGCCGCACAGTTTGTTTTAGTTAACATAAGTATAACAAAATATAGCTTCGTAAGATGTTCTACTTTCTTTCAGCAACACATTTGGTATAAATTCTCGTTGTCTGTTTGGTATATTTGGTGTTATAATATGTTTGACGTTGTTCTTAAGTGCTTTGATTGGTGTTGTGCCCACAATAGCATTGATAGGGCTGTTTCAAGTACTCAATAAGACATTACATCTTGTGAGTTATGTTGGACATCGAGGACTGATCGATCGACAATGGTACGAAAGGTTCACTGACTCTACAGTATGGTACCACTTTGTGTATCTTGTGTTTTGTGCATTGGGTATTGTGGTACATCCATTCTTTTATTCGTTTCTGGTGAGTTAGTGGTAGTTTTTATGGTTCTATAGTAATTGTTATTGTTTTAAAGTACACATTGTTACCTTTTATGTAATTTTTTTTTGAATTTTAATTCTCGGTTTTATTTTATCGTATTCTTATTCGACTCAGTGGTGTACGATCTGTTGGTCACTATAACACATCTATTGTAGTATACCTCTTTCAACCAATATTTCAGCTATTTGACATTGTGGTAAACGAAGAAACCCTACGCAACGTTATCCGCTCAGTTACCAGAAACTGGCAGTCGATCATCTTGACCGGTATATTGGCGTTGATCCTCGTGTACCACTTCTCCATCATCGGCTACATCTTCTTCCAAAAAGACTTCCGATTGGAAGTGGAGAAGCTGGATGATGATGTTTTAGTCAGCGTACCCACGGACAGTTGGCCACAATGTGAACGACCAGACCTCGACTGCCCTACTACAACAACGATAACGCCAGAGAAATCAGAGGAAGACAAGATATTATCATGCGAAACGCTTCGTATGTGCATATTGATGACATTGAATTGGGGTATGAGGAACGGCGGAGGTATTGGAGATGTGCTGAGGAACGTTCATCCACAAGAACCTTATTGGATGTGGCGTATTTTATACGATTTGTCGTTTTACATCGTTCTGATTGTCATCGTATTGAACTTGATTTTTGGTGTGATTATTGATACGTTTGGAGATTTGCGTACGGAGAAGAATGAGAATGAAGATATACTCAAGAACACCTGTTTTATTTGTGGATTGGAACGTGGACGGTAAGGAAATATTATTTTTTTCATACTTGTGATTCAACAAATCAAATTTAGCATTATACTCTCCAACTTTAGGTTCGACAACAAAGCGATAACTTTCGAAGAGCACAACGAATACGAACACAACCTCTGGCATTACCTATACTTCATCGTATGGCTACAAATAAAGGACGAGACAGAATTCACAGGCCCTGAAAGCTACGTAGCTGATTGTGTAAAGAAGAAAAATCTAGATTGGTTCCCGAGAATGCAAGCGATCTCCTTGAGGGAGGAGAACGTTGACAGTGATCAGCTAGACATGAAAGATCTGCAAGAACAGATGAGGAACAACCAGAGAACGATCATCGAATTGAGCCGAAAGCTACAGGAATTGAATCACGTAAGTATTAATAATAATGAAGACATTTTTGAGTTACTAACAAGTTCGTGTTAAAATACACGTCTCCTTACACCTATAGCAATATAAAGTATGATCAGGGGCGTCGCTACGGATTTTTTCTGGGGGGGGAGGAAAAATTTTTTGCTCCACAAATATAAAAAATTTTTTTCGATTTTTCATGTACAGGTACCTACCTGTGCTATTTTTTTCGGATTGGCTCTGTGGGGGGGGTGGATCCACCCCCCCCCCTCTAGCGGCGCCCCTGAGTATGATTTATATTTACCTAGAAAAATCCCTTAGGGATTCATACAATAAAATACCCGATTTCAGCTACTAGTTGAAAGCATGACACGTCAGTAGAGTCACCGTTGAGAGCAAACAAGCCAACAGAAACCTACAGTAGATCATGGCAAACTACAGTATTACCCCAACCAGCTCATTGATCTGTGATTTTGTTTCAATTCTCATATTTGTCATATCATAATTTATGTATTTCGCCTTATTTATTCCCTTTTTACTCGACTTTCATCACAAAAAAACCCCGGCAATATTGTTCTCATGACATTGAATTAGGCTTATCGTATTAAAAGAGTTTACTACGTGGTAGTTGTTACAATAAACTAGTCTATAACTGATCAGAATCTTGTAAAAATGATCTTGGGTTCAATATCACTACATTCACGTTATAAGTCACAAATGTTTGGGGTAAGTTTATGAGTTTTCAACACTATGTTATTTTAGGCATGAAGAAGTGAAACTATTCTATGTTTTGCTTTTTAATAACAAAAGTTGAATATCTTAACACATTTAGTTCTATAAATACTAGGAATACCCTAAATTAACCTACCTTTCAAATGTAAAAGTCTCGAAAGTTGTCCAAAGCAACAAGTCGTAAAAAAATCGAAAAAATGTCGAAATTGGAGAAAAAGTTTGCGGAAATATAATTCGAGTTGCGCCCTCGCGTAGCAATTTTTTCATAATTTTCGGTAAGTTATGTTTGAATTGTTTACAATTAGCCTTTATTATATGTACATGTAGATATTATTGTGAATCTTATTTAAATCGACTTTCCAATTGGCACTCGAAGGGCGTGATGTGCACTGTGATTCCGTGATGTCTCTTCAAACTTGGCATCTGTTTTCCAGGCAAAATCTGAAACAAAATGTTTCTTTGCCTTTTCTTGTTTTTTTTATTTTTAGTGTTTAACTTTCTTTTTTATAAATTCAGGTGTTTTTTAGACTTCAGGTAGTTATTTTTTGAACATTTGGGTATTCTTGTTAAATTTTAGGTAATTATATTCTTCCATTTAGACAGTTGACTTACTCTGTACTTGTTGAGTAAATTGGCGATCATCAAGAAGATCTCAATCCTGGCCAAGCCCTCCCCCAAGCATTGCCGTTTGCCAATTGAGAATGGAATTAGCTCATCCACCTTCTTCACCTTCCCTTCGCGGTCCAAAAATCGCTCGGGTTTGAACTTCATTGGCTCGGGGAAAATCTGAAACCGCAACATTGATATTACACTAGGTCTCGTTGACCTTACATCAGGTTTGTCAGTTTAATGTCCGTTTCTTAAACTACATTCGAGAGCTGGCGATGTTGTCTAATGCGTGTTTTGTAAAAGTTAACATGAAGATGTTTCAATTAATTTAATTTGATTACGTGAACTCTTTAACGACTTAAACCAACCTTTTTATGTTTGGAAGCTTATTTTAGGTTTTTTAGTTTGAATGACTGTAAAGCATTAATGGACTTACCGTGTCACTGTAGAGGACTAATGAGATCAATGGGGTTATTGGTTGTCCCTTTTTGAGTTTGTACCCTTCAACTTCAACGTCTTCGGTTGCAGCGTGGATCACATTCATGGGCACCATGTTACACAATCTTTGGATTTCCTGAAAACATTATAGTGAATGTTAAATTAAAACAAGACATCAACAAAAAGGATTTTCAGGCAGCTTCAATCAATATGCTTTGTGATAACGCCTTCTGATAGCTTCAAACTACAATACTTACATTGCAAAGAGCTTGGATATAAGGTAAGTCTGGGCGGTCAGCAGTTGTGACAGTTCTGTCGGATCCGATTACTTTTTCAAGTTCAGCGTGAGCTTTTCTTTGGACTTCTGGATGATGAATCAAGTAAGCTACACCCCAGCCCAAAGTGTTACTAGTAGTTTCCTAAAATACGTTTGTCTATATATTGTCTTTACTTATTTATTGTATTGTTGTCTCAAAAGATTTCAGCTGATTGTACAAAAAGTCAACAATATTTCAGACTTTTATCATGTTAGTATTACTCACCTGTCCAGCAACCCACATATCAAATACCAACACCAGAAGTTGTTGGTCGGTGAAGAGGTGGTCTTCACCCAACTCTTCTAACCTGTGACGTTCCTTCAAGAAAGCAGCTACAATATCAGTTGGATCTAGTTGACTCAAGTCGACGTTCTTCAGGTCTTCCATGTGATCGTTGACTCTTTCTTTGAAGAAGTCAGTCAGATGCATAGAAGTCTTCCGTCCTCTCTCAATAACTCCACTCAGAAGTGGGAAATGTTTGTAGAAGTCAGGATTTGGCCGACAGATCAAGGCAGCTGGAGATCCAGCAGTGGTTACGGCTGTTTGAGCGCGTTGCTTTAGGTCATTGAACTCGGCTACGTTCTTTTCATTGTAACGATAGCCGAACAGAAGGTTGTTGATGACCGATCCAATGGCTACGTCGATGTATTCAGTCAACATGATCATCGGGTTACCACTTTTACGCTGCTTTTCGAGTTGTTGGAACATGGCTTCACATTCTTCGACAATCTAAATACAATGATGTTACAGTATAATTAAGAGGAGATTTGTGGTAGTATCAGCATCATAGATAACATGAGGTTATGAACAGAACTTACTCTCTCTTCCATCAAGTTCTTGCCCAATCCGAAGTCTCTTAGAGTGTGTAGCACAAATCTTCGTTGAGACTTCCAGATCTCGCCTCCAATATTGATTACACCAAAGGATCCACGGCCCATGGCGGCTAAGTAACTCTCATCATCTGGACGGTCTTGGAACAGTTCGCCGTTCTTTACAAAGTAGTGCATGATCTTGTTATACTCACAAACAGCCACGACCGGTCGTTCACCGATCCAGTATGTGAACACATCACCATATTTCTTACTCCAAAACTTGAGAGCTTCTTCACTGGATGTGTACTGCGCAATCTGATGTGCATTACCTAAATTTATTGTCACATGAGTTACCAGTGTTTATTTACTGGTTTTGTGATCTTTGTAAATGTCGTATTTGACTACAACTTCTGTGCGACCGTATACGAATTGGTTATCGTGTAGAAATGTCAACTACACGTTTCATGGTTTTTTTTCACAGAAAATACGATATGTTTTATCAGTTTTACGGTCTCCTAATTAGTATTTTGACAGTTTTAGTCTGCCAAAAATTATTGAACTTGAAGCAAGAAAGAAACTGATGCTTTGAAAAAGTACAAGCAAACAGAGTATTTCAGTTTCTATTTTAAAACGATGACAAGTAATATCAGTATGATGACAATGCTCTCTTACCGATTAAAGGCGCGGGCATAGGCCCTGGGGGCAGACCCCTTCTCTTCCAATAACAATTATAAAAGGCGATGCCGAGCACCACCAAAAACAAGTAAAACAACATTCTGCTGAGGTGCCACTTAACGCATCTGATGCATCAGAGCCCAGCCTTCAGTTCTCCAGCTATTTTTATTACGGTCACTACGCTTGTTGTAGTATTCCCAACCGAATCTACATGAAAATGGAAGGAGGCGGCAACTATTTAATTGCCAACTTTCTCTGCAACTTTTTCTCCAAAGTTTGTTTGCGGTTTAAACTTAATTTGATTAAAGTCAAGGGCCTTAATGGAGGCGAACAGTTTATTTCGTATGTCATTCGTGTACTTTGTTTTTTGTAATATTGGAGATGTTGCAGACGATCAGCTACTAACTTACACGTATCTTGACATATTTTTCTTATTTTAAATTTTGTATAATGTGATTTTTAAACTTTAAGCATACGGTATAGCGAATTTAATATAATGCAAAAGGTTACTTTAGTCTTGCTTACCTTTTTAATTATATAAAAACTTTATCGTAAACATTCCTAATGGACTAAAGTGTGGTTTGTAGCCATTAAAACAACCTCTTGCATAAGATAATACGTATAAAAGTTTATTACAAACAATAACAAGTACAAGATGAATGGTTGTGGCACATGATATAACAACGAAATTGCACGAACAAAGTTTAAAGCGATACAAAATTAAAGTACGGCCCGTATTTTAAGTGTTTGGAGCATAAAATGAAAATAAGAGAAGATAAGGCACGGTTCATGATAATATGTCTGTATAATATAGAATATGGTATGTTCTGATAGACATAATTCGCTGAAAGAAATGTACAGTAAACAAAAATGGTATTTAAACTAATTGGAAAGATTCTCTGGACTAAAACACGAAAGTTACCGTATTGGTGTCATAATATGACAATACTTTTCCTATTGGAACAGTGTTTACGGTAACTTAACTGCTAAAACATAGTATATCATAAAGTTTATAACAATACTACACTAATGAATCACCGTAATTTCGACCAGTAGACCTGCTGTTATTGGACTGATGTCTACTGTAAACCCGTCCACCGTTAATGCTTCGGCCGTTCGAAGTGGCGGGATGGCTCTGTGCCGTGCCAGTTAACCTTGTAGATGACGTACCTTGTCGATTCTGACTCCGCGGCAGTTTTCGTGCCGTCAGCTCCATCTCGGAATCTGATTCCACTTCTATCGTGGCGGGCTTTGCTGTAAAGATACCGTAGACTGGCTTCTTTGGTGCACCTGGTATGACTGGTTCTAATGGTCCCGTAAAACTGCTCGAACTACTTGAACTTGAGCGAGGCCGAGAGGCTGTTGAGTCCGAGCTACTGGTTTTGGGGTGGGATGAGGACTTTGTTGTCCTGAAATATAAAGTGTTATATGTGATGCTATATAGTTTTAGTTCTATTTTATACATATAATTCAATTTGGCAAACTGACAGTTATGTATGTATACCTACTGTTCCCTTGTGTTTTATTTTGTGGCTACTGGTGTCAACATGATTAATAAATAAAAGTTTATTATTACGCTATTTAACAGCTACAATAAGATCGATTGACGAGTTCGTTTAAGAATATATACAATAGGTTTTGTTCCACGTAGTACTATCACGTTCCTCTTTACCAGAAGGCACCGGTTAATAATCTTCTGAATCTGTTGCTACGATGACGGCCGAACAAACCTTCTGGACTGTTCAGACTTCCGAATCCTTGAAATTCTCCACTTTCACTGTCACTTGATTCGCTGTCATCGTTACCATACTGTTGACCACGGCCCAAGCCATTATTCTGGTTAAAACTGGATCCACCTCTTCTGTTTCCTCCAGATTCTGAGATCTGACCGTAGCCTTGTCCTCCAAAGCCTTGGTCATCACTACTTCCTCCTCCAAAGCCTTGACTTCCTTGTCCGAAGCCTCCTGAGTGCCCTCCGGATCCACGATTTCCTCCAAAGATGTTGTCGAATCCGCCATCTCCAACGTGGCCATGGTGAGATTGACCACCAAATCCATCTTGAGATCCAGCTCCACCGAATTCACAAGCCTTCAGATCTCCCAACAAACACAAGAGTAGAGGTAGAGGAATGACAAGTGGAATGGTATCGCCATCTGGAGTTACAGAAGACCAAGAGTCATCCGTAGTGTCCGGGTATTCAGAAGAATCATCTGTCACAGCCGGCACTTCTTCTGTAGTTGGGACAATAGGACCATCAGTGACTGGACTTGGACTTTCGATTGGACTGATAGTGATTATGGGATCAGTAATTGGGCTAGCATCTTCAGAGAATCCGGAGCTTTCAATAGAAGAAGTAACCTGACATTGTACGTAAGAAGTAAAAGCCAATAGAAATAAACACTTGATCATCATTATTTTAGGAATAGTAAATTATTTAATGACAACTAATTAGTTATGTTAATATTAGATCAATAGTTGATAGTAATTAAGTATTACTCAATAGATATCACTTGTTATGTCACTTAAAATCACTTGAACTTCAACAAGTTGAACTGAAGTGCTACAGCCGTGGGTCGCCGCCCTTTTATAAGTGAATGATATCAGTAGAAATATGCAAATCTTCACCTCAAAAGCCTCGAATTTCGTAAAATGCATGATTAGTTGCACAATACGTTGTTTTCGATAGTATAGTTAATCACTCTTCGAATTAGTTCAGGCTGGTTTCCGCGTCTGATACTATCATACTACAAGGTAGTAATCTCTCGCGTATTAGGAGTATATTACGAATCACTGGTCTTTGTTTGATCTGATGTTATGGCTATGATATACTGTTGCAGCTTATACTTTGATGCAGTAATAGTGCCTTTGTTTACAGTGAAATGCAAATTACCGTGGTGATTGTTGTGTTAGCTGTTTTCATAACAACAATAACTGCTTGTCACGCTATTCCCCCCTCGGCCGAGGTCATGGAGCAGATACGGCTCCGTCTCAAACAAGCCATTGAAGCGCCGTACGATCCGGAGCTCCAGAATCTGACGAACGCCCAGATCGCAGCTTTAGAGGAGACAATCGACCGGTATGCCAGACTGCCCAACAAGTTCTCTTACAATGCCGAGATGTTCGACGACAAAGTGGTAAAGATGTTCAGCAAGAAGCAGATCAGGATGTTCAAGGACTTTGTGGAGAAACAGAAGAGGAAGAACAGTCTACTTGAAGACATCAAGACTCTTGATGATATCTATGTGGGTTAGAAGTGTTGGTAAATTATAAGAAGTGGCAATATACCTCATTATTGATGTTTATCATATTATTGTGGAGGTGAATCGTTTCTTCTCAATCTTTCATTATGATTCTTGTTGTAGTTTCTTATACTTTTAAACTCTCAGGGCTACTCTTATTACATTTACATATTATTATCAGAAGAAAATGTCAATCTTTGTCCAAGTAATTTTTTTAATAAAATAAACTCTATTTTTAGCAAATTTCAAAAATGTTATCCCCTGAACTGCAAAGCAATTTAATTTCTTTTCCCCTCCTCCAATGTTACCCCGCCCCCTCCAATAATATTTTAATCCCCCTTACTCACCAGTTACTAGGTAGAGGATCACTGTCCACTCCCACCAGAATGTTGTGTTGTAAAGCGACAGCCGACTTCTTTTCCTCGGTTTTGTCGTTGTTTATGACCATGCTTTCTGTTGTTGTTGACTTTTGTGAAGTTTCAGGTGGAGTTGGAGGTTTGGAGTGTAATTTAGACCCTCTTCTATTCAATAATGGCACATTGAGGAAGCCACTGGCCAAAGACAAAGGCTTCTCGGCGATCGTGGCCATCGTTGACTTGGGTTTCTCTTTGGGACTTGGTGAAGTGTTACTTCGGTAGCTGAAAGAAATGATTTTGAAGTGAAATAGTGCGCAATAAGTTGTACTAGTTATTTATAGGTATCTCATATATTTTCTGAATTTATAAAATTTCAGCCAGAAAATTTGTTTTTGTCAATTTTACATTATATAAAATCAATATTTTCAAATCAAATTGATCGAATAATTTCCCAAAACCCTCGAGAACATAACAAAGTTTACCTGGGAGCGCGCAGATTCTCAATGTTCTTGAAGAGCGTGCCTTTGGCAATGAGTTCTCCGAAGCCTTGAGTGTGTGAGAAGGCATACCCACTTCGTAATGATCCACGCCGACTTCTTCGAGTTGTCGCTGCTGTCCGTTTGATCTGTGAGATTGGTTGTCCATCTTCAGGTCGTTCGTGTAATGGCAGCTTTGATCTGACTCGAAGACGGTCAGAGTACGAAGGTTTCGTGTCGAACCAAAAGAAACGGTTCAGCATTACTGGTAGTAGCAGTATGACACAGATTAGGAGAAGGGAGAACCAGAAGTGAGGAGTTATCACTGCTTGGTACACAACTCCGTAGAAGTTACCGGTCGGTCCGTTGCTTATAAAACTGTAGGGGATAACTGGAAATATAAATTTAACCATCAAAAGCTTCAATCTTGTATTTATTAAAGATTTAAAATATATTTTTACAGATGTAGGACTCAAAACTAAATTTAATATTTAAAGAATTTTTAAGAGTATAACTCACGTTGATAGTACAACACGATGACAAGAATGTAGAACCCTAGAGATCCCCATATGACAAAGTGGTTCCAACCAGTCCAATAAGAAGTGTCCAACATGATCTGCCCAGTCACAACCACCACCAAAGCTGTAAAGATAGTAAACGCTAGCATGTTAAAACTCTCGAGATCTCGACCATCATGGTTTATACTGTTGTAGAAAGCCCCATACGGTACGAAGAAGAGCACCAATGAACTAAAATAAGCGACATAAGTTTCCTGATAAATATTATTTTCAAAGTAACATACACATTCAAAATTGTATACTATTATGGTAATATCACAAACCTTATCATTCCGTGTATCACCGAGTACGTGAATATCCTCATATTAAAAAACAGATTGTACTGCCCAGGAATGTACAACTTGGGGAATCTTACAGAGTAATCCTCGGACACATCTTGATCAAACACTCCCATAGCTATCACGGGTAACGCGGTAAAGAACATGTTATACGACGCAATCAATATTGGATCATACACAGTCTGAGCCGAGTACCCACAGAAGAACGAGTACCAGAAGTGAGTTAAGGTGAAGGAGAAGTTCTTGTAGAAGAAGTATCTCAGGAACTTGCACATTCGGAAGTACGACCATCTACCATGGACCAACAGTAATCTTTCTAAATATCTGAATTGTCCTATAGAGTAGTCTGATGACAGTACGGCTTGCATTCCTTCTTGGCCTTAAATAGTGCACTGGTTAACAATTTTCGATAGTACTATTAGTTACAAATGAATAGATAATATTGTATATTTAAATTACTTATATCAAAGTTAAAGTTCTGTTGTCTTACCTGAAATACCCACTCCAATGTGAGCTGTTTTGATCATAGACACGTCGTTAGCTCCATCTCCAATAGACAATGTCACTGCCTTTTTGTGACGCTTCACAAGATCTACAACTTGAGCCTTCTGAAGCGGTGTAACGCGACAACAAATCACTGCCTAAAAATATAGTTCCATAACTAAAAAGACGCAGTATTTATAAATTTAATTGCAAATACAGTCATTACTAGCGTTGTTTACTAGTAAAATAAGCTATAATATGCTCTTACCGTGCACAGACATCCAACTTCCAAGAATAATCTCTCAAACTTTCGCTTCAAGGCATAAGCCAAAGAATCTCCATTGATGACTAAACCAAACCCTCCAGAAATGTCAGTAGCTTCATCGTATAACACATTCGGAGGTTCGTGAGGAGTCAGTGGATGGTGAGGAATACTGTCGGTTGAGTCTGGCACAAAAGCAACGTTATTATGTTGTTGGCCATTTGGAGAGACAGCTAAAAATAGCATAATTTGATAAGTAAAAGATTATTGTTATAATAATTTGCAAAAAAAATAATGAGCCACTTCCATATAAGTTATGAGACATAGGTCATTAGTTTTTATACAATATATTATATTTCTATAGAATTTAAAACTGTAAGTGACAACGTACCTGGTGAAACCTTTCCACTAACTGGAGAAACCGGAGACTTTGGATCATCGTAGAAACTTGAAGCTCCAACAACTTTCTGAAACATTACCCTTTATGTTATATACCATATAGCCGTATCACCGCGGAGCTAAGCTTACATCTACCAAACAAAAACTTTTCACCCAGATTATTAAGCTTAAACATAGTATTCTCTCAAATATTATTAAATATAAGCTTTTACAGAGTAAATAATAAAGAAAATATAATTTTGCCTTAAATAATTTAGCCGATAGCTCGCGTGAGAGCTTATTAGTGAAGAAAATAGTTAATATGTGATAATCAGGTAACAAATAAAGCTAGCAAAAGCAAAACAACTAAAACACCATGTGAAACAAGTAAAAACGGTAATAAAACAAGCAATCTACCATAAACATTGAATCTTACTTAAGTATACTGTAAAAACAAAGCGTACTCAACAGAAAGTGCTAGCTAGAAGCTGAAGCGCAGATTCTTAACTGTCATACGTCAGTGACCTCTTCTGTAGTTTCATCGTCCGTAGCTACCGTATCAGCCTTATCGTAATCACTAGCTATGCTAGACCTCTTATCATCGTCATCATTGCTCTCCTTATCATCATCCACAGTTATAGTATCCACCTTCTCCAACTTCTTGACGGCAAAGTTGGGCGACGGTGAAAATCTGACGTAAAAGCGGCTTTGTTTCTCTCGTTTCTCTGCCGCCTCTCGCTCTTCCGCCTCTCTCACTATTCGAATCTGCTCCTGAATGTATCTTTTCACATTCTCTGGCATCCAATCATCTCCTAGTGGTTGAGCTATAGCTCTGGGACGAGAACGAGATCGCCGAGTACGGGGTCTCCAGAATCTCCACCGCAGCCGATATGACGGTTCGGGTTGACGCTAAATGGGGATTCACAACACACATGACTAGGGTATAGTGAAAGAAGTAAGCTACAGTAAGAATACGTGCGATTTACAGGTTTTACAGTACTATATTGAAAGTTCAAAACGTTTGTTATCTTTTTATTGCCATTGTGCCAAAAATTCAAAAAAAAAAACAATTTCAAAACCTCTTTCATGATATTTTACAGCATTTTTGGAGTTTCTGTTTACTGTAAATAATAACAAAACTTGGTACACCGCCTTTTAGATATCTTACCGGATGAGTATACTTGTCCATCCTCCGTTTGATGTCCTTCAACTGCACCTCCACCTGTTTCTCATCTTTACCATCGACTACAAACACTTCTGTCATGTCTTCGGTCAATAATTTGCAAGAATACCCAATGTTGATAGCAGTTTCAGTCTTATCACCAGTCAACACCCAAATCTTAATGTTAGCTTTGGCTAAGTTGGCTATAGTTTCTGGCACTCCGTCCTGTAGCTTGTCTTCTATGGCTGTAGCACCCAAAAGTGTCATGTCCTTCTCCATCTCCTCGTACAGCTCGAACAACTTCTTGTTCTTGTTAGCCACATCAAGTTGAGCTTGTTTCTCACGATCCATCCATTCTACACAGTAATCTGCGTCTATTTCCTTGTAGGCACAACACAGAGTACGTAGACCATCGGCCGCAAACTTGTCCAGATGTTGCATCGTAGCTGACTTCAGAAGTTCGTTCGTGTCGGGCCGTAGACGATCCAATATCATCGTGTCGGCACCTTTACAATACATCTTAAGATCGCCGTTGTTGTTTCGAATAATCACTGACATTCTTTTTCGCACATTGTCAAAATCCAGAATTTGAAGCACTTCGAATCTCTGAAGAATATAACCTTTTACTTTTAGTTTTATGATAGATATTTATTTTATATTTAAATGTAAAACAGTAGAACCATTTGTGTAAAGTTATTATACTTACCTCTTCTTGACCACCAACCTCTATTGTTATACTATCTGGAGTTCTAGACTTAAAAACGAAGCCAAAGTTCCTAGCGGCTGAGGTAAGAGCAGCTTCATCTGGAGATTGAGCTTGATACTCCAAAGTCGAGCCGGCTTTCCTTTCTGGCATTACAGTATGACAAATTGCCAATAATCTCCAAAACTCTTCTACCTAAAATTTCATAAAATAAGGTTTTCATTAATATTATAAAGCAACATAAAATATTTTTTATTTTTATATTATAAGATAACAAATATAACTCACCTCAGCTACCCTATTCTGTGTGTCATCCAGCAATGTCTTGTCGTAAAACTTGAAGTTGCTTTCATGCCACCTGTTCCACTTGAAGTCTAACGTTGGTGTAGCCTCCGTGATCTCCACAAACTCATTTCTGTCATCGAGTAGATCACCGTAGCTTCTTCCATTGATAGAACACTTATTAAATACCATAATATTCTGTGTCAACGTCCCCGTCTTATCACTGAAGATATATTGTACTTGTCCCAGCTCTTCATTCAATGTTGTTGTCCTAGCTCTAGCTGGTGTATCTGTTTTGGCGTAGTACATCTTGAGGTCGGAGTTGATCCAAACGGAATGTACGAATCGTATAATCTCAACAGAAACATATAAAGATATGGGTACAACAGTGTTGAGCAAGATAATGTAGGAGAAGAACATCAGGAACGAGATTGTAGCGATCTGACGAGAACCACGATCTCCTTGATCTCTGACGAAGGTCTCCCACTCGAGGTAGATCGTAAAGTGACGTCCTGTTACCCATTCCCAGACTCCACACAGCACCGTACAGATCAAACACATTGCGATCAGAAATAACACAATCTGAAATGAGTCTCTAATAATTAGGTAACATTTATGAATAACATAAAAATATAAAACATAGAGCATTTTTAAAAATCAAGCGTATAAATCCAATAAATTTAGTAGATCCGCAGGTTATCGTGCCATAGACACCAGAAAAAAATATCGAAACAAAATTTTGTTTTTTTTTCTCCGCGAAACCAAAAATGCGAAAAAAAAAGAATTTATTCGCTATTTTCAAATTTTATATTTCCTGCTTTCTTGCCTTTTTTCTTTAATTTTTTTAGAAAACTTCAAGAACTTACACCCATGATCAATATGTTTAAAAACCGATCTAAGCTGGTCCTTTTGAACTTGCTTTTGCCACTGTTCATCATCAATTTGGTATCTCTTCCGGCAAAGATAACCAATCCATAGCACCACCGCGTATTTCGGAGACGACAACCTCGTAACAACATGTTATTATTGCTTAGAGGATATTGCTGGCCTTTGTAAACTAATCGACCTTCGAAACGGTCGAGTTTGTTGTTTGGAGGTTCACACACGATCTCACCTAAAACAATATCAGAGTTAGGGGTTTTAACGTCAGAATATTGGCAAATTTCGTGGTTTTATAACGTTATCAATAAAAATAATGTTATTTTCAATGTCTACGCGTGTTTTTAGGCAAGAATTTTAAAATTTTTTCATATTTAGAGTCTATACTTACCGTCAAATCCAAAGATGTCGCCAACAATATCGCCCATATCTCTAGTTTGTTTTAGAGCTGTTCTTGTTTTCAGATTGGTTTCTCCGTCCAATTCTGCTGTCTCAACATAGCACAGACCATGAGGTTCAGAAGATGACAGTAGCAGAAGATCGGCCGCGATGAAGTGTTCATTTTCCATCCTCACGATGTCGCCTACTTTCACATTTGTCCAACGTTCTTCGACCAGTCGACCATTACGAACTACATACGATATACGATTGTTTACCTGACTATCACTACGATGGCGTTGCTAAAAGGTTCGTTTACTACATGTGTAATGCAACGTTGTGTTTACTTCAATATCGAACTATTATGAACATCGTCTTTGCTAAGATTTAGTATTTTTTGAGCACATATGATTTAGAATGATACTACTTTGATGTCAACATAACTAAAAAATAGAAAGAAGAAGATGAGAACTTACAATATCATCATACGCGTCTTTGGCAGCTGAAAACCCGAGAACAATGGCAAGTGGGATAGCTGTTGAGTACCATACTATACTTGAGATCCATGGAATAAGCTAAAAAATATTACAAGTTAACATACAACAAGAGACGAATATGCTGTAAAAAACAAGAGTACTGCATTGGGATAACCCATAAAGTGGTACCGAAACCTACTTGCAAGACCATTAAAACGAGAAAATAAAAATTGGCAAGTCTTTGAAACTGTTCGAACAAGTTTTTTGGCAGGAAAGTGATCAGATTGTACTTGGATGTCTTGATGTAGTTGTCCTGAAAGGGTAAGGTTATTTTGATTATAATAGAAATTGTTGTTTTGTGTATTACTGGTGGTATGGTGTAACATTAATGTGTCTAACCCAACTTACGGCATACTTAAACCGGCTGTTAAAATCCCTATCATTGGCCCGTAGCACCCGCTCCATCGCGAAGTGGGAGTTGTCGCTGGCCGTCCGCTGCCGCTTGTGCTTCCGATGTTGTCCATTGTTGGGGTCGACTTTGGTTTGTTTCCCTGAGGCATCGGTCGTTACGATTTGTGGCGCGGTCGGATGGGTGGACGGGCTGGGCTGGGTGACATCTCGACGCCAAAGCCGCGTCATCCGATCCAACATTTTGACATTCCAGCCAGGTGAACGGCTAGAGGGCCGTTTGGGTGGGGTGGATGATATGTATCCAACTGAAGGCTTTATCAAGAAGCTGGGGGATCTAGAACGACATTTCTATTAAAAAATATAAAAATCGTTTTGATAAAAGGGTAAAGGTGGATATAATATGTATTCTTTGGCCAAATTAACATATTTTAATCACATTTTTACCAATTTAGCCTTAAGATGTAAGGCTTCAGTCTATTATATGATATTACAATTGCTGTCTTTTCTCAAAGAGTAAGAAACCAATGTACTGACAAAATTAACGTTATGAGGGCCATACTTTTAATTAGTCGAAAACGTTTTGTCATATTCTTAACAAGTACAGTCTCGAGAGCGTGAGAACGTCATTCTCACTTATAATCGGCCGTTGTTTGTAAACTTATTTACTTTTAAGAAATCTTATAGGAAATTTGTAAGAATGTGAGCTTAAGGTGTTCAAAGACCAAAAACAAAGAAGCTGTGAGAAAGAATTGAGAAATGGGTGGCAAAAGCCAGCACTTTATTCGAGTACGTACAATAATATATAATGTTTAACAGAGGCGTTTTTAAAAATTTTGGTAAGAAGTATGGCCTAATCTTTACCAAAATGACATACCTCTAAGACTACAAATTTTAAAAATTTAAAAAGAAGTCTTGCAGAAAATAAAAAACGTACCGAAAGCTCCTAACAAAGGGCAGATACAATGAAGAAGGCCGTTGCCTTTTTGGCAGATCTGCTTCGCCCTTGGTATCCTCTGAAAGTAATCACAATATAATCCTATAAATATGTCATAATATACCAAAATTGATATCATAATGTATCATAAACCGTGGAACTGGATAATCGGGGACTCAAACGTTGTTCGTTGTACAGGAGTTTTTGTAAACGAAACTTTAAACTTGTTAAAACTCAATAATTAAGGAACATTTGCCTTACTGTTTATACAGAACTTTTAAGACTAAAAATAAATATTGCATATAAAATTTAATAAAAAAGTATATTCAAAGTAGCATATTCTATTCCAAAGCCTAAATTATGTTTCCCACCCTCAATAAAACCCCAAATTATTGTGGAATGTTAAGATGTAAAAACCTGTACATGAAGAAGTTAAGAAGGTGTATATTAAGCAGGCATGTGAAGAAGGTATAAGACTGTTAAAACTTTAATCCAAAGATCTAATTTTATAGACCATTTAAGACCGGAAACTCTAGATTAAGATGAGTTAAAACTTAAGATCAATCTTAATGAGCTTGGTAAGCCTATTTTGTAATTGTTAATATAGATATACTGTACGGCCAAATATAATGCAACATTTGGATCTTTTAAAATTTAATATAGTTACTGTATTTAAATGTTGCAAAATTTAAAATGAAAATGTAAAAAGACACGAAATAGCCATACGATTACAACTTTAGCAAAAACTTCCTTGACATAACATTGGCCTTCAATTCGAGCATTAAATCTTGAAAAAGTAAACGTGATTTAATAAAAAACAGGTGGTTTTACATGAAAAACAATGTAAAATTTAAAGAAGAAAATGGTAATTACTTTTTCTAGTAATTTATAATCTCTAATAACATGACTTTAAAAAGTGTCTAAAATAATATTAATCATCTCTTCTTTCTTACATTCCTTAAAATTAAATCAAAATTTTCAAAAAAATAAAAATCAGCTTATTCTACAAGACAACTGCCATATTACTATACGAAGCGTTCAATTATGACTTAAACCAATCACAATATTTGCATAATCACAAATTCGTACAAAGCCAGACAATGAAACAAAAAAGAGAATTGGTTCTGATGTTCGGCCACGGTTCTTCCGTTTCGTTTTTTGCATGTATATTTTTGTTGTGAAGCCGCCAGGGGGGGGATGAGACGACAGTCTTGGTATTCCTTTCCACCTTGAAAAGGTGCAGCCCCTAAGGGCAGGAAGGAGCGGCCGAAAGGTTCTTTTTTATTACCATGGCAATTCAAGGGTTTCACGTGGAAAAAGAAACGGTTTGGAACAATGAGAAGCAAGTACTATACTATGAGAAGCAAGTACTACAATATATAACGATAGCGAGCTACAACAACATACATATATAGAAGGTACTGGGTGCAAAATAAGAATGTACCGACAGTTTTTGGTCAATATGTGAGATGACGAAGCATAAAATATAAAACTTGGCTTAAAATGGACAGGCCTTGATTAAACTTCAAAAAACATTTTTTAATTTAAACTAAAAAATTGTAAGTGTATATGAAAAAAGCAAGAAACATGTTTTACAACAAATGTCATTAAAAAATTCCAAAAAATAGCTTTTAAGGGGTGTGGCTGATCGTTATCAAACACCCCCAGAATGACTTTAAGCCCTTATGCTAACTTTATTAAATTAAACTACGTTTATTATGAATTTACGTATTAAAATGGAATTTAAAGTTTTTTTATTTTGTAATTTTACGTTACCAAGTACTATAGATGAAAATATTTTGATAAGAAATAAAACGTAAATTGTAATTTTGTAAAAACAACTTTCCAAACCCAATATCTACCTTCACCAATATGTAATTGTATAAGACAAGGAAGTACATATCTAATTACAACTTTGACACTTCAAAGTAAAAAAGTTGACAAAAAGTGTTACGTAACAAGGCCATACGTTTCGAAAACGTTTTGATAAATAATTTTAAACATTTTTCAAGAAGTTGTACAAGAAAAATGTGAAAAAGATAAGGAATGAAATTAAATAATATTTCCAATATATTTCTCTCAATATACTATTACAGATAAAATACTAAAAAATTCTACTTTACGAATATTGCCACAACACCGTTCTATAAACTTTCTGACCAAAAGAACTATTGACTTCGCAAACTTTTTTCGAATCAGCAAAAGTGATAATATGCTTTTTTATTATAGGTATGACTTTCCATGTCTAATAAAAGCGTCGCACCCTCAGGGCCAAATAAGCTGAACATACAAATAGAAATTAATCATAAGGACAATAAAGGTTTCATATTCTTTTGTTCTATCTGTAGGCTGCCAAACCGTAAACAACACTATCCTATTTGTACTTACAGACTCAAAAATGGTTTATACGTCGTACTAACCGATCTTTTTCGAACTTTGCTGTTGCTCAATGAAATTGTTGAAATTTAGAAAAATGCACTGTGCTAATATTATTAAAATTCTGAAGTATGGTAAGGCTAAAATGTAGTCTTTCTATAATATCCCTATGAGATGACTGTTAACACTCTCCTATATCGTTTTCTAAACTAAAAACCAACTTTAGAGATCTCTAAAAATGCCTAAACTCTTAACAATAACACGTATTTACAACTCTAAACCATTCATTAACATCTTGAGTTACAAAACAACATAAAAAACCAGTATAATTGTTAATGTCTACACCATAGTAATCAAAAACAGCCACATTAACTACAAACTAAAATTGAATTCCGTTTCCAAAACTATTTTCTTGTTTCCCACCGTCCAGATCCTTAGTCGCTGACGCACGACGAGATTCAGCCCACAAAAACATAAAAAAGTTAAATTGATATGTCATCGTATTACGTAAAGTTACATTGCTTCTTATTTGGTAGCTTAACGGGTCTAGTTGCCCAGTTGGTTGTAACTTAAAGGGTCTAAAAGCATTCAGTAAAGTATATTCATTTTTGAAAGAATTACAGGAACTTAATGTCAAAAGTTGTCAAAAGTACATAAGATAACAATATGTGTAAAATACGTTAAAAACGTTCTTTTTGGCTTTATAAAGAGGTACATTACTATAAATAAACTCTACAGCACATAAAACCTCAAAATTACAGTCATATCTTGATCAACTTTTCAAATATTCAAAAGTAACCCCAGTAGGTCCCCAACCAACTACAATACCTTTCACTTTCAAACTGTCACCTTTGTCGGTAAAAGCTAGCATTCACAAAGCCAAATTCAAAATATAAATTTGTATAAAACGTTTTCGAACCAAAAAAGCGCCTAAAAACAGAAAAAAGCAGATTTAAAACACTTTCAGTGCAACACGATGACAAACATAAAAACTGTCGGCCGAATGCCAAAAACATTGTCAAACGACCGTGAAATGACGCCAATCGACTGTAAACAAAGTGACTGCAAACATGGTAAGCTAGGATGGTAAGCGGCAATGGCATTTCAATAAAAAGGCGATTTCCGCTTCGAATTCTATATTGTAGTAGAAGCTACAAAGAATCTGAATTTTGACTTTTCAAAATTTTGGCTTTTTTGAATCGAGATTCTTTTTCACTTTTTGATCTGAATCCTCACTTTCCAATACGATTATAGATATTTCAAGTGAGAGTCAGAAGTAATCCGATCAACAATAAAAGTGTCAGACCAAAGGAAGTCAGTTCAACGTTTTCTGAAGGGAAAAGTGCAGAAAAATACAAATTTTGAGTAAAAATATTGAAATTTCAATGCCTAAAATCTTTTAATAAACTTTCTTATGTTTGCGATCCTTGTGAAACCAATTTTTAAGCCTAAACGTCATAAATACAATTTTAAAATTAAAAAATGATTCAGCTCAAAGGAATTAAAACGCCAAACTTCGAAGCGATTTATGTTACACTTGATTTTCGCTGTTTTTTAATGGGTCCAAGATCTTTTAAAAGTGAAGGTGAAAGATGGCAATCTTAACATTAAAGATAAAAATTAATTTAAAATCCGTCAAATTAATTATAATTCGAATAATTAAAATAAATTTGACTTACCCATGTTCTGCTACGACGACTTCAGAATCCGCATTGTGACAAAAGTTCAAGACTTGACCTGAAGCTAAAATTAGAAATAAATTTGAAAAATGAAAGTCATTTCACGCGTATTTTAATTACAAATCTGACCGTGAAACTTCAAGTTCCCGGTTTAAGAACACAAATTGGATTTTGAATTAAAATTTAACATTATTCGTTTGACTGTATATTATACTTAAACCTACATGAAAGTGACTAAAAACAAAAAAAACTGTTTGATCAACCTGTAATCTGCTTGAAACCACTGCCATAATCTTTATATCAACCATCTCGCCTTTTTTAATTCAAAACTGAAAGAAAAGACTTATTAAAATTAAAAAAAAAACTTTTAAATAACTTTTAAAATTTATAGCCAATCTCTTTCTTCTAAATTATTATAGAAAACCCATCATCAACCCCAATTTAATTTGAACAATACCAACTTTTTTCTTCAAATCCTAAAAATAATCCCGCGCTTTATTTTTTGAACGTCTTTTGTCAGCTGAATGGCCCAATTGGCCTTATTCTTTCTCCTGAGGGTTTTTGCGCGGCTTTGTTATTTACAATGACTCTTTCAACCGGAACCCGGGTGAAGAACAGAGGAGAGGTGTGGGTCATGTTTACATACCTATATTTCGAGTGATTTCGCATGATATCACCGGGTCTGGCTGATAACTAGTACTGCTGTACTATTGTTTTTACATTACTCTTGGACTTATTGATGACTTTACTTATTTTATTTCACAATAGTAACAATATAAAACATTATTTTCTGCATCAAGAGCTCTGAATCTATAATAACTAATTTGTATTTTCGTGTATTTTAGTCTCATTGTGTTATGCCAAGGTGTGTCCTATTTGTAGCCATTTTCAATACACAGCCGTAACCACTTGACATTATATCAAACTGTGTAAACTTTGAACTATTACACTTTTTGTACAAACGCAACTCAAGTACTTACTAACATTTTTATTAAATACTACAAAACATAGTCTGTACAAATCTATAAGTTCTAAGCAGTCCGTTTATTACTGAATACAGTAACCGCTGACACTATGTGTTCACTTCTACTAAACTTTTTAGTAAAAAATTGTCAATACGGCCGTACATAGTAGATTACTGTAAAGCAGTTGCATGTCGAGTGTAAACATGTTACTGCAGCAGCTACCATAAGATAAACGGGCGCTTTTCGAAACTTGAATATCGTTGCTGACAAAGCTATGGCCAATGGTATACCAAGGATGATAGCAGTAAAAAGTAACTGCATTCTGATGGATTTGAATAACATGTACTGAAAGTGATTTTATGAATAGGTATTGCAACATTGTTTAAATAGGTAAACATTGTATTTACGTAATATGAATTTACATCTGACGTTAACTTTAAAATTAAACAAAAAATATAAATACTACAACAAATTATACTTACACCCTTTCCTAGTATTCGAAAACATCAAAAGATTACTCAAAAAAGCCTATGCAAACGTACAACTACAATCTCAGCTTACTTGTATTTTGAATGTGGCCGTACTCATAGAAGAGCCATCCTTCATCAATTTCCATAAATGTGACAACATAAATGTGATAGAAGACACGAACAATACTCCTATCAACCCCATAAAAACATATGTTACACTAGCTGTGTTATAAACATCAAAACACAACGTTGATGACTCTGTTTCGTATACCAATTTCATTGCTGGTATTGTTTTTACCAACTCTGTCTTGACATGTAAATCATTGTCAAAATTTAAGAACATTGGCAACTAAAAACAACACAATTACAGTAAAAAAACTAAGAAGACCTTGTCATTTAAACGAAAGTTAAGTTTGATTTTACTGTATAAAGGATGATATTGTAAATAAATTATACTCACTGCTATTGAAAGCTGCATAAGCAAAAAGATGACAACATAAACGTAGATGTTCGGTTGCACTATAAACCGTAATACTCTATAGTTATCTGGTGGTAATGCTTAAAGTACTTTTGTCATAAAGCACAAGACCTAAACGTTTATAGAGTTAATTAAACATAAATTATAACAATCATGTTGTACTTCACCTTACACGTATAAATTCGTAAACAAAACATAATCAGTTAGTGCTAAAATATTTTAACTTTTAAAATAAAACTTACATAAACGTACCTGTGAATACCTGTAAGTAATAGCCACAAAGATAGCAAAGACCTTGCCAACTGAAAAGAAACCAGCTGCAATCACAGCAAACTTTTGGTAATTTCCACTTAAATGACGAAACATACCAGCACTATACGAACATTGGAGAGGAAACAACTCGATTGGGATCCACAAACACATAAAACTGTCAAACAAGTAGTTCCACACTAATTCATGAAGCAGACAGTACTTGTATACACCCATACCTAAAAATATAACAGTAGAAGAGAATACTTTATGTTTGACAAAAAGCCATATTATTCAATCTAAGATCTGTTTTTAAGATAAAAACATTCTCCTTAACCTAATTTTTATGTTCACCACATATATCACCTTTGTCTAACATATATAACGCTTTTCCCATAACGTTATGTATAACCTACCTTTACCCGTGGCTTTGAGTATAACAACAGTTGTTACCATAATAGATATTGTAGTCAATATCAACAAAACAAAAAGCACATAAACATAAATTTGAATCTGAAACTAATCTGGCAAGTCCGATACATAAAGCTCCGCAGAACTAGACATACTTCCAAGTTCAAAATAATTATATGTAATAACTCAAAAAGTAGGTTTAACGTCTTCACAATCAATTGGCCAAACATTTAAACGTATGTCAAATGATTTACACCAACTGTAAACGTATTTGTAACAAAATGACTACATTCGTACAGTTTTTAAAACGTTATAGTCTTCTCTTTGCATAACTACGATCTTCTTACATACTACAAAGTGTAAACTTTGTTTGACGATACTTGAATTTACATAGTTTTTATAAGAAAAAGCTACACAGGTTCATAATTTAAAAAAGATTATAATAAAAAAGTTAATTAGTGAATCTTTTAATCACAACTTTTACTAAAATAATTATTTTTAATTTCAGAAAATTGCGCTTAAAAAATTTCAAGGCGAAATATCACGAAAAATTCAATAGTTGAAATGCGTCTACATTAAAAGTAGAAAATAAATATTTTTGTGCTGAAAAATTGTATGCAACTCTACTCAAATGTGTTTATAGAATCTCTGCTCATTATAAAATAAATTTTCTCTAGTTAAATACGGTTCATATGGGCTATTTCGACAACCTTCACAGTCCCAGAGTTCTGAACGATGCTACAACTTCTCGAAACAACACGAATAACTGCTCCTTCGACAGTTCTAGCAAATACAAATTACTTGCCTTGTTTCAAACAGTAAAACTGCATGATCTTGATATACAAAACTCAAGTTTTCGTATTCATACTGAGATTCAGATTTTGCCGATACAAAGGAAAGTAAAGGATGTTGTTCTTCACCTGGGAGAATGTAAGTTTCTATTGCTGGTCTTGAAGTTTAGATTTAGTTGGAAATGAGGACGGCATTTATGAAAATTGTTATAAGAGAATTTACAAGTTGTTTTGGTCTTGAAATTGTAATTCTTAAAAGGAATGAGGTGATACGGCAGTTTATTCAAGTAAACTACTGTAAAAGCAAAATGATACAGTTTTGTATATTAATAGTATCTTTAGATTGCCTGTTGCCAAATGAACAAGGCAATGAGCGTCAAGGTACAATATCAATTGACGGTATTGAATGTAGGTATCGAAGAAAACGGCTAGATTTTAAGTTGGACACTCATATCAGTTCTATGAATTTACTGGCGTTGAAGAAAGCTTCTAGCGATGCTTTGAAGAAACATGAGGGTGAATTGTACATTGAAATACCTCCACAATTGTTGTCCAAAATTAACGAAAAGAGGGTTTTTATACTTTCGATTGATTGTTTTGTCAAACAGCCGGCTTTTGTAAGTTTTAAATTTTTGTCAAATTTTTTTTGAAAAAAAAATATTATAATTCTCTAAAATTATTAGTTGTGATTTTTAGGGTGTATATTTTTCTCAAGGAAGTAAACGAGGCGATGGAACACACGTTTATACATATAGGTCTGGGTTATTATCAAGTACTCGAGATTGGGTGCCTTGCTTTGATCATCCTGATCATCTGACGTTGTGGAAGTTACAATTTGACGTTCCATTTAATTTGACAGTAATATCAAGCGGAGACTTGGTGGTAATTTTACTTTAAACAGATTTTTTGACTTATGTTACACTTGGATATACAGCCGGTGTAGTCATTACCTATAAACTTAAAGGTGGTCTAATTTAATTACACATTGTTTTAGGAAATAGAAGGAATGTCAGATGAATCTCTAAAGTCGTACACATTTATGTTGGGTACTCCAGTGCCAGCTATGAATATTGGATGGGCTATTGGAGACTTTGAGGATACGGTTCAACCAGAAATGCCAGATGTATGTTTATTTTGGAATTTTTTACTTTACTTTTTTAATTAAAAACTGACATCGGACCAGCTTCTACAATTCTTTACAATTATTATTGTACTTTTAGGTAAGCAGTTACTCTCCACCAGGTGTCCAGTCCCTTGTCCAACACACTCTGGCCACATTACCGCGTGTCTTTACATTCATTGAAGAAACCTTGTCTTGTCGGTTTCCTTATTCGTCGTACAAAATGATATTTGTTGATCAACCGCCAGAAGAACATCAATCTTATGCTGGTTTGACAATATTCAACATCAACTTGCTGTATCACAAGAAGATATTGGATACGGTGCAATCAGTACGACAAGTAGTTGCTTTGGCAGTTTCTACTCAGTTCTTTGGCTGTTATGTTAACACGAGGTGTCTAGACGACCTGTGGGTAGTGAAAAGTTTGGCAATGTCAGTTTTTCTTTAATATATTCAGGTTCTGTTTACATAATAATGGTATATAATTGTGTTTAAGAAGGTTAATAACTCTTTAAGCTTTTTTTAGATATTTATACATTGTCATAAATATAAAAATTTAAAAATCTTGTTTTAGGCACATTACAGCGTTGTACGTTGAGAAAACGTTTGGGACGTCTGAATATAACTATCTGGTCAATAAGTTGATGGAACAGATTTGTGAATACGAAGCTAGTTTTGGTCCCATTGTGCTGAAACCCAAGTCTTCACACCAACAAAGCCATCTTTACTTCGATCCCAGCTATTCTGAGACCTGTTCCCCCCACTATGCTGAAGCCAGGTTTAAGAAAGGACAGTTTGTGATGAGATGCCTACAACTTAAGCTGGGGAAGGAACATTTTTTGAAGGTAAGCTGGCGTTTCTTACTGGTATACAGGTTGGAATTTATTTGTGTAAAAAAGGTTTTTTAACACGTTTTTAGGTATTATAACACAGTGTTTGACTTAAAGTTACTTTTTGTATTAAAGTAAAGCAAAACCATGAATAGTGTTATGAATAATACTAAAAACACTATTTGAGGTGTTGAACAGAATGCTCGTAGTAGCCAACCAATTCAGTCAAAGTCTCGAGAAACCGGTCGAATGGTCCCACATGGTCGTATCTTGTGATTCCTTCTTTAAAACTGTGATATCCGTAACAGGCAGAGAGTTGTCCTACTTTATGGAGCTGTTTGTGTACAATGGTGGTCATGCCAACTTTGAAGTCAATTATCAGCACAATCGGAAGAGGAACATAGTGGAACTGGAGCTGAAACAAGATGTCAGAAGTAGTACTAAAGGTCGAATTGAGTACGTCGGACCATTGACCATCTGTATTCAGGTAATTCTAGTTTTTTGTCTTGTCAAAGTGATTTTCAAAGACACAAAAAAAAGTTTTTGTATAATGAAACGAAATGTCAATATAGACTTTTGGCATTTCGCATAAAAACAGTTTTTTGTAGGAATTGGATGGTTGCTTCACTCACACGGTCCAAATCGATGCCAATACATCTAAACATGACTTGCAATGTCATTCTAAAGGTCGGAGGCAGAAAAGGAAGAAAGTTCCGTTATCGACCGGTGAAGAATTGGATATTGACTTGAGTGCATTGGACGCGGATTCTCCAGTCATGTGGATTCGAATTGATCCTTATATGGAGGTTCCAAGAACGCTTAAGGTAGGTATTGTTGGTTAGATTGTGTAAAATATTATACAATGGTTTTTTTGTTTTCATGGTTTTTTAAACATAAGATTACGATTTTTGTAGTGATTAAACTATAATTTACGTTGTTTTTCCAAATTATGTTATTCATTACACTTTAGATAGCCCAACCTCAAAATCAATGGGAGTACATGTTAAGATACGAACGTTGTGTGATAGCACAGACAATGGCCATCGAAGCGCTACAACACTTTCCTCTACAGAACACTCACAACGTTCTGGTCGAAGCCATTAACAACCAGAACTTCTTTCACAGAGTCAGATCGAGAGCTGCGATGTGTTTGACAGAAGTGTCTAACAAGCTACCTGATGGACTGATTAGTGGAAAGCCAGCCTTGATCGACTTTTTTGAGAAAAACTTTGGATGTTCGGCTAATCCCTCTATTCCAGCTTTACACAACTTCGTCGCCACTTCGAACAATCTACAAAAGTACATTCTGATGTCGGTGAGTGTATTGTAATTGGCAATTTTGTTTTTGGACATGTGTTAGACAATTATTGGTCATTTTTACACTTATTTTGAAAAAGTTTAAAATTCAATGAAAAATTCCTAATTTCAAAAATCAATTTCAGTCACTACCCCCAGCCATTGGCCGAATGAGAAGAGAGCAAAAACATTGTCCAAAAGAGATTACCCACTTCTTGTTAGGACTACTACAATTCAATGACAACTCTATGAACAGATATTCTGATGACCATTACCGTGCAGCGTTGATCGGTGGAATCACGGCTTCGATTACTCAAGCTGATCGGACTCTGGTCGATACTGGAAAGCCAGAATCTATGAGTGAAGGTATTGATGAAATCGTGATGGAAATCACCAGAGCCTTGAATATGGATCAGCTGGAGCCAAGCTATCACAAAGTTGTTAGCCAAGCGTGTTTGAGGTGTTTGTTGGCTGTAAGTTTGTTTCGAATTTTTATTTGGTTGTAAAACCTTGTTGTATGTTGGTATATTATTATGGATATATCATATGTACTTACTTTTTTAGTTACAACGCTTCAATCATCTTCCACTTGATGCCACAATCTTTTGGATGTTTGCTGAAGAAAAGTTGGTGTTTAATGGAGTAAGGTATTTGCGTTAGTTATTTTTAAAATATCTTTCTAATGCAAGTTGACTATATGTATCACAAAGTACGACAATAGTTATAATTTATTACCTTGATATTTTAGCTTCGAAAAACGGCTTTGAATTGTCTGTGCAGTATGATACGAAGAACCCACAACACAGCGTTGATGAGCACTATAAACAGGTTATTCGAAATGGTGGTGAGCGACGAAAGCCCTTTTATCAGACATTCCTTGGCTACTTCAATATTGTTGAAGACTCCATTCGCTTATTCGGCGGAGTAAGTTGCACTTTTTTAAATTTCACTTTTTAGTTGTTATGCATACTTATAACTTTAATTGCGTATTTTTAAGTATACTTTATATATATATATATTTATTGTTTTAGTGTCATCAACAACTTGGGTTACTTCTCGAATACCAAAGAGATGGCTGAAAAGTTGTGGAGAATGGCTACGGACTTGAGATTGGTAAGTTTTTACAAATATTGAATTGGTAATTTGAAGAAGATAAATCTAAGTTTTTTCTTTTCAGGAACCAAAAATCCGGGTTCAATTGGTGGACATTTACTACATGATGTACTTGACCTGCACACCCCTTGTCTTGAGACCAAGACATGAAATTGATGATTTACAAAGACGGCAAAATGAAGAGATTAGGATGGGTACTGTAACAAGTCTGAACTAGATTTGGATGAAGGATCTACACTTATTAACTGTTCAGTCTATGTTATCATTCGAATCTCAATGTTCTACAATTTTATCTGGAAGTATTGACTTATTATATTATAAAAGCGTGTGATACGGGTATATTGTAATGATGTTGTGTTAATAGATAATAAAATGTTATTTTTACAATTTTTATGGTAGTTTTGAATTGTAACGTGTTTTTACGCACATTACTACTTTTTAAATTTTAAAGACATTACTTATAAAAAATAAGTGTTTTGCGTGCTTTTTATGGCATGAAGTATTATGCTGTCTCAATTTATCAACTTTCTTTGAGTTTAATGGCAGACGAAGTGTTTGAAGACCAAGACCAATCGCTGAATGCAGTAGCTCTACGTTTACAGAAGGTATCGATAAAGAATAGAGAAAGAAGACCGTCAGACGATCTGATACCTGATGTTAATGTACTGCAAGACTTGGAGGAACATGCCAAGACCATCTCATCCAATCTTGACATGACTTTGCGTGATTTGAGGGGTGGGTTTTTACGATAATTGTACGGTAATCAACAGTACATTAGCGTTACTGCTTTTTTTTATGTTACAGTCGATCTTTTTTATAATGACACGTCTCTTATAGGCCTTCTACGTGGAGTTAGTGACTTATCAGTGGAGTCAATTCAAGTTTTCAATCAAGTGATTTGTGGCACTTGTGAATCTGTTGACTCTGTCATTCGGTCTTTTTACACTGTAAGTCACTATAGTTTTATGTACTTTTGATGAAATTTTGAGCTTTTTATTGTAATATGGTTTACAGATGGTCGCCAAAACTGAAGAACTCAATGGCACTATGCTAACTGTACAAAAGTTGGCTCGACAAATGTAAGCTTGTTTATATATATATATATATATATTACTTTTGCATTTTTTCAAGCTATTTTAACAAAAAAGGTAGTTCTTGTTAGAATTAATCTTGGTTTTGCTTTGACAAAAAACCATTTGTCTAGCTACTATAACATATTCGTTTTAGTAACGAAATCAAACGACTGGTCGACCAGTTCGAAGCTCAATTCGTGGACGTGCAATCTGCCTAATGTACAAACTCTCAACTTACTTATAGCGTTATCATTCTTCTACCAAAAGCTAAAACTGTAAATCAATGTTGTAATTATTACTGTAAAAATAAATTATTTCAGTCGAAACAGTTGCAACCTCTCCGTTAAATTGTAAAACATGTCGTCACCCACAGTTGATTACTTGGTTGTGTGGGGAAAGGTCAAACACGCCTGATTCAAGAGGTCTTTCCTGCGAATCTCGCGCTTTTATTTATTTTACGTTTTTTCGCATGAATATCGCTTATGTGGTCAATATTAATATAGAAAGAGGTTTGGTTTGGAGGAAAAACGACGTGAAATTGTCATAAATGGGCGTTGCTTTTCGTATTTCTTTACCCTTTTTACTACGTAAGCAAAGTGATGTTCGTATGAGTCATTTCGTTTCTACTGGCTTTTCAAATTTTGAAATTTCAAATTGAAGCTTTTTGGATTTTAGAAGTCATTTTGAAAGAAAGGATCGTTGCTTGTGTACGTCTTTCTTTAACTGTCTATATTCGTATACGTTTTTTTTATTTAAAAATATATTAACTAGCAGTCGTTCTTGTTATAGTAATCTTTTTATCTCAAATAGTAGCTTTAACTTTGATGTTACAGTAAGATGTCGGACGATGAGTACTACGAAGGCGATGGTGATTATGTAGATGGTTATGATGACAATGAAGGTGGTGGATATGATGACAACGATGGTGGTGGATACGATGGTGACAATCAAGAATATTACGGTGACCAAGGAGGCTACGAACAAGAAGAGTTTGGTGGTTACGAAGATGAGAATCCACCAGAAGAAGACCAGCAAGTTGAGTATAATGAAGCCTATAATGAGCCAGAAGATGAAGGTTATCAACAACAAGAAGAAGAGCAACCTCAAGAAGAGCAGGCATACCATCAAGAGTCCAACTATGCTGATGTGGAGCAACCTCACAGTACTGGAGGGGGATTGGAGTTTGGAGGGTTTGTCAAGGATGCTATGGACGGATTTGGGGGAGGATCTATTCATGATGTGGTAGATTCTATTCAGAACATTGCTGGAGGCAGTGGAGGTGAGTCATATTGTACTAAAAGTTTGGGTTTAGAAGATCTTACTTTTTACCGTATGTCGTGTATACAAAACTGCACACTGAAATGCTATTACTTGTATATATCAAGTAATACTTCACGCTAACAATTGTAAGATAATATAATTCTAGGTTTGACGAACATTTTGGCTAGCGGCGGATTGGAGACTATTGCAGCTGGACTGATCGCTACAGCAGCCCACAAGTTCTTCAATGTAAACCCGGAGACCGGTCGTATAATTGGAGCGATTGCCGGTAATGTCATCTTTCAGTTGGGAGGTAAACACAACAGTCTCAGCGACATTGGCAAGATTGTGTTGGATAACATTGTCAGCGGAAAGTATAAGAGAAAGGTATGTTTCTACATTCATTATCTGTTACTGACCATTTTTATAAGATAAGTATATAAAGAAATTGATTTTAAAATATTGTAATGTTCAGGTTGACCCCTTCATCTCGCCAACACCTGGAGTCAAGAGCTTCAACCTAGACTTTAACACGGAGCGTCAACGGTGTTTGGCCGAAAAACGTCTGTTTGAAGATCCAGAGTTCCCGGCTAACGAATCCAGCTTGTACTTTAGCCAGAGGCCTAAGATGAGTATCGAATGGAAGAGACCAGCGGTAAGTAAAATACGAAGCTTTAAATATTATTTCACACTGACATATTATGATTTATAAAGAGACATAAATTTATGCAAATTTGTTTTAAAACATATTTAAAATAATATTCCTAAACATAAAGATTCCAGGAAATAGTGAATGACCCCCAACTGATCGTTGGAGGTGAATCCAGATTCGATGTAAAGCAAGGAGCTCTTGGAGATTGTTGGCTTCTAGCTGCTACTGCCAACCTTACCCTACGCGAGGAACTCTTCTACCGTGTAGTTCCTCCAGATCAAAGTTTCACCGAAAACTACGCTGGCATCTTCCATTTCCAATTCTGGAGATACGGTAAATGGGTGGATGTTGTTGTAGATGACCTTCTTCCTACCCACAACGGAGAATTGGTCTACATGCATTCCCAAGATCACAATGAATTCTGGAGTGCATTGTTGGAGAAGGCGTATGCTAAACTCTATGGATCCTATGAGGCCTTGAAGGGAGGATTCACATCTGATGCCATGGAAGACTTTACTGGCGGGCTGATTGAAGATTATGACATTAAAGAGTTGCCTAAGGAACACCTGTTAGCTTTGATGGTGCGAGGATTCCAAATGGGATCTTTGTTTGGTTGCAGTATTGACGTAAGTCTTTTAACTATACTTTATATCCAAAACGTTGATCAACGATATACTATGTTATTCTTTGTAGGCTGATCCAGAAGTCACGGAAGCGCGCTGTGACAATGGTCTAGTACGAGGTCACGCCTACAGTATCACAGCCCTACAGACCGTATCTGGCCCTCGTGGAATGACTCCAATACTGAGAGTTAGAAACCCATGGGGAAATGATACGGAATGGAATGGAGCATGGTGCGATGGTGCTCCAGAATGGGACTACGTCAGCTACGAAGACCGACACAAGATGCAGGTCGTATTCAAGGCTGACGGTGAATTCTGGATGAGTTTCGACGATTTCGTGAGGAATTTCGAGAAGCTAGAACAATGTAATCTGGGTCCGGCTGTCATGAACGAAATCGCCGAAATGACTGGCGTAGCTCAGGTGGCAGATTCAGCTTGGACTGAGTTCCAGGCGGATGGACAATGGTTATCAGCACAGGGTACTGCTGGAGGGTGCAAAAATAATCGTAAGTTCTTAAAATTGCCTTTTTTGTGTTTTTGTAATGTGTTACAGCTAGAACATCTCCAAAAACAAAAGTTAAAACAATTATTTCAGCTTCCTACCCCAACAATCCTCAATATGGTGCTAAACTCAGTGTTGGAACAAACACTGTAGAAGCTGACGGCAAAGCTACCGTCATCGTAGCCCTGCTACAGAAGTATCGCCGTGAACTTCGAGTATCTGGATTAGACAACCTTGCCATTGGATTTGCTGTTTACGAGCTTCCAAGTCCAAGAAGACAACAGGAAGATTACCTTAAGCATGCCCATACGATAGCAAAGAACCCTGTATTTATAAACAGCCGAGAAGTTACGGCAAGGTTCAGAGTTCCACCAGGAGAGTATCTTATCATACCATCTACTTTCGAACCAAATGAAGACGCGGAGTTCTTGCTAAGAATATACACAAGTGGACAAGTGGAAGCTGGGTAAGTAACTTTCCAATGTAAGCATTTATTAACGTATACTGTAATATTAAGAATTACAGAAATATAAAACTTTAATATCTTATTACAAATATTAATAATTTCAGATACTTGAGCTAAATCGATACCCTCGATCCTTAAGCCAATCCACAACGTTCGCCAATTCCGGCCTCGAATCCATCTCTTTGTCACTCACATTGAACGTATAATTATTGTCTTCTAAATAGTTCTTCGGCTCGTCCTCATCGTCCTTATACACACGGCATCTTACCATGGCCTTTCCTAGCCCCAACGCGGCCAGAAACTTTAGTTGAGAGGCTTCGTCCATTAACTTATACTGTGATATACCTTCGTCATAAACCTAAACGCATAATACTGGTCAATAAAACAATAACTTACGCAATTTATATCACGAGACACTGATATTTGCACTTGAATACATTAATAACCCCGAAAGAAACCTATGTCACCAAGTGTATGTATACAAACTAAAGCAAGGCACTCGACTTACATTAATATCGGCTATTTGATCCATATCAACTGTCCAGTTGTCCATTATGTAAATAATGTTCTTCGAGGCAAGCGAAGTAAAAGTAGGACATATTAAGCGTGTCGAAACGTTCCGTTCCTTCCAGCCAGACATTTTGATGTCTGAAAAGGGGCAACGTTGAAACATCAAAAAGAGTAAATTTTAAACGTTTGGAGAACATATCATATATTATAGTTACGTTTAAACACACATGTCCGGAATCATTTAAGTAAATATCACGTTTTTATGAAAATATTGTATGTGAAAGTCTTACAGACTAACAGGCAGCTGGATATCGTTTCCCTCCGTTTTATGTCGTATGCGGCTCCTTTCAAAGTGATTCATCTTATCTGACCAATTTTATAAGCGAAAAACAAACTCTATAAACAGCCTTCTGTTGTGCGCCTTTTGCAAATAAAAATAACATACTTGTTACTGTGATTAACTATCTTGACATAATTATGATAAGTAAAAAACCTAATTAAAATTAAAAAAACGAGATGCAATATCGCAAAAACCAATGTTATCATCTATATTTTCATTTAGCAAGGAATTTTTTAAATTTTTCTTATAAACAATCATTCGAAAAACTTTTTCAATAACGTTGAACTTTATCCCAAATACGGATATGAAATGCGATTATCATGTTTTAACTAATATTCATTATGTCTTGCAAATTTATCTTGAACAATTGTTATTTTTTATCAAATAAATGTCTCATGAATCACGAAAACCTACATTGTTTCCTCACAGGGGAAATTTCTGGAAAATAAAATATTTTTTTTTATATCCTGAAAAGAAACACGATGCCAAGAATTTTCCCTGTTCCGGCGCGACTTTGACCGTACGGCGCGTAAAAATAACTCGAAAAAAGAAATGTGAAGGCGCGGTTTCGGTCCAGTTTTCAGCATTCGAAGTCCCCGAATTTGTCAGCGTTGGTGAGGACTAAGTTAATATGCGAAAAATATGGTATTACTTGTAGACTTTTGTATTTAATGGTGTTTTAGGTATTAAAGCTTTTGGGTTTTAGATTATTTTGTCTGGGAAGAAATGTTGGGAAGTTACGAAATTTTTTTCAAAATTTTGGATGAACATCGGGATCTTGACTTATGTTGAAAATAATTTTTGTTATGTTTTGCATTGCGTTATCGTTGTGTGTAATTTGATGTTTTGTACAATTTTTGCCAGCTATAAATATTTATAATTTGTTTTAGCGTAGCTTCAGTTCGATAATGGGAGACGACATTCCTACCTTCAAGTTGGTTCTCGTTGGAGATGGTGGTACCGGCAAAACTACTTTCGTGAAACGCCACTTGACCGGAGAGTTCGAGAAGAAGTATATTGGTAAGATTTTGTTGTTTTCTTTGATTTTTAGGTCTTATTTCTTTGTAACTATAAGGGTAATATAGGTATATGGTGTTATATAAATCAAGGAAGTGTAAAAATGTTGTATTTTACTTTAGGTTTTATTTTTTTATCTGGTCATATTTTATCTTATTTTGTACAGCTTTTTGCTATTTTTCTTGTATTTACTGTGTTCTTTGTCTGTTTGATGTTATATGTGATGTTTACTTACTAATTATTCTTTTTTTAGCTACACTTGGAGTAGAAGTACATCCACTGACCTTCCACACAACTAGAGGTCAGATTAGGTTTAATGTGTGGGACACAGCTGGGCAAGAGAAGTTTGGTGGTTTGAGAGATGGATACTACATTCAGGGAAATTGTGCCATCGTTATGTTTGACGTTACAGCTCGTGTCACTTACAAGAACGTTCCAAATTGGCATAGGGATCTTGTTCGAGTGTGCGAGAATATTCCAATGGTTTTGGTCGGAAATAAAGTAGATGTCAAAGACCGTAAGGTGAAAGCCAAGAGCATCACATTCCACAGAAAAAAGAACCTCCAGGTATGTTTTATTCATGTTAAGTTTGGTATATTATGATTTTTAGTTATGAGGACCTTTTTTGTTGCTGAAAGTCAATTTAAATTAAAGTTTTGCTTAATTTTTGCTAGTTTAAATAATGTTTAATGATTTTTTAGTACTACGACATCTCTGCCAAATCAAATTACAACTTTGAGAAACCTTTCCTCTACTTGGCCAGAAAGCTCGTCGGAGATCCAAACCTTGAGTTCGTCGCTATGCCTGCCTTGGCCCCACCAGAGATCCAAATGGACCCAGCCATGGTCAAACAGTACGAGAAGGAAGTGGAGGACGCCGCTAACGCTGAACTTCCGGATGACGACGACGATCTGTAGAATGTCGAATTAATCTCATCGTCGGTTGTTGACACATCTAATACTTTATATAATCTAAGATCTGCATGTTGTTAATTTAATTTGACCTGTCACTACAATGTTTGTTTTATTTTCTCTCATTTCTAATTAATACATCTTTGACCTTTGAAAGTTTTGTATCGAGCGCTCAATCAGCTTTGATTTCTTCAACGTTCTGAATGTTTGTGACATTTTGAATTATTTTTTACTATATAGAATGTGTTGTAACATTATTGTGGCTGTCGAAAACGTTGTTTGTCATCAATTCACTCTTGAATAAATTAATATTAGAGTTCACGGTTTTTATTATGTTATTTAAAACGTCGATACAGTATGGTAGTGTGAAATTTTAATGATATGGTATTCAACCTAGACTTATTTGTGAGTTTAAAAAACTGTTTTCTTCAAAAGTTCTCAGGCTTGATCTTAATTGAAAGACTGAGGTTTTAGTTTTAACGAGAATGCGCTGCTTAGGTTTTACTAATGATCGGCGTATTTTATTATAGAATGGTTGTCCTCTTTGACCAAACAATACGTGTTCAACGACATGAAGTCGATGCTGGGCCATCAACATCAGTTCTGGCTCAGAAAACGTACAATATACGAGTAGAAACAGTGGAAGGACAGCGAGAATCAGTAAGAAATTGTTTTCTGAATAACCTCTTATTCTGGATTTATGTTTTATGACATGTTTCCCCAGTCCATTTTGAAGTATTGTGTTTCCAGATGTTGTCGGTAGAATTGTCAGACCCTACAGATGACTCGTTTCTCTGCAAACGACGAATATCTTCTGTTGATTTTACCCAAATGAAGTCTGAACAAGGTTTAGACAAGAATCTGAAGTTTGATGGGTTTGGGAGTGTAGTGATCGACCTTTTGAATGAAGTTACTAGCTTTGATGTTATTTTGGAACTCACCCAATGTTCAGCTAATACAGATGTAAAATATTGTCGACTCGACTTTATACGAAAGGTGAGTGTTGAAGAACGTATATGCTCCAATAAGTTTTTAGTTTCATAAGGTCTTTTTTATACTTTTTTAGGTAGCATGTAGACGAGTAACAGACCTAGCTTTAAAGCTGCCCATTGTTACAGGATCCGAACTGACAGAACACCTATTGGAACTGGTACAAAAGTACAAGGTAATTGATTATTTATTTTTTTATCTTATATTTAGGACAAATATCAAGAGTCGAAGCAGCTCAACTACAGTTTGGAGCAGTACAAGAAGAAGTTCGAGGATACAAGTGAGGAGTTGGCAAAGCTAGAGGAACGCAATCAAGAGCTGGAGATCGAGAACTCTGATTTGAGGACTCGAGCTGAGGTAACGATTTAAAATTTGGTGTTGAATTGTAGTTTAGTCACAACTTTATTTTGTGATAAATCTTTATATAAATAATATTTCATATTTTGCTTCACGGATACTTAAAGTTACTGATGATTTTTGCCTTATTTCAGATAGCTGAGACTCAAAAAAGCAAAATATCAGAAGACCTGGATGCCAAAGAAGAAGAATACGAGTTTGTGAAAGAAGATAACGAGGCTTTACAAGATGAGGTAAGTAAATGCTGAATTCTTGTACAGCATTGCAATGATGTAGGATAAATTACTGAGTTCCAACATTTTTTTTTTATGCCAAATACATATTTTATGGTTTATTGCACTTTTAGATATCAGCACTCGAGCTTGAAGCTGAACAACTAAAAAAAGATTTGGACGAAAGTAATTACGTAGCGTCACATTTGAAAGATGAACTTAACACAGCCAGGAGAATGATAAAACAGTTTCATGAAATTGTAAGTACAATTATTAATTTGACATTTTATTTTTTATTTAAAGATGATAACTTATGTCTAATAACGATGCATTCGAAATATACTTTAGAAGAAAAAAATATATTTTAGAACAAAGAAAACACAGCACGGTTGGAACGACGGATAGAAGAGAACAATGTTCTTCGAAGAACAGTATCAGAAAAAGAAAAGGAATTAGCAAGGTTACAAAAAGAGAATCAGGATCTTAAACAGGAGAACGAGGACTACAGTGTACGAACACGACAGGCTGAAGCTGCCTTAGGCTTACAAGATGAGCCTGTGAAGAAAAAGGAAGAGGTCAAGAATGATAAGGAGAATAAAAACGATGCAGCTTCTAAACTGAAGCCTTTGCCAAAGTTCAAACCTATATTGCATGTAAGTTAAGGTCATTTGCTTTTACGTTTTACAGTTATTTGAGGGTTAACATATGATTCCTTATTTGACTTTTTATAAACGAACTATTCCAGTCAGACTCGCCAAAGCCTACCAGATTGGGTCAAATAGCGAGGAACTCTGCCACTTTACACAACAAAAAGACTTCTGCAAAGTCATGAATGATAAAAAAGATTACTGTAATTACCCTACATTACTAATTGAAAGGTATATATGTAATCACTATATCGCTATTCATTAATTATTGTGATCTGTTGTCTCATTTTAACTTTTGTTTATGAAAAATGGAAATGAGAGAATATTAATAGATCTGCTTAACTTATTAATGTTATACAACAATATCCTTATGAGTATTACCTCCTATTTTGTCTTAAATTGAGCTTAGTTATTTTATTGAACTTTTTAAAAGCTCTGTGTTACAATATGTAAAGAGATGTACGTCACCTACCGTCCTAATACTATTCATACTGTTCTTTAAGGCTACCGTATATCGTCTCTCCAGCTAGTTGTTTTCGAGTACTTTGACTTTATTTTGTTTGTAAATAAACTGAGGCCATGTTAATCTCGTATTGACACCAATGAACGGTTCTCAGCCGTATATATTTAGTGAACTTGATATGATTATTTGTTACCGTATTTATTATAATTTATTCAATTTTATCCGTAATATATTAATGTTGACTAAACCAAGTTTATCTCTAATATATCGTAGTTAACTTAAGAATATAAACGTCATTTTTAAAGATAATGCTAACATTTATTGTAATATAAAACGTGTTACGAGAATAGAAGCCTGTTGTATTTGGCTGTTGATCTAGATAATGAGAGTGATCGCGAGCCCTCTGAAGTCGTTTTTGTTTGCTTTGTAAAGTTGTTACACAATCATATATTTCAAATGTTTTTTCTTTATTTTTTTACTTGAACAGACATTTTTAAGTAATTTTTTAGTGTCAACTTAAATTTATCACATTATTAATTAGAAATTTGATTTAAAAAATTTCAAAAACTTGCTGCTTTCGTGGACTAAATTTAGACTGCATTTTACTGTATTATAGGCAAATTTCATAGTTTTTGTTCTTTACTATTACCTTACTTTTGTTACATATTAATACTTGTATATTAAGCACACTTATTAGGCCAAAACTGCATTTCTGACTGAAAACCGGGAGTTTGCGTGCGAATTTCCAAACGCTGTGCAATTCTTTTTTCTCACAAAAAGAAAATATTTTATCGAACTTTTGTCGTCTAATGCTTTTATATCAATTTATATGCGTTTCTATATCCTGATTCATTGTCTAACTCAGAGATCTCGATGAATTTTAACAAGTTTTGCGTATATCTGCTTATTTTTAAGGATTTCTTGGTCTAAAAGGCTTCAGAATTGTGTCTTATAGTTTATCTGATCTTATAATTTGGTCAAAAAGTAAATAGAAAAGTCAAACAAGGCTTATTTAGCGAGATTCTACGTATTTTTTGATCAAAATGTTGTCTATCGTTTGTTTTTAAAAATGAAAATTTAAAAAGTAATGTCGTTTAAATTACAGTATGGGTCAACCATTATCGAAACAGGACTTTTCCTGGTCGTACACCGACGAGCCTCATGCTACAAGACGAAAGGAGATACTGGAGAAGTATCCAGAAGTCAAACAGCACTTTGGAATTGACCCATCTTTCAAATATGTTGTTGTAGCTCAGGTTCTGTTGCAGATAATGCTGGCTTTTCTGCTACGAGGTAAGTTTTATAAGGTTATTTTGTAAGACTTTATTATATAGAGTAAACAATTGTTTTTTTTTTTATAAAAGAGTAGTAGTATTATATTAGGGGGTAGTTATGTTTAAATTAATTAGGCTTTTATTAATTTTTTTCGGATTTTTTAAAATTTATATTTTTGAATCACTTTTTAATTTTCACGGACTACGTAGTAGTTATTTTTAGATGCCAGCTGGATGCTAGTCTTTCTACAAGCATATTTTGTTAGTGGTACCATTAACCATTCCTTGACATTGGCCGTTCATGAGATATCACATAACCAAGGATTTGGACATAAACATCCTTTTAAGGTAAGATTAATGTAAAGTTTTTAATTAGTAATTCACCTGTGCCGATTTTTTGCGAAAATTTTTTTCCAAAAATCCACAGGGGGGACCACGTTTAAATTTTTTTTCGAAAATTTTTTTTCGGGGGGGTACCCCCCTTCTTCCCCTCGCGCTCGGCCCTGCATATTGGATCTTGCTGTTTCAGAACCGAGCACTGGGTATGATTGCCAACCTGCCAATGGGTGTGCCTATGTCAATTTCTTTCAAGAAATATCATTTAGAACATCATCGGCATCTGGGCGAGGATGTGATTGATACTGATGTCCCTACAGAGTTCGAGACCATCTTCTTCAACTCGATTGGTGGAAAGGTTGTCTGGTTATTCCTCCAGCCTTTGTTCTATGCCTTCAGGCCATTTGCAGTCTACCAAAAGGCTGTAACTGATGCTGAACTAGTTAATGGTGCTCTTCAGATTGCTTTTGATGGTGCTATCTTGTACTTCTTTGGAATCAAGTCTTTTGTTTATCTGTTCGTTGGCTTCATTTTGGGTCTGGGCATTCATCCATTGGCTGGACATTTCATTAGTGACCACTATGTGTTCAAAGAGGGACAAGAAACTTACAGGTAAGCTTTTAAGAAGCATTAGTAGCACTTATTTATCAAGAAAGACAAGATATAGGAAAGTAGTCTGGAAGTTTCTGAAAACGTGGTTTTTTATCTATATCTTGGCATTTATGATGCTCTATACACTCTATATACGTCTTACCCTTAATGTTTTAGTTATTACGGCCCAGTGAATGCTGTCACTTACAATGTGGGTCATCACGTGGAGCACCATGACTTCCCCTTCGTCTGTGGTCGGAATCTGAGTGAGATTCGCAAGATTGCTCCAGAATTCTACGATAATCTGGAGATTCACACGTCATGGATTCGGATCTTCTACGACTTTGTAGTAGACCCTGAGATGAGTCTTCGCTCCAGAATCAAGAGGAAGATGGCGCCGATCAGTGAGCGACACTTCTACGGTGTCGGAAGCTACAGCTCTTCCAAAGTGTACGAAGCCACGGAGCGACTGGTGTCATCATTGTTCCAAAAGAACAAAGTACAGTAAGACTACAGTATCTCTACTACCACACAAGAAAATACAGTAATATCATCATAAAATAAATTACATTAATTTATATCTACAGTACATTATAGTAAACCTACAATGTTTTTAAATTTACATAGAGAGTACTGTACTATAAGTTAGGATAGGCTTACTGTATTCTCAAATGCAATGATATTACAGTATCTTTCGCAGCATATCATCACATACGTCTCTGTTTATAAGATATATTGTTTTAAGTATTAGTCCTTTTTGGTGCCATTTCAGTATTGTTTTTGATACTTAATAGTACTTCATGTTGGTGTCTACAGGAGTTGGTGTTACAATAAATTTATTAATATTATGGTTATTGGTTTTGTTATATTGTTAGTATTCTAAACAGATATTTATATATTTTTTAAATTTTTTTTTCAATTTATACTTTTGGAACTATTATTTATGTTACCTGATTATGCATATCCATTCGTATAGGTTTAGAGTTTATTTAGTTCGAGTTACTACAGAAATAAATACACAATATTGACAATCATTAGCAAATATAGGCCGACCACGGGGAGGGTAAACCACATCTTTGTTGAGGATTCAGACGCCCGTTCTCATAGCATAGAATAACTGAAACAGTACGTTTGTTACTTGCTTGTATAACATTTCATATAGCCTTAGAGTGAACATTATTACTCTTTTGTACATCTTCTAATTTTAGTACTCAGGCTTTGAAAACAATATAGTTTGACACTTGTAAGCGCACTTACCCTTCTGAAGAACTTGTTCGAGTTTTTGGCTCCACGACTTCTGACGACAGGTAATGGAGACCGTTTGATCGAGGTCTCACTGTTGTCTTCCAGAAGACTCAGCGCGTGCCGCAACTTCTGACGATACAATGCTTCTTCGTACGCGGGCATATACCGTGCCTCCGGGTGTTCGTACTGTGAGGAGGGTCCTGAAATAGATTGTGATACTAGCATAAGTATACAGAGTCGGTAGTTACTACAGTAAAATCAGCAAAATATATTAAAATTGTTACTACAATAAAATACAATAACACTACGATAACAATAACTGTGGGTATTTATAAAGGGGTGGTATGGGAGAGCGGCCTAATTAGTAACGATAACATATTGTTATTGTTATGAAGTGTAGTATGAGCTGTAGATTAACTTGTTCTTACGGTAAATTACGATTGAAAAGGTAACTAATTAACGATGATATGCGTTACTAATTACTATAATCTTTAGGTTGTTGATTTACTATAGGTTTAATAGGTAATCTAGTAACTTAACTAAAGGTCATGAGGAAGTTACCTTACAATAGATAAACCTATGGTACTAACCAGTTGCTCAGACATTATTATCTATGATAATCTGATATGATAGAAAAGAATAGTTGACAATTTTAAGACAAAGGAATTTAAACTTACCATCAACCACCGCCCATGATCTGGCTACTGTAATCAGAACAGCTAGTGTTATACCCAGTATTGAGGTCTGCATATCTGAAGCATCATTTTTATTGTTATAGACGCTGTGATTTTATTGCACGGTGATTACTTTTAAAAATGAAAGTAAAATGTAACATATGATATGTTAAAAATGTAAAATATGTTACATTAAAAAAGAAGTAATTGTACATACGAAACAAATCTGCAAGCAATAATGACGTGCAATGATTAAAGTATGAATAGAGAAACAACTAATTTCTTCTCACAATGGACAAAACACCTCAGGCTATTATAGGAAACGGGGGGCGTCAGAATAGGTATTCAGATTTAAGTACACCAAGAAACATACGAAGGTAATGCTTACTGAAGCACAGTGTTGCGTCGGCATAGAAGAACGTTACCGAAAGAGTCAAAAAGTTTTGGCACAAAGATTACTTTTTAAGCTTAAAGTTGTTAAAGTAGTTAGGGCAAGGACAAAGACTATGTTTTAGGGTTTAAATCGTTAACGATGTAATAAAAATAATACACAAAGTTGATGTTAACATCAAATATGGTCAAAAATTGGAGTTGTTACAAAGCATAGTAAAATCATTGTAATATGAGTAGGTGCCAAAAGGTAACTTCTAATGCCATTTATAAAGTGACCATTACCTAAAAACAAGCTATTTAAATGGTCATTAACTAGACTAGTGAGTACGTCCATTTCGAACACTATATACCTTTAACGACCGTGCGGAGAAACATGGTAGTAAGTATATCTATTCAGAAACATCAGAGTTCACGTTCGTCGAAGCAAAAACAAACGTGATGTTAACGAACTTTTTCGACAGCATCGTACTTAAATACATGGTAATATCTATAGAACACAAAGTTACAAGATTATATGCCCTTAAGGGAGGTACTTTGAAGAATATACAAGTGCTAAGTTTGTGTAAAGCCATCAAATTTAATTTTTAAAGAAACCTACATACAATTACTTAGACAAGTTTACGTACTATAATATGGAACGTGCACGTACAGTATCTACTCGTTAGATAGGAACGTCTATTTAGTGATGTTTATATTTATAAAGGGATGTATGTCACAAGTTTTGGAAAGTATTCAGAAAGGTCGTTCTACTAATGGCAAGACTAATCTATTTTGTAATCAACCTTTACTACGATTAACAATGTCAGATGATAAGGACAAAACGGATGTTATTACTGTAGGGGAGATTATATAATGTTATCTTGTCATCGTAGGCGGGCTACTATAGAAAGCATGTACAGTGTTTGTATAGACAATACTAAATATATAAAATTTGTGTTTCATATATTGTGGCTGATAAGTACTGATTAAAGATCGGAATCAAAAAGATTTATTCGGATTCAATTTTATACGACACTGTAATTTTGTTGGCCAAGGCAATAGCACGCTACTAGTAAACATTTCTAATTCTGACCTCACTAAACACCCACAACTGTTTTTTACATACTCAACTTAAACATACGAACATGTTTTGTTGATTAACATTTCAAAGAGGCTTCAAATTACAGTGTAACAGAAAGGATACGTTTCATAAGTAATGGCACGAAACACTCTTTCTGGTCCGCTAGCTAAATTGAATGACCTTTTGGGAATGACAGTTTAAGTAAATCTGGCTTGTACATGTTGTCTTGTAAGTTTGCATATGTTGTCATGTAATAGTAAATTTAGTTTTAATGTCACCTAATAGTGTAATTGACCTATATGTTTCTATGCGTTTATGAATAGTGTAATACATGCAAATTAGGAGATAATGTTTGGATTCTTAGAATCCGATTTTAGTTATTAGTTTAACGTGATACGCTTATGAAGTCACAATTTGCTTATATAACAGTACGCAATAAGTTCCAAACGTGATAATGGTAATGACGACGCTTGTACTCGTATTGGCCGGCAAATCAAGTCTGTAATCCAAGGTTGACAAAGTCATACGGCCCAGTTTGGTTACGGGTCCAGTGAGTAATTTCTTCCCATCATCTGGAGTTTATCCTAGTGTCAAGTTTGGCTTTGTATTTGATCTTCTTTGTGACGGCGGCATGTTCAACGCATTGTAGTGATCATGTTCTTTTCAATGAAATTAGTTTTATTTATTGCTGGAGCTGAACTATAAACTACGATATAAAAGTTTTATTAACATTGTCGTTGAAATTCTATTAAGCGAGTTACGTATGTTTTTTCAAGATATTTTTAAACGGCTCTTTCCTGAGTTTTAGCTAGCAATCCGGTTTTCTCGTAGAAAGTAAAAAGAATAAAAGTTTTTTAAAATTTTTATTAGTAACTGATTTATATGATAATTAAATACATTTAACACTTTAACAATTTATTACACATTTCAACTTTTTACAAGATACCGTAACCCGTATTTACAATTATTATATCACATTATCTCTACAACCCGTTACCGGTATGTTCGCTGTAAATGTAAAACTTGGAATTACTGTCCAAAGTTATTGAGTTCCCCCCTGGTGCTCTATAATATCCATATGGCACGTTGCTTCCATAGCTGTTATAGTTACCGTAGTAGTTGCCGTAGTTGTTGGCGTAGTTACCATAGTTGTAGTTCCTATAGTTGTAATAGTTTAGATAATTATTGTAATAGTTGTTATAGTCACTGTTAGAGTAACTGGGTTGATATGTACGATAAGATGGTTGAACATACTGTGGAGAGGAGTACTGTGATGGGTAGTAGTAGGTTCGTGGTACCACGGGTAGGGTGGGCCTGGCTACAATTCGAGGAGCTAAAAATGTAAAATAATAAAGAACGAAGGATGTACAGTAATGCAATGTTGTTTCAAGAGATATTCTAATATAAAGATATCTAACTCTTTAAGATACGATCAGTTAATGTAAATTACGTCCATTATTTCCTTACCAGGAGCATAATATCCATGCGTATGTCCATAAGCATATTTCACATTATTCGGGTAACTGTAGCCGTATCTACCGTATCCCTTTCTACTGTAAGGTTGTCTGTGACCATGTGTGATCAATGGTAACAAGATGAAAAGGGAGAATAACTGAACTCGTGCCATCATCATCGACTCGACTGAACGCCGTTCCTCGATTGTTTTTCTGAATCCACTAACTTGTTTTCTCCATCGTTCTCCAGATTTGAGAGAGCTTAATTTGGAACGATGAAAGTTAAAGGATCAGACAAATGTGCTACGGTTCAGTGCTCTAATGGGTGATATTGATATTGACACAATGGAGATAGTGGAGTCTGATTAGAATATAAAGCTTAAATTAAAAGATTTGGCTGTGTTATGGCTTACAGTCAATCCTTGTTGGCAGTATTGTAGCTTACAGTCAATTCAGTAACAGAAATACAGTTAGAAGTAATTACATAGTAGGCAATTAGGTCAGATCAATTAAATGTATTTAGAATAAAATAAATCGCAAAAACAAGAAAAAAATTTGCAAATACGATATTCAAAATTACAGTAACCTTAACAAAATATAGTGCAAGAAAGTACAAGTAGAGTGTTGAAAGACACAGTAATTGTAAGTGCTACACCGTGCCGCAAAGACTACAAACTGGAGACAAGAAGAGGCATGGCGAACATACCAAGATCTGTGACGCGGAACGACTATTCAAATAATCTTTTTGTAAACCCAAAGATTGTGACGTCACACTTAATTTGTCTACTCTATAAACGTTTTGTAAATATATACACCAGGTTATATTATTGTACTTGTAATTTTAATTACAAAATATTTATTTGTTATAGAAGTTCATTATATAAAATTTTTCTTGTACTTTACAAGGCAATGTTACAAACTACTCCACGCCAATTATAAAACGAGTTATACCGTTAGAAAGAGCGTTAAAAAGTAAGCCTAGAATCAGCTTTTTTTTAGCTGCAGAAACCATATGGCACGGCATGTATTCGCGATCAAAGGATTTACATAGGGTTTGCTATTTGACTCTCCTCATTCGTCTTGAGCAAAACGAATGGATTGAATCTTCAATCCAGTGTGGTCGAGTGGTTAACGAGTTAGTCTGGGGTGCTGAAGACGGGGATTTCGAAACCCGCCGATTTCATTTTGGCGCCCAGCCATCATGACCAGAGGTTTTGGCTAGCCAAACAATATCTTGATTAAAAAAAGCTGATTTTAGATTACTTTTTAACGCCCTTTTCAACGGTATAACTCGTTTTATAATTTGCGTGGAGTAGTTTGTAACATTCCCTTGTTAGGTAAAAACTACATAAATTTACTAATCTGATAAGTGATTTTCACATTTCATAAAAGACTTCAAGGATAATTTTAATATTCCCAAAACCATGCTTTATATAATAGTGCAAATTGAGTCTTAAACAGTTTAAAAGTTCAAAATTCTTGCCCAAAATACGACGGAAACTGTGAAGAAACAGGGCGCGCGACCGGATATCCCAGCTTTGAATTTAACCGCAGGGCCGTTGTCTAATTCTTCGCAAATTTGCATATTCAGATGCCTAAAGGATGTTTGTTTTTAATAGAGATGTTGTGAATATATCAAAGTACAGTGCTCATTTGTTTGACAAAATTAAAAATTGGCCTTTTGTGGTTTTTTGTTGCGGAGTGTCAACAAATATTTGTTTTTTGAATTTTTTTCTCGATGGATTTATTTTTTAGGTAACTCTTGTTCCTTTCTTGCCGAATGAACTTGGTATTTATCAGAACATTATTGTCTCTGTAGTTTTTAGATTTTTAAAAGGTTTTTCGATTTTATTTTTATAATTTTTTGTAACTTTATCTTTATTACAAAGCTGTTTGTGGACTTTTGATCAAAGTGGTATACCATGGTATCTCTTGGTCAAAGAATCTGTGACCAAACGTACTCTAATAGGTTTGACCAAATTAGATAGCATTGTTGATGTTGTTTACTGTTTACACTCACTTCTTGTTGCTATTGTCACAACTTACAAACGTATATTCTCAAAATCCTGTCTTTAATATTGTGAATACTATAATATTGATCTTGTAAAATCAAGTGTTATTTTGGCGCTAGGACAAATGCGGTTTTTGGACATTTGCGGATCTTCGGGACATTTGCGGATTTTTTAAAGGTTTTTTTTTATTTTTTAGTTAATTTAGTTGTATTATGATACTAAATTGTACTAAAGTTTGAATGGGTACGGTTTTAACATAACAGTACCTTTTTGGGCTTTTAGTACTATTTAACATTAAGAAATATTAAGACAGTGCCAATTTAAACTTTAGTACCATACTACAAATAAATTAAATAAAAAATAAAAAAAACCCCTTTAAAAAATCCGCAAATGTTCAAAATCCGCAAGTGTCCAAAAACCGAAGATCCGCAAGTGTCTAAAAACCGCATTTGTCCTAGCGCCGTTATTTTATAAAAGCTACTTGGCTTATGTTTTATCTGGATATTACTTTGCTTGACTTATACTTATATGAATATTACTTGAATTATGGATTATGTAAATACTCGTTAAAGACAATTACCGCGAAGACAATAAACTGATTGGATTACTGCCAATCTCTGCGCGGCGTTTGTTTTCGCGACGAAAGTGGCTTGAGGCAGGATATTTGTGGTAATGCAAAACATCCTCAGAGCTCTGGAAATTTAATTTTTACTGCAAAATACGTGTCTTTGTCTCAAAATGTCACATATTCGTTTTGAAGGGTTGGCAAGGTGTTAAGCTTTTGATACTGTAACCTTGGAATTTTGAACTTAAATGCCGTTTGCTTTTCGTGTACTATCATTTTGTTCTATTTAAAGCTGAAGAACGTTGAATTGGAACGTTATGGTCAAAAGTCGGAACGATCAGTCTTTCTTTACTTTACAATTTATTGACTCTCTTACTCTGTGCTTATAACAATATGTAAACCGGGGATTAGAAGAGCTTCCGAGGAAACAAAAAACAATTGGAATGGCACGTTTGGGAAGACGGTTTGGCACGGAAACGTTTTGTTCTTAGCCATCTTCACAGTAGTTTTTTATGTTGTTGTTTAGAGAAGCATAAAATAGTATTTTCCTCATAATCTTGTCGTAAAAGTTAATTTTAGGTATTAAATTTGGATTTTTGAGCATTTTTTAGTGTAAAGTTTCATTTTCAGTAATTTGGTTCTTCAAAATTAATTCTTGGTTACTTTTGCTAATGCTATAGTAATACTTAGTATTTAAAATAGTACTCAAACTGTAACTTCATGAACTTGTGTTTGTGTCCATGACTACACCTGAAACAAGAACCGAAAGAACGTTGGTAAAACATCGTTCCGTTCTTTTTGGCTCGAAGATGCTCTCGACATCGGAAACCCATTCAGAAGCGACACTTCTGAAGGGTTTCATTTACATAACACATGAAGATGTAATTTTAGGTATTCTTGAGATTTGGCTCATATATACGTTTTGGTAGCGTGGCTGTATTTGCGAAAGTTTCTGGCCGATTTTTCAAAAAATTTTTAAAAAATTCTGGACAGTTCTAGAACTTTCTGTTGGCAACCTGTGTAAAGAGAAGTCTAATGACTAAAAACTATTGCATGTTCATGCTTTCTATTATTTACGGTAGTTCAAGAACTCAAGATGAAACACAATCATGTTCAGGCAGTGTTGCTTCTCAAATTCCGTGAACACGGCAACGCAACAAGAGCGACGAAGAAAATATGCAGTGCTGTAGGGCCTTCAGTTGTCTCTTACGACACCACAAAAGTTTGGTTCCACAAGTTCAAAAACGACGACTTTGACATGTCCAAAAACTCGACCTGGTAGACCATCAGTGTTGAAGAAACTCCACCTTCTGAAGCTGACCGAAGAAGACCCCAGACGAACATGTACTCATTTGACTGTAGAGCTTCCGTGTGACCATTGTACCATATTGATTAGACTCCACAACCTTGCGAGATTATTTTTTTTAAACATTAAATTTTGGTAAAAACAAAAATTGGCCAGAAACTTTCGCAAACACCTAATAGTTATTTTATGCTTGTTTTTTTTGTTTTTGGATTGAAGATTTTGAAAAAAGTGAATGCTAAATAAGTCGAGAACTTTTTAGAGTTGGTTTTTGTGCCATTTTAAATAGAAATTTTATAAAATTGTATGCTAGAATGGTTTTATCTTTTATTTATCATGTGTCGATAATTTTATGTCGATTTTATGTTTTACGACATTCCTCTGGGAAAAAAATCTATATTTTTATATATTGTAGTATGATATGGTTGTCGAATTTGGCCCACTATAAGGTTTTCTGTTTAAACTTTTATTTTTTTAAATTATTATTTTCAAAAATGAATATTGCTTCTAAAATGTGACCTACCTTAGTATAGAGTAAAGTTGTATATAATTTTAAGGATTAGTACAGTTTCCTTATCAAAATTTATACCAAAGTAATCCGCCAACTTGTGGTGCTATTTCGAGTTTGTTCATCAAATATGCAAATTTTGACAACCGTTTTTTCTCGCGGTCGCAATTAGATTTCCGTCTTTGGGCGAGGAAATCGACTTTTTTGTCGCAGAACAAAAAACGAATATTTTTTTGCGTTTTGGAACTACAAACCTTAACATAAACTTATAACACATGTAACTCGTTAGGGTTGTTAGGATGGGGAGTGGCATTTTTACAAATTTCTTAAGATTTTTTGGTTTTTTTGGGATTTTAAGCATCTGGGGATATTTTACGGAGCTTACCGTGTAATGTCATCAACATTTTATATCATGAAGGATGATATTTTGGTTGTTTTACTCTTTTTTTAATGTTTATTTTACTGCACGGTGCAGTGATAAGGATGTTTTAATTAGTATTCTATAAGAAGCGACATATTATTTGTAAAATACGGTCTTCATAACTTATTTAGTATATATAAAAGGTCTTCATAACCTGATATACCATCATAAACAAAATAACTTTAAAATTTCTTTTTCTGGTGTTAAGTGCAGTTACTGAGTGTTTTTTTGTTTTTGAAACTCTTCAGCACGATATCTTTGTTTCGGCGTTCTGTGCCGGCTCTTTATAACGTTTTTAGTGCCCAAAAACTCTTTTCCCTCGAGGCGAATTTTCGTTTTTATCAATCATTTCCCTATTTTCTGGGCCGCGCCACAACAATACTCTTGTTTACTTTTGCTTTTTTTGGCTGTAATTACTCTGTAACGCAGTTATTACTGAGTATTTTGGTATGAGTGGTAGATAATAGTACTGTTTTGGCACTTTCAAGGACATGTACTCAATATTAAACTATACTTTAAACTAATAGTATACGACTACGGTATCTTAGTAAATTAATTTATAGTTACAGTAATATTACAGTAAATTAACTTAAATGTAGTGTAATATTACTTATGTTAAAATCAGAGCAAGCTTGTATTAACATAAACCATAGTAACAACTGCTTACAAATGGTATGTTGAGTAGTTGTGACAGTTAGAACAAAGCAATCAAAGTATATTAAGTATTATGCGAAGCTGTCAGAACGCGCGAACCGATAATCTTGACGAATATAACGGGCTCTACTATCAGATTTCCCAACGTATTTGGGCTGTAATTTGCTTTGGCTTCCGTTCTTTGAAATTCGAAATTTATAGCGTTTTATAAACATAGACGTATTTTGTTTTATAATGCTTACATTGGTTAAAAATTGGCATAGGGGGTAATAAATGATGTAATTTCTCATATTTTTAATTCTGGGAGTAGGAGGGTTAAATGAAGCTATATTTATAAGTTGGACTATAATAGGGTTACTTTTGTGACATTTTGAAGACCAGTTTACCCTTCCTCTTTTTCGTCTTTCGAGTCTATATAAAACCTATCATAATAGAATAAGCTGTATTAATGTGCATAATTATGTTTATGCACATTAATACATTGATACTATACTATAAGTCTTCTTTTAATAGCTATACATTTGTATTATTATATATATGGCTTCTAATAGATATTTTTACAAATCTTTACTCTGTTTTCAGTGATAGTATCTACAGTGACGGACAACTTTTGAATCTCCGGCTATCAATAGAAAGCGCATTTCCTGTACAAGGAAACCTCATCATAACGAAAAAAATTTTGAATATTTTATTGATTCGTTATACAGAAGTTCGACTGTATTATGTTTCGGCTGTTTTTATGATATTAACTAATTCAAGGTTCAAGGTCATATTTGTTTTGTTTTAAAAACTTTGTCAAAAGTTTTGGCGTTTTGAGTGACATTTTAAATGTGTTTTACGACAGCTCTTTTATTACTCTTGATAACGATATAATTTCATCTTCTATTCTGGTAATGATTGTTTATTTTATATTTCTAACTATTAATTTAGACGTTTTGCATGATGCATCTTTGAATTTTGTGCACTCTCTTACTAGTCTCTACTGCATTCCGAGGACTTTTGGAATTTTCATATTTTATTTGGTATAAGCCAGTTTTTAGTCATTATTTTATCATGTAAAGACATTTTATGTCATTACTTTATCTTTACGTTACTTTTTTTTCATTTTACAGCGTTTTTTGATATGTCATTTCCTTTTACAACTCTCACTTATATTGTTTTAGATATAATGTCAATTTGGGCGCCCGACTGAAGGAAACCATTGAGTGATAGTATGTTAACAAGACTGTTAGGATTAGTAGTTACTGTATACATCATTTTGAACAACATATCACATGCGTTTCGAAGTGAATGCGACTACAGAAGGCTACACGACACCGTCAAGGATACGAATCAGACTTATTATTTGTATGTGCTGACTCAGGTAGGTGACGTGTTATCGTAGTACTGTCAGTAGTAAAATGTTTTAGTATTTTTATTCATTATAATTTCTACTCTAGTTTTTTACATTTTGTACAGTAACCTTAAAATGAGAATCTAAGAAGTTCATTTCCAGGACTGCCAACTAGTCTTCTCACGATCAGACCAATTAGAAGAACTTCAGCGATATCTTGAAGTCCAACGTGACCTAACTCACTGTGCTCCATCTAAAGTGCACTTAAATCTCCGAGATGTCTACAGTAATGGCAAGATCGGGTTCCAATTACTTTTCAAAAGAGGACACAACCAACTATGCCTCTTACCGGTCGATTTTCCAACTGAAAACGCAATGGCAGGGTATTCGGTGTTTAGGTAAGACTACTGTCGTTTTTGAGGCGTTAATATGAGATTACTGTAGTATTTGGGGTGTTATAGTGAGTTTTTAATCAAAGTTGTAGTGTTGTTTGTGCTGTATATTAGACCATATTGTGTTTGATACATAGCGTAATTACTAGCTTCTTTGGTGTAAGCTCTTGTGTATGAATGTGCTCTCCGCTTGTAAAGGCTACCTTTTCCGCTGCTTAATTCGTTGTTATTTGAGTTAACAGCAATTCCAGTTACTCCCTGTTGAACTCCATGAGTTATGCCACATGTTCGTATATGACTAACACAACATTTGCGTTGGAACCAAGTAAGTTTTATTTTTTTATTTGAAATTCATGGTTGATACTTTTAGAAGTGTTGTTGTTAAATTACGAGCGCTTACACATATTTACAGATCTGTCATTTATGGATTCAACCTTCTCAGATGTCATCTACTTTGTGGATCCCAAAGCAGCTGGTACCTTTTGGAGTGTGCGACAGTTTAAAATCAGTTATCAGGGCTTTCTACAAGCGATGGAACCTTTTGTAATCAAAAATTTTGCTGAAGGTAAGATACTACTGTCAAATGTAATCTGTCATGTTTACAATATAATGTTGTAATTGATCTCCCCATTACTTTAAAATTGAATAACTTTTGCCTTTAGAAACCGGGTTTTCGAGTCGGATGGCGGGTGAATTTTATGTAAATTTGGATACGGAACGAAGTAAATTGTATACGGTACACAAGCGTGATAAAGACATGGCCAGTACATGTTCGTATGATGTGTTGTTCAGGTTGGTTTTATATCTACAATATCATCTTTTTTTAAATTTTTGGTTTGTGTAATTATTGTTATGGAAAATTCTATTTTAAATAATATTGTATAATATCTGGAAAGTGGTACTAATCTTTAAATTTGTCATACATAAACTCCATACTTTAGGCCACACAGAGCACGTGTACATCGTCGACACATGACACGACAACATCACCATTCTCACCATTTGAGAATCAATTCATTTGCTTCTGATGTTAACATCAGTTTGTATACGGAAAGCGAGCCTCGAGTAAGCTGTAACACAAATCTCCTTCTCTTTAATGTTACAAACTTTTACTTTCAATGTTCTATATTATATTATAGTTAGAATAATTAAGTGAAAGAACAACGATTACAGGGAGAGAACCAACACAAAAGTAAAGTGTTTATGATCGACAGAAGGAAGAATATGTCAGCTACATGCATATTACGACTGCCGTATCAAGCGACCATTGGTATTATATCAAAGGAAGTGTTGGACTACTTGAATAACATCAAATTACCAAGGTTTTGTAAGTTTTTTTTAAATTTAGACAATAGCCATAACTAGATTTTTTTATACCTGGTAACTAAAAAGTATTGCTATTTCTAAATGACAGTAGTTTTACGTACACAAGTTACTAATAATTATCATACTGTGCATAAAATGATGTTTTCCTTTCAACTTGAGTATTATCATCCCTTACTTTAGCCGAAAAGATCAAAGAAAAACAACAAAAATCTCACAAACCAATACCGTTATCAAAATCAGAAGAATCTGAATCCAAAGGCAACGATGTAACCACATCTACCGTCCCTATCTACCATAAATTCCTTACCAAGATATACTCTACCACCACCAGACGTCCAGTTACGATAACAACCAAACCACCCCCAATTACAGTATACCCCCACAAGACCAAGTTTACTACGGTAAAACACAAGCTATCTTCTGAATCTTCTACGGTAAAGTCTACAGAATCCAGTGGAGATTCAGTAGAGAAATCAAGTGAAGATTCTGATTCTGTAGACGAAGGAGATCAACAGCCTCAATCAAACGGTGATAAGGATTCTGGCGCACAGCTACAGAGTAGTGTCTATGTTATGATTACTGCCGCGGTAATACTCATGCTTTCCTGATCTCACACTTATCAATCGCTCAAGTTTCGTAGAATAAAGTTTTGGTACTAATGGTACTGTTTAGATGTTTTTGGTACAGCTAGTACTTTTGAATCAATTTAAAAAGTAGTACTTAGTACACAATTTATGGTACTAAATGGTACCAGAAAATTCAACAAATTACATTTACGTATACCGTACTATACAGTATGACGTTATTGTAGCAAATCTAAATAAAATATAGTATATGAAGTGGCACAACAACCAAACAATCCACGAATTAACAAATTCCAACTTTATTTACTGCAGTAGTAACCCGTAATTAATGTAAAAAGCTAAAAATTCTCACAATATACAATAATTTACATATGCCTAGTAGACCCACAACGAGAGTAAGTGTGTTGTTCTATGGATTTGGAATGCTCGACAAACAAGATATACAGTAACGCCAGCAGAGTATACTCAAGGTTGAGATTGTAGTTATGAAAATAGGTACATGATAACATATTTAAACTCTTAAAAGGGCAAATTTGATCGGAACAGTTTTAAAAAATTAGTAAAACTGGCAAATCCACGCCATTCTTTTCGCATCAAACATGTATTTTTAACTCTTAGTAAGTATACTCTTTTAGCGTTTCAATAATATGGTCGAAAAGTTTTTAGAATACCTAATTAGGAAACAATTTGTCTTATAGTTGAATTAAATCTCAACCTTTTCTACAAACTTTCCGACCGGTATAGTAACAAAGGAATACCCGATGTAAATGAAATTAAGAGTTGAATCCGGACCGGTTGTGATGTCGTGAGTGGAGATTGGGCTCGCTAGCCGACTTCTTCAACTTGGGCAGTCGAATGTTGTCCAACACACCGTAGATCTACAACAATATCAATCAACTAACCATATAAGGTATATATCCTCTCCCAAAAACCAGTTACTATCATATCAAATACAAATTTCAAAGACTTAATATAAACTTGCGCCAAAAATGTCATTTCCAATCAACACCCCTTCAAGATAATACAACTTACATATCTAAACTCAGGTCGTTCCTCAGGCTTGTGCTTGATGCATTCTTCCAACAACGTCCTGAACTGTTTGGGCGTGTCGTTCCTCAGATTATTCAGATTCGGCTTAAGAAGCCCCGTCCCCACCATGAACAATATCTGATCTCTGTTCTTGATGTCATCGTACGGTAACATTCCGCTCAGTAGCTCGTACAGACACACTCCAAACGAATACACATCTGAACTGGTACTGTACGGGTTACTGGACTTCATCCTGATCACTTCTGGAGCCATCCACAAAATGGAGCCGGTGGGATTCGGATTCGGTACCACACCGTGCGTGGTATCATCAAATCTGGTCTTCACCGTGGCCAAGCCAAAGTCTCCGATCTTGACGGTGGTTCCTTCTGTCAAGAAGATGTTGTTGGTCTTGAGATCACGGTGGATGACGTTCTTGCTGTGTAAGTAGTTCATGCCCTGCGAGATCTGCTTGCAGATCTCCAGAATCGTCTGCATCTCAAACTCTACTTTGGGTTCAATTACATGGATGTGACGGTAGAGACTGGAGCCTTGACACCATTGTGTCACGATGGCTAATTCTGGTTCTCTGATCACGCCGAGGAAGTTGAGAACGTTACCGTGTCGTGCCTTCTTGAGTACTGTAACTTCATTCTTAAAGGCTGCTAGAAGTTCTGGCCCTGGGCTTCTGATGTTCAATTTCTTGACGGCTACTGGGCCTGAAAACAGATTTTGTAAAATTTTAATTTTTTAAAATTCAAAAGTTACGTAATTATACAATCTCAGCTCATATCTCAGTACCAAAACAAATAAAATGTACCTAAAAACCCAAAAAACAGTACCAAAACACTCACCAAAGTAGTAGGCCTTGTAGACGGTACCAAACGAACCATTGCCGATCTGCTCCTTGAAGATGACCTTGTCGTTGCCAATCTCCCAATCCTCCACCGCCGCGCGACGTCGATTGAATCGCTCGCCCCCACGGCGTGTAATCTCAAAACGTGACCCGCCCTCCACCGTGAGCAACGACGCCGCCGAGCCGGCGGATTCGATCTTCGCGACACTGTTGGAACCGGGCGACGATAGACGCGCCTCGCCTGGACCTGAAGCAAAATTAAAGTAAGTATGGCAAATTTTAAAAAAAGTTTGCGTTTTTTCTGAAGATACACCTAATGTTACATTATTATCTACAGCATTTTCAATAAATAAACAACAACATACGAGATATGTAACTAAAATATTTAAAAATTCAACAAGATTCGAAAGCAGAATTACAATAAGAATGTCATAGTTAAAACTACTTTCCATTTCCAAACTTTTTGTAATCCTTTCCTAACACATTTTCTACAAAAACGTCCTTTTATACTAAATTCAGACCTAAAATGCCACCACTTTCTTTGTCATCTCAAAAATAACTCCCTTTACACCTCTAAAGCTTTCAATCTCAATACAACACCTCTAAATAAAGGTACCATTACATAAAAGTAACGTTATATTACTAATCCTTCAAAACCCCTGCAAACTGTCACAATCAAACCAAAGTACAACTGCTTAAAACCCATTTTTTAAGAGAAAAGTGAGAGAAAACCGAGGAAACATAAGCTGCGTCTTTGGCATAGCAACCGACTGATTAATAAGATATTTCGGGCTAAGAACGTAACTAATAAAACGTACTGTTGGATTTACATCCACTTTTCAGAATTGTGATAACAGTTTTAAACTAACAGTTTTAAAAAAATTAAATAAGTGAAAGGATATTGTAGAATAAATTATAGTTTAGTCAAAAAGTAATGTGTTTCAAAGCCTTTTTTCTTCAAAAAATAAATTTTCGAAAAAATAATAAAAAAACACTTTAAAAATAGAAAAAACCTAAAATACATTAGGTTTGTAGAAAAATTAATTTTTCAAAAACGTCAAAATTAACAAAATCTCTCTTCCTACCCCTTCCCAATAACAAAAAACTTAATTTCACCTCAAAGAATATTTACAATGCTGTTTTCCCACCAAAAAGACCCCTACAACAACATAAAACAAAAACCGCTTAAAATGTCCTCAAAACAACATTTAACTCATCCAGAACACCCCCCAAAAAACATTGTTCAAGCCATTCGAAAAAACATTAAAATTAGCGTGAAAGCCGAACCATGCCTGAGGCCCGAAACGGAAACCTCAAAATCTACTGGTCGTTGTTATGAAGAAAAGAAAAGATTTTTGGGATTAAACTCTTTCTTTACCTCAGACTGTTTCATACATGTCCAAAGTTTATAAAACATTTATAATGTGAGTATAAAAGTAGCTATAACACCCAGACGAGTAGACAAAAGAGTAACACTATCGGGGTGAGAGAGTGTGGGGAGGAGAGAGAGTGGAGAGAAAAGGAGAGAAAAACCAAAAAGTTTTTTTCTTTTTTTAATTGTAAACGTTTGCTTCGAGGCTTATGTAAAACAAACAAACAATGCTTTGTAAATCGATTTCGAATTGTCATTTCAAGTTTTGCAAAATTAAATTTTTTTCAATTTAAATTTGCCATATGTCATATTATGTTCTAAATGTTACTTTTTCACCAAAATGTTGCATTTTCTATTACTATGTAGCGCTAAACTTTTCAAAATTAAACCTTAAACCCAATTTCAAGCAAACTTAGTTTTGCAAAAGCATTATAAAAGGCCATGATACTATGACAATTTGTGTCCCTAAAATAGCGGCCATTAAAGCTATTAAAAGAAGGTTCACATCATCCTCCAAACTTGCAAATTAATAATTATTAGAGCAAAAAACAAACAAAAAGAGGCGAGGAGAAGATACACTACCTATTACTGGCTTAATTCATAAAATATTTTTAGTATTTTGAGTTGATTGTTAAGTTTAAAAATCTTATAAAACATTAATTCTACATATATTCAGACTGCGCAGATAAACCCAAGCCTTAAAATAAATATTGCATTCACATTCTCATCCCTAATATCGAAATACACCTTGCCCAAACCCCAAACGCAATGTTATAGTACTGCCAACACCTCTCGGCCGGCCTTAAATCTGTTTGTATTATCCCCTTTATATCTCCTAATAACCCTTTATATGCCTACTTTTACTCCTCATCCGTTGTTGTTCGGTGAAGAAAATGTGCGTGGTTTTCTGCGGCGGGGCGGATTGCGGCGGTGTTAGCGCCGTGCCCAGCGAATGCACGGTGGACGTCGAACCGGCTGGCAATGCGTCATCTAAAAGATTATTTGTACTTTACAACAAACATCCCGGAGAGTGGTGGGGTGTGAATAATAAAGAAATGTACATTAGAATATACGAACTAAAGCCTATTCTAATATTTTTGAAATTTAAAACTTTAAAGCCTACTTAAAAAGTTTAAAACCTACGGGAATACTGCTGACTGCCAGAATGTAACGAGTTAGAAGTGATCTTCAGGGATTGTAACTCTGACAATGAAAAGTCATCCTTGATTATGTTGATATTGGGAGCTGAACTCGATCTATCACGAGGATACGGAGATTCTGACAACTCTCGAGGTGTGCTGCTTTCGGTTTGACGAAAATTTTCTCGAGATTTGTTAGGCTTCTCGTCTGAAATCAAAATTATTCATCTATGTTAATCATGCACTCTTTATTACAGCTTTGAAACTTTATTTTAGTTCTTTAATTTGCTTAAAACAAGCTTAAATCAAAAAAAACTTAAACAATACAAAATATCTATCATGATATACCAGAATGCCAACAAAATTTTAATACCTTTTCCTAACCCTAAAGCAAACAACAGTACGATAACACTTACTAGGGCTTTCAGCAGGTAATAAAGAATCGAGTATGTCAGCTGCCATAGCTGCATGAGGTCCCTGATACTTGGCACAGACATCTCGAAGTTGGTTGGCCTTATTAATGTCATAAGATATCTGATCTGGTTCACACAGAGCTGGTACTTGGCCCCAACACTTCTTGTGGAAGGTGAATTGACATCGATTACAACGGTAACCCTGAACGGTTCAATTAATAAAAGAATGGCAAAAAACTAAGACTATTATACTTTCACCAAATTCCACATAACGCTACCATAAACCAAAAGACCACCATATACTAAAAAACTCACATTCACTAGAATGATCTTCCTACAAACTCCGCAGTTGGCTACACTCAAGACACTAAAAGTTCGAGGCACAAACTCATGATGTATCGAGTTGAACAGCTCCATACACTCCGAATGTACCCAAAGCTCATTCCTCTCCAATCGAGCTGCCAATTCACCCAAATCTGCTTGAAGATCGATCTGTGGACTCATCGGATCCGCATCTATACACACCGTGCACGTTTCCGGCACGATGTTCCGTTTCCTGAGCACGACAGCAATCGCATCTCGAGCTGAGACACCCGATCTCACGTTGACCTTTGAATGTTGACCAAAAGGGAGATGAAGTAGAATCAACTGACCTTCTCCAAGACGAGGAGAGTTTGTGCCTTCTGTTGGTAGTAAGGGTGAGGCTGTATTTGATGAAGATAATGAAGATCTTGTGTGTTTTTCTAAAAAAATTTTAGATAACAATAGAAGATACTTTTGTTAAATTTTTATCCCAAACTTTAGTAAAAAACACAAAAATTTGTTTTTTTACAAAATATAATGTACAAATGCGCCCACAAAACCGCATTTTGCGCAAACTTTAAAATACGATTGAATATAGATGATTTTCGTGTTAAGATTAGGATAAAATATAGTACAAAGCCAGTTTATATTAAATACTTTTTCATTTTTTTGCTTTAATTTCAATTGATAAAAACCATGTTTTAGGTTCAAACCCACCTAACAAAGTGTTGCCAAACCCATGCATACTACTACTCAACCCGGCCGACAATGGTGTTAGAGGCGAGCTAGAGGTACTGTGCCTCATCTGGTTAGAAGAATCACTGGACTCTCCGCCGTAGATTCGCATCGGGCGGGTTCGGGTGGGGCATGGCGATTGGGCCATGGGTTTGGCCTTGAGAGTGCCAAAGCCAGTTGGCCGGGTCGGGCTACCCGCGCCCAACTGTGCTGGACTGGTGGCTAGAATGTTTGACGTTTGTGGAGAGGTTATTGCTGTAGAAGTGGCTTCAGATGGTCGGATGGCATCTAATATTGTTATTGTGGTGTGCTCATCAACGTTGATATTGCAGTCGCTTAGAGGAGAGTATGAGGGTTCTGTAACATTAAAATAAACATTGAGAAGGGAATTTCGAAAAGAGTTACTCACTTCAAAAAAAATCACGGAAAACGCAAAGTAAAATAAAAGTTATAGCACTTTTATAAAATTCAAAAATTAAAAACTTCGAAATTTCAAAAGTTTAAAAATATTTTCAAAACTTGGATGTTCGTCAGACGTTACAAAACCGCAATAAATGAGAAATGTTTGCATAGATCAGTACATGTATTTGCGCAGCTTAAAGTTACTGACGTAGTAGAGATAACAGTTTCCGGGTGAGTTGATTTCAAGTGGCAGACCGGGTCAAGACTTAAAGCTTTGTTGAACTAAAGTCACACTTTCGAACTTTTTTAAACTTCAAAGTTACATTTTTTAATTTTTTAATTTCAGAAAAAACAGTTTCTCGATTTTGTTCACGATTTACACCTATATTATAGTACTAAATGTACCATAATATAAAGAGTCCTCTCAAACTATTAAAATTAAGCTTATACAAACATAGTTAATAATATGATATCAAAACGAATACCAAACAACACCGTAAACACGTATCATATTGTCTATGAAGGGTCAGTTGAAAACAAAATTACCAATTCTACTCTGGTATGTGAACATTACCACGTAGAGATCAGCTTCCGGTGTTAATTCCCAACCTTTAAATTCCGAAAAATGAGTCATACCAGGATGGTGTGAATTGACTGTTTTCACCTATACTACAAAATACAAAATGTTACTGTGGTATCTTGTAAATGATATGGTGGTATTTGGAAGTGTCATCATGGCTTAATAACTATCGAAATGACATTATTGAAAAAAAACAAAGGTAATATAACATTTAAAAAACGTTAAAAGAATAAATTCTATGAACTTTTGGACCGGTAGGTTCAAAGTAATGGCACTAAGTGATCTAAACATACTACTATGTTAATACCTGTTATATATTCACCATAATAGTTCAATGTATAACATGTAGAGGGCGTTCTTTTCATGCTTGATATAACATCGAGTTTGTGACTATCCAAAAATAAACACTATAACATGAAGTTTAATGTATTACATATAAATAAAATGTAAAGTTTAGTGTACTACATGTAAAAGAATCCGTACATGAACCCATATATATATATTAACTATCAATATTAATATCGAAATTTATATATTGCGGCACAAACATATATGGTAATGTACGTATTAACTATGTACTTTGAGATATCTCTTAATATAGAAAAGTCTTTTTGGCTAAGCAAAACCATATCCACAGTAATTGTATGGCAGTTTATCAACATTAAAATAATATACTATGGTCAATTACAATCTGCTTTACAGCTATAACAATACTTAGATATACGATTAAATGCTGGAGATAACAAAGACAAAGTAAGAGATTGTAACCCAGTAGAATTCGAATGAAAAGCCGGGCGAATTGAATGAAATTATGCAAATGAGCGGTTATAACAACATTTCTTTACTCTCTGACGCAATTCCGACAAAGGGCAATTACAGTAAAAGAGGAGTATCTACTGCACGGTAATTCGGATAGCATAACTTAGTATAGAGTTGCCTATATCAACAAGCATGGCCGGGCGCGAGGGGGGTACCCCCCCCACCTAGAAAAAAATTTTTGGAAAAAGTTGAACGTGCTCCCCCCTGTGAATTTTCGGAAAAAAAAATTTCGCAAAAAATCGGCACAGGTAGGTAGCTGTGCCGATTTTTTGGACCCCTGTCCCCAGACCAAAAGTCCCCGCCCGGCCCTGTCAACAAGTATAGAGATCAAAAAGTTTACAGAATCTGCTATGTGAGTATCAAATTGTAAACTTCTATTTATTTTTTGACCACAGAATATAGCAATCTCTTACCTTTCTGAGTATTGTTAAAGCTACCATTATGAAAAATACTTTAGCTGTAACAAGCCTATTACAGAAAGTAACACTCTTACAGTTGGCAGTTATACCACCTGTTTTAAAAAGTTTTTACAATGTTAAAGTACCTATACTAATATACTACACATATATTTTTTCAAATAGAATACGAAAGTATAATGCTTGAAATGACAGAACGTGTTTCAGTATAGAACATAAATATTGCTTTACAACCTTTTTGCACCTTATTTACATTACGACGTACTTGACTTGCAACTAAAGGTACTGCTTGATAACTATGAGCAGCGTTTTGCCGGACCGGTCCGGTCCGGATTTTCAAAAATTGCAAGATTGAAAATAACTTTTAGCTTATAGTTTGAAGTTTTAAAAAATAAATAACTTTTGTGAAGGTCCGTCTTTGGCTATCAAGTTATTACCGAAATGGACCGCCCGAACCGGCAAGACCGATTCGGTCCGGCCGGTCCAAATGTTTAGCGAGGAACTTGTATGAGACGGACCTTCACAAAAAGTTATTTATTTTTTAAAACTTCAAACTATAAGCTAAAAAGTTATTTTCAATCTTGCAATTTTTTGAAAATCCGGACCGGACCGGACCCGGTCCGGCAAAACACTGACTATGAGCAACATACCTAATTTTAATTTTATTAAACAATCGGTCAAAAAGTATATAGAAACTGAAAAACTTTATATAAGAAAAGCTAATGCTTATTCATTATACGATATTCTACACAATTTTTGACCAACGATTTTCAAGCTAACCCCTTTACAGACCCTGAGGCCAGATTGACAATGTAAATTGCAACACTAAACTTGAAGAAAAACAAAAGTAAATGATGTAGATACGGCTGTTTGTATGCCCGAAATACATCGTATATGCCCATGCATCACGGTATAAAAGGTTTAATTTAAGATTCCGAATGTTTGAGTATCTGACGTCATTAAACGAGAGAAAACAAGTAAAAGACAATGCCTACCGAGTTAACTCTGTTTCTTCATTTCAATCTTAAAATAAGGCTACATTGGTCTAAGCGTACAGTTAAAAGCTTAAAATAGCGTTACTAGTCTTAAAGTAAAGAATTTTAACACAAAGTAAAGGGTTTTTTATTACTGTAAAACAAAATATAAAAAACTACAGTTATATACAGTAATATAAACCAGTACAAGTGTGAATATAGGTAAACTTTCCCAAGTTTTAGATTATAATAACGAAACTTGTCATCAAAATATCAATTTTTACAAACACAGTAAATAATATTTTTTACTGCTACAAAGCTTACAGTAACACAAAGTATGATTGGTTGCTTATCGTAAAATAAGCTTAAACGATAACACAATGATGCATTAGTTGTAAATATGAGTACGATACTAAAGCTGCTTATCCCAGACTAAATACTTTTGCGAATTAACACAATAAAAACCATTATGTGAGATTTTCTATTTTTACTGTGATATGTTTTGCCCAAATACCACAGTAAAGAACGCCACGATATACAAAAACTCAAACGACAGTAAACCGTTCAAAAGTAATCGAACAAAAGGTAATTAACAAGAATAAGGTCATCAGAACAAAGAGTAATATAATATGTCATCGTATTACAAAACATGTCATGTTATTACAAAGTTAATAACTTTTTATCTAACATAGTTTTCACTTGAACTGTTTTATATTAATACAGTAAAACTCTTGTTATATACGCCACTATTGTTAGATACATTCGTTATTTACAACACGTTTCTAACTATAATGACTTACATTAAGTGTAAGAGATGCAGGAAACACTCTGTACAGTAAACTCAAACTCCCAATTTCCTTATCACAAGATTACACTGTAAAGTTAATACTTTGTACAAAACGTTACAATTGACATATAACACAAAGCATTTGGTTCAATTAGTATTATGTTATACTAATGGTTATTACTGCAAACAAGCAATTAGTTCAACTTACTTTACACTGTAAAAGCACTAATAAATTGTTAATCAAGAGACAATACTCAGCAAAATGTTACATTTAAAATGTCAGTACTTCGCACTTTATAGTAGCACAAAAACCAATCATATTAAAGTTTAAATAAATTTTAATTAGCTTGAAATTCAGTATGACATTAAACAGCACCTAAAACAATATCAAGCAAAAAAATGCTTTATGCTAAATAATATTTGTTAAAAAATATTACTGTACAGTAAAAATAGTAACAAAACTTTGATTACTTTAGTTTTTACCCTTACAAAACAGTAAAGTAAGCAAAACATGAATCACACGACATTGTTAACATCGCGTGAACTCCAATATAAACCCAAAGAACGTGACATTTGCATGGCATTTGGAACACACTTACTGCTAAGCCTACTGACATTAGAAAACAAAGTCAAATTTAAAATTCATAAAATTTCGCTAAAAAAGGCAGTTTTTATCTGAAATTCACTACTTTTAACTAATTTTAACAAATTAAACAAAGTTAAAGTTCAAAATCAAATTTTTTAAAATTTTGAAAAAGAAAGATTCCAAGAGTTTCACTTTAAAATTCACTTCAAGCCCAAAATAACACGATTTAAAACACTTTGCTACCCATTTCAACAAAACACCGCTCCAACCAAGACTTCTGCAGAAATTTGTGGAAACCCCGCCGGGTCAAAGTGGCTTATCAATGGAAAACAAGCGGCGACGAATGATTAAGTGATAACAATTTCTTGCGTGAATGGAAAAAGAATCGAAAAAACAGAGCAGGAAAGCTCGTCGCGAGGCTGTTTAGGCTTGTCTCTTCTTCCCCCTCCCTTCCTTTCCCCCCGCCACCAGCGTTTCCAAGTCCAGAAAATGAAAAAAAAACAACTTTTGAGAGCGGAGGGAACAAGCGTCTTAACGGAGACCTGAAACAACAGATGCCAGAGAAGCGAGAGAGTGTGGGGAGGCGAGAGACGTCAGACAGAACACAATAATTACAATCAAAATTTGAAGCAAAATAAAGGTTGATTAGGGAGGGGAAGGTTTTATAGAAAATTTGTAGTTTTTACAAAAATACAGTATGATACAGTAAGAAAAACACAAATAGGTGCCAAAATAACTAAGCATGCCTAAAAAAATTAAAAAACTTAAAAAATTAACCCAATAATAGAAAATATATTATACATAGTTAAGTGAACTTCCTTACCTAATACTATCGTACGCGGTAAAAACGTTTATCTAGTACTACAATGCAACGTAAAATTACCCAGTCGAGTATGTTATACATTAAAAGTACTAAAAGTACAAAAACGATACAATGCTTCTCGTTGGGACAGTACCGACACAAAATTGTAAAACAGTACTAAACTACAATTCAAAGCTACAGTCATATTGTACCAAAAAGCCCTAAAATATCATAAAATTACCATACGATACAACAGCAGCATCCTACCTCGATTTACTCCTAAAATACGACCCCGAATAACACCGTGTTGTGGATGTAATGTACCTATAATCCGCTGGAATGAAACACTCCAAAACGCCAGCTGAATTTAAATAGCTTTTGAAAGAAGGACGTTTTGTTCTTTTGTTTTCCCTTGAATGAACGTGAGTGAGTATCCGAAGAGATGACAAATGATATTCTCAAAAATAATCAAAATTAACCGGCTACAAATTCGAAAAGTGGGCAAAACAAAAAGTGTCACATAATGGTGACAGTAAGGGAAAGAGATGTGGTAATTAAATGAAAGAAGCAAAATTGTCTATGATAAGGTAAGTCAGTGGTATATATTGTAGCAGCAGAAACTTAATATTCATTGAAGGCTAGTTTTAAAGAAATTGACTTTTAAACACATTTTTTGGATTCGGAAAGTCCGGATTTTTGAATTTATTTTTCCCGCCAAACTCATGCGTGTCTCGAAAGCTATTATAGATATCAATTCCACCTTTACTTTACTATATATATTCGCTTGTTCAAATAATTTTGTGCCCCTAATCTCAAAAATTAGCCTTGGCAGAGAGGGCACACTATGATTTGAACAACCTAATAGTTATTTAAGAAATGTTACCTAAAAGCCACGCTTTATGACCAAAACGTCATTTCAACTGCAATATTTTAACCATAGTGATAACGTTCTAAAAACTGACAAAGTTTGAAGTTTTGAATTCGAAGCACGTGTGCTGGAAAGCCAAGCGAATCTCCAAAGATCAAGTCACGTAACGAGTAATTTGTCTTGGGCCGAGTGAAACATGAGAGCAAACAACAGGTGGCGAACAGTGTTGTTATAAATAATTGACAATAACTCGCGTGAACTTTATTTACAGCTGTTTTTCGTTAGAATTCAATTGAATTTAACTATTTATTTGAAATTAAAAAATGGATAATAATCTAACTTCTTATGAAAAATAAATTTATTTTTATTAGTTGATTATAGGCTTTTGGTCAAAAAGTTCGTAGAATGGACGTTAAAAATTAAGATAAAAAAAAAGGTAATTTTTGGCATAACGTTTCAAGAAAACTCAAAATGTAATAATTTTAAAAAAAAATCCGAAACAATTTTATATTGGTCAAAAGTTGAAAGAATCACCTGATATCTTCAGCTTTGTCTTAATCCTTAAATCTAGCCCCTTCCCTTACCAAACCAACACCTTCAGTCCCACACACTACCCGTAAGATACAATAACAAGTGCCACAAGTTTATTAACCTTGCTCCAGCCTAATCCCTTCTGATGGGCCTCAAGGCCCGCTTAAAGGAGTTGTGAAATGCGGCTGTTAATCTCGTCTACAGTGTTGACGACGGAGCGGAGATCGGCTTCGGAAATGGACTTCTGGGCGCTGAGGAAACCGCTCAGCTTGTGGTGAACGTCGACCATCTGCCGCTGGATTATCCTTAATTTGGCCACCTACAACTGCACAATAAGTTCCAGAAACGTACGTTCTCGGCGGAGACCGTGCTCTCGGTCGGGGCGGTGGACTTGGGTGTGACGGGGCGGGTCTGAAAGAGGTCAAAAGATACGTAGAATTGTAAAAAATCATTTTAAAAGATATATTTATGATAATATGATGTTGCTCACAATTTTCTTGACATCCACCTCCACCTCGCCTTGACCCGGGTCCGACAACCCGTACTTGTTGAGGTAACCCTTTCGTATGTTCTCCAACTTCTTCTTTGGCCCCAATAAGTCGATACCAAGCAGGTCGAAGTCGTGAGGTCCCATCTTCAAGAACTTGCTCCACGTCGTATGTTGTGATTGGAAGTTGGGAATGTACTTTTCCAGTCCTTCTTGCCTTAGGGTTTCGTAAAAGTCGACATGCTAAAAATAATCGTGTTTACGTTACAGTATACCTGTTTGACCAGATTAATGGCGTGCTTGGACTCGGTTTGCTGTACTAGGTCTTCTCCAGAGTAGTTGCGACCGTTTCGAAGCTTTGGATCTCCACCCTAAAGGTAACATTATACAACTTATATATCATAGCAAATAACAATGTTATGGTAAGTTTTGTAACTAACTATAGTAGCCTAAGGAAAGTACAGTAACCTTACGTGCATCAACATCTCGTGAATAATCTTGATCTTCCCGCCTTCACAAGCCATCAACAACGGAGTAGAGCCACTTTTCTTGTCTGGCATATTAGGATCAGCGCCATTGTTCAATAACATAAGTACCACGGTCTCTTGGTCGTACAAAGCAGCATAATGAAGTGCTGAACGTCCATCTTGATCTACCACATCGATACAAGCATTGTGAGTAAGAAGAAGATCGACCTAAAAGCAATAGTTGTAATGTTCTTCACATTCAAATAGTGGTTAGTATGTCTTACATTCCAAGTCATGAATCTAAACCCAAAACAAAACAAAGTGATACCATTTTGTCAGAACTGCAGCTAGCAGCCAGAATAAGTGGAGTTTGCCCATTCGAGTTTTTGGTCTCAACGGCAGCACCATTCTTAACGAGTACTGTAGCTGATGCGTAGTGGCCAAGGTATATAGCGTACATTAATGGAGTCCATCCAGCTACGTTACTACGGTTAATATCTTTTTCGGCTATAGAAAACTTTTCTCCAGCACGAGGATTGAACATCTACAATAATATATTATAAAATTTTACAATAGTTACTACGCAATTCGGTGTAAAACCTAGCATAATATCCGAAATAGCGTAGAATAATACGTTTAGTGTAGAATAATGTACCAATAAACCGTTTAATCAAACAAAAACTTGAAAAAAGTCGATCTCAGCTCCTTACATCCAGACTAGCCGCTGTAAACGGATCCATTCTGTCAAAGTACTTATCGTCGATGGCCTGTGGCATGAGCATGGCCAAGAGCTTCTGAAGTCCATCGTCGGAGGGCTTGTCCGAAGTGACACGATGCTCAATTGGAGTCGAAGTCGAGAAGCGGACCGAGTGATTTCTCTCCATTTTCGATGTGAAAAGAATATTTTCGAGAAGCGATCGACTCAATTGACATTGATATCTTTACACAACGCTCCGATACGTAAAAGCATGGTAACTTAACTTAGTTTTCTTTAGGTTTAGTTGGATTTTCTATTACAAAAGTAATTGTTTGTGATATTTTGGTCAACAATCTTGTGTAGACTCTTTGTCTAATGGTAAGCTTGCTATTTTCATTGTATACCTTTCTTTTTTCAAATACTTTAAAAAACAGTTCAATAAATCACATTCCCAGCTCGTTTTAATATGAATATAGCTTTTACGACCCAATACAACTTTACATCAGCTCATAAAGTTCATAAAATCAAACGAAAAACCATATAAACCAAAAAAGTAATCCTTCATAACCCATTATTAAATACTTCATAACCCATTATAATATATACTAGTATGCAGTAAGCTTGGGTAGTTACTTCCACGAGTCCGCCAACTGTTTAAAGTAGATCTCTGCTTCATGTTCACCTTGAACTGAAGGCACAGGACTGACCTTATTGTAGATAGACAAAAATGGCATATCATTTTGCATTATTCTAGCTAGCTGAGGAAACTCTACTATCATATAAACGGTCGTTACAAAGTTGTAGATACAAGCACAGCTGAATATAAACTGAAACTGCTACTTTACATAATATATTCGTTAGTAAATCAAAAATGTAAAAAAGATAAATAATAAAAAATGAGAAAGAGTAACTCTTAGTACGATTATTTTACAAGAAAAGACCTTACCGTAACAAAAACCTTCGACTCCGGATCTTCTTCACGATATCCAAGCACAAACTTGGCATAGAACAGACCTCCAAAACCAGTTCCACAAGCTATTAATAATGCCACAAATACTGACACCAGCCTTCGAACATACTGTAACACTGCTTTCGTATGCTTTATCTCAAAACTTTCGGCAACAGAAGTGGGAAACTTGGCGAGCTTTACCTCCCTGTACAGCTTGACAAACATCTAAATACAATAAGATGTATGAAAATAGCACTACATTACTATTTTATATTTAGAGCCTGTAACAAATATACAGCACATTATACCTTACTATATCACAAGATACGATTAAAGCTTACATATACAGCTATTGCGGTTGAAATAGACGCGGTATTGTGAAACATGAAAAATCCTACTGTACTTGACTCTATTACCATGGTATGTCTCAACCTGTAGTCCAAGTTTCTACCTTCACTACTTGCCCATAACAACTTCGTTCTGAACAGTACTATAACTATTTCTCCACATAGCTGAAAGATGTATTATTACATATATAATACCTTAGACCTTATTTACACTTGTCAAACATCAAACTATATAAAATCTAAAGTTCAATTACCATCACAAATTTCATTAATTTGTTCATCAAAACTACTTACAGTAGCCATTAAGCAAACTATCGACAGTCGAGCACCCTGACGTTCATAAGTATGACGTTGTTTATACGCTACAGTACGTTCTATCGCTATCAACAGGTATTTGTTACAGAAGAAGCCAGAAGTTATCGAAATAACGTAAGTTAATGTATAGTATAATATAGCTGGTATGTAGTGGCCATTCTCCACACTATACCATGAAGTTGGCAACAAGTTCTCCATTGGGTGAACTACAGTAACACTGAGTTGTGACAGCGTTACTACTGTCTAAAATGAGCTATTATAAGAAACCTACAACTATATTCATTAAAAACGATTTCTAAGTTAATGTTAAAGCAAAAATAAACACTTAATATATTACATCTTGCATAACAACATAAACACAAACAATCTACTACAATATAACCCATACCAGTATTATCTTGAAGTTCGGATTGAAAGTAGCCATCTTATGTAACATGGTAATAAAATAGACGTTGAACATTGTCGTTAGTATATTCAAGACCACTTCAATCAACGTTAACCATTTCAGTAAAATTCCCGCGTTCATCACAGTAAAAACAGTAAATATGGCCTTACATTCCCGATTTGAAGCCACTTTGACGAAATGCTACTACAATACCACAGTAAGATACAATATTGTGTTTACGGTTAAAGTAAATTTGTAGAACTTTTAAGTGCTCCTTCTGTTGTTACACTTGCACTTTCATAAGATTCTAGAGCCCTTGTTGCATTGAATAAATTATAAACGAACTTATTATGTTTTAACCAACTATAACATAAAGTACTTTTAATGAGTTTTTTAATAAACCATTTTTAAGTAATATACAGTGCCATATTTGAAAATAATATTGTACAAAACCTTAGCATGCTATGTTGTTATTGTAAAGTCTAGCACATACGTGCTTTACGCCAAATACTACTGTAAACACAGTTTTCAGCTATAAAATAAAAATTTTTAGAAAAACCTCTATTTTTTTACTCATTTAAGGATGTCTACGTCATATATTATTACCGTACGAATACACAGCATTGTCTACTGTAACTCCGACAAAAATTTGTCAAATTTCTTCATCTCTCAATTTAGACGAAGTGTCACAAACGAAACCCCACAATTGATCGCTTTGTCGAAATATTTTGCGCTTTTTTATTTTTGTAGATTGTCGCTTTTTTTGTTGAACTAACGTTAGTTTATTGTTTTGTATTGGTTCAACATGTCTATGTCAAAGGATTCTTATCAATATAACAGGAAAACATTTGAAGATGCTGTAAGTATATTATCCATTACTTTTTATTTTTTTTTGTTATCTAAAATTGGTATACAACTACTTTTACTTTAGGAATGTCCAATTCTGTGCAACACATGTCTAGGAAGCAACCCGTACCTTCGAATGGTAAGTTATCCCATATAGTATTATTACTTTTAAATTTAGCAAAAAGACAAGTTTGGAGCAGCTTGTAAGATCTGCGAACGACCATTCACTTGTTTCCGATGGATGCCTGGAAAAGGAGCTCGTTACAAGAGAACAGAAGTCTGTCAGACGTGTGCCAAACTGAAGAATGTGTGTCAGACATGCTTATTAGATCTGGAATATGGTCTTCCAGTTCAAGTCAGAGATCATGCTTTGGCCATTCAAGATCAGATGCCCAGAGATGGAGCAAATCGAGACTTTTACATTCAAAATGCAGACAGAGCTTTGGCGAACACAGATGGGACAGTTCCGTATGGACAGTTGGCCGAGATTAAGGATGCTGGAAGTAATGAGTTGTTGAAGAAGCTGGCAAGGAATCAACCCTACTACAACAGGAATCTTCCTCACATTTGCTCGTTCTTTGTGAAGGGAGAATGTAGACGTGGAGAGGAATGCCCTTACAGACACGTCAAGCCTTCTGATCCCGACGATCCGTTGAGTCAACAGAACATGAAGGACAGATATTATGGACACAAGGATCCGGTGGCTGAGAAGTTATTGACGAGAGCGCAAGCTTTCCCCAAATTGACACCACCAAACGATCTTACTGTTACCACACTGTACTTGGGAAATTTGGGGAAGGGTGTTGTTAGTGAAGAGGATCTCAGGTAAGATTTTAATGCTGCAGTAACGTAACAGTACATAGAATGTACATGGTTTATAAATTCACTTATATATTGTGTTTTTTCTATAATCTATATCTTTAGAAACAATTTCTACCAGTACGGAGAGATCAGAACAATCCACATGGTACCAGTGAGGGATAACAATGCTTGTGCTTTCATTCAATTCACGACCAGAGAAGCCGCCGAAAGAGCTGCTGAAAAGACTTTTGAGAATCTCAGAATCCACGACCGTAAGATTCGAGTACGATGGGGAACGCCGAGAGGTGATAACAGTCAGTACAACCAAGGTAACAGGCCATTGGACCCTGTACCGAACATTGACAGTTGTAAGTTTTTAATTTATTGACTTTGAGACTAAAAGGTCATATTAAATAAAACCTAACCTCTTACTATCACGCCTCATTTTACATTTTATATTTTTTATCAATTTCAGTACCAGTACCGGATCTTCGACCAGGCACATCAAAAAGACCAGCGACAGATCTTCCTGAACCTCCACCGCAACCCAAACGACTGGTCGTCCCAGAAGTGGGGCCCTCTGGATATAAACAGTCGAATAAACAAAACAAGATCTACTACCCAAGTCAAGACCCTCAAAGGTTGGGAGCTAAAGGTGATGTTATTGAATGAAACTATCCAAAAATTAATAAATATTTGATCTTCGCAATTTGGGAGTAATGTGTTATACCTGGTTTGCTTCAACGATAACTTATTGTTTTATAAAAATCTGATTCATAACTTATATATTGGATAAGATATTGAATCAATAAAAAATTTTGGGTTTATAAACTATTTTAGATGATCATAGTGGAGATAAGTGAGAGAAATTTTAAATTTTTTGATTATTTTGGGCTTTATAATTAGATATTGTATATGTTTGGTTAATTAGTCAGTTTTATAAATAATAATTTACTTTTGAGGTACAATTTCTTGGATGAGCTCGTGTAAAGGCTCGGTATGTTCGGGTGAAATCATTTTGAATTCCTGTACAAATAACATGAAATGCTTGAAGCTTGTGTTAACATGTTCAACTGCTTTAAGCTTCTGAATGTAGTTGAAGTGTTCGTGGTAAACGTGGGCGTAAATACGAAACAGTCGTCTCATTATAGTTTGGGTAATTTGGAAAAAGTTTGAAGGAAAAGGTCGGCCTACAATATTAATTTGGTCCGTTATGTTATACGAACTTTCAACTTTGTTAGTGTGCTCATATGGGGAGTTTCACAATTTCTCTCCTGTATGTTTACATTTTTTGGTATAAATTTTAAGTAGTTATAAGGTCTCTATTAATTCAAATAACTAGTTCAAACAAAAAAAGTCCTACCTATTTGTGAAGGAAATGTGTTCTCATCGTCCAACTCATCTTGAACGTAACTCAACGTGTAGTCAATGTAATACCGTGCCGAGCACGACAGCGTTCTTCCATTGTCCGACCAGTAATACTCAACCCCGTTTCCGGCTGTCATTTTAGGACATGATTCATTCGTACAGTCCTCGGAAACCATCCCGTACAATAGGTTTATCTGATTAAAAAAGTCGACAACTAAACCATAAACAACAATATCAGTTGAGTACTTACTGTTAGTGGCCAGCCATTCGCTTAGATCTTCCCCAGCCGGAAGTTTGACGGCTTCTCGCAATGAACCACTTCCTAATGTACAACTGGCGTGCTTCAACAACTCATTTCGACTACTATCTTCTCTAGTGAGTCTCCTTGACGTGGATTGACTCATCTATAACCACACAATGATAAATATAATTTTTGATTAGATTAACCTTTTTTACCTAAATAAACCCAAAAAATAATTAAAATAAGCTCTAGTTAACATAAGATATACTATCGAACAGCTACGACACACCTCAACACAAAATCTACAGCCTATAGTTTATGTAAACAAGCAAGATTCGAATATTCAAAGTGTAATTTTATTAGTTGAAACATGCGACGTCGATTAAAATAAATAGACGCCGGTATCTATCGGAAAGTCAAACCAAGCAAAGCTCCGTTATAAGAGCCGACCTGATCTAACACTGATTAAGAGTAATATAAACCATAAAAAGAATACCTCACGCAGCCAAAGGGGATGATCGGAACAAACATGCTTAATATGAATGTATGAGACAAGACCTTACATTACAATAGTAAGACGACATCTTCAAGTAGTAAAGACATTACATTAAAATAATAAGAAATAACCTTAATACGGTAAGACAAACCTTACATTACAATAATAAATTCTTATAGTCAATTTTGTACAGACTTAAAACAAAAAGATGAAACTTAGAGGGAGCATGGGAAACAGAGAGAGTCCAGAGAATCACAAGAAGTAATCCGGAGTACGACGAGTCACATGAGGTTCGCCTCGGCGTGGTGCTGGATCAAACTGCAAGAAGGAGTACTTAAGTTCGTCGTCCAATTCCACCATCGCCGCTTGATTACCACAACGATAACAGTAGTTGGGAGCCGAGAACACGGTAACTACGTTTCTGTCGTGACACCAGTTGTAACCTTCCATGACCAGTTGGTGAGCTCTGGATATCAGTGTGATGCCGTTGGAGTGATTAAATGTCTCTGAGATGTCCTGACCAAAGGTGTAACCAGCACCACGAGGCGAGATACCCCAGCCTCCACGGTCGTCGGGGTCAGACCACAACAGATCGCACATAGGTCCTGAAATAAGATGTTATAAAAGTAGAAAAATAGTAAAAATTGTTATAACCAGACTATAGATTATGCTTCCTAGCACTAAAAAAATACTCTCCTAAATAACTCTTGCCAAAAAACAAAAAATGCTTTGAAAAATATTAAAAATAGCCTTACCTTCGTGAGGGACTTCTTGAATGCGCTCCAGCGATCGTATATGGTCCAGTGTATCTATCGAGGGAGAAAGACCACCGTGTAAACAGAAGATTTGACCATCTACCAACGCGGTCAAAGGGAAATAGTCAAAAAGCTCGGTAAAATGGTTCCACACCTTTGAGTTTCCGTACTTCCTTAGACACTCGTCGTAGAAACCGTAGACCTGCGTAATTTGGCGAGATTCGTGGTTACCTCTGAGAATCGTTACTCTATCGCGATATCTAACCTAAAAAAATAATAATAAGTTGATAAAAATAATATCATTACATCAGAAAGAGCCTTTTATACCTAAAATTTTGCATTTTATCCAATCTACTTACTAGAGCTACTAAAACCTAAACTTAAAGACTAAAAACAAATATCTTACCTTCAAACAAACTAAAAGTGACACTGTCTCAACCGAGTAGTAACCTCGGTCAACATAATCTCCCATAAATAAATAATTTGTGTCGGGAGATTTTCCACCCATTTTGAAGAGTTCCATCAGGTCATGGAACTGTCCATGTACATCACCGCATACTGTTACCGGACATTTGACTTCCTGCACGTTGGCTTCGTCTTTTAAGATTTCTCGTGCCTAAAAGACAACTATTACAAAAGAAGACCTTCAGCAGCCGTATCCATTTGTTTAATTAATAATCTCGTTTTTCATTACTTTTAAAGCATAAAATATGGTTATTAACGATTAACCTGATAATAAAGACACTATTAACATTGAAAAAGCTTATCAAATTGCTGCTCTTAAGCAATAAAAGCCAAACAATACCTAAATTTCAAATAAAAAGTTTATTAACTTACCTTCTCGCAAAGCAGCTTGACCTGGCCTTCTGAAAGCTGTTTACATTCGTAAAGCTGTTCAATCCACTCATCAAGCTCTTTGACAAACTCCCGGCTAATTACTTCATTCTTCTGCTCCATCCTGAAAACAATTGTTATCAATTCTAAATAACACCGTCCTGTATATAACACGCAAAACTATCTCGTAAATAAGTGTAAAACACGTGAAGTGAACATCGAAAAAGTTAATGACCGAAAACGGAGTTACAACCGTCTAATCTGAAAACAGAAATCGCCAGAACTAAACTTTGTGGCCAGAGAGCGCTAGGAAGAGGAGAGTGCCAATCCCTTATCTCCCTCAGGGCACTGGAATAATATCAGGGAAGACGGAGAAAGAGCCATTAAGGCCGGGGCCGAATCCATCCTTCCCGCCGCGTTACGAGTCTGCTCCCTCTCGCTTCAACTCATCCAGCTTCCACAAGCAGAAAGAACGCACCAGGCCGACCCATTCCGTAAAAAACAGCGGCGCACTCGCCGGTCAGCTGGGTCCCGCCACGAAATTGGTGTTCCGTCTTTTTCGTTATTATTTTTGTTTCGAAAGATTTGAATGAGAGAACTTGACGAAACAACATTCGTTTATGTGTAATATACTGATCAAAAATAAAATTTTTAAGGTTTCAAAATTTTTGATTATTTTAAAAAAGTTTAGTAAATTTAGAATCTGAACAAAAATATGTTTATAATCATATTAGTTCCTTGTAAACGGTTTATTTTAATACAAAATCGTTCTTTTTTGTGAGTTTTGTAGTAAAACGGCTCTTTTACCACTAAAAGTGAACGATGATGTTATCTATGATGTTAATTTGGTGTATGATCTGCAAAAAGAAAGTAAGAGTCTAGAAAATGGTTTCAAAAACAATATCAAAGCTTTAAAAAGGTTTTACAAATCGAAAGGCTAAAAGGATTGAATAATTTCACAAAAACATACAAGATGAAAGAATGTAGGAATGGTTGTTTAGAAATATCACAACAACAATATCTTTGACAGTCAAGAATTTATTTAGAGTTCATTGTGCTCTTTGGTATCTTAATTTCGATGTAAACAACGTCGTATATACGGAAAATAAATATGGACGGGATTAAGACTGTTAATAAATATGCAAAGACATTTGTGATATCATTTATAAATTTTAAAGTATGTTTTAGTAGGTAAAACAAGGTTTTCAATGATAAAATGCTTACAGAAAATAATGGTCAATTAGTAAAATATTATTTATCATTTTTAAAAAGCAATGAATTTTATTGAAATAAGGTTTTAAAAAATCACAAAAAAGCTGTGAGACGGTCAAAAAATACGCAGAATAGACTTTAGTTAAAGCTTTTCAATATTCCGTCCATTTTCAGGCCAAATCAGTACTGTGTTATCACTTTCTCATAATTTTTACTCTCTAAAACAATGTTTTCGAAACTCGATGTTGTTTTATGCGTACCATTAAACTTTAAGTACAATGTGGAGTATAATATGGCTCTCAACAATCGACCGCTCTTTGTTTTAATTGCGGAATAAAGAAGGGGCATTAATCTTTTATATCAGGGCTTCAAGCAGATGGCGCTGATTAATGCCATGTGTCCACGTTTTATTAAACTTTCTTGGGGCTGATCCGACCTTTTTTCCCCTGCGGCCAGAACGAGTTCGGCCGCTTCTTTTTTTTTCTTTGACCCGTCAAACACCCCCCCCCCACTTTTTTGTTTCAGGTTTTATGAAAATGCGCGGGTTCGCGGCTTCGAGGATTTTTTGGCCCTTAAGGCGTTTAAGTAATTTTGAAGCGAAAACATTTTTTTTTAATTTTAAAATTAATTTACTTTTTGAATACAATCCTATTCTTATGGAACATACGCGGTTTAAAGTCTTAGGTAAATGAATCGTATAATTGATGATTAAAGGCGATGAATGAAAGTGAACAAGGTCAGGCGGATCAGCCCTTAACACCGCCCGAATGTGCGGCTTCGTTGATCAGAGTCGGTGACGACAGCGACAGTGGCTCTTTGGCTGACATGACAGTAAAGAAGGAGCGGATTCTGTCATTGTTGAAGGGAGTAACTGTAAAATACGACAGTAATGTAGCGCCTTTTAAGGTGAAGGGTGGGGCTGAAAATGGACTTCTGATTACAGTAGGAGAGGTTGTGACGGCTTCTGAAGAGCTGCACGAAGATGACGTTATCTTCTCAGTTAATGGATTGTAAGTTTTGTAGTATTTTACAGTTTTTATGTTGAATTTAAATGAAAAAATAAACGAAATGTAAATTTGCATAAATGGTTTAATATTTTAGGCATTTTCCTGGCAAAACCCTTTTGGAAGCGCAACAAACACTAAAGTTATTATCTCTGAACAACTCGGAACTCCAACTAGAGGTCATTAATAAAGGTAAACGTCCACTTTATGATTAAACGGCGTATTTTCAGGCGTGTTAACAGCTGATATCCGCGAACTCTTCAAAGACCAGACACTGATCGAGTTGCATATGACAATGCGGGACAATATTCTGCTCAACTCTGTGCCATGTAAGTGTTGGTATAGTTATTATTGTAAACTTTGTTGATATGAATTTAGTTTGTTAAGTTTATGAAAACCAATGTTAATATAGAGAGCACTTCACTATCAATGTTAATATTGATAACATGAAAAAGATTGATTTGATATTTATAAAAGTAGCTGAATGTTAAAAATACAACTTGAGCAGTGATAGATTACACTATTTACCATAATATTGTTGATCTCACACTCGAACAGATGACCGAGCCCTTTAATTTACAATTTATATTGTTTTTGATCACATTGTTTTTATAGTAGTTAGTGTAATATCAAGGTTTAAAGCTCCTTTCCCGTTCATAGACATTCTCAGTTTGTTGTGTAACGCCGTAAGTGTAATATGGCTCTGATGCGACTTTTTCTAGACACTACCCGACCACGGTACACACACGAGGTCGATGGTGAGGACTACATCTTCGTGTCCAACGATGAGTTTCAGCGACTTCAGAAGGCGCACTCCTTCCTCGAGTGCGGCGAGTTCGAAGGTAATTTAAACAAAGTGGTCATTTCAATTTGATTAGGAGTTTGGACTTTTGTCCCGAGAGTCTCGACTCTTCTTCGCACCCTCCAGCCAAAACGGCCCAAGGTTCTGGAAACCGGCTCTTGGAGTTGGGGAGGTTTTGCAGATATGTAAATTTTGGAAGTAACAAAAAGCGAGGATTTAGGCTACATTGTGTTTCATATTGTCATACTTTTTGTCTTTGTCATCAGTTTTTCATTTTTCTAAATTTGAAAATTTTGATATCTTCTAACGTCTACTATAATATAATACTCTCAAAATGTATCTAATGTACACGTCTTCACTAAGCTTTAACGTAAGCAGTAATTAAAATTACTGTTCACCGGTTAATGCTTTCACATTAAGGCTTGAAAGGAACATTAAAAACACGTAAATGGTTTGTCTGATTCAAACATTCGGCCGCAGGGGCCAAAGGGCAGCCGGCTGAAGAGCTATTAGCCATTTAGGGGAAATCTGGGTTTGGGCGCTTAATGTGGACATTGTTTTTTGTTTTCATTTCCGATTTAATCGTCCACGACACGAACAACCGGCTGGCAAATTCAAGGAGTGACCAGTAATTTGAATAACATATTTAGTTTAACAGCAGTTATTACTTATTATATCTTAGATTTTTAAGTAGTTTAACTTAATTTAGGTGTTATTATAGGTCACAAGTTTTTTAATTCAAATTATTTTTTTAGATTTTTTTTCTCAAAAAATACCTAAGCATGCCTTTTTCCTAAGTCATAAGAACAACATTTATGTTTTATCCTAGGTTAGTAAGTCTTTTGTAATGTTTCTTTTCTGACAGTTAGATGCTCACGTTGTTCTGTAGATCCCCGAAGGTATTGCGCGACAAATCATTCACTCAGCTGACCCATTTTAACTTAAATAACTTACGATCACAATTACTTTCTTGTTACTTTCAAAGGTCTAACGGTATGTAGTCACGTTTTAATGTAGTTCCGAACGTTCTTTGACGTTTCTGAATGCATATGTAGTGGGTCACGTTGAGGACGTCAAATGTTGCAATTCACGTTTTGAATGGGAGATATGGAAGGTTATATTTGGGATGTCAGATGTATTATAGTAGGCCACTTTTAGAATGACATTTCTTGTCAAATTGGGGTTATCTTCGTATATTATAGCAAAACATAGGATGTTCCTCAACATATCAAACCCTCCGTATGCCACTTTTATTCATACTTTCACACCATCTTCCAAAAAACCCCTCCCCGCTTGAGATGTGAACATATTTGTCTAAGTCGCGCATTCCTCGCTTGTATTCCCATATCGGTTATATCTGATTGTTTGGTATCCACAAACATCGGAATCCTAGCCACAGCGAATGCAAATGAGGAATGACCTTTGACGAGAAACATTAAATGCCGAGACAAGGGCTGAATGTATATGAGGGGACAGACAGGGGGGGGGGCGCAAGAAAATCGACTCACCACCTCCGTCTTCCCTCCTCACCTGCGCGATGTTGTTTTTGAGTGTAGTTTGTTTGAAGATATCATGTCCTCTATTGTAGCACCAAAGTAAAGGATACCGTGTCCTCTGCTGTATCACTAAGCAGCAAGATACCACCGCTCTCTATTGTAATATCGTTTTATCAGCTGGCTTGCCAGCTCATTTTCTCTTTTAGCACATTTTATTCTTATCGCGAGCCGAAACGAAGAAGTTTTGGTTTCCTTGTATGTTTATAAACTCTCAAAGGTTTCGGCCGTTCATCTGGCGGCACTAATGCGAGATATCTGCTCATTGTTTACGGCATAGGGTCTTCTGTTGTATTTACGCGAACGGCTACAAAATCTGCTTATCTGATTGGAAAACTTTTACTTTTAGCTCTTTAGAACAACATGTTCTGGTATTCAAATTAATTTTCGTGTTAGGACCCTTGTTCCCATAGTAAAAAGTTCTCAGATGACCTTATTGTCTCCCTCACCGGATCAATTAACCGGATGTCAGAGGTGGCAGAATCAATGCAAATCGTGTGTAAACATCGCTCTTTGCTATCGCCTCGTCCTCCTCGCTTTCTTTCTCTAAACGGCGACGTCTTTCTGAGGGACCTTATAGGGAATAGGCCATATTATAATAATCGTCCGATCTATTTAAATGCGACTTTTTTGAATAATTTCGATATTTTTAGCAGTTTTTTACTGAATTTATTATTTTCTGTTTGTTGGGTGGGGAGAATAGTCTTCTTGTGTGGACTTTTCTTATAATTTACTTATTAATTTTTTGGGTTTTTATTGCAAAAACTATTTTTATAGCTTTGAGAACATTGTATATACGAAAAGACTCTTGAAGACATTGGGAATACATTCCCTTCTCAGGCATGATTCACTCCTATAAAAACGATACTGTACATTAAATCAAAAATGTGTTTTCGTATCTTTATATTCAGTCCAAATTAGCTTTCGTATCTGTATATTGAGTCAAATTAATTCTGATATTGCATATTGAGCCATAATATTTTTTCGTAATGTACTACGGCAAAATTTTACTCTTATAAGGCATAATTTTTACTGTCATATGACATATATATGAGGTTGAACCAAAAGTAACGGGACACTTTCCATTTATTTTTCAGCTAGAAAGTTACGTAAATGAAGCTAAATTTCATGATTCTTAATTCCAGGCTACTTGTACGCTACGCCGCGACCCAATGCGATAATGAACGGTGACCCCAAGGGACCTTTGCCACCCAATTGGGACATCTCTTACACGGATTCGGGGGAAAAGTACTTCATCGAGTAAGTTTGACTGTTTTTTTGAATTTACTACAATTAAAAGTCAACATTGTTGTTTATTGCAATTCAATAGCACGAAGCGTGCTACGTTCGAAGTGTTACTTCTGTTCCAAATTTGTCATACACTAAAAATAAAATTTTTATGGGCTTAAAAGAGTTATGTTTGTAACATTTCATGCTTATAGATTTAAAAATTATAGAAACGTTTTAACACTTTAAGGTGATTTACATAAAGATTCTTATTAAGATTGATACCTATACACAACTTAAATAACATAACTTTAGAATCCACCTAAAAACCGAAAAATGTATATAAAATTACGATTTACTCTGTTAATTTCAGTCATAACAACGGTACAACACAGTGGAACGATCCCCGAGATACGGTTGTCTCGAACGGACACACCAATGGGTACCCCTTCCTTAACGGCACGGCTAATGACACCTTCAAATTGAGTAGTAATGGCTACGAAGAAGCACTTCCCGATGGCTGGGAGAAGGTCGAGGACGAAGTTCACGGCACGTTCTACGTCGAGTAAGTCTGTTTATTCGTTTGTTAATGTCTAAAAGAGTCCTTAATGCCGTCCTCTGGGCTAATTCAATTCGTTTACAATCTTGACCACTCCAAGAACGCCGCAGGAAATTGTTTGAGGCATTGTTGGCGACGGCATGATTAGCGTAGTAATTGTTCTCCGCCATAGTGCATGTCGTATTTCGGGGAGGGAGAAGATGTCGTGGGGGAATGGGTTTATCTTCTACTTGTGGATATCTACTTTCTATAGATTTGAGTGATATGAGTAGTGAATCCTTGATTTATGTTTATTTACAGTAAAGTTTGAATAGCTTTTTCGTCAATCATAACGTTTTTACTTCGAAAACCACAAAGCTTGGTTACTGTCAATTAAATATTAAAGAGATTAACTATCAGTCTGTCACTTTACGTAATTGAAGCTCATTTTCGAAAGTCGCAATTCATTTAGGGCCGAGATTTGAGTTTAGTGGGTAATAAATCCCGGCCTTGAAGCTCGCCACCGTGGGCCTGAGGCTGAATTGTCGCCGATTTTATTTGTTTAACGGTTTGTTTTCGGGATTTCTCGCCTCTTAACAGTATGATTTCTCGTTTTCCCTCCGGGCATTTGGTAATTAATCTTGTCCGCAACTTGAATCAAGCTCGTTTTATTCCCTTTATTTCATCTTAAGACCCCTCAGGCCGTTTACCAGGACACACCGCACAAAGCCCGCTTGTTGAGACATTGGTCCACACATGATGCGCCTGATGGGGCCATAGTCGGTTTCATGCGACGCTTCAAACGGCGACAACAAAATGCCAAGTCCAATGGAGGGTTGCCGAGTCGCTTCGTGAGCGGTAGCGTGCCGTCGCTTCTACAACATCCTCCCCTAGATACCTCTGCCTTGATTAGAAATTTGGTCTACTCTCAAAGGTTTGGACGCTTTCAGAAGCGCAGTTCATTAGCAATGTTTACTTGGCCGAGCCAAAGCTTAAAAGATTAAAACTTTTTATATTTTATGAGCTATCAATCACTTGTGTTTAGATACAATGACATGTTGAAGGTGCTTGTTTTAATATCATAAAACAAGCCTTATCTTGGAGACGTTTTAATGGGTAGAAGATGACTTTACGTAATGTAAACAAAGCATTATTTTAGTGACAAGGACACTTTTAGTTTTGATCAAAAACTTAAAAATTACTTAATCAATTCTAAAAACTAACTAAACTTAAACTTTTCAGCCACATAAACAAACGAACACAGTACGAGCGTCCGTCTAAGCAGAATGGCTACGTTGAGACGGGGGTATCGCCCAACTCTTCGGAACCATTACTACCTGCGCCAGTACAGCATGGGCACGCTGGAACGTCAAACGAAAACGGATGGCACGTTAACGGTAGCGGATTCACATGTGATCCTGCTCAGCTTAAGGGCGAACTCATCACAACACGTCTGACCAAAGGTCCTCAAGGTCTCGGCTTCACGTTGGTGGGGAACGACAGACATTCCATTCAAAACGAGTTTATTCAAATCAAAAGCGTTTTGCCTCGAGGGCCTGCAGCGCTGGATAATGTTCTACATACAGGCGACGTACTGGTCTATGTCAACAACGAGCTTATGCTAGGGGCTAGTCAGGACACGGCCTGTAGGTTGCTGAGGTCTGTGGGGGTTGGTGAGACTGTCACGATTCAGATTTGTCGTGGATACCCACTGATACTGGATCACACAAACAAAGTAAGAGTTTGCTTAAATTAACAGCTACTTGATGCTATTGCTAAAATAATGTCATAACTTCATTTTACAAGAAAATAATGTAATATTTTAGGTTTATGACGAAGCCATATATTCTTCAACTTACGCTCAAACCAACTTCCAAGCACGAAACTCTGAGAGAATCGAAATCATGATATCCAAAAGCCAAGGTGGCTTTGGCTTCACAATCACTGACAGCCTACAAGGTCAGAGGGTGAAGAGCGTGATGAAGCCAGATCAGTGTCCCAACCTGTTAGAAGGTGACTTGATCATAGAGGTTGACGGAGTCAACGTGCTCGGTATGAGTCATGTTCAATTGGTGCAATTTTTACACGAACTGCCTATTGGGTACAGTACGACGATCATTGTGACAAGGCAATCGCCGAGGTTAGGGTACGTAATAGCATGGATTTAAAGAAGATATCGACTAAACGTGCATATTTGAAGTCATGAACAAAGTAATGAGTTAAAAATTGTCTTACATAATATTTCAAAAGGAACATTTTTAGAAGGTCGCGAACGCCAACAGCCGGCTTCAAGTTTGGGGAAAAAACGAGGAGTACTCCGCTGCCATCTCTAGGACCGCGCTCTAAAACCCCAGCACCAAGCCTAAAGAGAAACAACTATCAACAGTCAACGTTACAAAGAGTAAGTTATTACCTAAAATCTTTTTAATTACTTTAATCACTTTAGTATTAATCTTTATCTTTCAATCTAACACACCTTAATTTAGTCTCTGCACGATGAAATGATAGATGAATTCGCCCAACTACGAGGAACAATGACCAGAAATGGCTTCTCCTCAACTCCTGACTACATTCCGATATCGTCGTTGTCTCCGATGATAGATTCTACCTACAAGTTTATCACCGTGAACTTGATTCAACACAACGGTGGATTCGGCTTCCGACTGGTCGGGGGAGTAGAGATGGGTGTACCACTCAAAGTTGGCAGTGTGGTGAAAGGTGGAGCAGCTTTTCAAGATGGTCGACTGAGAGAAGAAGACGAGATTTGTGAAATCGACGGCAAAAATGTTGTCGGTTTTCAACACGATGTTGTTGTAGCCTTGATAAAACAAGCTGCACTGCGAGGCTATGTCAAAATTCTGGTCAAGCGACGTCAGCGAGGTACGGTGTTTTAAGATTTCAAACTTATTAATGATTTAAGGTTTATATAAGTATTCTTATATCGTTTTTTATTTATGATAACAGAAACGTTTTCAGACAACTATGGCACCCTCAGATCTAACTATCAGGTATCAAACTACGCTGATCCCCGTCAATTTCTACCATCCTCTTTAGTGTATGATGTCGTACTCAACAAGAACGAGCACGAAGACTTTGGTTGCACGATCGTCCCAGGAATCTACAGATTCATCGGTAAAGTGATCCCCAACTCTCCGGCTGCACGGTCAGGCCGGCTACAGGCTGGGGACTGTGTGGTAGCCATAAACGGACTAGCTACAGACGAAATGTCTCATCAAGATGTCATAAACTATGTCAAGTCCTGCAGAAAAAGCATAGTGTTTACTATCGACCCCACCAAACAGAGGAATCTGCTCATGGGAGATGGCTCTGCATCCCCCATGTCCATCCTACGAGATACTCATTCACCTATCAGCACGACTAACATAGTGCAAGGCAATGGCCTACAGTACTTAAATGGTGTTGAAAAGGTAATATACTTTGCTGAATGACATTTTCATACAACGTAATTCTCAAATGACATTTTAAATTGACTTTTTCAGGATTTCAAGCAGATCCAGCTCGAACTAAAGAAAGGTGCTAAAGGCTTTGGATTCTCGATCCGTGGAGGGTTCGAATTCGAGAATATGCCATTGTTTATTCTTCGCATCGCCGAAGATGGACCCGCTGCTCAAGAAGGTACCTTACGGGTTGGTGACCAGCTCGTGGAGATCAACGGAGAATCGACCGCCGGTATGACCCATCAGAAAGCCATATCACTCATTAGGGAACAAAACGTCGTTCGACTGGTCGTTAGTCGCCCGCATGTACCTAAGTAATACTTAACTATTATATTGTAGTTATAATCAAAAACTTCACTTAACGTTCGTCAGGTTACTGTAATTTTTTACAATAAATGTCGCAAATTATGAAAAACCTTTGGGAGTTTTGGGTTTAAAGCTTACCCAAACTAAAATTTGAAAATATAAAGTATCTAACAATAAGAAATTACACTTTCAAAGCCACAAGCAGTTATTTTTAGTCTAATATACAAGTTATTTCGTTTAATTCCTATTACAAAGATAAAAAGTGACAAAACATTATTAACATATCACACGAACAAAAGGATTGTTTAAAACATTTTAATCAGTTCGAATGCGTTAAGAATACAGTAAACTTGGGAAGTAACAATATGAACAATAATTAATCTACACTACACGACGACTCTTACAAATATACAATAATGTAAAAATGCGCAATATAATGACTTGAAAGTCAATTTTAATAGTTAGTTGTCTCTTAAATTTACATAGTTACAGTTATGTCAGTGGCATCGCACAGGTATACTGAAGAATCATCTAAACTACAATGATTTCTGAATCCTTAGTTCGATCAGGTAACTGAAGCTTTCCTCTATAGTTGCCTGCGGGTAATTTTGAAGCATCAAGATCGTCAAAGTATGGGTGGTTGAGAATGTCTCGTGTGCTGATTCTGTTCATGGGATCATACTCGAACATTTTCTAAAAGAGCCATCAATAACATACCCAAATTATTAACAATATCAACGAAAGCAAATATTAGGTGACAACATAAAAAACCCGCCATACTTTGCCTGTAAAAAATGGCGGGTTCTTTATGTCGGCACCTAATAAAATCATTAACAAAAATACCTCAAAGCTGCCATTTTTCGTTTTAAATTTAAATATAACATCCATTCTGAACTTTTTCAGATAAATAACATAACTTACCAATAACAATTCCAATCCAACGTCGTCAATGATTCCTTCTCCCAGACGAGTTGATAACACATTCTCATTCCAAGAAGGGAAGTAGGGTTTGTATTCTGGCAAACTTCGTACATCAGGCCAATTCTCTTCGTTCGGTGTTCCCAAGGTTTTGAAGATACGGAACAACTGGTCGATTTCGGAATCTCCAGGGAATAGTACTCGTCTTCGGACCATTTCAGCAAATATACAGCCGACACTCCATATATCTACACCGGTCGAATACCTTGGTGAACCGAGTAATACTTCAGGAGAACGATACCAAAGTGTTACAATCTAAAACAACAATTGACTTGTATAACAACATCAATATTAGAATTAATTTAACCAAACTTTATCCAAAAAAAGGTAACAAACCTATTGTAAGAAAATTAAAAACGATTCATTCCTTTATCTTCACAAAAGTAAACCAAAAATAAAAAAATGTCGACTTACCTCATGAGTATAAGCTCTGACCGGAATACCAATAGCACGAGCCAATCCAAAATCTGCTATTTTGACTGTGTTGTTAGGAACATCGACAAGAATATTCTGTGGTTTCAGGTCTCTGTGCAAAACTCTTCTTTGATGGCAGAAACATAAAGCTTGTGTCATCTAAAACAATATAATTTCAAATTAAAAAGGAAACTCAAAATAAATTTGAATCAGTAAAATATAATTTTTAGGTATTACTAAAAGCCATAATTATCACTTTCAAAACGTTACCGAAAGCAATAACAAAGATACTTTCGACAAACAAAGAAAAATAAATATTAACCTACCTGAAACAAAAAGCTCTTGATTACCGGCACTTCCACCGGCTCGTCATCTGGTAAAGTATCCAAAAACTTTTTCAAATCCATCGTGAGAAACTCAAACACTAAATACAGTCGATTCTCCTGCATAATAACATCCTGCAGCTCCACAATGTTAGGATGTTTTAGCTCGATGAGCATGGAAATCTCTCTGATGGCCGTTGGCGGAACCCCTTCTTCATCATTCTCAAGACGGATCTTCTTCATGGCCACATAATTGTGGTACTTCAAAGACTGGGCTTTGTAAACCACGCCATACGTACCTGAAATACATTCCTCAAAACAAAAATAAAGATTTAATATTAAAAATACGTTCCAAAGTTACCAAAAATGATTGAAAAATTCAGAAATAAAGCTAAAATGAAGTATAACAATATTACCTTCTCCAATCTTGTCAATCTTGCGAAAATCGGCCAAACTTTGCTTTCTGAAGGCCGACATTTGCGAAAAACTTCGGTAAAGTGAGACAACGAATGACGAAGAAAAGCGAAAAATTGAAAAATAAATTTGGCGACAAAATGTTTTCGTGACGGGACTCAGAGGACCAAAAGTTTTTAAAGCGAAGGGGTTTATTCCGCACATATTTTAATATTGTGCGTCTTAAACGAGTAAACGTTCATGTCTTAATACATATCATTCTACATTGATACCAACTTACGGGTTTCTTGGTCTTTATTTTTCTTTATATTAAACTATGTCAGGAGCTAAGAACCTTGTTAAAAACCAAATGGAAAACAAGGTTTTGTCAACAAATGTTGCGAAAAAGTCACCATTGTCTAAGAACCAAAAGGTAGGCCTTGTAGAAACTTTGTTTTTACTGTTTAGGCAAAGAACGCAGTTCTTGATGCCAAACTTCGACGAAAAATCTACGAACAAAGATTCGCAAACATCTTCGTGTACGGTATGCAAGTCAAGATTAGGACAAAGTACACCAAGGACATGAGGGCACTTCAATTCCACCGTGCTGAGCTCATATCTACTGAAAAGCGGATGAGGGAAATGTCAATGTAGGTTTAAAATTTCTAGCATATTTCGGAAAACTACCAAAAATGTAAATTATTTATTTTAAGTCTTTTGTACATTAGCTGCTTGTTTCAACTTTTATAAAATTTGGAAAAAGAGTCATTGTTTGTTTCACTTGGTTTAACATGCTGTACTTTCAATATTTTGTTAATATATGTTGTAATTGTAGGGAAGCCGGCTGGTCTGTACCTGAAACAGCAAGCGTAATCTCGAGAATGCAAATTAAGTACAAGACAAAGCTAGACCAATATGAAAAGAAGTTCAGAAGTAAATCACCAACAAGACGAACTGCTCTTGGCCCACGAGATCAACGTCCAAAGCCTCCAATGTCTCCATTAGCTCACCAAGAACATGTTCTGTCTGTTGAACAGCCAGTGGTGGCACCGAAGGTGACGGTAGCCAGGAGACGTTTGAACTTCACCTCGACTCCGAAGCGACCAGATGTTGTTGTGAAGCCTAGATGCGTTGTTGAGCCCTCGATGAAGTTGAAACGGTTTGAACTAGTCTTTGTGTGCTTGTTTGGTGTTGTAGCATTGGGTGCTTCGTACTTCTTTTCCTCATAATCTATCTTCTACTCATTTGTAGTTTACGGGTTAATCATGATGTACATATTTTTTACTACAGTTATTAGTTTGACAATACAAATATAGATAAAATATGCGTTTTTAATCTTTCTGTTACCTGATCATTAGCTTCGTACAGTTTTAACTTTGGTGTTTTAAACATATTTTCAATAAAACTATTAAATGTAATGTTGAATATCATAAACAACTTATTTAGCCCTACATGAATATGCACACTTAAAGTCTTACGGAGTAAAAGTTGCACTTTCAACACACAAATATGTTTTTTCTATGTTATAATTAATAGCTGAGCATACATACTCTTAATTTAGTATTAACTTTTAATAAGTTAAGTTTGTTTTTACTATTGTGCTATAAAACGGCATACTTATTTTGACTGTTGAGTCACAGATTTACCAACCTGTACTGTACTGCTCTGTAAAGTCATTCTTTTGGTCTCTTTTTACTTTCTTACTTTGACCAAGGATAATATGATACTATTACAAAAGCTAAGAACTTCTTAAAGAGCATAGCAAGTTTATTAAAAGTATGTCAAAATATAATATCTCCTATACATAATACAGACAATAGTCATCTAATGACGGGTATGCACTGTTTGTTACTACTTTACTTGTAACGTTGAGAATAAAGTCTTTTAATCTTTACATATTGTAATTATCGTATTAACACATAGCCTCGCCGCTTTCAGCGAATTTGAACATGTTTTACTCTGGGTAATAAACGGGTTATTTATATGTATAGTAATGTACGCGGACGTTTACTGTGCATCAAATGCAACCTTAGACCAAACGCTATGTGTACTACATCGTTCTGAACCTATCGGCTTCATTCTTTCTACGATATACGGAGTTTACTTTGTCAGACAGATGAGTCGTATCTCGGTGATCCACATAAACCTTCGTATCATACTGGTATGTTATCCAAACGAGTGATTATACACATGTTTAGTGTACGATACCCTTCCAATACAGTACGTTGTGTGGCACCAGAGTCTTGTATCGGTTCTGTGTTGAGAATGAGCTGTTTTCTGCGAGGTATATGCTAGTGGTAAGAGCAGTAATAGACTTTTTTCATCGTATCGCTTTGAATACTTGCTGCTTGTGTATCTTCACGATAGGAATCGAACGGACATTTGCCGTAGTATTTAGGTCAAATTATGAAAAAAGAAACTCAAAGATTGGGCTTCGTATGCTTATCATCGTGGTATGTTATTAACTTTGTCATAAGGTGAACCAAAATGTAATAACCAAACATTTTTTATTATTTATAATACCAGCCTTGAGACTATACTTATTAAGTTTTTATATGATAGTCAAGGTATATGTTAGTGTTTATGACTACTGTAGTTTTTAGATGATAATTGGGACGCTAAATAGTATAGTGAATGGTCTGAAAGATACGTTAGACTTATTTGTTACTGGCGACGACTACGATTTACCGTACTTTGATAGACATCCATTTATATACTTTCTCTTTATCAGCTCAGCAACATGTTTTTGTATTATTGGAAGCTCGGTAAGTCTTATATACGGCTGAAAATAAAAAGTTGCAAAGTTTGTATACAAAATGCTATTTCATATAACATATTTGTTACTTGTTTTTTAACTTTTAAGATTGGACAATTAATATATACAGTTGGTAATTAACAAGAATAAAACCAATATTTTAGCTGACATACCTCTTATGGAAGGTTGTCAGAGCCATATCAAAGAAGGAAGACAAGGTAGACTTATCTACACGCTTCCAAAGTATGGAGAACACAGATACCGTCCAGACACTATTCCCTACCATCTGTGGTTACTCTTTCTTCGTTACCTTATGCGAAATCTTTTCATCGTATGTTATGTATGAAAAAGAAGAAACCTGCCAGGTTGGAAGTTCATGTTCACAGTTTTATGTGCAGGTAATGGTTATACATAGTCATTAACAGCATATGTTAAACCTCCTCCTCCAATAGATACTCATTACGTAATATGGTAATTTCAGATGGTGTACATTTCAATCAACTTGTACCACTACTTCTTCTTATTATACCTGTCGATTAAATTCAAAAAACTGAACAAACTTATTGTACATGACATCAAGAAGCTACTAGGTATCAAAGAAAACAACCTCGACCACTACAGACGAACATTGGACCGTCATTCTCCTGTAGATGAAGGTCTGACATACTTCCAACAACTAAAAGACGAGTGGGAATTGGCGGAAAAACGACAGAAATAGTGGCTACAACAATATTATAGACAATTTGACTATAGTTAACTCAGAATTGTATGAAAATTTCTATTTTTATTTGCAATAAAATGCTAAAGTATATAAATACATTACTGTAAAACTAACAAGTTGGTACAAATACTGTTACATAAAAGTAAATTTAAATGCAAATTCCAATTTTAGGTATATTACAGAGTAATACTATGATATAAGTAATTATTCCTTCCATAACTGTTCTACGATCTTCATTATGGCCAAGCACTTTTCCTCTTCGTATGGCTTCGTGGCTATCTGAACCGAAAGCGGTAATCCCTCCGAGCCGGCGGACGATTGTTTCACGAATTTCAGAACAAAGTTGTTGCCTGAAGGCAGATGATAATTAGTGGGATTACATTTTTACAACACAATAAACTACTTTGTTAAAAAAGCTATATCTAATCTCAATAATACCGTAATTTGCATACTATGTTTTAATTGAGTCCTTTGTAACCGAAAATTACTATTGTCAGAGGTGTAACTAGACCTTTGTGTACGTATATTTCAAACCTAGGAAAGTATAATCCAATCGTGAAAATACAAAAGGTCCTAATTACATATGTTTACAACTTTTAGATAATAACATACCATTTGAACACAATAATATACTTTTACCTTGTGCCAAAAACCGATTTCACAATAACTTTTTGCCATGCAAGAATACCCTAATTAAACCGTAATGTTAAAATATGTCAAAAAATAGTGTCAAAAGTGTTACCGTATCTTTTATGTCATCAATGTCTACGTTCCCACCCCAAAACACCATAAAACAACCTTGATTACCTGTTTCATATTCCTCTAGAGCTTTGGTGTCTTCCTTGTTCCACTTGCCAGCCGGAACCACTCCAGATGGAAAGTTTATCATGTTCCAGAAGGCTGTAGCAAACCCACAAGCACCTAATAGGCTAGGCCATTTGTGTTCGACTGCTGGAACGCAAAAGGCAGGACAAACAATGGCATCCAAAGCTAGCTCATTCCACTGGTCAATAATAGCTTCTTGATATAAATCAACGTGTTCTTGATTCTGTCGAAGCTCTTCGATGTTTCTTACAAAACTTCTAGATAGAATTTGTGCCTGAGGGCTGATAAAGCCGAGAACAAAAGCTGCCCATGTTCTGAGTAGCAATGGTATCTGTAAAATGTGATCTTTAGTTATTTATGTTTTGAGAATATTTTTAAAAAGTACCAACTAACAACTTTGTTTACGGCAAAAACTTACTTTTATGAGACTAACAAAGCTGCTCATATACTGGTCGATAACTTCTCCTCTGAACAAGTTGCACAAGAATGTTCCTCCGTCTGTCAAAATAGACTTATAGCAAATTTCAGCAGCGTGATTAGGTCTTGGTAGACGGAAATGAACAAGTTCGTGTCCTTGAGCTTTCAGTTTCTCTACTGTTTCAACCACAACACGTTCGCATCTAAAAATAAACCATTGTTTAGAGTGAACTTCAAAATAAAGTAGGTAAAAAAGCCAAAAATAAAATCGTATATAAAATACGACTAACCCAGTACTAGGCTGATCACATATAAAACAGAACTTACCGCGAACTAGGCTTATCATATATAAAATAAAACTGACCCCGTACTAGGCTTCAAAAATCCGTCATCGCTAAAGTAGCCGATCCTCAACTTTTTATTAGCCGTCTCATTAATTATGTCCATCTTCAGAGGCATAGGCACAGCTGTAGGACAACTTTTATGAAATGATTCTAGTCCTAACACCTGATCTATCAAGTAGATCTGTTCATCTACTGATTTAGTGATGAAGCCATATGCCAAAGCCATACGACCTCTGCCAGGAACACCTTGTGATGCGTGTCTTACTGTGATTCTATCTAAAAATGATGTTTCAATTAAAAAGTTATCCATTAAATTACTCACAAATCAAAAAAATTAAAGTCTTGACCAAAGTAGCAATCATAAGTACAATAAAACAAACCTTGAGTTGGTTTAATTGACACCAGTCCACACATTGTCGAAGGAATACGAAGACTCCCAGCCAAATCACTTCCGGTAGCAAAGGCAGTGCCTCCAGATGCCAACAAAGCTGCTTCGCCGCCAGAAGATCCTCCAGGTACTCTACAAACCATTAATACGGTTAAAGCTGGTACATAAAATTGTTCTCTAACAGTTGCAAATCATACCTATTAACATTGTAAGGGTTCTTTGTAGTACCATAAACAGGATTAGAACATACAAATGACAGTAGAGCTTGTGGGACGTTAGTCAGAACAAATGGAACAGCTCCGAGGTCTTCCAACGCTGTCACAATTGTGCAAGTGTCTTCTTTCGGATTCTCTAAAAACTTTGACAAACCACAAGTACAGTCGTATCCTTTCATCTGAAGTCATAAATAAGCCAATTAATAATTACAATTCAACTTATCATTATTATAGTTCCGAAAAAACAAAATAAAAGTATATTGCAGCAGATTGTGTTTATCCCTTTTTAAAATAAAAAATATTTAAAAACTCACAAAGAAGTTTCCTTTCACGCTAAAAGGTATTCCATACAAAGCTGGCTTCTCGTTAGAATATTCATATTGTTCATCCAACTTCTCAGCTTTTTCAAAAGATTCGACCAGAAACTCGGCCAAACAATTGACCCTGTCGTTCTCAATCAACGCTTTCCATGCATAAGCTTTGAGCACAGTAACGGCATTGTACTTTCCTTCTTGTAGACTTTCTAAATCAATAATATTGTAATTGAAGCTATAATCCCTTTGCCTACAGTATGTAACTAAAGAGGTGAAACTAAACAAAAAACACTTACCTCTCAAATCCTGAAAGTTCAGTCCAACAATCTCGTCTCTCAAATCTTCACCAATATCTTCCACCTTCAACTTGGCATCGTTGAACCGTTTCTGCCTTCTGACTTCATTATTTCTAATACGATTCTTTGACTGTACTGTTCCAAACGGCTAAAACAACAAGATTAAACTCCACTCACAGCCCAAACCTCCTCTACAATCCATCGCACAATGAGCAATATTACAATACTGAACCATCCCACCACCACTGCAAGTCCTGACAAACTCCCGTCCAGTATACCTCCACTTACCAGGATATTACCCATGATTCTTCAAACTTCAACCACTGAAATTCAGTTGTTTCAACTAGACACAAATCGTGATAATTTTAGAAAACAAAGTATAAAGAACGAATCTCGCCCAATGAAGGCAAGGTCAACAGGAAAGGGGAGGACGCGATCACTTGCGAGTTCAGATAAAGCACTAGACTAAACTGTGAACAACAGCTAATACGTTGTCCTTTTATTGGAAAAACACGTTTTCAATTAGTCGTATTAAACTGTAAAACAAAATTGTTTTTCCAAATTCAAAATTTCAACACTTATAAATTGGGTAAGTAAATATTCAAATATCCTTGGAAACCAAATAAATATTAACTTCAAGATTAAATGTCCAAAATTGATGCTGAAGTATTTTTATCCATCGTGAGTATGATCTTTAATAATTAGATAATTTATGCTACGATCAGAAAAGGACTCGCTGAATTCTGAATTACAAAAAATAAAAAGTGGCAAAAACTGGGCGCGAAACGTCAAATTAACCTTTCTGCGAACTGCGGTTTCAGCTTTTTTTCGTATTTTATTTTTGTTGTTTTTGATTTCAAGATTTTTATTTTGATAGGGGTATTATCAGTACATCAATAATGAAATTTTTGTCGAGTTCACAAAAAGAATATGATCTTTCTTTCAAATTCTTGACCAATCTGGTATTTTGTTATCTTATGCTGAATGATATGGTTATTATCAACTACGCTCTGTCTACGTTTTCGGTTGCTATCTTATAATACGACCATAAAAACACTGATTTTAATCTTGCTTATGTATGCCTAGGGATTGAGTGATATTTTATCTATTGTAAACAATAACATAACGTGGTAACAGAAGGCTGCATTGCTTAACCAATAATATTATAGTCCCGTAAATGCAGGAATTACAAACTTGTATGTATATATATATATATATCGATTTGGTTATTAATTAAAATTTGTGTAACCGTGACGAACAACACAACCGGAATCTTAAGTAACTGCTACACTAGAAGCTAAAACAACGTACGAAATCACCGAGAACATGGCTATGTACAACATATAAGACGTATGAATGATAATATTACTGTGTACGATGCTGACAACTGGTACCGTTGTCGAATGAGACCATTTGTTTTTAAATTAACCTAGTAATATGTACAATAACAAGAGTTTGAAACAGGGTTTCACGTCATGATCGTCAAGTTTTCTTGCTCGCATAACTTATCTAGCGTGTTTCTAACGTTGAGCGCGGTCAGCCGCGAATTTGACTGCTCAGTCCAGGTTTCCACCATGATTCGCTGGAGTTCTTTGGAGATCTGCAAAGATAAAGTCAGATAAACAACACGAAATCAATGTTTTTCCTTGTTTTGGTTGAGGAGAACTCGAGTTTCGATTCTATTCATCGTTCAACAACAAGATAACAGCAAATATATGCAAAAGGTTTAAAAATCTTACCGGATTGGTCTGCCACTCTGGGAGAATTGTCGGTCGATTCCTTTCCCTACACACACAGTCCCTCATCTCTTCTGTGGTCGGTTCTCGAGGCACAAACTCCTGGTAGGGTATCTGATATGCATGTGGGTCTTGGTTGTGTACCACTCGAGCACGCCTGGTTATCTCCCAAACGACCAGTGCAAACGAGTACATGTCCGCATTGATGTATGATTTGAATACATTCTTCATGATTCGACCGCTCAAGTATTCTGGAGCCAGGTATCTGACCGTTCCGCCGCGAGATGGGTCTGGGTTGTCGATACTTTGGGGTAGATTTCGGACAGCCAACCCCAGGTCTGCTATTACCAACGTCATGTCATTCTTGACTAGAATGTTCCGAGACTTGATATCTCGATGAGCGATAGCTGGTTTGTCTGAAAACACAAAGTAAAAATAATGTTGATCTAAATTTTTGAAACAATATAAACTTAGGTTTATTAAAGTACGGCAAACAGATTTTACGTAAAAATTGTACTTTTCAGCTAATGTTCAAGCATAATTGTTCATAAAGTTCGCTTGGTTAACTTACTTGTTATTCCAGGAATCTCTGTGTGAAGATACGATAAACCGTGGGCTAACGAACGTACGAACTGTACGGCTTCATCCAAAGATACAGCGTTCTTCTCCAAATAGTCGTACAAAGAGCCTTGTCGCATGTATTCAGTAATTAGCCATAACTGTGTTGATGCGCCTGTGTCTTTGTTGTCAGAGGCAATCCATCGTAACAAGTTATTATGACGCAACATGTTGGTGGAGTATATTTCTGTCTCTCTGTGCCATGAATGCTCATCTCTGGCCTGGAAGATCTTGACCGCCACTTTCTCGCCCTTCCAATCGCCTAGCCAGACATCTCCATAGCGACCTCGAGCCAACGACTCGACCAGTTGAATTTGTCTGGCTATGGTTCGGCGGACCAAAACATTGTTACCAGTCTCACCACCATCATTGTGTGGTTTGGTTTGGGATTCGATGTCATCTAGCAACTTGTTCAAGCCACTGTTTCTAAAATTTTAAAATTTTTAAATTATACTATTTACATATATGTGAACAATGCTTACTTTAACTAGTAAACTTTTTAAATAGATTAATTTCCTTTGATGTTAACTTACGCTGAGTAATAAGACATAGTAGATTGGGCTCCTGGGAAACAGGTAAGGAAGGCTTGCATACATTCCTTGGAGTGAGGGCTTCTGAACCAGAAAATACCAACAACAAGACCAGCAAACGAAAATACACAAGCAACAATGAATATCACAATCAACCATGGCCAACTCTTCGTTGTGACCTGAGGCATTTTAGGTACCGGTACCTGAAATAGACATTGTAAGTACAACTAATGAACTTTTTATACATTAAAATTATATAAAAATGCTTTTTAAATAATTTAAAATGCACGATTAGTTGAGTTGAATATGAAGGGTGTAGTAAAAGAAGTACTTACATCATAATCATTACAAAACGAAGTTTCGTTGCAACACAAAACAAAGTCTTTGCTGCCAGCTCCTTTCATATTTTGACATACGAACGGCTTTTCAGGTGGTGACAAGTCCATAGGTGCTATGCAACTAAAATTTGAATATGAAATACGATAGAAACACTTACTCTAAGGTCGCTTTTGCATTGCCATTTGTCATGTATACTACACTTTGTCTGCAAACTCCACGACGAGCTCGACACATCCCTCTAGCCGTTTCGCCGACTATTTGAACAAGTTCACTATCACAATCATCTACGTTACATTTACAGAAAATCTCATTTTCCACCAGAGGATGGTTAAGATCTGAAATTAATTTTATTAAAAAAATGTTAAAATTATTTTAAAATTAACTTAAAAATTAAAAAAAAAATAACTCACGTTGTTCATGCTGTTCTAAACTATGTATTAATACTGAATGTATATGACTGATCTGTTGCGCAGTATAGTTTGCCTTCCCACCCAGCACTAGACTGCTTTTTAAACAACACAACAATAGTAGTAGTGAGATCATTGTAGAAAAGATTGTCGAATCAAACATAACGGTAAACTTCAGGGATAGCACATTGTACAATGCTCAAATCTAAGAGAATAGGCCTAAAATAACGTTGTAAAGTAACTAGGTGTCTGTTAATTTTAATAGAGGAAATAATCAACTTCGAAATCTCAGAAAGCGCGACTCGAAAGAGAAAACAGAGTAGAAAGACGAATATTTTCTGTCTGGGAGGGTCTGGGGGCGAGAGGAATGTGAGTGAACGTGCTTCAATTTCCGTCTGGGAGCAGACAAGTCCACAACGACGAGAGAGTGTGGGCTCTCTCACTGCGAGACAGAGCCCAGACACACAAAGAGAGCCTCTTTACGTATCAAAATGAATGACTGACCCGTCTGGGTTTTTTGTCTCCTCCCGCCAGACTTGTGTCTGGGGTTCTGTCTAGAATTCGCAAAAGGGAGGAAGACAACAACACGGCCCCACTGACCGCGAAACCCACGTACAGGCACGCATTGTAGTCTCTACATGCATATTATGACATTTCGCGAGTTAATATGTCGTTTCGCGGTTATCATACGAACAAAGACAGCCAGCCCTAAAGGAAACTACGCATATCAGACAGTAAAAAACAAGTACAAACAGAATGACAATATTGCCAAACAGGATCTCTTGGTTTACGGTGGTTTTAATAAAGTATTTAGGTCTGAGTATTTCGTTACTTCGGGCGTATTAACAACTTTCAACGCGAATTAAAATTTAAATCTGTTTCGTAATTTATTGACAAAGGGTTTCCTGCCATTAATCAGCCCTTTCACTGGGAGATGATGTTCCCTTGTAAGTTATGGGGAACATTATAAAAGTGAAGGAGATGAATGTACCAAAACTTTAGTTTGATCGTCGTGAACTCACGGAACGTCAGTTCGTGAACTCTTCCACTTTCGAGCTGAGTCAGCGGCGAATGCAAATGAGTCTAGACGAAATAAAACGTCTGAACCGAATGGGAAAGTGAATAATGTGAAATTGGAAACGTTTTAATAAACAATTCAGAGGGTACCTTCCTTTATTTGCATATATACAGGCTTAATCTAGAATAATCCGTCGATAACCTCCGTCACTGGGTCGATATCGATGTCGTAGAAGCAAGGCCGAGTGTTCAGGCCGGGCATGGTCATGATTTCACCGCACAATGGGAAAATGAAGCCGGCTCCGACAGAGATGCTGACTTCACTGATGGGTAGAGTGAAACCTAAATGTATTTAACATTATCAATAGTTTATTCATGTGTCTATTGCTATTTTTGCAGTAACTGGCCTTCAAAGCTACTGTGGCTGAGAAGTGATGTTGTACATTTACATATACGTATATTATGAAAACAAATTAGTGCTATTTTAACAATCCAGTAAATAGTCTAGTGTTATTTTTATAGGAAATGAGTTTTGTGCTACACAAAAGACGGTGGTCTTCAGAATTCCGTATAAAAACTTTGCATGCAAAGTACAATTGTTTACTGCGGAGTTTTTTCATTGGTATGTAATTGAAAAACAGATGTTAACGTAATTAGAAGCCGTGCATCAAAGATTAGGTGGTAAAGAGAGATTAAATTTTATGACATTAATTTCTTGTCTGGCATACATTAGTTTCATAAACAGAGAATTTTCCCTCCGGCTGCAAAGTTTAAAAGTGCACTGGCTTAAAATAGAATGAAAAGGCCGTTTTTGATAATCGGATACGACATTACATTTTGAATTTTGCGAAGTTTTTTGAAATTGTGAAATTTACAAAACGTTCTGAAGATAAATTGAGTTTTTAAAAGTTTAAAAACAATATTTTTTAAGCAAAATAAAACAGTTTTTTTGAAAAGTTTTGACTAAAACACAATTCTTCAAAACCTACCAGTCGGTGCTCCTTTTTTGCTAGGATCATGCGACAAAGACAACTGTGTTTTGGCCATACACAACGGCAGATTGCCAAAACCTTGCTCTGTGTACCGTTTAATCGACTTCTCCGCGCTCTCAGAGTACTCAACATCTTTGGCTCCGTAGATTTCTGTAGCAATAGTCTCAATCTTCTCCTTTATCGACTTGTTCAAGTCGTATAGAAATTTAAAGTCATTCTTTTGGCTAGCCGAATCTTTCACTGCTTGTGCCAAGTCTTTGGCTCCTTCTCCACCTTTGGCCCAATGATTTGAGACAACTCCAACAGCTCCAAAGCTGCTGGCCTTCTCTTTGACTAGATTCAGTTCTTTTTGAGAGTCGGTGCTGAATTGATTTATACATACGATTACTGGTAGACCAAACTTTTTAATGTTTTCAATCTAAAATATTTTTTTTTATTTTTGATAATAATTTCTTTTTAAAAGTAAAAAACATGCAAGTTTACTACAGATGCTCTTAGAATCAATAAAAAATGAAAAAAAAACAAAATTACCTGTTTCTTCAAATTAGAATCGCAGCCCTTTTCCAACAAATCCAAGTTGGGTGTACGGTATTCAGCAGGCAAGTTGCCAGGTCCTACTGGAGGGCCTCCACCGTGCATCTTCAAGGCTCTTACTGTAGCTACAATAACCACAACGTCAGGAATCAATCCAGAACTTCTGGCTTTGATGTCCAAAAACTTTTCACCTCCAATATCAAATCCGAAGCCGGCTTCTGTCACCACGTATCCGTCTTTTCCGACTAATTTCAAAGCCAGTTTGTCAGCGATGACCGAACTGGCACCATGCGCAATATTGGCGAAAGGACCAGCGTGAACAAAGACTGGCGTTCCTTCAATTGTTTGCATCAAAGTTGGTTTGATAGTATCCTTCATGAGCACTGTCATAGCACCAGTAACACCAAAATCGTCAGCCGTTACTGGTTGACCAAACTTGTCTGTGGCTACGACGATCTTTCCAATTCTTTCTCTCATATCAGCCAAACTCAAACTCAAAGCCAAGATTGCCATTAGCTGAAAAAAGTAACAAATTACAAACAGAAAACTTTAGTAGTGTAAAGTATGTTAACGTTAGATGTTTCAATGTTTAAACCATATATGATAACTTCAAAAATCTAAAAACGCAAAAACAAATAACACTTACCTCACTACCAACCGATATTCTGAAGTCTGTCTTCCTAACGTGACCCTTTTCTGTTGGACCGTGACCAACTTCAATCTTTCTCAAGAATCTGTCGCTTGTGTCAATGACTCTCGACCAAGTTATAGTATCTGGATCAATGTCAAGTCTTGCAAATCGTTTTCTGTCTTCTGGCGACAACTTCTCCGCGTCTTCTGGCACCTCAATCTTCAATCGTTGTAGTCGTCGCTTCTGAATGTCAGTCAACAGACGCTTTCCTTCCTTGTTCTTTGGTACCAACCGGTTGAACAAAGCATCGTCAGCCTGTGTCGCTTCGTGGAAGATACGAGCATCAATGGCAGCGGCCAACAAGTTGTTAGCGGCAGTAATGGCATGAATATCTCCGGTCAAATGAAGGTTGAACTCTTCCATTGGAATGACTTGAGAGTATCCTCCACCTGCTGCACCACCTTTGATGCCAAATGTTGGTCCTTGACTTGGCTGTCGTACACAAGCGAAACTGGGGTTGCTATGTTGGGAGAACAGGGACTGGGCTAGACCAATAGTGGTGGTACTCTTTCCTTCTCCCAACGGTGTTGGTGTCATACCAACTACTAGAACATACTTGCCATTTTCAGACTTGTCCAGTCTTTTGAGTAGATTTAGTGACACTTTGGCTTTCTTGTCACCATAAGCTTCTAGTTCTTCATCCTTGATTCCAATATCTCTGGCCAACTAAAAAATATATTGAACATTGTACTGAAACTTTTTTGTCAAAAAAAAAGAATTAGAACTTATAAATTAAAAATAAAAAAATGCTTACTTCAGCAATCGGACGAGGCTTCTGATTCCGTGAAATTTGAATATCCGAAGGCACATTGGCTTCGCGCTTAACATCCACCGCCTTCAGATTCCACTTGACGTCCGCCATGATGTTATAGATTCGTATTTGTTGTTTGTTTACAACCCTCACAACAATCGTGTTTAAATACCTTGCTCTGAAGACCGGCCCCTTCCCAGTGCACTGTGTTTGTGATTACCTCGAGTGGAGTTGAGAATCTGCTCTTTTTTGGTCTTATTACGCCATCCTGCTTGCATCGAGGCCTGGTTGCCTTGCCCTTCTCTTATCAGATCAATCACAACTCTCTCAGGTAGGAGATTGCACGTTGGGGAACTCTAGTCACACAGAGGTCAATTACGTAGTTACCTCGAAAACAGAAAACATTCAGGTGCTACTCAAATACGAATATCACTGTACCTTCAAGTTACACATATAAAAAATTGTAACATGCATAACTGCAATGTAAAATTAAATTATTTTGAAAATTGTTGATTTGAACTTGTTTATTCTTGATTATCTCACTAATTCATCTTGTTGAAATATTCTCTTTTACTTTGAAGATATACCATCACAATAACAACATTTGTAATCGCTTGTCTTTCCTTTGGAATAAACATTTCCACGCTTATCAAGCGGATTACAAAACAACCAAAAACAAGTTGTTCTGTTGCTTGTTTTTATTACAGTAATTTGCAGTGACAAGTTTAGCTTTTACTTTAAAATTTAATTTTTAAAATTTTTTTCCTACCAATTTTGTCAAACAAAACTTCAGTAGTCGGAGTTCTGGCCTAAAGTTTAACCGCAATCCTGTAATTTTTAACAAGTTTTGATTGACTGTCCCATGTACTCTATCTATTTTTCAACTACCAAAGATGACATTTGCTACAAACCACATCAAAACGACAAGTTAACCTACAAAGCTGTAAAGGTAAGCTAAAAAAGTAGAAATTTTTACGTAAAATGTTAAATCAAGCTTTATATGTAATTGATCACACTAAAATTTATATGGCTTTTAGTGTATACAGTGATATTTTTCAAGAAATACAGAAAAAAAAACTCATTATAGTCTATCCAAAAGGTATTTTTTAACTTTTGAACATTTAATTTTGCAAAGTAAAGTACGCTTTGAACTTCAAGCTTATCTTATAATCAAAAGTAACCTAAATTTCGCCGTATTTTTACCTTGAGCAAGTCGACATTTCCTAAAATTAACTTCATCTGGTAAAAAGCTTTCTATTTTGTCCCTTTTCTTGTCAAATTTTCATGTTTTTTTTTCTTAAAATTTTTTATGTTTACTTATAACACTTAAAAGTTTAAAAAAGTATGTTTACAACAATATCACATTAAAACCATAAACCGTACGAACTCATTGAGTATAACATTATTTACCCAAACTGCTTTTCACGGTTTTTAGGAATTACGGACTTATGGCGTTTATTATGGTTCATAACAAAAACATGGTTTGGTTTGAGTCATTAGAAGTTTACGCGATATAAACTATAAAAACTTACGTTATTTCAAACACATTCATTGTAAACTCGATAATTTATTCTCTGTTTCCTTTATACAAAATGTTGTAAAATGTTTTTAAATTTTTTACCATTTGAACGACTTTTTTTGCGCATTTTTGGGTGAAACGGAACGCCAAACAGTTTCTCGGTTTTTTATTATTTTAGGAAAATGTTTTATCAAAACGGAGGACAACTCACTTTTTCGTGATGTGTTGTAGCTGTTTTACTATAAAGTTTGTGTTATGACTTTGTTTTACTTCAATTTACTTAATTCTTTAGTTTTCTTTGGGTTCAGAGTACTTTTATAGCAAGTTTTAGCGAGTTTTTGGACGTTTTTGAGCTATTTCTTTGGTGTTCCGAGTGTAATAGTAGACAAAATATTGTTTTTAGGGCAGAATATTATTAGAGAACTGTTAATACTTTGACCTTGTTTCTTTGACTTTAAATGGCTGTTACATCAAGTTTTTTTTAGGTATTTACACTCAGAGATGGGATTTAGAGATACGGGTGGGCATTTTCAGGGGTCTAATCTCTCCTAATCTTGATGAAACAGTGCACAGACTGAGTACGAAGTAGATACTACTTTATTAATTTCTTTGGCACTAGATTGTAACCATTTACTACTAAGGTTTAGTTGATATTGTGGCATTACCTACTAGTTTTAAACTTTCTATTTAAAACTGAGTTTAAACTTCCTCGTACTGAATTCAAATTTGAGTATAAGGCAGCAATTTACCATTCATATTACACTATAGTACTAATATAACATAAGAATGTTGCCACGGCATTACAATCATCGCGGTTCGGTTGACATTGTGGGCCTGAATGCTCAAAGGTAGATCAAAGAACGGTTCGGCAGTTCTTTAGAGTCTCAATCACAACTTTCTTTGTCTTGCGGAGTGTACTGTTTTATTTTCATAGCTGTCCCGAGTAATGTTGAGTGGATGTCGTTTCGTTTTCTGCCGGAATCCAAGTCTTACTAAGCTGTACCGATTCAGGTGGGTTTCTGTTTTTGTTGGCAGGTTTAGTTTTTAGTCTTGATCAAGTGGCCCTTTGCTTTGTTTGAGTTGTTGATTATTATCTCTTCGAAACGTTTTCACTCACTTTGGCTATTCAACAGCTAACAAGTATAATATTTGCTTTTTCTTTGAGGTATCCAGAGAAATTCTTCAGTATTGTGATTACAAAAATTAATTTTTTATTGACTAATAAGTATAAATTTAGGTTTTGAGTAGCTAACTGTTGAAAATTATCTAACCGTCTTAAAATAACAAGTTTTTGTTATTGTAAGACATCTTCGACATTAAAATTTAATTTTGATAACTATAATAAGATATTTAAACGAATTCTGAACGTTCTACGTCTAAAGAACTTAAATTACGCATATTCAGCCTATAATATTTTAGATCTAATAATATAAAATCTTGCTCATTCATTCCATAAGGCCTCATGGGCCTAATTCTTTGGAAAACGATGCCCCGCGGCCGATTAGCAGCCTACCTGTTGGGCTCGGGCCTCTGCGGCTGCCTTCTGATTATCTTCGTCCTTCAAGTAGATTTGGCCGACTCGTTTGCGTTGCGGTTCGTTGAAGATTTGTAGTTGGGATTAGTAGGCATTTATAGGGCTTCCTCCCTTGTCCGCTGGGCCTTGTAATGTGTAGAATTACATTTCCTTTTGTTATTATAATCGTCATGTATTTGTTGCTACTACACGAATAACCTCACTAAATATGTAATGCCTCGTCACGTTTTTCATGATATGTTAGTTAGATGTTGTTGTAAGAGTAAAAGGTTGGTAGGTTTGGCAAAAACTACTTTTTGGTTCTATTGTCATAAACTTTGGACTATTTGTAACTCATGAGTCATATTCTTTGTTTTGAATGGATTTTGAAAAAATCGTCAAAACAGCAAACAGTATTGTCTTCTAGTGGGATTGTTTTGAGTCTTAGAACATCTGGGTTACTATTTAAAAAGTCTGAAACTTTAATGTTAGTTGAATAATGATTTCTATTCGTTTTCTAACGTACTCCTTGTCTCATGATTTTCTGGTTCTCTTAATTCAACAGGACCTCATTTTAATCATTCCATTTGTGATTTTTTTGTAAATAATAATATTTCATTTTAGGAATTTGACCGTCGACCCGAATCGCCGGTCCAGTTCGGTATCGCTAGGTGAACGTCGTCAGACTATAAGCGGTGGAAGTTCAAGCAATATGGCTCAGGGAAAGTACCAAGTTATCGAAAAGGGCGCTTTGTACTCTTTGGATTATAGATTATATTTTAGTAAGTTTTTTTAATTACTTGTTTCTTGTTTTAGGTAAACTTAATTTGATCTCCTTTCTTTGGTGTTTCTTGTTTTTGACATACTATTTGACGTTTTGTGTTTTAGAGGGCCCTAATGGTTTGATCTCGCCATGGCACGACATTCCATTGTACGCTGACCAAGCTAACAGCGTGTTTAACATGATTGTCGAGATCCCAAGGTGGTCTAATGCCAAGATGGAGGTAAAAATTAAAATTTATTTTTTTACTTTAAAGTTCAAACAATCGTTTTTAGTGCGAGTTTGATTGTTTATGTTCCTTGCTAATTTTAATTCTTTAGATTGCCACCAAGGACCCCTTGAATCCCATTAAGCAAGACGTAAAGAAAGGACTGCCAAGATTCGTTCACAACATCTTCCCCCACAAGGGATACATCTGGAATTACGGAGCTTTGCCTCAAACTTGGGAAGATCCAAATCACATTGACTCGAACACTGGAGCTGCTGGGGATAACGATCCAATTGATGTGCTGGAAATTGGAGACAAGGTTTACCCAAGAGGCTCAGTAGTACCAGTCAAGGTACTTGGAGTTGTCGGACTGTTGGATGAAGGCGAAACCGACTGGAAATTGGTAACTATTGCTGTTGAAGACCCATTGGCCGCTCAGTTAAACAACATCCAAGACGTCGAGAAAGTGAAGCCAGGTCTTTTGGCTGCTACTCACGAATGGCTCACCGTTTACAAGATTCCAACTGGAAAGCCAGCTAATGCTTTCGCCTTCAATGGAGAGTTCAAGGACAGAAACTTTGCTCTTACCGTGATTGAGGAGACTCACAACTTCTGGAAGAAGTTCATCGCCGAGTCAAAGCCAAGTCTCAACAGGTAATTTATTCAGTTTTTGTGTTACATGTTAAACTTGTTTACTTTAAATCTTTAAAATGATTTTTATGCTTGTAACGTATTGTTTTTAGCGAATCTCACGTCCCCGAAGCTGCTCATCAAGCTGACGACGCTAAGTGGAAGGAGATCGTAGACAACAGTCCAGCTCCTCAACCTGAAAAGCCTCTTCCAGGAGATGTGGACAAGTGGCACCACGTTTCCAAGATCTAAGTTCATTCCGATCAAGTCTTACAGCTAAGATCCTATTATAATTTTATTTTTGTACGGTTATATATCTTCGAGTAAAAGTTTGTCGTATATGATGTACTAAATGTTAATTTGTGATATGTAATTTACTTAATTATATTTTAATTCTAAACCTTAAAAATTTTAATTTGTACTGTAAAAAATCCAAAAAGTTATTTTATCAAATTTATTATGGTACTATAAGTTATACGACAATAATATATACAAGTAACAAAAAATATACAATGGTATATACAACTGAGATCATTGGTTTGAGCTTAGTCAACTTCCTCAACACTTGGACCTTGGGCATTGAATCCACCGTTCTGTTGACCACAAGTCGAAGGTCCTCCTTGGCCTTGTTGATGAAGTTTGGCAAGGATCTTGGTGCACACGCTCTGGGCTTCTTTCAGTTGATCATCGTACTCCTCTTTCTCTGCCGTCTGATTGTTCTCGACCCATTGTAGGATTCGGTCACAAGTCTCGCGAGCCATCTGTTTGTCATCGGCGGAGAGTTTGTCACCATACTCATCCAACGAGGACTTGACTTGGAACAGGTAGGCTTCCAACTTGTTGCGAGCATCTACACGGTCACGTTGGCGTTGATCTTCCTGCTCGTACTTCTTGGCTTCGTCCAACATTCTCTGGATCTCGCTTTGTGACAATCGGCCCTTCTCGTTTTTGATCTGGATCTTGTTCGACTTCCCAGAGCCCTTCTCCAAAGCCGAAACGTTCAGGATTCCATTGGCGTCGATCTCGAACGTGACTTCAATCTGCGGAACACCGCGAGGAGCTGGTGGGATACCCATCAGGTCGAAGTTGCCAAGACGATTATTGTCCTTGGTCATGGCACGCTCTCCTTCGAACACTTGAATACTGACTCCAGGTTGGTTGTCGGAGTAGGTCGAGAAGGTCTGTGTAGCCTTGGCTGGGATTCTGGTGTTGCGTTCCACGACCTTTGTCATCACGCCACCAGCTGTTTCGATACCAAGTGACAAGGGAGTTACATCGACCAGTAGAACATCTTTCACGGCTTCATCGTTGACTCCGCTGAGGACGGCTGCTTGGACTGCAGCTCCATAGGCGACGGCTTCATCGGGGTTGATGGATCCATTCAAGTCCTTGCCAGAGAAGAAGTCCTTCAACAACTTCTGGACCTTCGGAATTCTGGTAGAACCACCAACGAGCACGACTTCGTGGATGTCGCTCTTTCCGAGTTTGGCATCTCTCAAGGCTTGCTCCACCGGCTCCAAGGTAGATCTGAAGAGGTCGGCACACAGTTCTTCGAAGCGAGCTCTCGAGATTCTGGAATGGAAGTCAATGCCATCGAATAGAGAGTCCACTTCGACCACGGCTTCGGTAGATGAAGACAGTGTTCTTTTGGCTCGTTCACAGGCAGTGCGAAGTCTACGGAGAGCACGGGAGTTGTTGGTGATGTCTCGACCGTGCTTCCTCTTGAACTCGGCCACAAAGTGCTGCATTAGTCTGTCGTCGAAGTCTTCTCCACCCAGATGGGTATTTCCAGCGGTAGCCAAGACTTCAAACAAGGACTCATCAATGCTCAAGATGGAGACATCAAATGTGCCACCACCAAGGTCGAAGATGAGCACGTTCTGTTCCTTGGCCATCTTCTTGTCTAAACCGTACGCCAACGCGGCTGCTGTGGGTTCGTTGATGATCCTGAGCACGTTGAGACCAGCGATGACACCAGCGTCTTTTGTAGCTTGACGTTGACCATCGTTGAAGTAAGCCGGCACGGTAATGACAGCATCTGTGACTTTATGTCCGAGGTAGGCTTCGGCGGTTTCCTTCATCCTCGTTAGCACCATGGATGAAATCTCTTCAGGACGGAACTGCTTCTTGTCGCCTTTGAATTCCACCTCAATGATGGGCTTTTTGTCCTTCTGGAGCACCTTGAACGGCCAATGCTTCATATCCTTCTTCACGGTGTCATCGTCGTATCTTCGGCCGATCAGACGCTTCGCATCGAACACGGTGTTCTCTGGATTCCTGGCTGCCTGGTCTTTGGCCGCTTCACCAATCAAACGCTCTGTATCGGTGAAAGCGACGTAGCTGGGCGTAGTCTTGTTACCCTGGTCGTTGGCGATGATCTCCACTTTGCCGTGCTGGTAGACGCCGACACATGAGTAGGTCGTACCCAAATCAATACCAATAGCTTTGCACGAGGCCATTATAGTATCGTAGGTTCAATAGTTTTAGCAGATATCGAATATTCACTCACAATTTTTAGTTTGAAACTGAAGATTCTTCGCATTTCGCCCCGCTTTTATACGCTTTTATAATCTTTCGCATTTGTTTCGCGAATTCGCGGGTCGTTTCGCGAAGTTTCTGGAAGATTCTTTCGCCCGCCCCTTTTCTTTTGCTTTTCGCTCGGCTTTCGCTCTACTTTGTGCTGGAAATGCCTTGACGTTTCGCGGTTTTTTCTCGAAATTTCTCGAAAAGTGTTTCGCAAAAGTGAAATGTCTGACTAATATTGAATTTTGTAATGTTTTCTACAAAAAGTACAAAAGGCGTATTATAAAACGATATAAGTTAGAAAAACGGAAATAAGGTTATATCAGATTATCTTTTATGTTATTTTTTATGTTTTCTCTTTGTTTTGACTGTTTTTTCTATACTTTCATATTTATGAGGGCTAAAATAATATTTTTTTGGTTTTATCATGTCATTATCCGTTAATAATTATAGTTTAGGTAACATCTTGATAAAGAAGTATATTATTTATTAGGTAATAATTATAGGATTTAAATTAGAACTCGTACTGTGAGACATGAACCTCGATATAGATTATGTTGTGGGTTATTAGCGTTCTGTACGGAGTCTTGGTGTTTACAGTCATTCGTATGACTTCTGTCCTCGGTCCTGTTATGGGACGTTTCAACGATATTATGGCTAAAAATAGTGTGTGAACGTCATATTTTGGTCAAAAAGTTTATAAAAAATAAGGTCAGCGGTGTTTAGTGGCAACTGAGGGCATCATAAGGTAAAATTTTGTGTACTTTTTGATCTTTTTCGTTTTGTTAAGTTTAAACGTCTTACCGACATGCTCGTTCACTTTTTCTATAGTAAAGTCTCGTTTATACCTATTATCAAGTATAAAGTCTGATACGAATGGGACTGGCATAGATACTGTAATCCTTGATATCTGTAAATACTTATTCCTAGGGTTGATATTTATTGATTGTTTTTTAATCGTTACCTCCAAATATTTAGTAAATTTTAGCTTATGTAGTGTGTTTACCTCTAATGGTTTTTCCAATTGTAGTATGGTAGGTATAGTACGATACTGATATAGGATTTCTTTGGATAAATTGGCCACGCACGAAGTGTCTCGAGAGTTACAGTTCAGTAGACATGAGTAGCCATCGTCTATCATGCTATAATTTAACTTAAGTTTTGATAAGACTTATACTTTGATAATGTATGTAATTAGTTTAATTTATTAGTCACGTTAACTGGCTGTAAAATCCTAATATAAAAATTGACAATAATGTCACTATGCGAATTTACTACTCAAACACAAGGTTAATATTAAATAGTACACAGCAATGAGATCAAAGTTGTAACACGATTCTAGGGTATAGAACTAAAATATGAAGCTTTTGTGTTGATGATGATGGTGGTGGTGTTTTATGTGTAGATGTTTGAGTTGTGGAGTATGTTTGTATTGTGACACGTATACCACAAGGTTAGCTACATATTTTCCGGAGAAATGGCCGTTATTGGTTAGTCGAAGTGTTAGTTCGAGAATGACCTCTTGAGGTCCGTCTAAAGAGTCCCTGAGGGCAATAATGGCACTGTTTCGGTCGTCGCCTTTCTGTAGCAAGAAGTTTTCTCTTACCGCAACGTTGACAGTGGTGGATTCTAAAAAGGTTAGTGTTAGTTGTGTTAAAATAGTACCAGACCAAAGGGGCACATAGGATAATACTGTAAGTTCTAAGCATTATACCTGGTATCACATCGACAATCCTCAACTCAAACTGCATGTTAGCTTTGGAAGATGAAGGCCCTTTCATGCTGAATAGGGTTATCGAGGTACGTTGACTTGATATGTTGACCTGTTTTGGAATGGCAATATGTTGCCAGGAGATGTGGACTGGACTGTTCCTACACTCGTCTGAGGTTACATCAACACACTGTGAGCCGTCTCTCACACAACGACTAAAATCTTATGTTAGACAGCAAAAAGGACAAGGTTCGTTGTGTCAAGTTATGACATATTAGGTTATTTTGTGGTTAGTAGTACGTCAATAGTCACTTGATGTTATCTAAATTTTAATTTCGTTTGCTGTAACTCACTTTTTGTAATGTTTATCCGGCACATATTTATCCGGACATTCGATCTTCTGACATCTGAAGCCTCCTAAAGTGTTGACACAGACAGAATTGGGGTCAGAACATCCAGTAGAAGCACATTCATCTATGTCTTTGCATGTTACATTGTCATCCAGTAGGGCATAGCCAGATGGGCACGTACATCTGAAGGCTCCAGGAGTGTTGATACACTTTCCCATACATAGTTCTTGACCTAAATTTGAGATAGTTATTGTAGGTTCTAACTTCAGTTACGGTACTTTTAAGGATTGTTATTGTTTCGCAAAGATATTGTAATAAAAAACCTGATTACTATTACATTATTTTTTCCGTAATAATAAAAAAAAACTATTTTAATAGCCTAATACTGCAACTTTACATGTGGCTGTATGAGTAAGCATACGGGGTTTGCTTACCAGATCTGGCCCAAGTTGAACATTCATCGATGTCTTCGCAAGTCTTTTCATCAAATCCAAGTTGATATCCTCTGTTACACACACATTGATAGCTTCCAGGTGTGTTAACACATCTTTGTTGACACTGTGCTTCACCGTTCTCACATTCATCGACATCTAATCAGTAATATATTATAGTGGGTCATATTTCTTATTGTAATTTAGTCGTAAAGTTAATAGAATTGTAAATTATTCCTTACATATACATATATTGTAATTGTACATATATGTATGTAGTAATATTAATCTAACCGTTTGATAAAAGCTTTTTAATGCCAAACCTACCATCACAATGTCGTCCGTCTTCTCCCAGCTTGTAGCCCTTGTTACAATGACATATGAAGGCGCCGATCGTATTCTCACATGTGGCATGTTGTGAACAGATGTGACCTTTGAACTTCTCACATTCATCTACATCTTCACATAGTTTGGTGTTCTCATTGAACTCGAATCCAGCTGAACAGCGACATTTGAAGCTGCCAGGCAGATTGATACATTGTAGATCGCTGCAGGTATTTTCTCCTGTGGCACATTCGTCAATGTCTAAAGTGAATTTGTATAGTAGGTAATAAATCACGATACAGTATGAATACAGTACACATAACATGAAATTATTGTAATATGTGTCGAACTGGGAAATATACATTGTATGAAAATATCTCATTGCCTATGACCTACCCAGACAGAATCCGGACTCCTTGTCCATTCTGAATCCAGAAGCGCACAGATTTCCTTTCTCCTGACATCTGTACGATCCTGGTAGGTTGATACATTCCTCGTAGAATCCACATCTTCTAGTAGTTCTACACTCGTCTATGTCAGCACAACTACCGTTTACTACTTCGTATCCTGGTGGACAGTTGACTGAGATACATTCTCCTGTCTTTGGGTTCATAATATCTGATGGACCACATGTTTTGGCATCACAACGGTAACTACCTTGGGTGTTACGACAGTGATAAAGTGGCCCACAGTCATGGGAGCCTAGGTTACACTCGTCAACGTCTGAAAGTGGAGGGTTATGGTATATAACATGTATATTATTATATGGCATGTATATTGTTATAGGTATATAACTACCTCAATGTATAAATTTTGGCTATATTATTGCAAAACTTATTAAAAAACCACATATAACACTTTTGTAAAAATAATGTTGGAGTATTATAAAATGGTTACAATAAAGTAGTACAGTTAAAGTAATGTTAGTCAACACCTCACCCACACACTGATCAGTCTCACTGTCCAAAGCATAACCAGTACCACACGTTAGAGTACGAATACACTTGTATGAGCCAGGTGTGTTCAGACATCGTTGTGACTCCAAACAATCAGCCCCAATAAGGCATTCATCAATATCTGTTAATATAGATTAGCTAACATATTAATTACTGGCAATAATTTAAACATGGAAAGCTAGGTTCAAAAGTTTTTTAAAGCAAATTGGCAAAGCCACAAGGGTTAAAATGATAAATTTAGGAAAGAAATAATATCGAAATTAAAACTAAAAAAATGTAAAACCTGAAGTAAAAAAATATAAAATGGACATGTATGTACCTACACACACTTGACCGGCATGGCTCCAGTAGAATCCCATCTTACACACACATTGGAAAGAGCCGGCCGAGTTCAGACATTGGGTATTCGGCTCCAAACACATTTCGTCGCCGTATTCAAGACATTCGTCGATATCTGGTAAGGATACGGTAACATATAAGGAAACGGTAATGGTTACTGTCTAGTGCCTCTGCTTCTTTTTGTGCTTACAAACCACAACACAACAGTTATACACAAACAGAATTATCATTAAAAGGGTCAGGATGTCACATTGGATGGTTTACGGTACAGTAAACTTGACTGATTCATTCCACAGTATCTTATACACCATTCACACTTTGTTTTACATTCGTTTCTGTCTTGGTTAGTTGTTTAAAACCCTACAGTGTTCTTCTAACCTGTACACCGTCCACTACTCCATTGATACCCAGTAGCACAGCTTCTTCGGTCAATTGTCTTTTCCATTTGCCTAATCCTTGAAGATATTATGTTAGCTGGTAAAATGTCGCATCTGTAATTGGTGCCCTCTAGTGGTACGCATCGCTCCATTTCCGGATGGCATGGCCCCATTGGTCGTCGATAGCAAGGGTTGAGAGAGCGTTTAAAGCGAGAGTGCGGCAAAGAAGCAGAGACAAGTGGAGAAAAAGCAAACCAACCGATACAAGATCGACCGTCAGGGCCCAGGTCGTAGCCAGATTTACACGAACACTCCACTCCATTGTCTCCCTTGTCACTACAGATATGGTCACAAGTTTTTGGTTCACATTTGTCACCCAGAGATTTTAAAGTCAATGAGGATTCCGAGTCTGAAAGTTAGGATAATATTTTTAAATTTTGAATTCAAATAAATTATCCATTTTTTATTATAAATACTCCATATTTACACAAAGTAAATATTTTGCTATGTATAATAAATACTACTTACTCGAACCCTCAGTATCAGAACTACAACATTTGTTAAAGGAGCTGAGACAAGCTGCACTAAAGCCGACTGGTGCTTCACATGATTCTCCATTCATTGACAGTTCCTTGGCCAACAAACAACAGTCACAACATTCCTACAACATCAAAAATTCATATTATAGACATCAATTGTACAACAATGTCAAAAATTTATAAATTAAAAAACCAAAATGACTTTTCACAATTACTACTTAAAACTTGACTTACTTTTCTCAACCCTCCACCAAGGACATTAACCGTGTTGGAGCAATACCCGTATTTGACAGCCATTTCTCGTCCTAACTGACAACTTTTCTCCAACGATGCTCTTAAACAACAAATGGCTGCCGTCCTCGAACATGTCGGGGATGATCCTTCTGATTTTAAGCCTATACAAGCCTTTTCTTCCCTATAGTGACGTCCCCCACCAGCACAACATCTACTCAGCTCATTTGCATACAATGTCGCTGAAAAGGGTAAAATCAGAAATTCACTATATTTTCACGATTTTTTGGTATATTGCTAACAAAAACAACTATATCCGTATTAAGTTTACATTACAGACAAAACGAATACAGAATTTTTAGACTTTGATTACAATTAATCACTTACGGAACAAAACCAGAAGAACGGCCAGATGGAATGGCCACATAACCATCGCTCTGAAACAAACTAATTAGTGGCTGCTCCAGGAAACAGCGACGCGATGATAACAAGGAGCCCAAGTGGAGTGCACAATCAAAAAAAAACTCTGAGGAGGTACTTCCTTATTTGCCTAAGGCTTTCTCGAGCTCGCAATCGCCTGAGACTTGACCTCGCAATCGTTTTGCCTGAGGCTTGAGCTCACAATCGCCTTTTTTGAATTGTCTTAGATTCTGATGGGTATGACAGTCTTTTTTTGAGGCAAACAAAAAATATTCTAAAAGTGGAAGTGATAAAACAAAACGACCAAAAGATGGGGGATATTTTCGAGGAATTAGACTGATAAGGACGGTTAAGAACGTACTCTGCGTAGTTTTGTTATTTTTTCAAGCTTATTGTACTGCAACAGCCCCAATAACAATATTGAAAGAGGTTTAAAATTCGTAAAAAACAATAATTACTAAAAAGGTCAACTTTTTTTATACTTTTACACTTGATTTTAAAAGTTGTAAAGCTTTCAAAAGTTATAAACTAATTATCAAAAGTTCAGAAGGTTCTAATAATAACACTATAAAGTTGTTACAACCCTTCAATCACGTAAAAATAAATTTGGAACATGACAAGAAAAGATCATAGTGACTCACATGCGACTTTCTTTCCTAAAATTGTCCCAGTAATCGTTCAGAAACTACTATTTACAAAACTTGGTTTACAAACAACAATATTACCCGTTCCAAATGCTTACTTTACTTTTACCAACGTACAGTTCCCCCTATAATATCATATAACGAGTCGTATACGCAAAGAGATTAAAAACAAACAAATAACATGAAGAATGACGCCAGCTCAAAAAATGATGTGATTGTGCTTGATCGGCCTCGGAACACCTTTGGCCTCGTTTTATGGCCGAGCTTTTTTGTTTTTATGCCACCGCCTCGAGGCAATTACTTCCGCTCGTCGTCGGGTATCCAAGGAGAGACACACCTGCTCAACACATAGTTGATATTACCGTGTTGACGCGTTTTACCATAACTCGTTAAAAGTAAAAATTGCTTTGATATAGTATAAAAGAGCTATTTTATTTTATATACATAGCAATCAAAAATATTTTTGTGTATTGTACTAACAGTGTGAAAGATATTAGAGATCTTCATACTATTAGTTTAATTCGATGGTATTATTACTCTTCAACGTACTCCACCACTTCAGCTGGTGGTATTTCCACCCCGTACTTGATAGAGTATTCTTTTTCCTCCAATGGATTCAACACTACCGTCCACTCGAGGTTATGGTAATCATTCAGTCTAGCCCCAGCTTCTGGAGCCTTCAACTGCTTGAGGTCGTCGTTTGTGCCAATACCTGTGTATGGTTGAACTGGCTTGATCTCTGGGGCGTACAGTTTTACCTAAAATTATCATAATTTAATCTAACGTCTTCAAAAACACAGGGTTATAATAGTTATAAGCAAAAAAGCCTAGTATAACATAGCGTAAACTTTAAACAGTTTGACAAAACATTACAAAACGAACCTTAATCTTTTCATCAGCAGACTTTGGTAAATGGTCAATCAAAGTGACAAGAACACCCTCTTCAGCTTTACCGTTCTTCACGGTAACCTTCTGTTCATACATTGTCATCGTGTAGTTGTTCAGCATTCCAGACTTCTGGAGGTACTTCTGAACAGGTCTGTATTGTACTTTGATTGAAGGGTCGATGCCCAAAGGACAGTCGAATCTCTCTCCAGAATACACTGATGGTAACGGGATCTTGGCAGAGAAACTACTGTCTACATACACTGACGCCATACCAGCCAACAAAGGATAAGAAGACGTATTTATAGCACTTGCCGTCAGAAAGACTCCAAAGTTACGTCGAGGTACACAGTCGAAGTGTAATACCGGGTCTAGTTCAAGAGCTACAATCGTGACTTTAAGCTCGGAGTTCTCGGAATAGATCGTCTTCTTCTGTGGCACAGTGAATGTTGTAGATAACACATTGTTTTCGGTTTTAGGACAACACTTTATATCCTCTATCTTCCTTGAAACAATCCTCACATTCTGGTCTTGATAATCTACACTTCCAGCTGGAAACTGAACACTCATCGTTCCAAGCTGAGGCAGCTTTGTCCCACATTGAGGTTGAATAGTGCTCAACATAACATCAACATCCTTCCAATCTTCTCCACAATTCTGTTTTATGTTCCCAAAGTAGTACAACTTTAGACTGTTGTTGTTAGACGTGGTTACTCGAATATCATAGCTAGGAGTCCAACTAGCGTTTCTTACTTGGTATGTCAAGTCTATTTCGGCATTCGTCTGCTTCATGTACGTCTCGAGAGTAATATAGATTGATCGCTTCTGATTATCCGCTATTTTGAGACCACTAATCTCAGTTTCAAGGCTTCTGATCTCTTCATCTACTTGATTGTAATCTTGTTGAACCGTTCGTATCTTACTGTTCAACTCCACAGTATTTTTAGCGTGATATTCATAGAGATTCTCCAGATTTTGTTCAACGCTTTCGTTAAAAGTGATCAATGAGCTGTCCTTTCCAGTTAGTGACACTTGGCCTAGCTGAAAATAAACTTTAAGCTGGCAAATAAATAAAAAATTTAAAAAGTTTTACCTAAAATAAAGGAAACTCAGCAAAAAGACTATGTCAAGCGCTTGCAAGTCCAACGTAACATAAATAAACCCACGTTTTTTATTATGTCGTCCAAACTATGCAACTTCTTTCTATTCAAAGTCAGTTCATCTTCAAGATCGTCTCGTTTGGCCTGCAGTTCCTTCAGATTCTTGGTCAATGCCTTAACTTTGGGCGTATCTTTCTCGGCTTCTGACACGAATTCAGACTTGAATTTGACTTCATGAATCGTAGCAGATCCTTTGCCATCAACTCGAATCGAGTCACTATCGACATATTGCGATACATTCTAAAAACAGTGCTTTATCACATGAAACAAAATTTTGTTTTTAATTTGTCCAAAGTACGAAATTTTAATAAAATGTGCGAGACTTGACGCAAAAATTGTTTTAGAGTAATGTCTCACGTTTTTATAATTTTTTTTTGGTTTTTAGGCTTACCTCAACAACTACAGTGTTCAAACCTTCAATTAGCGTGACATCGAAGACCCTTCGTATTTCAGCTCTGTCAGCGAACACTGTGACACCATTTATAGGAATATCATTGGCCAGAAACTTCTGATCTCTCGACATTTTCTGAAATACGAAGTTAAAGTATTTTGCTTTATTTTGGGTAACACGACAATACAAACGTAAAAGAGCATGTTATTTTTAAAAACAGTATGTGAAATACTATATTTTTTTTTCAATTTCAGAAACGATATATAACCAACTACTACAACAACAATAACTATATAAACCAACAAACACAACAACAATTTATCGATACATTACTATGCAGGACAACAACATGCATATTAACATTGTTTTGACTACATTTCGGAGGTTTAAGTAGAAAACAAACAACTGAATAGATCATATCAGAGCATGATATCTTGCGAAATACTCCCTTATCACTAGAACAATATTACGACACTTTTAATCATTCGTCCTTTGATAAAATACGAAAAAAAGACGTTGATACTGGGGAATGCTTGCTTAAGATTTTAAACGTTTTATCGGTCTAAAAGTACGAGGAATTAACTGGAAGTAGAAGAGTATTCACGTTTTTCGACCACAATAATGTTTCTTTAAATATTTTGGCTATTTTAGGTTTTTAATAATTGGTATTTGTTTATTGACCAAACCACAACATTCCTAAGTGCACCTCGATGATTTTATTAAACAATAACTATCTACAACTATACTTCTCATCGTTGCACAATATTATACACCAAATGGTCATTAATCGGGTATTCCAGACTAGTCTTCAGCACCAATTCTTTGGACTGGCCAGGTTCTAGCTGACAACACCACTCCAGTTGATTGTCTTTTGTCAGACGAGCTTCTGTTCGGCCGTTTTTAAGCTCTGGAGACACTACTGCTACCTGTAACCTTTTTTTATATTAAACTTTCAAGAGTATATTGTCATTGTTAAGTAAGTTTTAGGTAAAAGTTTTAGGTATATTTTAAGTAACAAACTTTTTAAATGCTATAATTTACCTTAACTTTGTCATCCAGACTCTTGGGGACTGGCTCTTTAACAAATAATTGCACTTTCTCGGATACTTTGGCATTTCGTATCAGTATTGATTGTTGGTTTATGCTCAACATACTTTTCGACATGAAACCAACCTAAAACATAACTTGTGAAATGACTTCTCTTTCCTCATTATATTCTAATAAAAAGGTATAAATTTGGAATACTTACTTGCTCTGTAGATCTGGTAGGAGTTTTACATTCCACTTTTACTGAAGGATCAACTCCAAAAGCGCATCTGAATTCTTCGTCTGGCATTACAGTGTGAAGTGATTGCTAAAAAAACGTATTTTTTATTTAAAAAATGTACTTTTATCACAAATTATCAAATACTTGAACAACTAACATTCAACATTGCCGTATAAAACTTATATTGAGTTACGTTACTCCCAATAGTACCACTTACCGTGCAAATATAACTGTTGTTCAGGAATATACATGCTTTGCCAGATAAGAACGGTAGTTGTGATGTGTTCGTGATGATGGCTGATAAGAAAGCGTTCGGGGATCTGGAAGGAACACTTTCATGGACAAAAACCGGTGTCAACTCGAATTCCGAGATCATGACCTTGTGAGGTTGTCCATTGCATAAGATCGACTGGTGGTTTTTGATGGGAAAACAGACGCACGGTAGTTGTTCTTTCTACATATTTCTATTATTTTAATTTAAAACTAGTTTTAATCATGTTTTGAAATTTAAAATATTTATTTTTAATTTGTGCCTTCCAGTATGTACTTTTCAAATCAAGGTCACATCTAAACTATCATATATTACAAAATATGTTTGGTGAACTAAATGACATAATCTGCATCACGCATGTTGTGCACTTATCACCTGTTTTTTGATATTGTTGTTCTCTAATCATTAAAAAATACCTGGGGAGAGTCGTGTTCGGAGTTACTTCTGGCTGTAGTCAGTCGTTGAAGAGCCATAGCATCGGTACAGTTATAGTCATACGATCCAATACCTATATCTTCTTCTGAAACACTTAGAGGACGACGAATGGTGCTGTAGTTTGACAGTCGGCGTCTGTAAAGGATTTATAGTACAAAAGATTTACTACTACAATACTAGGGCTTAATTGATTGTACTAAGAGACCCAACTTTAATTTTACTTACAAATGCCGTTGTAGTCCTACAGTCGTAATTAACCCGGTAGGAACAGTACCATTCAAAGACGGTACGGCTGTACTCAGTACCAGTTCAGCATCGTTCCAATCTTCGTCAGTCTTCTGCTCAATAACTCCATAGTAATACAGATTTACCGAGTTGGGAATGTCATCTTCATCAGAATCCAATAATCCCGCTGACGTCGAAGCCCTTACGTCGTACGCCGCCTTCCATCCACTACAATAAACTTGGTATGTAAAGAAAATCGTCGCATTTCCAGGATTCTCGACCTCGACCAATATCCGCAAACTTCTTTTGTTGTTATCGTATTCCAATTGACACCTAAGCTGGTCGATTTGTCTTTCCAGGTCTTCAATATACTGTTTGGCATTCTCCAGAGTCTTCTGCTTCTCCCGCAGTTCCCTTTTGAACTCAGAAGCTGATGCTGAATAATATTCAAGAAACTGGGTTAGGTTGGTCATGGCTTCATTACAAAGTAAAAAAGACGCGGCTGCCAGAGAATCACCGTCCGTGTTGTTAACAGCAACATTATGGCTAATTTGACTGGCTACTCCATCGAGAACGTCAAGTCGTTTTTTCAGAATGTGGATCTGATCTGACAACTCTTGTTGATGTGCCTCAGAGTCGGTTTTCTCACTTTCCAGTGATTTTAGCTAAAAGGACATGATTAAAAAATTTTAAATAACTTTCAAAACAAGTTCTCATCATTTTAGAAGTTGAGATTTTAAATTTCCGTTTTGAAAAAGTTTAGCCATTGATATTCTGTGAGTCTCGCAACGCAAGATTAAAGTTTCAAACAATTTGGCGTTCCGTCTACCTTGTCCAGTTTTTTGTATTTTTTTGCTACTTTCTGACCAGAATAAACGATAAGATGTCTGGGGATTGTAGTTGTAAGTTTTAAAATTACTAACTTTTTCTTGTATTTCGTTGTTATCAACTTTGGGGGTCTCTTCAAATTGAACTTCCTTAATTTTGGCCGTTTCAACGCCTTCAACTCGGATGGATTGTTTTTCAATCACGGCTGATAAGCTCTGAAATTGTTTATCTTTGTACAATATTTAGTAGGGAAGGTAAAGATCAAGGTCCGGAGTTTGTAGAAGACCAACTTTTGTTTTGATTTAAAAATTTTTAATTTAAAATTGTTATAACGTTATAGTTAATGTAGTGCTAAATAATTTGCAAACGTTTTTTTGCAATTGTTTTTTTTTTGTTTAGAGAATTTGTAAAAGAGATTATTTTTGTTAAGATTTTTGATACCTAAAAGCGACAAATCTCCACAATCTCTTACCTGAACATTAATCACGAATTCGCCCTCAGGCAATTGAACTTCGATCAGCCGTTTCACTTCCGATCTGTCTGGATATACGATGACCTGTTTGACGGGGATGTCGCGGGCCTTCAGATTCACCTCCCGGAACATCACCATTTCTCGAGAGTGGCCGAGAACGAACGGGGGTCAACCGGCTGCCCTGAATGAATCGCCGATAAGGGTTACGTTTCGTGGAAAGAGTAATGTTATTAGTGTCCAGTGGCAGCGAATTTCAACGAAACGTCGAAGATAAGACATTCCGTTAACTCAAAATAGTGTTTCGGTCACGGTTGGGGTAATTTTCAGGATGACGTGATGTTATGTTGGATTATATGGAAATTTTGTTGACGATCAACCTGCTAGTTTCAAAATGGTATGTTTGTTATGTTTCTTGTGTTTTCAGAAATAAAGGGATAAGTTCACTATGTTTTAAACATTTATCACAACTTATGTAACAACAAACCGTTATAAACGTGCAAATATTATATTATGGTATCTTCCACATTTCCTGTAGTTGCTTGAAGTATACGTTTGTATCTTTTACGGCGTCTGGAATAGAAACTACGCTGACTCTGTTAATGTTCAGGAACTTGAGGTCTTTCGAAATCTTATTTTGCAGTTGAGGAAAAGCTTTGACCATGTACAACATGGTGGCAATGTTATATGTGGCTACGCAAAGATATACACCCTAAAACAGAACAAAGAGTAGTGTTATGTTTTTAAAGTTGAAAGTATCATATTATGTTATGTTTTTAAAAGACGTTATCTGTACTCTTACTGTGTTAAAAAATCGTAATTCATCTGTTTCTTCGTCGTAGCCAAGAACGTAGTGAAAGTAGCATGAAGATGTGATGCAAATGCCAACAGCTACCATCATTTTCATAAATGATGATATTAGACTAGTCAGGTATTTGAGCACATACTTGGTTTGCTTGATTTCAAAACTACCGTTGAGACTGTAGGGCGATGTATCCCTTCTTTTACGGATTTTAACGTGCAGTTTGTAAAATATCTGTAAATAATGTTAGAGGCTACGTAAGTGTTTTTATATGATGTTTTAATGGTATAGATGACATTTATAAAAACCGATAGAATAAATTTGAACACTTCTTTAAAATAAAGTAGCACTCACAACTAACGCGACACTTAGGAACACAGATGCTAAAGAGTACGATGCAAGTAGTCCACTTGTACTCATTTCAAGCATAGTAGCGCGGCGTAGTCGTTGGTCTAATGGAAGATACCAATATACGTCATATATTATTTGGGATTTTAAGCATTGAGCTAGTAGACATACAATGACCTATAAAACAAAGTAGAGTAAAATAAATAAACAAAACAACATTGGGATTCTTAATATTGGAATTTTAAACTACATTACTTCCATATTTTAAACAATGTATAGACTTATGGGGCTGTTAAAAAGGCGACATAAAATTAAAATTAAATTTAAGACTTTTTAGCTGCACGTCAAGATAAAGGTCGTAGTATACGGACAATACGTTAAACTTACAGTAAACGAACAATGATTTGTGTAACTAAACACAATTTTCTAAGTACTTACCGAGGCTATGATCAAAAATACTGCGAGAAAATTGCAATTGTCGTACGAATGTCGCTGTTGATAAGCAATTCTCCGTTCTATAGCAACTACTAGGTACTTTACATTAAACATCTGAGCAGCAAAACTACTGAGTGTGAGGCAGCCGTAGAAGAAGAAGGCTCTAAATGTATGACCAGCAGCAAAACTGTAGGCATCGTGTGGAGTAAAATATTCTATCGTATGTAGGGACGTTGCATAAGCTGTCAGTACCATTTCAAACACCTACAAGTATTTAAATTATAGTTTTATGTCCTTAATTACAAAATGGCAAATTTTAGTTTTTGCATTAAATTAAATTTGCCTTGGAAAGGAAGCAAAAACATGTTTTTGGTAGTAATATGATATTGTAAAAGTTTTTATAAGGTTTGGCACCAAACATTACCAGGATTATCCTCAAGTTGCGACTGATACTGTGCAGATTAAACATTTGGACTGTACAGTATGCACATAGTGTCAGGTTGATACTGGTGATGATTATCTCAATCACAGTTTGATAGAAACACAAGGTACTGACATTTTGCACGAACCAGACGAAGAGCATTTACTGAAAGTTAATAACAGGCCTATTGTAAGCTGTTAGAGGAAATTACTGCTAACGTGTGCTGAATTATTTATTTTTATCGTAGTAAACAAATAAAGTTAAGTGTTATTACAAAAGTCTATTTTATAAACCTACTTTTAATTGTTGTTTTTTGATAAAGTATACGTGCTGTAGAGATTAAGCACTAACTAACGGGGTTTTGGAGTAATTGCGTCAGAAATGGGGTGTTGCAAAGAATTACAGGCAAGACTATACCTAAAAAAAGACTAGAGCTAAAAAACAGAAACAACACGGCAAAAGGGACGTATTATGATGAATAAACTCAAGTATAAAGCCTTCTAAATTGAGCTAATTATACTAATGATACTGCAATTCAAAATTCAAGAAAATAAGCAAATCACGGTACAGTTTAATAGGTACATCTTCTACATTACTTTTAACTATTTCAAAATGTAAGTATATAACAAGCGTTGGTCTGATGGCTTGAAATGACACGCTGCTTAATTACTATTTACTTCCCAACTTAGTTACAAGAACGTAAACTATATTCTATAGGCATCAAATTTTTGTTTTAACAAGGTAAGAGTATGTAGTGTTAAAATAACACGATTATTTGGTCAAAAATGCAAAAAAATACAAATATGAGATTATAATAACTATCAGCGGCTTTTTCACGCGAATTGTGATTATATTTTTAAAAATTTTGGGTACGACTTTGTAAAAAGAGGCGAAAGTTGTATGTTGAGGAAGTTATGACTTTCTACTATTACTTTTATTATTATATAATTGTTAAATTGAAAATTAATTTATAATTAAAATGACTTGAACACGCGAATACAAGTTTGAGATTGTGTCTGTCTAAAAACTACAATTTGCATCAAACGTGCTGAATTTCGAAGCTTTTAAAAAACTCACGTTTTGTCTCACAAACGTTGCTTTAACACAATGAAGGTTTTTGCAATAAATTTTAATTTTACTGGTGATTTAGGTAATATACCAAGAGTAATATAGAGATTCCAAAAATTGAAAACAAATTTGAATTGTTTTGCAAGATTTTAGAATGTAGGTTTTATCATTTGTAGTTGCCTTGACATAACTCTAATGTTTTTGTAGGTCAATGGTTACAACTTGCTGTTGACTATAAATGTAGAGATACTACAAATAGCTCAATTTAAAAATAAAAAAAACATGTGCTGTAATTTTAAAAAACGTACTGTTTGCGATTTTAATACACTTTTTAACAAAACAAATAAGAAAGACTTTAAAATTTATCAACTAAAGTTTTTAAAATTTCCAAAAAATACAAAATTTGAAAATGCCGAAATGAAATTGGTGAATCTACCGTTTGAGGCCTTGTTGCAAGGTTATTGACATAAATTACTTGTTGATGTTTACCCCAAATTAAGCACGGAACGTTGTTTTGCTCGATTTGTATCAAAAACCTATACTTTCCTAAATGAGGCCACACTTTCAGAGTACTTTATTGAGCATAATACTGTACTGAGCATTAGTATAACAATGTTACATTGTAACGAGCATGGAGTAATGATGACATATTTTGAAAATAAAACTGTCATGGCATTTCACTTCCACATAACCTTAAGCTGGCTAAAATATTGTTCTGTTTCCATTTTGGCTTTGTCACAAGTGCTATCTGATACTCGCCTCTCTCGTAAACACGGTAAGTCCTTTAAAATGGCACGTCGCAGCGGAGGGAATGATCGTATCATGTACAAGATGGAAGCCAGATTGTAGAAACACAGACTGATGAACATGCATGTGTATGTAGTTACAATGAAAGGATGGTCTTCTGTAACGTCAACTACAAACTTGTAGTATGTTACAACTCCGACTCCGGTACCACAAGCGGCGAGTAGAACAAAAAATGCTTTGACCAGGCTTTTCATATAAGCCAGTACCATCTTTGTTTGTCGTACTTCAAAGTTTTCACTCAAGGATGAGTACTCGTGCTTCTCGAGTATGTCCACATGGATTTTGTAAAAAAACTGAAAATATTGTGGTATGTTATTGATATTGTTGTCTGCTTGTTGCTACAAAGGAAAGAATTTTTTAATAATATGACTTACAAATACAGCGACAGCTATAGATATCACTGCGATTATGTAGTTAAAGCAGTAGCCATAGTAAGATCGGCCAATCATTAAAGATCGCCTTAGGCGAACATCCACTGGAAAGTCGGAATATGCATTCCACAGCACTTGGGTTTTTATAAACAATATAAATATACATAATAGGGCCTAAAACATAAAAATATTACTTTAAGTTGTAATATTATGTGACATTTTTCGTGATAACATGTACAACATACTAAAATAAAATACTTTGAAATAATAATCCAAACAAAATGAAAACTAAAACACATAAAAACATTAAAAATTTACTGAAAAACTCACAAACCACAACAGAATCTTCTTTGCCAACGTAGAATCTCTATTTTCGTACGTAGCTCTTTCACGGTAAGCTATTACTCGTTCGATGGCTATCAACATGTATTTACTTTCGAACACAAAAGTGGCGAAATGTTGTATCACTATCAAAGTGTAGAAGAACACACTTCCTTTTATGTTACCCGCTTCTAAACTGTAGAATTCTACTGGAGTCAAGGACTCGAGTGGATGAATAAAGTTGATTGTACACGTCATGAAGGTTTGGAATACCTGAATGTGATATGATTACTAAGGAACGGACGGAAACAGTTATGTTTTAAAATTGAACACATTGTGGTATGCTGTACGTGCTTTTCTTTATCATGTATCTATGATTACGCATAAAATACTTTATCAAATGTAAAACAACCTACCATCATGTACCTGAAGTTAGCATTAAAGGTTGGCAGTTGGCTGATCCTAAGTGTAAAATAGCAGTTCAATATCATGGTAATTATGTTCACAGTAATCTCAATATACGTCAGATATATCTGACATAGGTTGGTAGATTCAGTGCTATTGGGCATGTCAACTAAACCATAAAGTAAACAAGTTTCTCCACATATACACGAGGAACTACTGGCTGTAACACGAGATGGAGATCTTGTACACGTAAGTAACCCTAATTTACAGCTTATTTACTCTGAATTTACCGTGTAATCCCACACTTCGCGTAATGTTAAATTATTGTTATAACAAAGTCTATTGGCCACGACTTAACAATACAATACGTTTTACACAAATATATTGTAGACAAAGGTGCTTGTGACTTTAAGGACTTTAAAATGCGTTTGACAGTTGTAAAGTGGTTGTAACAAGTGTTTGAAACGTATTGAAGTATGTTTACATTTGGCAGACTATATGTAACATGTTGCACGTTTTTTACGGTCTATAAATTATGTTGTTGGTACAATACAATTTTAAAGAACGTCTAGAAGTATGTAAAACTTTATTGCACGTTTCCAGGGTCTCGTTACGGAAACAAAGGAATTACGGTGTTACAAACGTTTTTGTCACGCTTTCTAAAGAAATGCCAAGTTAAAGTAAGACTTAAAACTATTTTCAAAAAAAAATAATTCAAGAAGACTCTGTGTTATCTGTAGACCACTGTAACAATGTTGATTTTAACATATGATATAGGTCTAATGCTAATTAAAGAAGATTGCAAAAAATCGCATGAATAAATGATACGAGCAGTACTATAATATTTAAACATAAAATGAAGATGGCTATACACACGCCAAAGAAAGTCAAAATATACTTCTGTACAGTGTACACTATATAGACATCCCACATAGGATATCGATAGAAACGTAAAAATGGTAATATGTGCTTTTTATACTTTCACAATCGACTGCCTAGTTTGTAAATTGTTTTCTACGAAGCATTTTAGACGACATACTACAATTGTATCACGCAATTATTACAAAGTTTTTTACAGAGATCTACTGCTTTGCGTATGTTTCAGGTTTTGTTTCTGATTACCGTCGTATGTTTATAGGATTTTTGCTTGATTTGCACTTCTGCTACGTCAAACGCACTTTTCTTCCGGGACTTTACAGTAAAACTGTGTAAAACTGTACTACTTGTGACTTATTGTAAAGTCATTGAAAATGTTTTGGAGCGCCTACGTTTTATGAACTTATACATATTGGAAGTATGTAGAAGTTATGTTTAACATTTTTAAGTGTATTTTAAAAAGCAAATTCAAGATTTTCTAATTATATTACTTTACTGCTTTAACTTAGATAACTGAGTATTCCATGATGCCTCAAGCTGCTGAAAGTATGACTCGGTATCTTCTTCTGGAGCCTTGACAGGGACAATGTTATGAGGAGTGATTTCGAAGAAAGGCAAGTCTTTGATTATGGCTTTCTGAAGCTGTGGGAACGATCGTATCATGTACAACATTGATATAAAGTTGTACGTGCACAAGGATACGTAAAGACCCTTAAAATATTTAGCATAGGTATGTCATTACTTGTTCTACATGTTAACTTTGTCATTAAAAGAGTTTGTTTTGTTAAAAATGGCCTTTTGAATGTGGTACTTTAAGCTGTCGTATCTACAGTACGTTAGAAATAAAATTTTTTGACTTACCAAGTAGGTTAACATGACAATAGGTTCTTCCTCCTCTTGTTTCTCTACAAACCTTAGGTACATTACTGTACTTTGACCAATGCCACATATTGTTAACAATATGACAAACGATGTAATCAAGCTCTTAATGTAATTCAGTACCATCTTTGTTTGTCGTATCTCGAAACACTCGCTTAATGTACCATAGGCCAATAAGTTGTATTTGACTTGGAAGTGGATCCAGTAGAACATCTGAAAACCTCAGAGTAATAAGCTAATAGTAAGGCTCAATGTAATTATGTCAACGTGACATTATGACAACACCAGTTTCATGACAAACTTACAAAGATGGCAGCACCAGTAGATATAGTTGCAGTAACATAATTCAAACTATAACCCCAAAACGACCGGTCGAATAAGACTACTTTTTGAATCCGCAAATCAATAGGCAGATTATCATAGTAAGTCCACAATAAATAACATTTTACAGCGTATATAAAGATGCATGGTACGGTGTAATATGTCATGATCTTGACTGACAACGACCGACCCCTATGTTCGTATGTCTTTCTCTGTTTATATGCTATCACTCGTTCTACAGCTATCAGGACGTATTTACTTTCTATGATAAACATAGTAAAGTGAGCAATACTGTAAGTACCATACATAAATATAGCACTATAGTAGTTACCGTACTCGATGAAGTAGTATTCTTTTGGTAGAAAGTACTGTAAGGGATGGGTACAAGCAGCAAATGATGTTACATAGGTTTGAATACTCTAGAATAAGTACTTTAACATTGATGAATATTATAAAAATATTTTTTGTGATGCAGTATTAACATACAGTAAATTAGACTGATAATATGTTTTACATTTTAAAATAAAATTGTTACTTACAATTAAAATGCGTAGATTTATGCTGATACTAGACAACTGAACCAATCGATATGTAAAGTAAATATTGAGCCAAAAGGTTACTGCCATGATGACAACTTCTAGACACGAGGCATAAAACAACATGTCATCGATGTATGGCAATGTCATCTCGGTTAAATTCATTTCTAAAACAAGGTAAATGCATTTCAAAAGCTATAAACCTGAAGTTCAAAATATAAATTTGCATAAAACGTTCGAATTGTAGCCTATTAATATATGGCTATTGTATGTTACTACGCCCATATTACCAAAGCGATTACAATAACAATCTACATATAATATAATTATTAACGAAAACTCTTAAATAAGGTCACAATTAGGCACCTTTGCTAAAACCACCTACAAATGTAGTATTTTTATGTTATCATAGCAATATAAATACATTTTCTGACCGTGATATAGTACAGACATAGCATGTGACACGGAGATACAAAAATGACAGTAGGTATTCAAAATATTTACTATTGTTTACTTTTAAGTGAATTCCGTAAAATTTAAAGGTTGGGAAAGGGCTTGGGTCAGTCGTAGAGAATAGGCTTTTTTTCATATAAATAAAGACAAAAAATTAAAGTACAGTAACGTGTTGTAAGATATTAAAGCAAAACTTCACAACGAGTTATCGCTTCACGGAGTTGTCAAGGATGTTTACCCACGAAAAGAATTTCGTTAAATAAAAACATCATATAAGGTAGGCAACAACTGTTCTACATAAAGCTAAAATTTTGATGTAAAGAAGGTAAACATATGTCGTCAGAAAGCTTAAGGCTTATAGTTTTAGGAAAACAATTCACAAGAAAGAAAATCTTACAATTTGTGTAACTTTAAGTAATCTCTTAATCACCCTAATTACTCACGCTATGCACAAACATATCTTTAAGATATTGTATCAACCAAAGTATTATGACATTACATTCAAACCTGTTTTAACTGCTAAACTAATTATATTTTTAATATTTTTTTTTGGTTTTTTGAAAATTTACTAATATGCTACAGCTCGTTACTTTTTGAACAAATTTACGATAAAGGGTAAATTTGTAAGCTTTTGCCATATATGTTTGAATTCGATTACAGTTAACGTCAATTTTTGACAAGTAAAGTATAGTCAACAGAAGATTGGGTAACAAAAACATAAAATACGTTATAAAAATGTAGAAATAAATTTTAAAAGAAAAAAATTTACCGTTGTTCAAAGTAAATTCTTAAAGAATCTAAGCTTTGGAAGTTACTCCGAGATTAGTAATTATAAATGGCACGCCATCTGGCAGTAAACTAATTTTTGAAATGTCTCAATTAATTACCTGGGTTTTGAAACTTCAAGATACGTTTTTTAAAGCTTGAGCTAGAGGCCTTTAATTTTGAACATTTTTTAAATCTAAACTTTCTACCATGAAGGTTGTGCAGAATAAATACGAAAATACAATTTTTCAAAACTTTGCTTATTGTATCGTGGGGTTACTATAGGATTATGCTAGGCTTGATAGATTTAGAACGATCAGCTGTAGAGACGTGTGGTCGCCACTATTGTGAAGTACGGGCACTATAAGTAGTTCTTATGTTAAAGGACCACAAACCCTATTTAGATTCACTGGTATTCTGTTCCATTATCAAGAGATTTCGTTGCAAACAAATAAATAATTATTTACCGTAAAAAACGTCAAAGTTCCCTCTACAATTTTACTGAGAATGGCAAATAAAGAAATATGTATCACAATGTTCTGCTAATTTACACATCAATTGACAATTTCAGATAAAGTGCTTTGAAGATTTTGGCTACTATATTGTAGTAGCCATTAAGAATTTGTCGTTGTTACCACGCAGCGTAATATCACTGTGTTAGTACATTGCAAAGTAACGTAATCACACAATTTAAAATTTTATTTTTTTAATAAAACTATGTACACAGCCTTATACTTTATTAATTAGTTATGGCTAATTAGCGTCCTACTTTTTGTAAAAATAACCGTATTTCCTTATTGTTCTGCCACTTTTAACCCCATGATGCTTGTAGTTGTTCAAAGTAAATGTTGGTTTCTTTAGCTAATGGTACAATAGCCAAACTGTTATCGTGGTACTTTCGTAACATCTTGAAATCTCGTCCAACAGCACGTTGTAACTGAGGAAATACTAGTACTAGGTAGTAGTTGCATGATATGTTGTATAGTCCAGCTACTATGTAAATTATCTGGAATGTAACATATTTAATATTGTCTTTAGGCTCTTCTTTTAAATTTAAATTTTTTTTATTTTTGATCTATCATGATATCTCCTTAAAAACAAATATAACTCACACAATTGACTATTCGAAGTTCAAAGCTCTTTTCATTGCAACCGTAGTAAAAGTACATGCCCATTACCATACAGATGCCACAGAATACAATTACACTCGTGAACACTATTATCAACCTCTTGACGTACGTCAAAGATCGTTGCACTTGTCGTACAACATACTGGGCACTCAGGTTACGTTCTTCATTCACCGACCTCTGTATCGTCTTGTTCAGTATGTAAAACTTCTGGAAATAGCTTTGTGTTACTGCATGTTGTACTATCTCAACAGTATACAAAATTGTAACCTTGTGGTATTAAATTTGAATTTAACTTTATGGTATTCTACTATAGTAAATACAAAATTTTAAAAAGTAAAAAAAGCTATATGATTTCTAAAATATTGTAGTAAAAATTTCCACACACTGTATTTACAGCCTTACAAACTTACGAAAATGGCATATGGTACAGAAGTGCCAGCAAAGACATAGGCAGTTATGAAACCATAGTAATATTCCTCAAATATAAAAGTTTGCTGAAGTCTTCTGTCAATGTCATCACCTGAGGTAAGGTTGTATATAATCACACATTTTATTGTAACCACCAAGATACTAAACAAAGTCTGAAAGCATTAACTTAATTTATTATCAAAATTCAAAAAAAAATTTTTAAAAAAATTAAAAAATTTTAAATAAAAAAAAATTTTAAAGTTGCCTTTGATGCTGCTATTATACTTTTCAAATAATTCTGTGCTCCCTAATCCAAAAATTCAATTTTATAGAAAGCACAGAACCAATTGAACAGCCTATTAGTTCTTAAGTAAACCCTTTTTACATACCACTTTGAGGACGTAATGCCAAGCAAACCGCGAACTACAAAAGAGTTGATATTGTAGTCGATAGTTGAAGGCTCTAGTCCTTTCGACTGCTACTATGGCGTATTTTAAATCGAATAAGAAGGTACACACTTGGACAACAAAGTGGTATGTGTAAAAAAGACACGCACTGTATATTTTACCATCAGCTACCGAAAAGTAGCCATCTGGAGTTATTGTGCTTACCAAATGCGTACTTAAAGTCATTGTACAACACATGGCTTCGAAGACCTGCAAGTGTCATGTAATATAACATATAATGGGAAATGTAAATGAAAAATTTAATTTTTTAATTTAAAATGTAAGAAAGTATCACAGAGTAAGCTTTTAAAACTTACCAGAATAAGTTGAAAGTTAACGTCCACAGACCGTAGTTTAATCTGAACTACTACAATATAAACAGTGATAAGAGTATTGAGAGAAAAGATAAGCAGATCAATGTTAGATAACCAATAGTGTATCGTTTCTACGTCCATCGTACCATAACAAATTAAGATAATGCGATGTCACCCATAGTAAATAATTAAGTAATGTCAGTTTAGCAAAAACACTAGTATAACCTTTCAAACGAACTTAAAGAGCTTATTCACTATACAGGTATCAAAAAGAGCATGTTTGTAGAACAACCTACAATAACATATTATAAATTTACCATATATAAGTTAAGTTAGATAATAAGTTGAGTTAGATACGGAAATTTAACTCAAAGTATAATAAATAGAACTGTCAATTTGTATTAAGTGATACGAAAAAGCAGTTAATTTGTTGTCCCAATACCTCAAAGTAGTTAACGTAAGCCCTTAATAACTCACTTTTAGTGCAGCTCTGATAACAAATTAAAGCCAGATTTCGTGGTCACAATACTCCAATACTTACTCAAATGATACTTGTCATTGTAGCCGTGCCCTAGTTCAACATAAACAAGGCATGTCTACTCAAGTACAATCAGAAAGCACACGCGATGGCTTCGTTCTAGAATTTGTATGTTAAGAAGTCATAGTTTTCCCAATTGGTAATCAAGTGAACAACAATGAGATTACGTTTAAAAATTTTAAAAATCGACTGACAAGGGAAGTGCCCGAGCTACCTCGTTCTGATTGACTTCATACTTTTTGTACAGAAAGATCAAATATAAGACCTTCAGCAAAATACTAAATCGCTCTATCCAGTGAATCTCGAGCAAATTGAGATTATAAAACACGTTTTGAATCTTCCGCCAAATTGGCATTGTGTTTCAAGCTTATAAGTTTGTCATCTTTTGAGTTTTAATCATTCATCTTTGATAGGATAGTAGAAAACCTTTAAATAAACCTACGTTTTAAAATTTGTAAGCGTATCTTGTCGAAAAAGGTAATTGAAACACAATGCCAAATTTGGAAAATTAGCGGTAAACTCAAATATTTAAAATTTAAAACAGAAAAGCGCGAAATAAAGTTTTTATGGGTACTATTGGTGGTACAAAGTACTCATTAAAAACATTTGGGATGGTTCTGAGTGGAGCAGGTTGGGCACTTTCCTTGTTAATTGTAAGTCAGAGACAACCTACACCGACTTCTTTTACATAACCGTATATAATAACAATGTTATTTCAATAAAGCTACGTGAAAACTTTAAAATGAATGTCGTTTCCTAATTAAGTTTTATGGCATGACTAATACTAAGCACACAGTTCGCTGTAAAAGACTATGCTACAATACATTGAAATGTACAATTTTAAATATTTTTCTTCAAATGTAAAGTTTTTAAGTTCAAGAAACCAAGTATACAACCGTGTCATTAATATTCTATTGCAGTTATGCCAAAACTACACACAAACCACATGCATGTACAAATATAAGGTATAAAAATATCAAATTTATTTTACTCATCCTTTTTATTGTTAAAAAAACTCTTTTTGTTATCATATTATTTTACTGCGCTGTAACAACCCACGTGTTTATTAAATTTGATGACGAATTGCATCATTATATATATCTCGTCGTCGCTATCACATACTTTATATGATATTAAAAAGACAATATTATAGTTTCACCAATTGACCAGAAGCTACAATACAAATTATAATATGTTACTCAAAAATAACAGCGTTTATTTATTAGAAATGATTAGTATTATGCAGTAATACCCTTTCACTAATTATTATACTACACTTTACTACAATGGGCTTTTCTACTTACTATTACTAATACAATTACAATTATACGTTATTTAAACTACTGAGCTTTAGAGAGTAGACCAAGAGGTCAGTGCTAGAGTTTAAAAAACTTAAAATTTTTAGAGAAACAGCTAGGTATGTCCTGTTCAGAGAGATTTTTCTGTAATACTTTTTACTCTACCATGAAGTAATTACATAATACATTACCTACAAAATCCTTCAAAACTTATAATATCATCAAAAAAGTAGGTAAAAATCAAGTGAAAAATACAAAAAAAAATTTTAATATTGTAATAACATAATGGAAAACAGCAAATTAAAGCGACTTACATTGTTATTCAATTAATAAGTTACTAGGTGCACAAATATTTACTCTGCCAACACATTTCTGTACAATTCTGCCAATAAAAACATGGAATAACACTTGATTACTAAAGTAAAAGCCTAGAGTTGTTTATATGCAAAACTTTACGAACAAAAGTGTTGAGCTTGACACTGATAGCTAAAAAGAGACAAAAATTAGCTAATTTTTATAGCTCATTCATATTTAGACAAAATACAAGATGTTAAAGAATTTATATGCAATAATACAATCTAGTTTATATCTTTTTATTAATATTACCATGTAAAACACAGTGTAAAATATTAACAGAATCTGTGATGCAAGATCTTAGAATCCACAAACATCTGAAACATCTCAAAACAGACTTCTGATGCAATCCAAACATTGACAATATCAGTGGAGACACGAACACGTTTGATCCGAAACTCCACCCATCAGAGAGTTGTGTTTAAAAGAAGCCCCTTATCAATATGATTCCATCTTTTGTAACCTTCACATCTCACTTTTTGGGTACATTTGGGGGTTTTCTCGTTTTTTTTCGAAGCTGGTGCTTGATCGACCGGTCGAGTGGAGTTTAAAAAAGGAGGTAGAAGATTTAAGAGAGTTTATGATCTATCCCAACATTTTTCTGATCTTTCACCGCGGTTTTGTTTCAAATCTTCAATTGAAACTAATTTTTTTCACCACCCTTGTCATTTAAAAAGCCTTGTCCCCCCCCCCCCTATGAGAGAACTAAAGCGCGGTCCTAGCTGTAGTACTAATAATATGATAGCTCTGCCACAAAAATCCTATCCTAATCAACTGTCGTGCGTTATTTTTAATACTTTTACTATAATATGCTTTTAAGAGTACTTCTCTACGACTGGGACTACATTTCTTACAGTTGAGTACCATACTTTGACATTACATCTTAAGAAATGACAGCTGATACGTTCCTGTTCACTTCTGAAAGTGTCTCCGAAGGCCATCCTGACAAGATGTGTGATCAAGTAAGTAATTTACATTTACAATGCTTTAGTAATACATTATATCTTAACAAAAATGCTTTGATGCGATTTTTTGGTTAAAATCTTTGCTATCACATCACTACAATAAACTTTTTGTCAACGTTTATACTAAATTTAGTGATAAATTAGTAACTAAAATCTTTAGCCTACTTTTCAGTCTTTCCAACATTAAAACCTAGTCTAACATTGAATAATATGCTCTAAATCATAAATTAAGTGTATAAGGTCATCTCTTTCTTATTCTGATCTTTTTGCTCGAAATTGTAATGACTCTGAATCCAAAGTGTAATAACCGGTAACTAAACTACAAACTACCCTTACTAGCCAGTGATAATGCAACTACTTTTACCAATTTTTGTAGTAATCATAGCTTTTATTGTAATCTTAAACTATTGACTTACAGCCAAAAGTAATTGGAATTTATTACCCTATCAGATATTATACTTGACATATTATAGGTTTCTGCAACTTATGGCTTTTAGCGCACTAAAAACAAAAGAAGTTTCAAATAATTAACAAAACTTCACTTTTTATTGTAATTTACATAGTTTAGAGCAACTTTTTTGATACCAACCACTTATGTTTACTCCTCCATATAATGTTTTCCAAAGTCTTTTATTTTCCTTTCGGCTCATTTTTTGTAAAAAGTTGCAAAGAAAATAAAAGTTTACGATCCGAAAGTGTCGTCTAGACAAAAAGGACTGTCCTTAACTTCTTTTTGCACTTTTGTCGTGACAAAGTTATTGCGTCAGGTTGATGACATCTTCCGTCAAAATTTGCCATCAGAAAACGCCTGTATCTTATCAAAACACTGATAAGGTCACTTGAAAAAGTCATGTCTTTTTTGAAATAGCTTTAAAACATCCTTGAAGTTTCTTTAAAAGATCTTTTAAAAGCATTAAAATATTTCTAAAAGTTTAAATTAAAAAATTTTTTTTTGAAATAATCGTACAGTGATTATGAAACCTGATCAAGTCCATCGTAGAGATTGTTAAAGAACTTCTTACTCAATAAAAGCAAAATATATTAAAGTAATTTCAATAAATCATTTCAGATCTCCGATGCCGTCCTCGACGCTCACCTCTCCGTGGATCCAGATGCCAAGGTAGCCTGTGAGACCGTAGCCAAGACCGGCATGGTGATGTTGTGTGGAGAGATCACCTCAACTGCCCAAATCGACTACCAACAACTTGTGAGAAGCGTAGTGAAGAAGATTGGTTACGACGACTCCAGCAAAGGCTTTGACCACAAGACCTGCAACGTTCTGGTCGCTTTGGAACAGCAATCGCCCGAGATCGCTGCTGGAGTACATATGCACAAGGACGAGGAGAATGTTGGCGCTGGAGATCAGGGAATCATGTTCGGGTATGCTACAGACGAGACTGAAGAGGCCATGCCATTGACTTTGGTACTGTCACACAAACTTAACGCCAAGCTTCATGAGTTAAGGAGAAATGGCACTTTGGAATGGGCTCGGCCTGATTCAAAGAGTCAGGTAAGTGTATCATTATATATTTTATTTTTAAGGTCAAGAAATGTATAGAATAACTGATTTCATAAAGTCATGATTGTCTTTTTAAAACTTTTTTAATTTAAAAAAGTTTGAATGATATTTTGTAAGCTAACACAATTTTTTAATCAAAATTCTTGCCAAAACCGTTATCAGTTGTTTCAAATTCAAGCAAAGATTATTAGGTGTAATCAATTACTATCGAGAGTGAAGGTCAACTAAGTTTACTGGAAGTTTCCTATCTCTAGATACCTGTCATGGAAACAGCTGTAGCGACGACCAAAAGTCAACTACTTGTTATTACAAAACATCAAAGACAATTCTTTTTACAAAGACATCCCTTTTTGTTGCGGCAAAAACTTTTAAACACAACAAAACAGACCAGAATAGATGATAAACATTAAACTGACAAAATAAAAGCTAATAACATAAAACATGGCTTTTTCATATTCTATAATCACCTTTAAACCTTAACTCATCAAACGATATTCTAGGTAACAATCGAGTACGTCTATGACAAGGGAGCCTGTGTCCCTCGCCGCGTCCACACCATTGTAATGTCAACTCAACATTCCCCTGACGTTTCCCTCGAGCAGATCCGTCGAGAACTGGAAGAACATGTGATCAAAGCTGTCATCCCCAAAGACCTCTACATCAACACCAAACTGCATCTGAATCCGTGTGGCAGCTTCGTGATGGGCGGCCCAATGGGTGACGCCGGACTGACCGGTCGTAAAATCATCGTCGACACTTATGGAGGTTGGGGAGCTCATGGTGGAGGCGCCTTCTCGGGAAAAGACCCTACCAAAGTTGACCGGTCCGGTGCCTATGCTGCCCGATGGGTGGCCAAGTCGTTGGTTAAGGCTGGGTTATGCAGAAGATGTTTGGTACAGGTCAGTTATGCTATTGGAGTAGCTGAACCATTGAGTATTATGGTGTCCCACTTCGGAACATCACCTTTGAACGAACAAGAGCTTCTGAAGATCGTGAACGACAACTTTGACCTGCGACCAGGAATGTTGAGCAAGTAAGCCAATCTTTTTTGTTATGATAGTAACTGCCATTATGATAGTACTGTTTCTAGTTATTTATTATTCTCCTAAGCATTTTCTGATATTAATCTGATATAACAATTACATTTTTCAGACACCTTGGCCTCAAACGCCCGATCTACCAGAAAACGGCAGAGAACGGTCACTTTGGGCACGTTGAATTCCCTTGGGAACAGCCGAAGGAATTGTTTGTAGAGAAGTCCATTCAAGAATCTCTCAAGACCCGGCTATAAACTTTGCAGTAACCCCCTCTTACATAAGTAGTTACCTTACAGTAATGTTTCTAGCATACAACATTACTGTTCTGTAATACTCTATTACACTTGCCAAAAGATCTTGCTTTCTATTTATACGAGTTTCTAGATTGTTATTGTATTCAAAACTTTTTAAATATAATTTTTAAACCTTTAGAATTACTATATTAATCATTTCCACTTTTAACCTTATATGTTGTCACTTTTCCTATCAGGTTTTAATCAGCATCGTTTACACTATCAAGACTTTTTTCACCTATCTTTACTATCTAAACTACCATTTTACACTCTATACTATTGTGCCATTATTCATATGCAATCGGTTCAGTCTTATCACTTTTTATTCTATATATCACATTATTGGTCATAAACTGTAAGAAATGAATAAATTACAAGTTGTTTTAGTACGGCAGTATGGTTTACAATAGACATTTTCGTACAATAACAAGTACAATACCACTTTTAAGTGTTTCCACTTTCAAAAGCGCCTTTGGCAATGTAACTGGCTATCAAACTTATGGCATCGTCAGAGCTTTGCAGCTAAAACCACAAATCTTCAATATTTTTCGAAAATAAAAAATTTTCAATTATATAAGCGTCAAACATTTGATTATCACACGTTCTTATCTATGTCACAAGGCTCTGAATACACGTTTTCTGATTACAAGTTGTACTTCATAATCAGAAGTTTAAAGGATCATATTTGAAATAAAAAAAATCCTGCCAAAAATATTTTAAAAAGTCAAATTTCCGTTTAAAACTTTTAAAATACCAAAATTAAAAAAGCTGAACCCACCTCTTGTAAAAACGTCAAATGAGAAATGTTGCCACCTTTCTTCTGCTGGTTCGTATCTTGTTTCGTGTTACTTGCACATACTGGACACTCTTCTGGTGCATCAGAAGCCGATTCGAAACAAGGTAGATGAAAGGAATGGTTACATACGAAGTGGACGGCTGGCACTGATAGTGAAGCATCACAAGACGAACATTTACTCACTTGGAACACTTGCACACTAAAAATAGTATTTTAGGTAAGAAAATTGAGAAAAGAATTGCTTGAGTAATACTAATATGCAAACGAAAAAATCAAAAAATAACAATTTTTAAAAAATAAACCGTACCCATGCTCTAAATTGTCAGCTTTCTTGTCCATTTCAGCTATTTCCTCTTCACTTTTCTCTATCAACTTTTCGTGTTCGTTTATCTAAAAGTGTGTATCATCAACATCAATATTAGTCTTCTGCATTCAAAGCTCAACGTTTTAAAAACAAAAGTAGTGTTAAATATGATGCTTAAACCCCTTACAAACTTATTCTGAGTCTCCAGCCAATTGACAATGTAATCCAATACATCTGCTACCTTCAGATTGTCGTTTCTTGCTAGAATCTCCAATACCACAAGTGGATGTGCGAAATTTGATGCTTTGGCTCTAAAATTAATATATAATGTAATTAACAAAGTAATTATTTTAAAATAATATCTATAAGTAACTCCGGAGAGCAAGCTTACTTATCAAGTAGCCGAATCAAGTCATCCGGATCCAGATCTTCTTTCTTGGCTACATGAGTTATCAGTTCTATCCACATATTCTTCAGTAATCTCTCATCACACATTTCAATCACATGTTCTAGATCTCCTTCTTGTAGCAGGTACCGTAGCAAGTCTTCTGTCCTAAAATTTTTTATATATTAATATGTACACGAGTATATTCAGTATACATCGAAATTATAATATTCATATCAATGCCAAATTTTTGAAAAATAATGTTATAAATACATACTTCTTCGTCTTCCTGTACACATAAAACACAAGAGCAGGTACGTTGTACTGTCTGCCCAGTTGAATAGCATCGTTCACAGTATCCGGCCTCACCAAGTCGTACAGTTGGTCCAGCTGTTCCGGATTCTTCTTGTCATCATCACTCATCTTTGCTATCAAATGCTCCAGAAGTGCGACACAAGTAGAAGAGTCGTCTGGAGGTAGTACACCTGTGCCCGCAGGGTTTTTGCACACTTCTTCTAGACATTCTCCATCTTCTAGTATAGTTCTGAGCAAGAACTTGGAATTGGCAGCTGAAAATAGCGATATTTCGACTTCTACCTTAAACACTTCCATAAACTTACGATTTTCATTGATGACCACCTTGACCAGTTCTGTGACAGCCTTTCTGTTAAACTTAAACAACTCGTTGCCATATTGAGTTAAGAAGTTTGTCTTATCAGTAATATTACAACTTCTGATGAACTCAATAGCTTCTGCATAATCCTTGAAGTCCGTAATCAGTATGTCAATATAAGCCTCCAGAACACCCTGAAGCTTTGCCAATCTCAATGCGAACTTGTTATGCTTTGCTTCTCTGAGGATCTGAATCGCCGTCTCGTAGTCGTACTCATTCCTTTCTTTCGTTTTCTCTATGAATTCTGTGATCTTTTCAACATTATTCTGCTTTACCAAGGCACTTAAGAGTAATATGGAGTGATGACCATTAGAGACCCGCTTTTTGTGAAGATGTTCGAGGTATGTACAAAGCTGAGAAATTCGAGAGCCATCAACAAACTAAAGATAATAAGTTTTACACATTTATAATTCAAACCATCTTCAAAATCGTGTGATAACAATAAAATATATAACCAATACTGTCCATTACAACTTATTGACTCAAACCTTACTCAAAATTTTAATTTTTTACAAAATATTACCTTTTTGATAACATGCGAAGGCTCTACATCGTTTATCGTCTTCATGTAGTGTTCACAAGCATTCTCAAAATCCCCTTTTGCGTATAAGTAATCTCCTTGTTTCAGGTGTTCCATTACCTAGTGTATAAACCAAAATGACACAAACTTTACAATTGACAACTAGATCACTAAAAATGTATCATTAGGCTCAACACCATATAAAAACTTCTTAGGATACAAAGAATCATAATCAACATTGTTTATTATAACAAAAAATCAACAAGTAACAGTTAACAACAACAATTATCGTTTTTTGTATAAACAAGGCTCGAGGATAAGGCCAGTCGGCCGCTTCTGTTTCACTTTTCCATTTTTGATAAAGGTCATCAGAACAAAAAAGTCTTTCAAATCTCTCTGAAATCACAAAAATGCGATAAAAATGCTCGGTAAAATATTAAAAGTTCACGTTTATAACTGAAAAGAACTATATAGTACTAAAACAAATTGTGAGCCAAATCTTTCATTTTCCGAGTCAAGACTTCCCCAAAATAAACTGTAAACTTACTTTTTTCTTGAGTTGAAATCCCATTTGTTCAACAGCTTTGATAAAATTTTTGACGTGTCTGAACCTACTTAACACTTCTGCTATCTTCAGTTTACCTCTGAAATTACCATCTATAATTTAAAATTTCTTTTATAAAAACGCAGCCCTATGTTGGTTTAAATTATGATAGCATCCACAAAATATTTTAGCTTTAGATCCAAAAATAAGGTACTCACCCGTCCTTCAGTACTCTGTTAGCTTCTCTAATGAAATCGCCCAGGTTTGTGCCCATTAAACTAAGACAGTATACTACAACATCAACTTCTCCATCTTTCAAAGGTGTTTTTGTGATATCACATTCGGTTACATGTTCATTAGCTGCTACTAGATCAAACGATCGTACATCTAATGTTTTGCCAAGTTTTTGAGCTATCAAAGCTTCTCCACAGCCCATGTCTGCCACTTTTGTGCCTTTCGTTAGTTCCTGAAACATTACTTTAGTTATAAATACATCGACTTTTATATAGCACTTGCCTTGCCCAAACCCTAGTATACTAATAACTTTTTTGCATATTATAATCAGGTAGTATACTATAGTATGCTAACGCTTCCTAAACATATAAAACCAAATATCAACTTGCCTGCAAATCCATGATAATATTGTCCAATGGGTTCATGGGCCACTTCTTGACCTGAGCAGCGTATCCTTTATGATAAGCATCAAAGGCCTTCTTGTCTTTCTTGAACAACCCTACGGCATCTTTAGAGGTAGTTGTATACAACTGCTCGTTCAAGAATCTAAATTGTGAAGCCGCCAACTTCCCTTGTAGATCTCCAGATCCATTCAACGATGGTTTCTTCTTCGGTTTCTTTTCTACAGGCTCTTCTTCCGTTGGTTCTATTGTTTGAGGCTCTCCTGAAGTTTCTCCATCCTCTTGAGTCTTTTTCTTCTTCTTTTTGCGTTTCCTTTCGCCTTCTGGTCGTGGAGTTGAGACTATTGGGGCATCTATAATATAAGGTTCAAGTTGACAACAATTTTTAATGTTTGTGCTATTTTATATCGATTTAACTGTAACTGGTGGTCAATAAAGCATATAATGACCATGTTCGGTTGGACTCCGTTTTTCATCTACTTTATGATCGTGATTTTACTAAAACCAAGAAAATGAAAGTTATCATACCTGGTGCAATGACTCCATCAGCTATCTTCTTCTCCCTTTTGGCTTTCCTTCTGGCTGCTTGCCTCCACGGTCGCTTCTTCTTTTTGTCCACCGTTTGTGTCTTTTCTATCTCTGCCATTTCCTAAGTTTAAATTTAATTAATTTTCAGTAACTGATTTATTGTAAGAACCCTCAAAATTCAATAATAAATTTATGGAACTGAAAAACCAATAGCGACTGACAGCAGACAGGAGATATAACATTTATTAAAATCAACAAACAAGTAAACAAGAAACGTAACAATAATATTTCGAATAGTCTTAACGGCGATCTGTCTTTCCCATACCGCGCTTCCCACTGAACAAATGCTTGGGTTTCATGTCCAAGATACGACGATCTGCTTCACCCTTGCGGGCTTCTCCTTGCCATGGCTTCTGGGCACGGCGACCAGCCTTGAACGACTTCTCGCGGAGCTGAAAAAGATTTTTTAGTAAAAAATTGATTACAAATATAATGGTTTTATGAGTATAAGTCCAAAATAATTATTTTGCTGCTAGTCAGTATTAGCAAACCTATTAATAGTAAATATACTTACCTCCAAATCCGTGAGCAACTCGTTGCGAGGAGTGGCAGTCTTTGGCTCCAATGACAACGACCTGCCGACCTTGATCTTCTTGCCTCTGACCACCTTCTCTTGGGCCGCGTTGAAATTGTCCATCTTCCTCTTCTTCAGGTCCACTCCCAACGATCCCATCTCGTCCTCCAGTTGTGTTATCGTTCTTTCTCTCTTTCTGACCAATTTTCTCGATACTTGAGGTCGGTCGACCTTCTTCAATGTGTGTTCCATTCTCATCAACTTCTCCTTCTGTTCGATACGATCGGCTTGCTTCAGAAGATCGCGAGTCTCCTCGTCATCTGAATCCAAGTCTTCATCGTAAAAGCCGGCTTCCATGCGTAGTCGTTCTTCTTCTTCAAGTTTCTTGAACTTCTGAAAAAAGCAAATTCAATGACATATCAGAAAACATATTTGGTGTAATTTCTACACTTTCTAGTAACTTTTTGAGCAATATAGTAAAATTTATCACTTATAGTTCTAAAGTTGAAAAAATAAAATAAACATACCTCCAAGATTTCAGGATCAACAAAGTCAGCGACATTGTGTCCCTCCCAGATTTCTGGCACAATATCATACCGTTCTTCCTCGTTCTTCAACAAATAATGTTTCTTCAGATCCAACACATATTTATCTCCCATCTCCAGTTCGATTTCTCTCTCCAACTTCCTCATCTTCTCGTCTCTGAACTCTCCTAGATCAACTTCCATCCCATTGCCTTGTGCCTTCTTCTGAGCTTGCTTCTCTACAGCCTTTGGAGGTATGAATGGAGCTCTGACCTTATCATCTCTTGGTTCTGGATAAGCAACGAAAAGTCTGCTTATTGGTCCTGAATTGACAGTTTTGGTCTGAAGTTTGCGCTCGACACGGTGAGCCATCAAAGTGTCACATGCCTAAAATTAAGTATTAAAATATTATTTCCAATAAGAAGATTTACAATACCACAGTCGTTTGCTTCATCGTAAAGCACATACCTTATCTCTCAGCTGCATAACACCATCTTCAGAAACTGTACTCAATGGCACGACTGGGTAGTTGTCAGCCTCCAACTTCTTCAGCATCTCTTGTTTATCAGCTGGCAAGTCTTCTGACTTCAAAATATCGATCTTGTTCAATCCCACAAAGACTGGCTTGTTGTTGAAAAGTGGTCGAATACTGTCAAACAATGTGATCTGCTCCTCAATGGTATGGCCACATTGTTCTGAGATATCCATCATGAACACGACAGCTGCCTTCAGATGAGCCAAAGCTGTTACAGCCTGCATTTCAATTGTGTTTCTGTGCTCCAGAGGTTGATCCAAGATACCTGGAGTATCAATCACTTGCCAACGGAGGTATTTGTAGTCCAAATGACCAACATAAAGTGACTTTGTCGTGAAAGCATAAGGTTGAACTTCAACATCAGCTCGAGTCACCTTGTTGATGAAGGATGATTTACCAACATTTGGAAAACCACATAAAATGATTGTTCTGAAACAAATTATATTATGCCATTTTACAATGAATGTATGTATTAGTACTAATACCAAATTTATTACTTACCTTGTGTTAGGATCAATAGAAGGTAGACGACTCAAATGTTGCCTGACTTGTTCAAGATAATCGAAACTGCTCTTTTGCCTTTTAAGCAACTTCACCATCCTTCCCAAAGCAGCTCTTTTGAGCATTTTACATCTGTACAAGGAATCAGCGTATTTCAGTAATCTAACATATTCTCTGGCAATACCGTCAACAAGATGCATAGCCGTGTTCATCTGACCCAGAGCAATCTTGTAGTGATCTTTGTCGTACAAAATGTTCATCAAGTCTGCGTAGAACGGATGCACGTCCTAAAACAATAAAATTAGTATTTTAAACAGCCTTAAGTATAAATTTAGATAGCTCAATCCATAATATATGGATATCATAACTTGAACATTGTAAATCCTTTTAGTCGTTTTTGTTTAACCAAGAGTTCTAAAAAACAAACATGTTACAAAAACCTTACCTCCATCTTAGGAAATTGCTGAATGATCTCGCTGAGTTTGTCATGTAAAGTCTGTTGAAGAAATTTTACTTTCCTAGCATAAAAGGCACGTATACGACTGATGGAGTAATGTCTGTGTACAACTGTAGGCGTTTTACGTTGTGTTTTAGATAATACAATATTCTTCAAATCGTTCGCTGTTGGAACTATTGTGATCCTCTTGAAATTATACATAGACGTCATTTTTAACCTAAAAAAATATTGTATTTTAATAATATAATTTAAAATTTACTTTACCTAAAAAGAGAACGTTAAACCAAGAAGATTTTGATATCTAAAAACCTTTAAAAGCCAAAATCCTTGACAGAAAACTTTAATATACAAAATATAATCACATTTATATGAAAAACAAATTATTTAAAACGTTATTACGCTACTTTAAACATTAAAACCCTTATATCCCACAAAATACGATGGTAAATATATCAAAAATATTTTCTATAAGAAAATACCTAAGATCGGACGCAGCTCGCAAAAGAGAACAATTATTTGTTTGTCAATTGTGCAAACTGCGGAGAAAAAAGGTGCGACGGGTAAATATTTGACAATTTTTCAAGAAAAACTGTTGATAAACGTATTTTAGTGTTGGAATTGTGACTCACACCGGCCAGTTCATTTTATTTTTGGTCTTCTTAAGGATTCGGGTATGAAGTTATTGATTCTTTTTGGTATTGTGGTCGTTTCGGCTTTTGCCGCGATTTCTGATGGTGAACAGACGAAGCAATCTTCTGGAACATCTAAAACAGCAGCGACTCAAGGAAAAGAAAGCTCTGATTTAGCTCAATGTAAGTTTTTTATTTAATATTTGTGGTTTTAGATGGTTTTTGTGAAAGCTTATGTTAAATTTACTTCTTTCAGTTCATGTTCTGTTCCGAGACATTCGACAAGAACAAGCTCGCGGTATCTTATCATTGAAGAACGTGTCAAACAACAAGGAAAGAATCAAAGTTTTGAAACAATACATTGAACAATTATCTAAAGAAGGTGAAAAGGCTAAAAGAGAAGTTGAGAGCAAAGAATATTCACCAAGACAACACGAGATACCTCAGAAGCAGTCATTGAAAGATGCTGTTAGTAATATCGTCAAGAACACCGCCTTCTTCTGTGACGCTGTAGTTAACTTCCCTAAGAGATTGCAAAAAGAATTTGAAGATAATCAGAAGCTCAGAGAGTTGGTGACTTGGGGAATGGACTTTGCTGACAAGATTGACTTGTATGATGACGACACCAAGAAGATTGTCGAGATTGCCAAGATTGAATTGGGATTGTTGGATCGTCCAGAAGGCTTTGTCAACCCATATTTCAAGACTAAGGACCAGAAACAAAGGGAATTGTATGATGAATGGGAGAGAAAGCAAGACGAGAAAAGAGCTGAGAGGAAGAACAGTATCAAGAAGGACAAGACCGAACTGTGATCTCAACGTTACTGGTGATGATATGTGATACTTGATCTTATTATTAATGTATTTATTGTTTTTCTTTGGTAAATCCGAGCTTATTTTGCTTTATGTTGGCTAAAACATATCATTATTTTAATAAATTACTTTATTTATTTTAATTATTGTCTTTGAAAAGTGTAGTTTAGTTTAAATCTTCACTAAAATTGATGTAAACACAAAATTTCAAGCCTATGTTAACATTAGTGATGTCACGGGGTTTAAGGCTTTTAGGTCGGAATAGTATATTAGTTAAATTTACGATTAGCGTCACATAAACCATCACTTTAACGTCGTGAATCTAAAATATAAATTAGGAGGGTTAGCCTAGCAGAGTGTTATTTCTTATCTGAGGATGGCCAGGATTGTGACTCTTTTTGCAGGTACAGTTATTCACGTTACTTTCTGTTTTTTACTTTGTAGTATAATGTTTTCTTATTTCTGCACTATTACAAATAATGTGTTGTATGTCAGATAATAAATGGGGTGTTGGGTGTAAATATTGGATGTAATATTAATTTATGTTGGTATTTCAGTGATGTTAATCTTACAACTGCTGGTTACCGGCACCACAAGTCTTCGTGGAGGTCTGATTCGAGGGCGACGAGATGCAGAATCAGAAGAGTTGGATATGAGAAGACTCAGTCCTTCTCAAGTCTACAGTTACTTCTCTCCAGATGGTCGCTTATTCTTTGTACCGAATCGACAAAACTTAATGCATCAGCTTGATTAATCTTACTACCTAATAAACCTTTATTGTGTAGAAGACGAAATTATTATGTACTTGACTTCAAAATATTTTTATCCGTTTTATATTATCATCCTTAAATATTTATTATAATACAGTAGTATGAACGACGACTTTCTTTCGTAAGTACAATGTTATGACATTTTTAAGCGAAAGCGCTTTTCCTCCATCCTTCATGTGCAATGTCATCAATATCATTGATTTTCTGGCCGTTCAGTAGCTTATAAACGTCATCCAAAGCCTTTTGAGTATCTTGATTTTCCACTAGCACTGGACTCATTCCTAGCAGCTGAGCACCTTCTAGTACTAGTGGGGAGTCATCAACCATTATGGATTCTGTAGGCAGTACGTTGAGCTTGTTCAGCATTTTCTGAAGTTACAGTATACAATATACAATATCATAGACTAAGCTTTTTTTATGTAATAAAAATAAGAGTTACAGTATGTTGTTAAAGAACTAATAAAATTACTATAGTCAATTAGCATTATATCATAACGTTTTATAATACAGCTCCTTATTACCAACTTACTCTGTAGATCTCAGGTTGAGGTTTTCTGTAGCCGACTCTACAAGATTCTACAACCACGTCAAATTGATTTGCTTCTGGGAATATCATCGACCGTTTTTTGGCCTTCGACCAGTAGCCATTGTTAGTGAGTAACCCTACTTTCATCCCATGTAGTTGTAATTCTGTTACTGCATTCATCACCAACATGTCTGTTTGGCCAACGTATTTGGCAAAGTCACTGTTTTCGAAATCTTCTATATTACTCTGTAAAGGTTATATTACTCACAAAGCTACAGTATTCCAAATGCTAAAAGTAAACTCAAAAGTAAGAGCGGTTCTTACAGTACTTCCGAATACGTTGCCAGTAACGGCGACAACTTCTTCAAACGACAGCTTTCCTTCGTAAAAGTCAAACATTTTCTGTCGCAAGGACGGTTGTTGGTAGGCTAAAACACGACAAAAATAAAGTTACAGTAATAAGCAAAATTTTTACAACATAAAATTACAGTAATAAACAAGGCTTGTAAGCATACATGAACTATAGGTCCAATCTTAAAATTTACCTTGCTTTATCATATCGACAAACTTTTTATGTTGTGTCATTTTGACTGCAACACCTCCCATATCGAATATCACAGCTTTGAAACCCATCTTTAATACTTCTGTGTAGTAGTTTTTAAAGCTGTAAATGTAAATTCAAGAGTAATACAATAAGAAAAAGTTGTATACTACAATATATTTTGCAGTTAAGTACAATTTTACAAAGAAACAGTTACAAAATGAGTTGGGTAAAGTTGTTTCACGTCAGATTCTTCCTATTGTGATTAAAAATAGTTGTAAACTTTTAATCTTGTTTCCTTTCCTTGATTTTATCTTGTTTTACATTGTTTTTAATTTGTTGCAAGGTTTTTAGTTAAGTTTGGGTTTTACTGTTGTTAAGGTTTTACAGTTGTACTAACACAATGATTACTCCTGCCATCAGCTGTCTTAACACTGAGCTTCCAATAGACCTAGTGTAAGATCGGCCTTATTACTGATCCGTTCAGTTAACTTTGAACAGCTCAAAAATACTTTACTACCCTTCAGACTGCATAGTAAATAAATCTTTACTAATACTTATTTATCATATCTTTATTGATACTTACTCATCCACATAACATACATGACAAAGTGCTATCGTATTATTAAAAAAGAGACCATTGTTTTGTAGTTGTTAACATAACATGTCATAAATTATGAATCATAACAGCGTTACAAGTCAAGGAATGCTCAACGATTGACAAGTTTGAACTAGTTTCCGCTTGATGGCTTCTTTCTCTGATTCCGACAAACTTTCTCCAATGATTTCAAAGTCATCAGCCTGTAAAAGTATGTTAAGCATGTAAAACATGGTCTCTGAGTTTTATTGAAGTGGTAAACATTTTTTAATGGCGTAATAATAATTAACTTTTAATTTTTATTAATTTTTAGAAAAGAATTTTATTAAAATTTTAGTTTTTCTATTCAATTTTTGACCTTTAAAGTTTTTACTTATCATTAAAAAGGAAAAAACATATAATAATCTACCACAATATAACGCAAGCCTTCGTACAATCTGGTACCAAAACCTGTACTTACATCAAGAGCTCGCTTCCGTACTCTCTCATCGAATCGTATCTTGATCTTCTCGTTGTCTCGCTTCGTTCTGGTCTGTTTAGCTTTTGTCACTCGAACGGCTGTCGTTGTTAATGGATCGTCGCTGTCGTTGTCGCCGTCTGATGAGCTTTCCGATGACACTTCATCTTCATATTCCTCATGACATATCAGACGAGGTTTCGGCTTTCGTCGATAAATTATTAATGAATCGACACAAAGTGATAACACTAGTAATAGGGCTATTGTTTTAAGTAAGCTCATCTAAAAGTAGAGTTGTTCGCTCAAGAAGTAAATAGAAACATAAACAAGAGAGCAGTTTCTCGCAAAATGTGGTAAATATAAACAATTCTACAAACTTTTTGACCAAAAAAAACTGAAAATAACTTCGAAAAGCCTTAAAATCCACGTTTCAATAACATTGCGGTCTAAAAGTAAATAGCAAAATTACAAAAATAATGAAAATCTTAAAACAAGAGTTCAAGTATTTAAAAAAATCTATTCTACCCAGTTTTCGACCCGAAAAAACCAAAATATTTTGTCTTGAGACTGAAAAAATCATATTTCTCGTCGCTTAAAATATTGTTTTAGGTAGTGGAAGTAACCTCGAAAGAAGAAGCTGGTGTCAATTGGTCTCAAGCGATCAGTTCCTTGTTATTACAGTATAGCCTGCACTTACGTCTCTTGATCAAAATGCCATCATGACCCGAATATATTCTCCATGGTAAACAAAAACAAGTGTAGGTATTTCAAAATAGTGTATTTTTGAAAACCAAGAAAACGAGGCCCTTATTTCATTAAAAGTAAGTTATTCTATTACAAAAGAAAATCAATAACCCAAAAAGGTATAGTTAGCAAAAGTTTGGCCAAAAAGTAAGTAGAAAACGAACCATAAGCAAGAACCAGTAACCTCTGATATAGATCTAATTTTATTATAGGCAATTTAATGATATAACGTCACGATAATTAAGCATGCTCCCTTAATGACAGCCGGAGTAAATAATAGTATCTATTGTGAACTGACCAAAGACTTTTGTCTCTCTGACCAGTCGCTCTAATCCGATCTGCTAACAACCAACGTCAAGTTGTTCAGAAGTCGGGTTTGTAACAAATTATTTATAAAACGTATATTATTAGTTACTCACAGTGTAATCATCTCCAAATTGCTATTTTTGGTTCTAGAATTAGGGGTAAAGTCTAGCCGGATACCTGCGACAACTTTCTGTCCCGATCAATAGTTGACATTTCGTCCTTTTAGGTTCCCAACAAAAATTTGTTTCCGAAAATTCGAAAATTGTTCGAAACGGAAAATAAAGGAAAGGAAAAGTAAGTTTGGATAACATATCTATTGTCATCGATAGGTTTGTTATCAATTAATTACTTTACTTGAGCTCCGAACTTTTTTGGATCGACAAAAGTAGGTTTTTAAGAGATTTTGATGGATTTAAGTGTTCGCTAGCTTTATCATAAACAATATATGACTTTTTACGAGGCTCTTGTTATTAGAAACATTAAGAAATAGGAAGTTTTATTTAGTATAACATAATTTCCGTTTGTTTTTTAACGATATTGTTGTTGAGGCTGATCTTTAAAAGGAAAAATAATATTTTTATAGAAATAGGTACCTAAAAAAATAAATGTAAATATTATTGATGTAAAAACAATTTATTTCGACAATCATTTCGATAAAAACATTATTGCGCGAAAACATCGAACGTCAATCATCACCTAAACTGCTCGAGGCGTCTGTTGAAAAACTCTGGAAGCAAAATGAAAAGTGTGTTCTCGCTAAAATAATATCGAAAAAGGTGTGAACTTTTGCGGTAGCTAACATAACTTTAACTTAACTATTAGTCAAATAAGAAAATTAGTTTAAACAATATTTAAAATTTACTATAATATAACAGTTATTTGCTCAAAATTAAATTCCAACTATGTTATGATAGGTTTATTGCAACATGAATGTACAGACAAAGTGTGGATCACACTATTTTGGTATTCCTGAGGTGATTTTAGCTTATATCTTGATCTTTCTGGTCTTCTTCAGTCTTCTTCTCCTCATGTTTCCTTGGTAGCCGACTGCGCTGACTGGAGCAGTGCTTCTGGCTGTACCAGCGGCACCATATCCGAGGTCTTGATGGTCCTGTGTTGGCTATAGTTTGTTGAGGGATTCCAGGTTGAGAATCAGCTGGTCGCTTCTTTGCTGGTCGACGGTTCTTCTTTTGAGCTGGAGTTGAAGGCTCGTCGAAGTCGACCACGGACTCGACCACTGAAGCTGGTGCTTTAGCTGGCTGTACAATTGGGGCTACTGGAGGTGGGCGTGGGGCTGGTGGAGCATCGTAGCCTTGAGCGACTGGTGCAGCTGTAGTTGTTGGGGCAGCAGTGGTTGGTGCTACGGTAGTCGTTGGAGCTGCTGTTATGGTTGATGCAGCTGGAGCATTATCGTAAGCTGGGATTGGTGCTGATGTTGGGAAAGATCCGAATGAGTTCTGAACGGAAGCGACTGGCAACGGTGTAGCATCATAGCCTTGTTGAGCAGCTGGTGCTGGTGGAGCAGTTGATTGTGGTGGTGGTGCAGGAGCTCCAGCATCGTAGCCAGTATCAAGAACTGGAGCATCAGTTTGGGCTGGAGCTGGTGGAGGAGGAGCGTAGCTTTGTGGGGCAGGTGGAGCGTCGTATCCATTATCTTGTGCAGCTGGAGCAGCAGCTGGTGCTGGAGCTTTGGTAGTTGGAACAGGTGGTGTAGGACGTTGTGTGGTTGGAGCACTAGTAGATGGTGCTGGGTTGAGTTCAGCATTGAGTACAGGCTCTTGCTTCTTCTTTGGAGAGAAGGCTGGTGGGGCAGCTGGCCAAGGGTTGGACTTCTCTGGGCAGGGGCAGTAGGCGGCGTCTTGGCCCGGTCTTCCCTTAATACCTTCCTTTCCTGGCTTTCCGTCTTTACCCGGTTTTCCTGGTTCTCCAGCAGCTCCAGGCTCTCCTTCTTCACCTTGGGCTCCTTCTGTGATCTTTCCTGGAGGTCCTTGTTCTCCAGGTGCACCACGATGACCAGGTGATCCCTTTGGTCCAGGTATTGGTGGAGCGTTCTTGTGACCGTCAAGTCCAGGGAATCCAGCGCGGCCTTCTTTACCGGCTTCACCTTCTTCTCCTTGGTCTCCTGGTGGTCCTCTTGGTCCTGGGAAACCGTCTTCTCCTGGGTAGCCTGGCAGCCCCTTGTAGCCGACTGGTCCCTTCTCTCCGACTGGACCAGGCCTGCCTGGCTTACCTGGAGGACCAGGTGGGCAAGCTATACAGTCTTGTGGGGCATCAGAAGCCGACTTGACTACTGGCTCTCCAGGTAGGCCAGCCTTCCCGTCAGCTCCATTTGGTCCTGGTTCTCCTTGATCTCCACGTTCTCCTTTTGGTCCAGGTTGGCCTGGAGGACACTTGTTCTTTTGTGGAGCACAGGCACACTGAGAGTTACGCTTGGTACGGCCAATGATCTGTTCGAATGTTTTTGGCCGCTCCAACATGGATGGGCGGGGTTTGGAGATGGCGATTACATTACTCCAGGCCTCGTTCGATACAACTTTGAACTCGGACATGTCTGTCATGATGTCACTGTATAGGTTGTTGATGTCGTTGAAGATGACAACGGCCGAAAACAAACATAACATGATGACGATGGTCGAGCCGACCATCGCGGCCGATAACACGATCTTGGTCATTCTGAAAAGGAAGGTCAATATAATTTAAAGGTATTTTATAAATAAATTAGTGAATTATATGAAAAAATTATTATGAAATATAATATAAAATAGTATAAACACTGAATTGTCACCTTACCTTAAAGACCAAGAAAATGACTAACTCGAAACGGCTACTGATCACTTATATACCCATTTCTAGGCCCTTTGTCTTGATTGGAACGGCGGCTCGAGAGCATTGTTCCAGTTACTAAAAAAGTATAAAAGTCTTAAAAAGTAGTCAGGTAAGCAGCGAGGTCGCGAATCCATCAACACAATGGGAGATTAATTTGCGAGAGAGTTATTGTTATCATGAGGAAAGTAGATTAAGGTAGTAACAGTAAGAGTAAAAAGTGAAAGCGATAGCAAAAGTAAGGTAAAAAAGTTGAGGATGAGTTAAGGAAGTTGAGGTAATAAAAGTAATTGCCATAGCGAACGGAGATTAATGGGATAAAAGTTTTAACTGTGAAACGAGGTTTATATATATTAAATTTTAATTCTAAGTGAAATTTAAAAAAATTAAAATCAATTTTTGCATCAGCAACTACAGTCTCTAACGAATAAAGATAATGTATCAGATGAAGTAAGGTTTGAATCTTTTTGTGAGTAACATTGTTATGAAAATGGATTAAAACGGCTTTCCATCACATCAAAAAACAAATAGTAAATAAAATACAGGGTGTTTCACCATATTTTGTTTGTAGAAACGAGTTATATCTTTGCAACTACATGTGTTATAATTCTAAATTTTGGTACACTGGTAGTAGAGACTGGTGCAATTTTTTGTGCAAAATTTTGGATTTTTTAAGTGCTTTTTAAGGTCGTCATTAATTTTTGAAAATGAGCATTTTTCGCCAAAATACACATATTTTCGGTTGAAAATGCTTTTTTTACTCGAAATTTTTCTAAGTTTTTAATTCTTTTGATACAAATCGCATTTTCAATGTCTTCAAAGACTTGGCGGAGACTCGGCGGACGGCATGATATATTGGCAGACGCCGTAACTTGCTTTAAAATTGTCGTGGTAAAATCTAGTTTTTGACAATTTTTTGATTGAAAATGACGTTTTTAGCAAAGTTTTTGATTTTCAAACGTCGGCGGAGACTCGGCGGACGCCTAAATTTATCGGCAGAGGCTATAACTTGCTTCAAACATAACGTAGCGGCGTGAAATAAAAAGCATTAGTTTTAAAATTATCAGGGCAATCTCCACTGATACTGAGCTTGGCTTCAAAGTTTTTAAAACACAAAAAATTAAAAAAACCTAAGAAAATCAATAAAGAAACCATGTTTTTAAATTTATTTTGTAAATTGCACAAATAATTTTTAAAATTTTAACGTATTTCATCTTTTAGTTTACTTAATAACAAAAAAAACTAACAAGATACAACATGTGATATATTTGCGGTTTAACTTTTGAAGAAAGTGAGTTTATCATAACTTTTGAACATAAGTAAAATTTTTTAAAACTGCGTCTATTTCTGAACGTTAATATCATTTGATTTAACTTTTTTGTAAATTTTTAATTTAGAGTTATTTTCAAACAAGTTTAGCGTCAGTGAAGATGGTCCTGATAATTTTAAAACTAATGCTTTTTGTTTCACGCCGCTACGTTATGTTTGAAGCAAGTTATAGCCTCCGCCGATAAATTTAGGCGTCCGCCGAGCCTCCGCCAAGTCTTTGAAAACATTGAAAATGCGATTTGTATCAAAAGAATTGAAAACAGAAAAACTTCGAGTAAAAAAAGCATTTTCAACCGAAAATATGTGTATTTTGGCGAAAAATGCTCATTTTCAAAAATTAATGACGACCTTAAAAAGCACTTAAAAAATCCAAAATTTTGCACAAAAAATTGTACCGGTCTCTACTACCAGTGTACCAAAATTTAGAATTATAACACATGTAGTTGCAAAGATATAACTCGTTTCTACAAACAAAATATGGTGAAACACCCTGTAAAAAGGATTACTTAGTCCTTTGTAAGTAAAAATTTTTATCAAAATACTGCAAATCCTGTCTACCAAGTTCAATACCACACTTATTCTTTGTGCTCTTGACCTCGATCAGACCTTCTGCTTGATACTTTGTTCTAAACAGTATGACGCACCTTATTGGAGCTCGGAATAACTTCTTGCAGGCGTTCTAATGGCCTCAGCTGAGCAAATATGCAAATTCAACAGTTTAATATAACCAAAAGTTTAAAAAGATTTTGTATTTTCAAATTTCGAACAACCAGAAGTCCATGGTTATAATTACATTACGATCATTAGTAAAGGTGCCAGCTTTACTAGTACTGTTCACAACGTTTAGTACTGTTTTTGGGCAGTTCAACGATTCTTTGGCTAAAAATAAGTTTCTGCCATTAGCTGCTGCTGCCTATACTATATACCCAGCACAATGTGTTACCAATGTGTTTGAGGATGCTAGTGTAACAAAGACTGTCACAGCTGAATGTGGTACCAATATTGGAGAGTTCAAGTTGTGTTATGGGTTTACTGGTGTCGCTCATAAGGACAAGGCTGTCTTCTTGTCTTATAGGTTAGTTTTGTTTAGTCTATTGACTTTTAGGTCAAGCACAACTTATTTTATATATACATGCTATTACATATATATATATGTTATGGCGAAAAGAGCATTTTTTAATGTTTTACATTCTAGAGGAACAGTAGGAGGTATCCAGCTGTTATACGAGTCATATGAGACTGCCTTTGCCCCAATGGTAGAAGCTAAAATTGGAGGTAAAGTGTCACAGTACTTCTACAATGTCTACAGTAACCTACAAAAAGATGGCCTGAACGACGAAGTGTTAAGACTAGCCAAAGAATACCCAGACTATGCGATCTGGATTGGGGGTCACTCTCTTGGTGGTGCCTTGTCCTCAATATCAGCAGCTGAACTAATCAAGATCCAGAATATTTCTCCAGAAAAAGTTACAGTAATTACTTTTGGAGAGCCTAGAAGCGGGAATTCTGAATATTCTAAAAACTACGATGCTCTAGTACCAAAGACCTTCAGAGTGGTTAACAAGGCGGATTTGGTACCACACCTACCACCTTTGGGCTTCTTCGACTATGTGCACCATAGTACTGAAGTGTGGTACGAAAAGGGAATGCTGAATACTGCAGAATACACCATGTGTCCGCCTGAGAGTAATGACTGCAGTAATAAGATTGGGGCCAAGTATATATTTACTGACCATTTCACTTACTACATGCAGTTTGTGGTTGGCTATGGGCTTTCTGGTTGTGGAGCTATTGCGGCCGCTTTCAAAAAGTTTTTCGGTTAAATTTGAATAAAAAATTGTTGATTTTGAATTGAAATTTGGCTTGGCAAGCTTTTTGTAATTTTATAAAACAGGAAATTGTTATAATAATTCATCAAGGACCATTCTGGGTCTCGAAACGATCAAGGACTACTGCACAATGCCTTAAATTCACAAGAAGCTGCGAAAAAGTTTTACTTTGTTTTGATTGATAGCAGAATTAATAACCAATGTTAAATTAATTCTTTATTTCGTTTCTTTCTATTTATTTTTGGACCGCGCCTAACATTCGCCAATCAAAAAGTCACGTTTTCTCAGTTCATACCTAAATTGTAAAGAACTTTATCGATGATCTTTCTCTGTGAACCAAACTCGACAGAACTTCCTTCTCTGTAAGCCCAACTTTTTGTAAGAATTCGCCTCGTCACTGCTTCTTGAACTTACAGAGTTTAAATTGCCTGCGGCGATCTGGCGTAAAGCGAGCGCATAACAATGACACGGATTGTCGTTTGATATCGTCACCGCTTCGTATGTTGTTCTTATTACTCATAACCCAATTGGCATGGGTCTCGTGCAATCAGGACTGGATACGACAATGTAGCTGCGAAGAGATGGGGATGCAAGGAGAGTGTGAAGCAGAACATCATGCCTTGTGTGGAGAAGTGTAAGGTAAACTACGAGTTTTGGTGGTTGGAATTTTTAAAAACTTTTTTAAAAGTAGTAAAAGTACAAAAAAGTAAAGTTTTTATAAAATTATAAAAAAAGATTGATTTGAATTTGTAAAGTAAGTTTTTTGCATTTCAGGACGAAGTTGACATTGACTTTGATACAGAAACAGTACTACAATGTCTGAAGACGGAGAAAGAACATCATCTGGACTGTGTCATGAAGCTGAAGCAAGAAATGTAAGGATACTTATCATATTATGTTAGGTTGTACAAATAATTCTGTGCCCCCTTCAAAGAAATTGTTTTGGATCAAAAGGCGCAGAATTATTTGAAAAACTTAATAGTTCATTTTTTAAAACGTGAATTGTATACCTGTTTTACTTTTTTTTAATTTTCAGGTGTACCAACAAGCCCTACAGTATCATAAAAACTTCAGAAACCTTCCACAATCTTCAAGCTTCTAACAAACTGACTCTACACGTATTCCAGCCACATTTGAGTGCTGCAAAACTAGCGAACTCAACGTCTGGCACCGGTTTTATGAGTGTTTTGAAGAATGCATTAGGCGCTAATGGTAAATTTTATTATACTATCAACAACTTGTTCAAACTAGTTTACTGTAGCTACAGCGGTAATAGAAGCTGATATAAGGTGTCTTTTAAAAATAATGTTTGTTTCAGCACCAGCCTTCAAAGAGTGTATGCAGAACTGTGTGATCAAGACTGATGTCTTTCAATGTGTTAAGAACTTGGGGTGAGCTTTTTTGAATTTTAAAATTGATGGTTTATAAAGTTTGTGTTAATTTTATTATTGAAAAGTCTTTATTTAGTTGTGGAGTCCGCCGACCGCCAGTCCAAGTGATCAAAGAAGTCTTCAAGCAGTGTGAAGCTGACAGCCAGAGCTCGCGACGGCGAGTTTGTCAATGTATTCAAGATGCTGGTGTCGCGTAAGTTTATTAATAGATTTGCTAAGTTAAAATTAAATAGTCAATTAAAAAAGGATACTTTAAAGTATATAATATTTCTTGACTTTAGAAATGCCGCTTGCTGACATTGATTTGATGATAGCAAAGTGTAACAGCTACACTTTGATCCAATTCCTATAAACCTTTGATTGCTAGTTTATAAATTATTTATCCGAAAACTTTTTTCTACAATTACCATGTAAATAAACTATATTTTATGAATTTAAATTTATAAAAAGTTTTTTTATTTTACAAGGAAAGTGCCCGACCTGCCCCGCTCTGATTGATTTCAAACTTTTTATATAGAAAGATAATGTAAATATAAGATCTTCAGCAAAGTACTAAATCGCGCTTTCCAGGAAATCTCGAGAAAATCGAGATTGAAAAATGACATTTTGAATTTCCCGCCAACTTGGCATTGTGTTTCAAGCTTGTAACTTTGTCATTTTTTGACTGTTAATTATTTTTCATTGATATACTAGTAGATAACCTTTAAATGAACTTACATTTTTAAATTTGTAAGCGTATCTTGTCTGGAAAGCCGAAAAAAGTGCTTGAAACACAATGCCAAATTTGCCAAATAGGCGGGAAACCCAAATAATTTAAATTTAAAACTCAAGAGAGCGAGCTAAAATTTTTTATGGGTACTATTGGTGGTACAAAGAATTCATATAAAAATTTTGAGCTGCTTCTGAGCGGGGCAGGTAGGGTACTTTCCTTGTTAGTTTTGCTAAAATTATAAGATAAAGTTCATATTAAAGTTGTTTTTATTTGCTTTATAACTTGTTTTTTTATGTATCTTACATACTTTTAATTAACAGATAATATTATCGTAGTATTAGCATTTATCAACTTACTGGAATTACTGTTTTTAAAGGCTTAGAAACTTTGAATTAAGATTAAATCTCAATTTATGTTAATTTTAGTGGGAACAAAAATGAGCTCTGCCTGTAAACTTACTCTACGCTATTTTCTGTTTTATTGTTAGATAGATCTGTCAAGGGATTGGGCCTTAGTTTGTACTCGGCTTTTGGCTTATATGTCTCGGCTCGGCCCGATCTCTCAAATTTGCTTGGCTTGGGCCGAGTGGGCTTTCTTTCAGATATACTTTTAGGTTAATTTGTTGTTTACATATACTTATATTGATATAAATTGTGTTTTATATTACACTTGGGACTATAGTAAGTGTGTTATTGTGCCGTTTTTATTGGGTTATGGTAGTATAATATACATATTTGGGTTGGGAGACTGAATAACGATTTGCCTAAATCACATATCCCTGTTTACCTTGACTGAATCACACACTGGTAATATATATATATATTTTGCTCGGTAAGGTATTTGCTATTAAAAACCACATATCTAAAAGTTTTCTATGCTTGTTTAAATAATACTGTGCCTTCTAACTTTAAAACTTTTCTTTTTAAGGGAGTACAGAATTATTGTTTACCTTTACAGTAATAGCCTTTAGCTATTTTATCAAAATTTGTAATTAAAAGTGTAAATAGTTTGTTTACTTTTGACATTTCGGGCGTATTCGAAGCAATTTGGCCTCAAACATGGCCTGCACTTCTAATACAATTAAATTTTAAGGCTGCGAACATAGGAAAGATTAACCACCCACCGGTTAGCCATGGTAAATTATGCGTAATGAAGGTTTCAATTGCACGTTTACATCGTATCTTGGGGTAGTAACGGTTGATTTGCTATGTTTGGGAGGTATCACTGTATGTTGTGATATAGTTTCGTAAATAGTTCTGGAGCTTTGTTCTTGGATTATACTACAGTTGTTCGTATTTTATATATAACACTATGGATAATATGTTTATTTCTAACTGTACAGTAAGTTCCTGAATCAACGTGCCAATCCTAACTTTCTTTTTGAGTTCCTTCTTTATCATACAGTCAGGGCCGGGCGCGAGGGGGGACGGGGGGGGTATCCCCCCCCCCAGAAAAAAAAATTTTTCGAAAAAATTTGAACGTGGTCCCCCCTGTGGATTTTTGAAAAAAAAATTTCGCAAAAAATCGGCACAGCTACCTGTGCCAATTTTTTGGACTCCTGCCCCCAGACTAAAAGTCCCCGCCCGGCCCTGCATACAGTATTAATACTTGTTTTTTGTACTAATATTGTTTCTCAGTATTAATCTAGTTTAATGTCTTAAACATTACTGTAATTCTCAAAAATATTACCCTTTATTGTCTGGTATTTAACGTAACATCCTGTTTGATTCAAACGACTTCTGAATTCGAGTATTAATCTTTTTTACCGTAATCTTAACATACATCAGAATAAACATGTCTTCATAATGTATTTAAAGCCTAATCTTCCCTTTACTTCAACATACACAGCTCTTGGAAAGGTTGTATATTCTCAATCTTCATGGTCTTTGTTATTTTGAAGGTGCCAATCGGGGTATAGTAGATAGTTAAGTACATTTATTTTTTAAAATTAATACTGGTATTGTAAGGCTTTTTGAAAGGTAACATTACCTTCAAAAGCTAGGTATAAGACGGTCTTTGCACTGTGCAAGAATGCCATTACTTCTTTGAAAAGAGTTTCAAAACACTGTAATTAGTAAGAAACCTATTTACTGAGTCAAAAACGATACGAAAACATTATGGATTAGTCTGAAACAAATTACTGAGTAGCGTTTGTTTGTCCACCATGGGTAATATGTTTCCTGCACTTCAGAACTCTTTCTAAATGGCACTAGTTTTAAATTTCGAAGTTTTATTTTAAAATTTGAACTTTAAAACTGAGGATGTTGATATTGGGTCTGAAATAATAAACTGTTAATTTAAAGTTTGAAAGAGGTGACTGAGATTTAAATTAAAATTTTTTGAACTTCAATTTTTTCATAGTGTATTAAACAAGGTTCGTAGGCTGTTATTAAGGTTCAATACTTTGTTATTTGAATACGTCACTATCAAGGTCCAAATACTTCAAAATTTAAATTTTGGGTTTGTTGTTGTATATCAAATAACTTGATTGACAAACTATTCTGACAGTATCTTCCGCTTCCTCATTAGGTTCTGCTGCGTAAGTGGTATCATAAATTCTGCGAATCTTGCAATTAGGCTAATATAAAATACAAATTAAACTGTTTTTTTCTTTGTTACTTTAGAATAAACAGTTATTAACTAAAATATGTTTGCAAGGTGTGCATTTTTATTTTCATATGGCTTATCAGTCAGTATGTCGGTATAGCAAAACTTGATATACTACTTAAAACAAACTACTCAGCAGTTTTTCTTTATGTTTATTGTAAAATAATTTATAACTTTAAGCGTGTTGACATATTGTCTACTTTAAAGTTCATGTTGAGTAAAAGTTGGACCTAAATTTGCAAAAACAATCTTTGTGACATTGTTTTTTAAAGTGCATCCGTTGTTGCTGTTTTCTGAAATTATTGTGGACTTTTCAGACGATTTAACATTGTTATAGAAGACTAGTACTTCTTTGATAATTTGGGGATACTTGGACTTTTGAGTTAGACAGAGTTATTATTCAAAAGCACAGTAATATATTGTTAGTGGAAAGAACAGGTCTTATTTTTGTGGTACTGTCTACTTTGAGCTATTGAGTTAGGCCTAAACGCTCTCATTTTGTAGATATGTAGCACTTGTAACTATCACAGCACAAAGTTATTGCTTCAAATTTTTTAATTTGCAGTTTAAGATCATGTTTTATAAGTCATCGAAATGACGTTAATCTTTGACTTTTGATTAGCTTTTATATGTTAAAAATTTTTAAAAGAAATATTTGTTTAGTATTTGTTGCATGATACTCGATAGTATTAAACCAGAGACTAAGTAGTACTTTGGACAAAAAGTAATCTTTAACCTCGATTGCTGATATTATCTTTCCGGCCGTGTGAATTCAAATACTCTTTCTTCAGGCACATCATTGTAGACTATTTTGTTTATGGGTCAGACTTCAAACGTTTTACTGAAAATAAGTTAGGTACTGTTTTATTTTGATTTCACTATAACTATATATACTGTAATATATTTTTTATCCATCTTCTTTTTTTATAAAAAGTTTTATTTTATATTGTTTTTTTGATAAGGTTAACATTTTTATGCCACATTATCTTTTGTAGTATATCTTTTTATTGACTAATATAAAAATACATAGTATCATCCTAAAACCTGTGGCATTATAAAGGTTTATACTGTAATTGGATCCTATGTGTGTCAGAGCTGTCACTGCCAGAAGGCTTTGTTGATACCTTGCGAACGTCTGAAAGGAAATAAAATTATTTCCTCCTCCTTTCTTTGTCTCAGCAGGCTACACATCTAGCTACAAGATTCATGATGTGATTTATATGTAACCTTAGTTTTGTTTCAAGTTTATAGGTATAGGTATCTTATACTTTTGGTTTTTTAAATATAGTATAAGGTACTGAAAAGGACTGTTAATGTAGTGGAAGGTCTGCAGTAAAGATAAGATGGGAGGGATTTGCCCAGTAACCTTTGAGCTCTTGTAGTAGTCAAGATACCTTGAAATCAAATTATATGTTTCTAAAGAATTTCTTTCATATTACCATAAAATACGTGACCTTTCTGTGAATCTCCCAACTTTTACTCTGTAAAGCGTGGTAATATCTCTACAGAGTAATTATAGAACGTTGAATATTAATGTCGTATCTAGATGTTTTCCAATTACGTTTTGCGTTTGAAAAACTAATTCTTAGAGACAAAATTACAGTAAGATACTAATGTAAATTTACTATTAAGTCTAAAATAACTGCATTTGTTGTTGTTATTGTCTGTTGTAACCTACGCAAGTAACCGGAATCCTTAAGGTTGGTATGTTGGACTGTATGGTATCATTTGGTATTACTATGTCTACGGTATTGTTATTGACAGTTTTTTACTGTAAAAAAAGGTGATGCTGCAGCAGCTGTTTACTATAACGAGACCTTTGTTACCTTAAGGTTTTGTAGTAGTTTTGTATGTGAGATATCCACAAGGTTTTTATTATGTGATTTTGCTGTATACATATAGTGTTGTCTTAAAGGCAACTAGCAAAAGCCATCTTTTAACACAGTAAAGAATATCTACTGCTACATGGTCAACAACC